TCTCATGGCGAAGTGGTGGGTGTGCGGCTCTCTCCAATGCCTTTTGTTCGCCCATGGTTGCGTTCTCAACTACGTCGTGTACTACTCCCGTGCCAGCGTCTGGACCTTGGTCGTGGTCTCCATCTACGCCTTCGCCATCTCCCAGGCGGCAAAGTTCCCCCCCGGCTACTTGGACGGCACTACACTCTGGTTCGGGTAAGGAGGGTGATTTGTTTGTTTCTTGTTACGTGATCATGTGCAGTGGTGCTTGTGCGTTTTGTGACTAAGTTTTTTTTCTTCTTTTTTTGGTTTTTTCTTTATTATGCTCAGGGCCACCCTCGTCTATGCGTGGGGTCCACCCTTTGCCGGGGGCAGTTTGAAGGACCCGATCGTAGCGTCGCTGGTCATCGGCGTCCTTTGCTACACCAGGAGTTTCCTCGACCGCTACCAGCCCCCGCCGCCGCCGCCGCCGCCGCCCGGCCATGCAGAGTAAATGGGCCGCGACGGTGCTCAGTGTCAGTGATCCCCCCAGCTACCCACTTTTGGCATCATCCCCATTCCCCTGCCATCCAACGGAATTCGTACCGCCACTGTCCACTGACGCTGCAGCAACCAGCTGGCATCATATATTTTCTCTGTTTATTAGGCCTTTTATTCCCTATCTTATATTACTGCAAATTGGAATAGGGCCGGCTTTTATTTCCTCCATTATATATAATTACTGCAAAATGGAATGGGGCTTTTTCTGTTTGTTTGTTTGTTTGTATTTCCTCCAGAGTTATCTTATTAAGCTACTGCAAATGTAATCATTGATGAATGATGAATGACTATGATGCTAATTACCAAATTGATTACGTCCAAGTTTTATTAACAATGCATGCATGCAATCTAATACCATTAACCAAGTACGTAAACTAACTTAACTTAATTCCACTACTAACTCAACCAAACTAAAGCCTAATTAATCCGTTAATCGTGTGTCAACCAATATAACACATCATCTAATTAATCCCATCCATCCAATCTATAATTCTGCTAGCTAGATAATCGGATTCCAGTTAAATTGATTTTCAGTCTTTACCGTAGCCTTTTCTTGGGTTGGCCTGGCCATTTTCAAGCCTTTTCTTTCTGGCCCTGGCCCACTAACGTACCCTTTTGTTGGGTCAGAAACTTAGGGAGGGGACGGGGCCACGGGGGTTATATATTAGCAGTTGTGGGTAAGAACAGGGATTGTGATTTTTTTTATGAAAAAATAAAATAAAAAACCTTATTAAGGATGACAAGTCTAGTACACTCACGTACGTTTTGCTATTAACCTACCTACTTATTATGTACGTGCCACTATTTCGGTGCTGAGTGTCACATATATACGTAACTCTAAAATAAGTCGAATTTTACATTTTCATTGATAGGATTACTTTAATATCACATATGATCACAACTAATCAATGCATTGACCTAAGCTTTTTAGACCATCAATTTTGAATCCTATATCCTAAATCCTTCAAATCATAGTAAATCTTCAATGATTCTTGTACAAATTCATGTGCTCTATTCTCCATCACATCTCAAGTGAAGATCGACATCGTTTCAACATCAATCGTCTATTTAAAATGACGATTATTAGGCGACTACTTTGAATTCATTAAAAAAGAAAAGTTCGTGCACATAAGGCAAAACCATATATATTCCCACTCCCTTCGTTTTTCTCGGAACACATAATCGCAATGACTCGAGAGTATCATCAAGATTTGGGAGCACCAAAGACCTTCTTACTTAGAATCCAATATATGAAAGAAAAAAATCCAACAAATAACACCAATATTCAAATGTTCGTACTTAGAATTTAAAATATGTAAAACAAATAACACTCAATATTCAAAGATAATTCAAATCCTTATGTCTCTCATTAATCATTCTAAATCAAAGTTATTTATGCTCATCTTCCAAGCCACACTCACTACAGGAAAATTCTCCTCCAATCACGGGATTTCCCGTGACTAACAGGTAATTCTCATGACTGATATTTGAACACGGGAACACTATCGTGATTAAACTATGAAATAGTCACAAGATTTCCCGTGATTGTGATCAATTTACAGCAACGAGTTTTGTCTGAATGGTCACAGAGGGTCGTGATCGTTGGTCATTATAATCATAGGAAAATCAATTTACCCGTGATTTTGGTACAAATATTTTTTTATGGGTGTCGCAACCGCTCCTCGAGATCGGGGAGCCGTCCTGCGATGCTCGGAGTTGCCATCGACCTTAATTGGAGTGGATCGAATGATATCGATGTGAATATATCCTATAAAATAATCATTCATGATTTTGTCACCCATTACATACCAAAGAGTGTTTTCACGTGGCTCATTGAAAATGTCATTTCAAAACTTGCAGGGAGCCTTAGTTAGCAACAACAATAAGTTACTTCTTTCAATTACCATGATTCGAAAAATATCTTCTAATTCTATATAGTTTTAGACAATCGCTAGCCTATATTCACGTCAAAGTATACATATAATAATCTAGTTGAGGTTTAAAACCTAATATATTGAATCGCCATCGATCTTACTTGGAGTGGATCGAACACTCTTCGGTCGGCTCTAACCTTAGGGTCAGACCGAGACCTGGTCTGCGATTAGAAATCTATGTTCGGGAGTACGGTTACATGAGGAAAAGTGAAATCACACCACACAATGCTCAAAGTTGGTAACTACTTAAGTCGATGCGTTTTATATGTATTGGGTGTTATTTTAGTAATTATTGCGTATTTTAAGATCCCACTGGATGATTAATATATTGCTTATCAGTTAACTAAACGTCCATTGACGTATTAGTTCATGATTAGGTATTTTTAGAGCCCCACTGGACCGCTAAAATTATATAGTATTAGTTTATGATTTTTAGAGCCCCATTGGAAACTTCATGACTTGCAGGTAAACTTTATTCTCTTTCTCTTGATGTGTATGTGAACTTGGTACAATTTGTATGAAACTAGACTGTGATTCTGATATTCCTAAACTCGTTCATGTGATCGCGCCATTAATGACTGTTCAGTATTCAAGCGACGGGCGCCAGCAAAGGCAGCAGCATCTTCGCCAGACAGAACCGCTGTTTCTGCTTGACAAATTAGTTTAGAATTGTTGCAGCAGTACTGCCTCCCTCGCCCTATTTCTTTTGTCGATATCTCCTAAAAGAAACTACCTTCTTTTTGCCTTTGATAAACTGTTTATAATGCTAAGATCAAAACGTTGTGGGATTTTTCTTCTCGTTTATGTTTGTGATAGCTATAACTTGCTTTTAAAGAGACCACTGTTCTATGCGTGGGAGTGGGTATGGTCTGGTTCGGCCTAGAATAAGATTGAATCGCTCATGTACTGGATCAACAAATAAAGAAAACAACCTTATTTTGGAAGAATTCCGAAAATCAACGTTTTTGTGTATGGATCCAGTGGCCAACCACGGATCAACGAAGGAAATGAAACATTAACGTAGCTAGCCAGTAAGCAAGTACTAGTACAAGGCACGTCTTGATGGCCGGAGAATTTGATGGTTATATAATTTTTTTTGGTCATTCACACGGATGATAATGTGTGTTTTGTTTGTCAATGATACACTCACCACAAAAGTAAATTAACTCAAATGTCACCTAATACGGCCACTAAATTCATTTCTAGCTCTCCACTTATATTTATACGTAGCACTCTATCTCATTTAATCATTTAGTTGACAAGTATATCGGATTTATCATTTAAGTTAATTTTTATGAACTCTTGAGAGAGCCAATGAGGCTGGTATTGTCCTCGGGAAACTTAGGTATCCTTCATCTTATCGCACTTTGGGGAACAGAATGCTATCCGGATATATTTACTACACTGCTCAGTATCACATTGGATTGATTTGTTTAAATAGAACTTTTGAAGTGCAGAGTTTGAGAGATTTTATAACTGCGTATTATAAAGACCATTATCTAGTCACAGCTTATCTGCCTAAGTAACTTTTGTACTTGATTCCATCGATTAGGCTGTATCATGTGTACTTGGTATCACAACTAACTAAATGTGTACACCAAATTCCATGTTTCAAAGTAGCAAGCACTCTAACCAATCTAGCTATACCAAGTTTTGATGGAAAGCTTATTATTATTCACTCACAAACAACGATAATGTAACTTTCGATAAATATATAAGTTCACAAAGAAACATCTAAGCAATCACCATAAACATATTCATCAAATCTAGCATCAATTAAGATCAAACGTGTAAGGAATTAAACACCAGATATGGTACTGACTCGTTCGAAACTTCCAATATTCTATAGTGAAACCAAGAGCACAATTTAAGAAGCTTCCTCCGTAACCATGATCTCACTTGCGAGTTTGACAGTTCACGTATAGTTCGATTTTCAGCCTATAACGCATTATTTGGGCGACCCAGAAAGACCCTCCACACATTATAAGCATCTATTTAATTTTGGTTGCACATGCGACATTACCAAGTAACAAGATCCCTCTTTTTTCTTGTATATTTCTTTACAGGTCCTTTGGATGTAAATTTTTAAAGTTTGGAGAAAAATATTTCATTTGGAAGAAAAAAAAAACAATGAAATGTTTGCAGGTAAATTGCACCTCTAGATATTTGGAAATTACTCAAACGAAACACCAAATATCTCATTTGCTCCTTTCCCCCAAAAATACAAATATAAGGAAAAATGTTTCTTTTTGAAGCATTTTATCTCAAATTTTTCATTGAAATAGCACATTGAGATAAACTCGTATATTTTATGATAGAAAAGGGAAAACAGATGCAACAAAATTCCTAAAGAATAAACTACATGCATATGAACCATCCACTATGAGGGGAAACGGTGATACAAAACCGCATTTTACTCTTTTTTTACTTTTTGTTAATAACTAAAACATCCATCCCAACCGCCCACCATAAATAAGTTGTTAACCGTATACGAAGATAGACACCAGAAACTTAGCTTGTCATCTCAACAAATATAATGCCGGCAACGCCAAATCTTATCAAATCACACCCCTCGGCATCCGAAGCAGATATTGTTTCTCTTCATTCCGGAAACCATCGCGCCCAAGTTCATATTTCACAACCGCACGTCGAACGACCCGCCACCACAAGACAATGCGATGAAGGATATATAAATCATATATATCCTTCATCGCATTTCTTCATCGTGGGTCTCAATTCAATCAAAATCCCCCCCCCCCCTCTTCCCTCTTCCAACCAGATAGAGCTTTCATAAACAACAATGCGATGAAGGATACATAATCCCCATATCCTTCATCGCATTCTTCCTCCTCGCGCGTGGCTCGCAATTCAATCCACCCCCCGCTTCCATTCCTCTTCCAACCAGATTAACCCTTTTTTTCATAAAAAACAACAATGTCGATAATCCCAAGCAACACGACGTGGGTGACCGAAGAGGTTTGCTACGCCTTCCCTCCAAGGGTTCGTTCCGGCGGAATTTTCATCAACCAAGGACCTTCCCCCCTCGAAAATCTCCTCTCTGCCTCGGTCACCCTTCTCAACGTCCAGGTTCTCCTCATCCTCTGCCTCAGCAACGCCCTGCATTTCGTCTTCCGCTATCTCGGGGTCGTCCCCTTCGTCACTCAGTGCCTGGTACGTCTTATACACAATGTGAACAACACTTGTAATAACTCTTTTCTCAGACAGAATGACATCCATGCATTGAACCAAACAGGCAGGGGTGATTCTGGGGCCGACGCTTCTGGGCAGATGGGACTACTACAAGAAGGTGTTTTTCCCCCACGCGAGCCAGGACTCGTTGGGGGCGCTGGCGATGACGGGTTACTCATTCTTCATGTTCATGACCGGGGTCAAAACCGACGTCGGAATGCTGATTCGCTCGGGGAGAAAGACCATGGTCCTAGGAATCGCATCCGTCCTAGTCCCTTACTTCATCGGCCTAGCTTTCCAAGCCAGCCGCCTCCTCTCCCGCCCGGGGCTAATGGAGAGAATGGAGATCATCGGCTTCACCGCGCTCCAAGCCATGACAACTTTCCCCGTCGTCTCCCACCTCCTCGTCGAGCTCAAGCTCACCAACTCCGAGCTAGGCAGGCTCGCTCTATCCTCGTCCCTAGTCTCCGGTCTCGTAGCAGCCTGTCTCGAGCTCAGCGCCATCCTCACCACCGAGAAGCACGGCCCACTTCAAGCCACACTGACCGTCCTTCTAGTTCTCTTCGCGGCCTTGGTCCTTCGTCCAGCCATGCTTTGGGTGATTAAGCAGACTCCTCAAGGGAAGAAGCTACATTCATCATGCGTCCCCATCATCGTAGCCATTGCATTGTTGTACCAAATAGGGTTTGACGCCCTAAAGCAGTCTCAAGCATTGGGTCCATTCATCCTAGGGCTGGCTGTCCCGGCGGGCCCACCGTTGGGTTCCGCGGTGATCGAAACCCTAGAGGTTGTAACCAACTCCATCCTCTTCCCGGTCTTCGTCGCTACATGTGCCATGAGGGGAGATATCTACACCATGATAACAACAGGGTTCAACAACAAAAGATACTACTTCCAAGCGATATTGGCCTCCTTCGTCGTCAAGTTTCTCGCGTGCTTGTTGCTATCCGTGCCGTGGATGCCACGATCCGACTCCGCGGTCCTCGCTCTCATCATGTGCTCCAAGGGCATCTACGAGCTCAGCGTGTTCGCCGTCCAGAGGGACACCCAAGCCATAGCCGAGCCGTTGTTCTCCTTGTGTCTGGCCTATATCGTTCTCAACTCTACCGTCATCCCCATCATCGTGAAGCACCTCTACGATCCCTCGAGGAAGTACGCGGGTTACCAGGCGAGGAACATGTTCAGCCTGAGGCCCAACAGCGAGCTCAAGGTTCTTGCATGCATCCACAAGCCGCACCACGTCGGCTACATGATCAACCTGCTCGACGTCATGTGCCCGACGGAGGAGAACCCTGTAGGAGTCTACGCCCTCCACTTGATCGAGCTCGTGGGCCGTGCCACGCCCATGCTCATCTCTCACCAGAAGCAGAAGGCCGTCTCGGACAACTGCTCGATCGAGGTCATCCTCGCGTTCAACCAGTACGAGAGGAGGGCATACGGCGTCGCGTCGGTCAACACGTTCACGTCCATCTCTCAGACCAAGTTCATGCACGACGACATCTGCACGCTCGCGCTCGACAAGTCCACCGTGCTTCTCCTGACCCCGTTTCACATCACGTGGGGTCTCGATGGGAGCGTGGAAGCGGAAGATAACACCATGAGGGCGCTGAACTCTAGGGTTTTGGAACGAGCGCCTTGCTCCGTGGGGATCTACTTCAACCGTGGGAACGTTAGGGTTAACGATGGCGGCGCAGCACGAAGTTCGGATGCTTCTTCTTCTTCTGCTGCTGCCTTGTCGTCTGCGTATTCGGTGTGTGTGATCTACTTGGGTGGAAGGGATGACCACGAGGCGTTGTGTTTGGGTGCTCGCATGGCGAGGGACACGTCGTTGGAGCTCACCATTCTCCATCTCGTCTCTAGGGAGGATGCCAATGTGACAAATAATAACAGGGCGAACAGGTTGTCGCATGAGAGAATGATCGACCAAGTGGTGTTGAAGGAAGCGATGCAGAAAGTTGCGAACTCGCCGAACGTGAGGTACAGTGAAAAGGTGGTGGAGGATGGACCTCAAACTGCAACGGCGGTTCGAGCGGTTGCCGGTAATTATGATTTGTTTGTGGTTGGGAGAAGGGACGGGGTGGATTCGCCTCAAACTGCTGGACTGGCGGAATGGAGTGAGTTTCCGGAACTAGGGGTGATTGGAGACCTGTTGGCCTCGAAAGATCTCGAGACCAAAGCTTCTGTACTGGTGGTTCAACAACAAAAGCAGTTCAAATAGAAAAAAATATGATGTACCAAACAGAAGTATATATGTGTATTTGTACATCTGCAATTGCTAATGAAAGTTGATTCGATCTCTTGCATGTCTGTGACGTAACATTATTCGCCATTCATCACCGTTATAATTTATGCAATTTTGAGCGGTCAGCCTAGTTTCAGCTCACCCATTTTCGGGTGTTCTTTAATGCATCATCCTTAAAATAAAAATGAAATTTATGCAATTTTGTGTATTGAATGGAATCATTTTTTTTAAGGGATGGAGAATAATCAATTTGAGTGATTGGTTGACAGAAATATTGAAACACTTTATAAACTATCATTTCAAAAATCAAGACTTTATAAACTTTATTCAAGAAAGGCATGACTCATAATTGGTTAAATGAGCCATCATGAGTGTGGATGTGATAAAAAGTTGTAAATTTTAAGATGGATTTAGTTAAAAAATCATTTTTTCTTGATTAAGAGTTGAATGAGCGACTTAAAAGACATGTACCATTTACTTCAATGACTAAAAAACATTCAGAAATGTATTGAGTGTTTATTTGCAATATTAATTTATACAAATTAAAATCTCATATGCATAATGCATACGTTTTATCTGCAAGATACCACCAAAAAATTAGCAATGTATACATAATAGTGTTGAGCATTCGTGAGTATTGGAGTAGTACTTGACATACAACTCGATCTCGTGAACAAAAATAAATAATCAAATGATAAACTTGGCTAATAAATCGATTACACTGCTATTATGATATAATACAGATTTATAAATAAGGCGATCTACAAAATACCGTTGTATTCCCACGATATTGTGACGAGTTATTGGCGAGTAAAACAGGTCAAAGCTCAAACAAAACTGACCATCCCTATGAATGGCAATGGGCAGGTCCGGGGCGGGTGTCATGATACCCATATTCGCCATGTGGCAGGTCGGGTGCAAGTCGGATAATTTATCATGGATCGCGGGTCGGGGCAGGTCGGCCTAATCGATATGCAATTTATATGGAAAGCATTAGAAATATTCATTAATTTCATTATAAGACCAAGAAAATAAATCATGACATGATAAATGTAGCTAAATTATTGGAGAAATTGAAATTTTCACTAATTTACAACTTTATTATAGCTAAAATATAATGTAATAAAAAAATACTAGATTAGGGCCCGCCCGTTGGACGGGTACATTCAATTAACTACATAAAAAAATAGCAAATGTTCGAAGCAAATATGCACTTTTATTTGGCATGATAAAAGAATCTAAATCATTCAGTTAGTGACAACATAGAAAAATAAACATATATATAGAGTTTTTCGACATCCTAATCGATTCGTATACATAAGAATGAAATTAAAAAAAACTAAACACAAAGGATCATGTAGAGGTTTTGTCTAGAAATCATACCCGATGTTGTCGTACAATTCCCACAAATGTACTCATCGAAGTCTTCTTCACCTTTTCATGGACAGTGTTCGCATTAAACATAACACCACTCGTTCCTATTTTGAAAAAGGTAATCATTTTATTGTTAATGAGACAGTAAATTGCAATTGATATATATACCTCATCTCTATTCCTCGCTCAAATTCGTTGAGCTCTTGCAATATTTTGGTATTGATCGATGGTTGGGATTCGACTTTGACTCCCATTAGAGGATGTGGTGCATATGCATCACTTTTATTATCGAAGTTTTATATATTGTAATACCGTTTTTTTAAACTCCTGACTTATAACACACAACAAAATACATAGATTTAAATTACATGAATTTCACTTTGACGCGAAATCAATAATTCCCAAATTTGTAGATTCAACAACGGCAAGGTAGCTACAAATGAGAAGGGCTTTCATTTGCGAATTTGATTATCAATTAATTAACAAAGCTAATAGATGCACAAATAAAATAATAATAGATATTTTTTTACCATATATAACATACAAATATTATGATCAGAGGATCATCAACATTTGCCAAATTGACATTTATTGTCCTACCCATGGAATAACCTTCACAATCAATCACTTGTACCCAAATTGTACATTATGCTCGGAATCATAGTTTAAATAATGCATGTAACTTTAAAATGCAAGTTTAGTGAATCATATGCTCGAAAAGCTTTAGTTGAATCTCTTTACGCTTTTGACTTATATAAAAATTATGGTTTGTCTTGCTAATTTTGTCGATGGTTGATCAATTCTCTTCAACTTTGACTTATGTGAATTAACTTATGACAAATACGGCAAACAATAATTTTGTAATTTCAAATAATCAAAATAATTATAGTGATTAGAGTTATTATTGATGGTCATACTATTAGAAAGATTATTTCCCACTTTATGTATAGATTAGTGAGAGTCAAACATGAATTCTGGTACTACAAAAACAACTTTCCACTTCCCTGAACCATACTCGATATGAATGCACACTAAACTGCAAAGTGCATGTAATAGAGACTGATTAATATATGTACTTGTGTTCAAGGTTTAAAGATTAAATTGAATCATTGTTTTGCTAACTTGATGATTCTATGGAGAGAATATTTTTATTCATTGGTCTGAACAATTTTATTTTGTGTAAAATCAATTTATCTTTGTACCTTACTATCTTCAATTTCTAAAATGGTTTGTTTTGTTGTAACATCCTACAATTAAATATTCGTAGTCTCATGAGTATACTTTTCATGTAGATTTATAAGACATATATAGACGGAGTATAGACTCAATTCTCAATCAAAATACTCAACCATCAATCACTATTTTGATCGTTCAATTATCTAATCTTGACATCTCCAATATGGAGGTTTGTAAACTCTCGATGTAAGACATTATGCCTCGATTTATCAAACATAATAGTTAAGTTCATTATCTTATAAAATATGCCTTAACTCATGATTCTCAAAATTAGGAGTGACTCTCAACCAACTTTTATTGATTATTGACTTAGTCTATCATAGGATTCTTAGCAAAGATGTCTGATCTCTGGATAATTTTTGTTTATCTGAATTCATGGCAATTGACACATCCATGGTTCTTTCCTTGACATGAAATTTTATCTATCGATTCCGAATTATAGCACACACTCTGAAAAATTATATATTCTTGGTAAATATTATATATTAGTAATTAATAGAATATGTTTATGATATATAGCGGGCATATGAAAAGTTGTAGCAGTTGAACAGTAGATTGATTACTTTAAACCAATGTGTTAGAAATCATACTATACCTGAAGGTCGGACCGAAAATACTGAACCCCAAATATTAAGCAATTTTAGTCGTACAAAATACCTTATCACTAATTTTTACGGTTAACTTCTGATACCGTCTCACAATCATTGCTTCAAACAAAATCATCTGTAAACTAATATACAAACTCTCGGAAACATTGTAATATTTAATATGTTGTATAAACCCAAAAATGAAAGAAGAGTCCTTCTTGAAAACATATTCTACTAATAAATTTTGGAATATATTCGACTATTAATATTAAATGAAAGATGGGTCATTCCAAGAAACATAAACCTAATCTCAATAGAGTTCTTATTTTATTAGGATAATCTAGGGGATGCTGGCGGATTTTTTTTAAATAGTTCTTCTATCAATTTTTTTACTTTTAGTATGCCAAAATTACCCTTCCTACAATCACTCAGAGAGCTGGAAATTTTGAATGAAAGATATTCTATGGAGAACCTCCATATAGTATTGGTATGATATTAAGTCATTCAAAAATTTGCATGTAATTTTAATAAAAAGGAATTGAGAATGAAGCGTATTAGAGCAAAGTCAACTTGATGAGAGTCCATATCCATCCCAAAACAAGTTAAACAAATCGGGTAAAACCGGCAAGGTCTGTCCCACTCCCAGCTTCCTTCCTTCCTCAATCTTCCCCCATCCACTACGACCTCTACCGCCTCTCTCACTGTTCTCTGAGTACCTCAATTGTCAATTCGCATCATCATTCTATCTCTCTCCCTGCGGAAAGAAAGATGCAAGCTGCTGCATCAACGGCGATGGCGGCTCACGCTATCCTATCCACTTCCCCTTCGTCATGTGCCCTCCTTTCCCCCGTTTCGAAACCCGTCGCCGCCAACCACCAACCACCGGCTCTCCGTTCCCTCTTCCATGGTGTTAATCTCCCTCTTCGCCAGTCCATGGCTTCTCTCTCCCTAGCTGCTCCCTCCACCAGGAAGCCCCTAACCGTCGTCGCCGCCACCAAGAAGGCCGTCGCTGTTTTGAAAGGCACTTCCAGTGTCGAAGGCGTTGTCACCTTGACTCAGGAAGACGATGGTCTGTTATTTTTTGAACCTCTGCCGCTAAATTTCTCCGTTTTCTTTGTTGGGTCTCTGTTTTCTAGCTGATGGGTACATGAGATTGAAGGGGTAATCGGGTTCTGCTTTGATTGTCCAGATTTTGCTGAATTGGTCTTCCATCTATTTTGGTAATTGTTGTTTGGATGATGAAGATGACTGCTGAATTTGGTCCATTTGCACCTGTCCCCTTCTGTGGGTACTTTGGCAAGTGGATTGAATTGGGATGGAGATAGTTAATTGAATTTGTCGAGGAAGTTGCTTTCTTGACTTCAGAAAATCATGGTTAATGGGGATAAATGTCAAGACTGAATTTAGTTTCTTTGCATTGACACGCTACAATAGGTAATTAAGCCATCATTTTTGTTTCCCTTGTACTTCCCAGCAGGCCCAACAACTGTAAATGTTCGTATCACTGGTCTCACTCCAGGGCTTCATGGTTTCCACCTGGTGAGTTGGTTTTTCTGCTATGGTCATTTGAAGATTGAGTTTTTTTTTTTGTCCACAATTTATCCGGTTCTGATAAGGCCTTTCGGATTATTTGTTTATTGTAGCATGAGTACGGTGACACAACTAATGGCTGCATTTCAACAGGTTGGATCTTGAAGTCTTGTTTCCTAAATTGTTTTGTGTTGACAAAATTGATACGCTCTAGATTTCCTAATTTGCAAAGTTCTGATCTTTCTTCTTTGTACCCCAATCTCTCATAAACGAATAACAGGACCGCATTTCAATCCCAACGGCTTGACTCATGGTGCTCCTGAAGATGAAGTCCGACATGCGGGCGACCTGGGAAACATAATTGCTAATGCTGATGGTATATTGCCACTCTTTAGTTCATGTGTTGTTGTTTGTGTTTTGTCTAAGCACCTCTATTTTTGGGCATAATCATCTGTTTTGGTGTCACAGGTGTAGCAGAAGCAACAATTGTGGACGCACAGGTTAGCTTTGGAACTGATTCCATACCTTGGTTGGGAGGCCAAATGCTAAGCTTTCTTCTTTTGTTTAAGATTCTATCAGGCTTCTCATTATGATGATGGTTTGTTTTCCGTTCAAATTTTCCCTGTGATATGTTTTAAAGTCATCTTAAAATGTTAACAGATCCCTCTGAGTGGCCCTAATGCAGTAGTTGGAAGGGCTTTTGTGGTCCATGAGCTGGAGGATGATCTAGGAAAGGGTAAGATCAATCATCTCCTTTTTGCTCTCAACTGTAGTAGACATACCTCTGTTTTTTCTGCTATGTTTCTCTTGAGAAATGATCATCTATGTTTTACAGCTGAATGTTCCATTTGGTTAACATTATGTTGTGTGTATAGGACTGAGAGAGACTGCAACCTTGGTATTTTATGATACCATTGTTTGCGAAATACATAGTGTGTGATCCCTTCATATTCATGAATCTTCGTGTTAAGATTGTTTGACATTTGAAAACTAGTAAACTTCCTCACACTTTCTTGACTGTTTTCCATCTTGGATTTCAGGTGGGCATGAGCTTAGTCTGAGCACAGGAAATGCAGGAGGTCGACTGGCATGCGGTATGTATCACTGTCCAATTATGTTCTCAATTCTGTTCTTACTAGCTAGGGACCTTGCTTGATTGACTGTTCCTTGACTAATTCTCCTGAGCACATAGCTCACTTGTTGGTTGACTGCCCAACCATGTGAATGGTGTGTGATGAATTACTTTACTGTTTGCATGGCAGTTGCCGCGGTTCCCAAAAAACGAACATCTCTGTCCAAAAAGCGAATTCGTAAAAATATATGGAAAAGGAAGGGATATTGGGCTGCATTGAAAGCTTATTCACTTGCCAAATCTCTATATACCGGTAGATCGAAAAGTTTTTGGTGCGACTATACTAAAAAGGAGTAGATCCATTAGCTTGACATTTGAAGTTTGGTAAGCAAGCCTTAAAGATTGTAGCACTCCTTTCGTACGGTCGTTTCGAGATCAAAGGCAAATGTTTTCAGAAGCCCCAACTCAGTTTTGATGGATAAGTGAATCTTGGTCTGAGATATCCTGTTTTCAATCCAGATACGAAGACCACAAACTCTATTGTCATTCACTTCTTAATTTCCTTAGCAGCAGCACTCTTATGTCAAAACTCAAAATGGAGTCCCTCGTGTGCCTTACTGGCCGACTCCATTGGAAACTCATCGTGTATTATAGTAACCCTTGATTGAAGTTGCTTTATCATCACATTCTGTACCCTTCCTTGCTGTGCAGGTGTTGTTGGCTTGACGCCTATATAATGCAAGCCGTAGTAGAACGAATCGAACTCTGGTGTGTCTGTGGACTGTGGCCTTTGCTTATATTCCTTAGCTTCTTCTCATTCTAGAGGAGTAGAGGCTAAAGTTGATTATGGCTCCAGTTTGGATATGTACCCATATGCATGCAATTGAGTGAAACAGAAGCAATAAAATCTGCGAATTCAGCAGCAGCAGATACTTTGAGATGTTTGTTGTTGGGTTCGGCAGCCGCTTTCTGTAATTGGAGTATGTATGAACTAAGAAGAAAAGAGGCCAAGAGGCATTGGGCCGGTTTGTTCCATGAGTGTCTAATGGTCTTAATTGTAATTGAATTGGGCCGCATGTTGACAAATATGTTTTCATATCTCAGCCCATCTGTGGCCCAATGTATGCTCAAACGTCCAAGGCACCCAACAGAAAAACTAAAAAGTGTAGAGCCTGTAGGCCGATTTGTGGAAGGATTCACGCACGGTAAAATGTTGGACCCAACAGTAATTTTGTGTTGGAATTTCTTAATCTCAATATATATAACTTGATTTTGTATTCTACGAATTAAGAACTGTAAATCGTTCTAGCCAATAGTAATTCTCCGTTAAAACATTCTAATACCAATTACGTGATAACCGTAACCTGATTCTCTACTCTACGGATATACTGTAGAAGGTGGGTAGCCTATTTGGCATTTTAAGTCAGCAGTGTGATTAGAATGTTCTTTCGAAACTTACAAAAAACGAGAAAAGCAAATGTTGTGCATAAAGTAGAGAGTAGTATAGTATACATAACATAGTATATAGCTAGGTCACATGAATTGGCGTTTAGTTAGGTCTCGTCACACATTCCATGTTTGGTTTCAACAATTTCCGGACGAAACCTAACCTACCAATTCATTCATGTTCCCTTCTTTTCACTCCCATCCTCACCCGATTTCTTTACTTGTGATGTTTATTTGGTGCTGTAAACGTGGAGGTGTTTTAGGCACACACAAGGTAACCATTCCAATATATAATTTCATGATAAAAAGGTTATAAAAAAAAATATAGAGAGAAAGATGGTAAAGTTATGGTAAATATGGGTAGTCGATGTCAAGTGGATGGTACCAAATCAGAAGCTATACTAATTCTAGCACATTTCAAGAAAAATGAAAACCTATATATACTGTTTACTCGTCTCATTATCTCCTCAATTTATCACGTCTTACTTTGCACTTCCTCTCGTTCCTTGATATTTATGATCGACATGTATTTCTCTTAAATCTTAAGTAATTATATATGTTTCTGACCAGAGTTAAGACTCGGTTTAAGTTTAACCACGATTACATTGCTTCTGCCAAAATTTCCCCATCTTTTCTCCCTAACTTGAAGAGTAGTTCAGTTTCACTAGATTGGTGTGCCTTGCAAGTGTCCCGTGCCCTTTCCTTGCCGCCACCAAATCTTCACTTTGCCGACCATTATCGTGCTAGTCTTGCAATGGAAGTGAATATTGATTGGAATAAAGCAAAGGGTTTTAGTCAAAATGAGGGCAAACCACCCATATGGATCGGCAGCATAATTATAATACTAAGACCTAACCTCTAATTCCCCCCTCTTTCTTGCTAAGTAATTTTCATATATGATCATTGGTGATTCATTGCCTGACATTGATCAATTTCCCTTTTACCTTTCCTAATCCAAAGTCTGACGATAATTACGAGAAGTCAATCAATGTGATCAGACCAACATCGTACATATAAAGAAATTGTAAAGAAAAAAAAATTGAAATATCATATCACACGGATCACAATCCGAAAGAAATCGCGATTAGTATGTACACAAAATGATTTGTTGGGTGGAAGCCAACAAACCCAATCTTTCAATTTAAGACTCCAGTACTAGTACTCCTCCAACTAACCAATCTAATTAGGTAGACAAAACCATCTGTTCCTACTCTTTCTTCTCACAATCGTTAACAACAATACTCCAATTCTCCTTCCTTACTTACTTACTCTTTTGTGTACTGACAATATACAAATAAATACATCTTTGGGTTAGTTGAATGCCTATTCATTTTTTTTAAAATACCCAAAATCCCAGTTGACCAGATTCATTAGCTCGTCTGCCGGCCGGTGGCGATCTTCCCACCGCGTCGTGGATTTCACGAGGCAAAAGTGTGAAAGGCAGGGAGTGGAGCAAGTGGCACCAACTGACCAAAACAAAGGAACAAAACAGAAAAGAAGAAGAAGAAGAACGTGTTGGGTTGTTTTTGTATAGTTTTAAAGCGTTATTTAGGGCTTTGGGAGTTGTGGGCATGGTGGAAGTCATTTGTCGAACACGCACACTCAAAGGTCGACGGCACCACAATTGGCAAACAGCCACTAGATAGAGTGGATTGTTTTGGTGTGAAGGAAAAAAACGAATGGAAAGAAAGAGTCTTTTGCAAACTAATTAAACTCGCTTTGATGAAGAATTCCATTACTACGTACGTGTCATCATGTTAATTCCTTTTTTCAAGACGGATCTGATATATTTGCACTGTCAAGAGCATAATCGAGTAAATCGTATTGTTCGTAGTTTTGTACGTACTCTCTCTTCTTTAGCGCGGATAATAGGAAATAGAACTGCGATAGACTGATTGTAATAACTAGCAAATTTATGGTGCTAGCTAGCTAGTTGTTAAGTACATTATAATATTTTTGACACTGCTAAGTATGAAAATGGTCGCTATGTTTAAAAGTATAGTTGTCTTTTCCATTACACTTATTCATAAGTATACATTGTCGTCCATTTGCTCATGATATTACTTTATTTATGAAATAATTCTGAATTCTATTCGATCTGACTCTGTAACAATTTTGGGAGTTGAAAATGTAATTGAGCTAAGTCAAATTTTGCGTTGTGAATTATGTACTGAGGTAGTATACGAGTCATTTTAATTCTTACATTTGCATATAGGATTTCACATATTTACATTGGATATATGAAAGAAAACCCAAATATGAAATACAGTCCTGACTGCCTTGTTGCCTCAGCAGCTAGTAAGTCAACTGTTTTTTCTTTTATTCCAAGTCTAACCTAATCAACTATATATATGAGTAATATGACCTAATTCATATAATCAATTATCCTATATATATATATATAGCTACTGATTACTGAGGGAGAAAAAGTGAAGTTCTGGTTGGCTTCCCCTCACCAGTCTCCACTCCATTCCTAACTTCCAAACCCAAGTTGCCCACTTTACATTATTACTAATTAACCCATTTGATCATTCTAGATAATTATTAGGCCAAAAGCAAAAAAAGAAAAATAAAAGAAAAAAGAATTCCTCAATCTAAGGCCAAAGACAGTTAGTTCACTGACAACCAAGAAAACTGAAGAAGTAGGAGAGGGGAAGTGGCCTTGCTTTTGCTTGCTCACTGACAACCAAGAACCTTATATTCTTTTTCATATTTATTATTTTGTTGTTCTTATTATTTGAATGAAAAGGCCAAAAAGGAGTTATTGGTTTCATTGTTAGTTAGTTAGAAAGAGATAGGGCAAAGGGGAAGAGGGTTGGCTTAGTTGTAACTAACATGCTCTTTCATGACTTTTGTGGCTCACAAATTTATATAAAGTCGTTTTCTTTTGTTTTTCCTATGTATATTTGTTAAATAATTATTATTATTATTATTATTGTTAGGGTTTTTGGGTGTGGAAGTAAATGGGTTTGGCTGTGTGTGTGTGTGAATTGTGATTTTTGCATGTGACGTGTGGAAGTGGAGAGGAGTGGAGTGTGTATTAAGTTCACTACTGAGCCAGAGAGTGTGATGAGAAGATGGAAGTGTAGTGGGCAACAAACTAGAAAGAAGCAAACAAAATATATATGGTGGTGGGTTCATTAATATTCATTATTGTTTATTGTTATTACTCAGATCTCAGATAATGATGGCACCATATTGGGGAAATAAATGAACAAGAAGAATAAAAAAGAGGTGGGGAAATATAGAATAAATCGGTTCAGATTAGAGGTGGCAAATGGATTGGATTGGTGGATTAAATGAATTGGTGGATTCATGAATTGGATCAAGTGGATTGGTGAATTATCCATGAATCCAAATGACATCCTCAACCAAAGACCAATATGTAAAATGTGAAAGTTTAGGTACTAAAATGTCATAATGAAAAAAATTTAGGTGCCAAAACGTAATTTTCCAACGATATTTTTCGTGTAAAAAATTAAATTTTAGGTACCAAAATGTAAAAAATAGAAATTATAGGTACTAAATTGTAATTTGCCAATAATTCATGGATTCAATCCATGAATCCACCAATCCAATTGGATTTGGATCAAATGGATTGGATTAGGTGGATATTTTTAATGGATTGATGGATTGAATTGGTGAATTGAATTCAAATTGTCACCTCTAGTTTAGATAATCACTTGGTCTACATCATACACAGAACCCTCAATTCCCCCATGAAAAGCCACTCCAAGCACTTTTATTCATGTTGTTGTGGTTGCAGATATATGCATTGATTGGGTTTATTTACGTTCATTGTGTTCACCTGTTGGGTTGAAATTTACACATGTGTCCACCAAGTCTTATATGCTTTAATCAAACTGTTGATATTGTTAGCAGTAATTACAATAAGATAACTATAACTAATTAGCCCTAACAAGTACTTCAACTATTGAGAGAGGAGTGTTCAGAAATGAATCTTATTAGTAGTGGTAGATGCTTTACGTTGTTGTAAACTTCAAATCAACAGGTGTCACAAGTGTGTATTGTTATGAGTTCATGTAGAGAAGAAGAAGAAGAAAAGCAAAAACAGTAGGGATCTGAACCCTTGCGTGCCGCTCATAAACTGTGTGCTTTGCTTCAGGTTTTTATTGCTTACCCAATTCTCTATCTATTCTCAAATTCAATTTCTACGCCAAGAATCACACCCACCTCTCCCTATCCCTATTCCTATCCCTATCCATCTTCTTCACTATATTTTTGGCATTATACAATACAACCGCATGTTACATACACTCGGCTTACATCATTGTTCATGCTTTGCTGCAGTTAAGTGTGGATACATGTAGGCCTAGCCTAGCCTAGCTGCATCAACATCACACCCATCACCCGTGTCCTCGTCTCGGCCCGACCGACTGTATCGTTTTACCAATTCGTCTTGATAATACGAGCGAAGGTTAGGTAGATCAAATTGGGGAAGTAGATGAAGGATTCGTCTGTTTAGTTTCTTTTCTGAATAGATTTAAAGACGAATTCTATATTAATTGGTCTGAATAACTCGAAATGTTAACAAAACTTCTGGGAGTGGAAGTTGTGTGGTATTTTCCCCTTCTCAACTAACTAACATAGTGAGAGAACATGGGGGAGTTTGGTTAGCTAAAGCTTAGGAATGGGATTAGGCAGCTGGACAGGCAGTGGCATGCAGGCAGTAGACAAACTCTTTAATTTTAAGTATTTGGTATAGCTAGTGGCTGTCCATCCACACATTTATATGGACAATAATAATTATTAATTTCCAATATGCATATATCAGTACTATTAATTGTCCACTCCACTGCCAGTTTCAGGTACAATTTTAAAATGCATAATAATAACAAAAACAATAATAATAGTGGAACTCTCAGCAGGCCAGTTATTCATGTCCTCCCTCTCCATGTATCCTCTGTCCCTGATCCTAACAAAATGAATATTTTTCAATACATTAATGGATATACCAAGGAATCAATAATTAGATTAGAGGACAAATTGAGGGTGAAAAATAGTATCAATGACTGAGATAGTAAGCTAGAATCTAATTTACAAATTTCAACTATCAACAAAAATTTGTCGGCAAACAGTGATTTTGTTGGCAGTAAATAGCTGTTTATTTTGTGTTCTAATCTCCATGCATGTCCGACAAAATTAATCATTAATTTCAACACAAAAAATGACGTGTCTATGCGAACGTCAAACTCGTAGGTTAACTTTTATTTTATGAAAAATATAAGGAAATTATATAACATTCATTATGCGGCATCTCTTAGTAGCAAATGGACATCCCAACGAGTGAAGCAAATATGCTTAATTACCACTTAGAGAGGTTGGATGCATTTTGTAATTAGAGGAGCAAAGAAGAACATGGAGACCGATTATCACTACAGAAGGAATCTATATCTATAGTTTCAAAAAACATCTCTCAATTATTTAAAAAAAAAAAACCCACTAGATTCGAATCATTATAATTCAATGGTTTTGGTTCATGATCAATCCACACTCTGCAGACAATCATGGAGGAGATCGAGCTGGTTTAATCTTCAATCCTAACCCTCTAATCAAATTAATTATAGATACAGATTTAGTTGACAATTCCAAGATTAATGATCTTTAAGTCTAGGCCCCCCTGCTTTTTTTTCTTATCGAAACCAGGCTGTTTATGTTCAATAATGTACCAATCCTTCACTTCATTGCTCGCTACAACGTAACAACTCCACCTCCATAATTGGATCGGCTAAAGCTAGCCACGACTTTTTTTTTTCAAGCTGTGTCTATTTCTGTAGCACAGTTAAGAGGCAATAATAGTTAGTACTTTGTGGTCACGAACTCGATTAAATTTGGCATCATTTGGTTCATTGTTCTTGTCTATATACAGTTCCTTACTTGTACACAAAAACAGTGCACAATAAAAAGAAGTTCTTGAGGTTATTAGGGTTCCTTTTTAATTATTTTAACTGCTGGTCCAGAAGTAAGAGAGACAATTCAATGAACCTAGAGTGCTACAATTAAAAACTACACAATTAAAGAAGTGTCTACGAGCAGAGGGAGATATCTGCAAGTGGCATGCATACTACATCTGTTTTTTAGGAGACAAAAGAGTGAGAGACTGAGAGTTAGTTAATTGATATGAGTTATTTTAGGTATTGGAAGATTCGACGTTCTTCGCTTGTTATTTATTCGTGATCTGAGATATTATTTTGGTTTGGTTGTTTTGTAACTATCCAAACATGATTTGGATTAAATTGAATCGAATCAACACGAAAACGAAAAATTTTAGACCAATTCAAGATTGGAGTGAATCAAATTAGTTAATGAGTTATTAATGTTTTAGTTTGTTTCCCATCCGGATTTATATACTGGCTCGATATGATTCTCTAGACTCCTGGCTAGAGATTATTCTTTTAATGAGACGGCAATTATAGATAGATTGATCAAAAGAGAATAAATTAAGTTGGTATTGATGCCAAATTTTGACCATGTCTCCATATTCCTACAAACTAATGGATTATAGAACTTGAGCTTAGCTTAGCTAGGTGAGACAAATACAGAATTGGCAGTAAAAAAGATTATCCCCTCCATCTCTTCTCTTTCAATTATCAGCTAACTCTAGTAACTATACGAGGGCAAAGGCAGCTGGAATTCTATAATATAATATCCCATTTCAACCACACATCCTAATTAAGCACCTAAACATAAAAATTGATAAATGCCAATGCATTTTTTTTTTACCATTATAAAAAAAATCAAATTGTGAAAATCAGATAACATGACCTCAATCCCATATATATATATTTTACTTCAAAGGCACACAATTAAGTTGTGTAATGAGGGCTTACTCCTATTGATTTCCTCCTGAAAATATTGATTAGAGATAGTTTGAGTCCAAAGAACAAAAGGATAGTTAGTCTTGGAATGAAGCCAAGCAACTTTCCTTGAAGTGAACCAAAAGAAACCACTAGAGTTGCGTTGGAATGAAAACGCCTTACACAACCCCAACCAGCTTCTTCTTCCTTCTTTTCTGGTTGCTTTTCCTTTATAAAATAATTGTTTTCTTTATATTAAATCGTTTTTTCCCCCTTCATTTGGTTCCTTTTTCATTAACTGAAGGGCAGGTTTGAGATGGGTATAGCTAAGTAAGCTTGAAATATGTCTTTTTCTCTACTTTGCTGGCGGCTTCACTCCACTCACTACTCCCTCCCACACTCCTCCATGCATATGCCCACCAGCAAGCTTCACATGACTAAGCTAAAAAAAAATTGGTAAATATAATTTATCATCCCGACGTCACTCGTAATAATAAAAAAAAAACTTTCGTGTTAAAATACTGATAAAAATAAAATCGTGACAAGACCCAACTTTATTACACAATGTTACACGGTACACATGTTTTTAAGTTAGCTAGCTAGTTAACAACACTGCGCGTCTTAGGCCTTGGAGAGTGATATTATTAAAGCAAAAAACGGTGGGCAGTTGGCATGCTTGCTTTGCATCGTGCTCAAACAGCAAACTCTACCACGTTCTTTCTTCTTCTCTTCTGTGTCCTCTCCTCCCTCTACTACCTTGCTTGCTGCTTTAAGCTTTATATTATATAAAAAATAAACAATTGGTTTGGTTTAGTAATTAGCTTTAATAATTAAATCATAATTAACGATCGAGTGTTTGGCATGACTAAATGGTTACCGATAGAGAGAGAGAGAGATCACGTATATAGTATACTTACTGTACTGATGTAGCTTGCTTAGCTACTAGCTAAAGACGGTTTTGTGCGCTTAAAGAAAAAAGAGTTGTTTATGCAATAAACTGATGGCTAGCTTTCGATTAACGCTACTGATGATGATCATTATACTAAGTAACAACACCAAACCTTTCTTTGAACTGTCCCCAAAGTAAAAACGCCCACATCAGTTTTTTCACCCACATCCACATACTACCTAGAGAGAGAGAGAGAAACATGATCACCACCTCACTCACTCTCTCACTCCTAACCTACTTTCTCACCACTAGTTTTAATTTTTTCCCTCCCCCACCTAATTTATCTTTCTATCTCTCACCTATCGGATTTTTTTTTAATTACTACTATTAATCTCCCCATAATCCCACTTACCGCTCTCTCCTAATTACTTGATTAATGTAACTCAAACCCTTTATTTAATTCGTTGTTAAATCGTCATACATTAGCTTTACACTCTGTTTGGGAAGAGGGGTAAATGGGAGGAGGGTGCAAATGTGAGGGGTAAATACAGTTTCCAACACATTTGCACTTGTTTGGTTAATTTGGAACAGTAGGGGGGTGCAAAACGGGAGTGCAAATTTACTGTTTCGGCTTACCCCCCAAATTGGGGTGCAAGGGAAGGAAGGAAGAGAGGGGGAGGGGGAATTATGGAATTTTGTTTTTCTAATTGTGTTATATATAATTATATAATAATTAATATTATCAATTTCTTCTTTTTATAAATATCATTAATGTAAACATTATTCGGGGTTGACCATTTGACTCGGGAAACAAGTTTATCAATGTTCGTCAAGTCAAACCTAGATCTCTTGGTTGAATCGAATTTGCATTGAAAATTAGAGATACGAGGTGTTTGTGAAAAAGATAGAGAGAAATTGTTTGGTTAACTCAGTTTATTTGAATAAATAGTTAAAACTTACAAATTCGAACGTGTTTGACTAAGTTTGACAATTTAAAATTAAACTAGACACGAAAACCCTATATAGGATTACCAGTTACAAGTTGAGCTTCGAGTTTTGAGATCGCTCGATCAATGATTATACAATTGTCATAATTAATTATTATTTGAGCATTATTATATAATAACTATTTTTAGTAAAGTATATTTATTATTATATAATAATATTTATTTTATTATTTTGTGATAATATTTTAAAATTTTAAAATCTATTTTGTAATCTAAAATTTATTTTTAAAATCTATTTTAAAATAATATAATTACTTACTTTTCACTCTATTTGCACCCCTCTACTTTTTCATCCAAACAACAATTTACCCCTCCACTTACACCCCCAGCAATTTGCACCCCCAACAATTTACCTCTCAACTTGCACCCTCCTGCAATTTGCACCCCCTCTTGTTGCCAAACAGAGCGTTAGTAAAAAAAGGGAGTGAGGTGGGGGGAAGTATGTGTAAAAGAAGCGTACGAAACCGATGGAGCGAAAGCATATCCCACGGGATGACGTGGAAAGAAAGAAACACTTGGAAGGATGAAAACGCAAGCAAGGTCCTGCGTTTTGGAGTGTGTGGAGGGCAAGAGTCGCTCGTCTCGTCTCGTCTCACTCTACGTGGGGTTTCGTTTGGTGTTACCAAATTGCCCCATTTATTCCTTTTCCAACTATATACTCTTATTATTTCTCAATAATTAATATTCTCCATAATAATAATAATAATAATCGCATCACTAAGTAACAATCGCTGGAGGGCGGCGTTTTGACTCGGCACCCAAAAGAAAAAGAAAAAAAACCTTTTCGGCAAAGCGTACGATTAATTCGTGAATTTTTCCCCACCCCCTACTATATATATTAACCTAAAACCCAGCGGCTTTACATCAGCAGCAACAGCAGCCAGTTTCCACTCCCATTAAAAAAAAAATACAGAGAGAGAAAGAAAGAAAGAGTCCGAGCTATGGAGATGGAAGCAAGAGTAGTAACTGGAGAAGACGACGCTCAGTTCGCAGCTTCTACCAGCGGCCCGCAGATGATGTTGATCAGAGGCAAGCGGGCCAAACGGCACCGTTCCGCCTCTCCTCCTCCTCCTCCGTTGAAATCCTCCACCTCGTCATCCGCCGCCGCCGCCACGTCGTCCGGAGAGAGTCAGAGATCGGCGACTTCTTCCGGTTACGAGAGCAGTACCGAGGAGGAAGAGGACATGGCGAATTGCCTGATTCTCCTCGCTCAGGGCCGGCGCCGACACGTGCCGGAGCGGAAGAGAACCGCCGGGGAGATTATGGGTTCGAGGAAATTCTCCGACATCGCGACCACGACGAACAGGGCCGGGTTTTTTGTCTACGAGTGCAAGACTTGTAACCGCACCTTCCCTTCTTTCCAAGCGCTGGGCGGCCACCGGGCCAGCCACAAAAAGCCCAGGCCCACTCCCGGCCCGCCTGGGATCGAGGACAAGAAGGTAATTTCCGCCGGTCCAATTCCAGCCTGTCAGGTTGAGATGAGCAACAGCGCCGCCGTGGTGGCGGCGGTTGCCGCGGAGGAGAATCATCCTCGTCAAAATTCGCCGACGCAGTCGGCCACCAATAGCGGCAAGGCGGCGACGCCGGCGGGAAATAAGGCGGCGAAAGTCCACGAGTGCGCGATTTGCGGGGCGGAGTTCACGTCCGGGCAGGCGCTCGGCGGGCACATGAGGAGGCACAGGGCGACCAACGCCGGGAACCAGACGGCGACGGCGGCGGGGGTGGTGACGGCGACGGCGGCGGGTATTGTGGACACGAGCGCCGCGGTTAATTATGAGGATCTGAATAACCAGCAGAAGAATCATGTGCTGTCTCTGGATCTCAATTTGCCGGCGCCGGAGGATCTCGACGCCCACCAGCATCACCGTGCGGAGCAGTCTCCGTCGAAGTTCCAGTTCGCGTCGAAGCAATCGACGAAGGCGATGATGTTCTCGGCTCCGGCGTTGGTTGGGTGCCACTACTGATCGGAAACAGAAGAGAGAAGCCAGAAGGAAGAAGAAGAGGGGAAAAAAACTGGAAATGGAATTAATGTGAATTATTATTATTTTTGCTTAGTTACCATTATTGATTCCCGATTTTTATCCAGAGCTCAATATACAGCCTATACTTAGAATTCTTTCCAATTAAATTTTTTTTTTTACAATTCATCAATTCGGTCCAATTCCTTCCTAATTATTATGTATTTAAAGCGTATGGAAAAACGTTAAAAAAACTAGATATTGAAAGAATCTTCATGCACCTATGCCACCGAAATAAAATAACCTATTCATCAGTTCTATCTCATCTTTGATCATAAGCATACGTATTTTGTATGCACCAATAAAATTCCTGTCTCGAGTTTTAACGACATTTATATGGGTCTTTGGTGTATATATGACCGCTCGAATCGACGGAATTTATCAAGCGACACCCATCTTCAGATTTTGTGACTTTTCGTTGTTAGAGTCGAGTAACGGTCGATTAAGTACCAAATATCACAAATGTCATGTGGACAAATTTGTATGGTGGATGTGGGTTTTTACTGTTTTACCAAAGTTGAGAGCTTTCAGTGAACATTAACCTAAAAGGAACGCCCAAAAGCAGGAAGCTTGTGACCAGAATCCAGAGTGCCAGACCCACTATTCTCCCTCTCTTTTGTGCCCATCTCTGGATGATACTGAGGTGTGGATGGAGGGAAAAGTTCATGCAGTGGCACCACTTTTCAGCATAATTATATGTTAAAACCATTATTGATGTGGCATGGGGGAGATGCTAAATATGTGGCTCTGAATGGTACTTTTGATGAGTTTTATTGCCTTCCTACTCGGCTACTGTCCCATTCGTTTTAGCTACTTGTACACTTGGAGTGTGAAAATAGTTATGTGGGAATGAATGGATGGATAGTAAGAGTATTATTATGTATTTAAGTAAGCAGTATTGGTAAGAGGGAAAGAAAAAGGTGAGGATGTGATGCTATGATGTATCACAGTCGGCCTGAGTAGATATAATCCAGATTTGTTCTTTGTGAGATACCCTTTTTGGCATCTTTTCTTTTTTTTTATCTTTCAAACATATCTATTAAATATTTCTCACTGTAACTTACAACATCAAAGGTTGCTGTGGTGTAGTGGTTATCACGTTTGCTTTACACGCAAAAGGTCTCCGGTTCGATCCCGGGCAGCAACATTCTTCTTTTTTACATTGTTTTTCTTCTCACCCATGCTTGGTCACTCTCTATAATAAGTTCACTTATGGATGAAAAATAAGTTATAAAATTTGTAGATTACTACAACAACGAAAGTTGCTGTGGTGTAGTGGTTATCACGTTTGCTTTACACGCAAAAGGTCTCCGGTTCGATCCCGGGCAGCAACATCATTTTTTCACATTCTTTTTCTTCTCACCCATGCCTGATTGCATGGTCACTCTCTATGATAAGTTTTTTTTTTTTGTGGCAAAACTCTCTATAATAAGTTCATTTATGGACGAAGGGATCAACCTGTCATATAATCTGTTCCATTGATTCATTTAAGTAAAACATGAAGTCATCTCCAAAAAGATTATGCAGTACATGCTTCTCAATTCTCATCCATGCCTGGAAACTCTCTATAAGACTGAATTACACAACAAACTACATATGGATGAAGGGATCAACCATCAAACATTATGTTCAGTACATCTGTACGGTTGACAAACTAATTATGATTTGTTGCCTCCAACTAAACCATTCACAACTCCGTGTGCGCGGTCCCTGCAACAATGGGAAATAATTCAGTTCCAGCAGCAAAGAGTGAAGACTTTAAATTTCTGGAATTTCTTCCATTGATTGAAGAAAAATATCATCGGCATCCATTTCGAACGATGTAAATGGTTGGTGATCACATACCAGAAATGTGAAAGTTGTCCAGAATGAACTATTTGTTTCAGGTGTCCCTGGGGGTTATTGGAAGGTACAAATGACCTCAGTTGGCAAAGACATTCAACCTTACACGAGCAGTGACTTCAGGATGAAGCTTGAGTTCAGCAACATACTCTCCCGTTTCACGAATTTCTGGAAGCGAGACAATACGCTTGTCTATATCCCTATGTGAATCAAATAATAAGAATTAAGTGAAGTACCTTTGAAGAATATTGAGAAATGATGCTAGGAGATGTTTCTGTGGCTGGGCAGGAAATGCTAAAGAGGAGAACGTTCTTTGATGGAGAGATCTACTACAGCATGCTAAGTCTATATCATAGCTAGAGAAAGCTGATACCTCTGAAGCTGTGCCTTTATGATGTCGACGAGATCTTGAGCAGTCACACTGCCAAATATCAGTTTGCCCTTTCCACCTTTGCGCTTCACCTTGAAAGCTCCAACAGTTTCAAATATCCGAGCAAGCTGCTGAGCGTCTTCTTTTACCTGTCAAAAGCAAGTAGCCGACTATATCACAACAATTACATAAGGCGCACAACTATGCTTAGCATGTAAATCCAATCCTCACCCGTAGTTTCTCAGCTTCAATTCTTTCCTCCTCCATTTTCATTTCCCTGAAATTACGAATATAAGATGCATTTCAGTTCTCTTTGTGTATGGTTACAAATCAGGGTGGCCTGTAAATCAAACAATGCATACAAAAACTTATAAAGCATATGAGATATTCGTCCAATTCAGAACCTACTCGTTTACTCAAAGCTCAAAAGTAAATGAAGTATGGATTCTATGTGCAGGAAACATTGAGAAGAGTCGTCTTTTCATAGATACCTAGTATTGGTCAGCCCTATTCCACTAGATAACGCAAGATAACTTATAGCAAATTATGTTCTTTAAATTCAAATAGATTGTGAGTGATCGATCTGCATGGAGTCTACAATGCAATCAATTACCAGCTCCAAGTTCTTACCTACTTACAGAAGTACAATCACCTACTATGTATGTCCCTAAGAGTCTACATTTCCTTGAATCATTTCGATCTCCGGAAAACTCATTGCAAAGATTTGACCACATTTGCTGTACCATACTAATGCAGCAGAAGGATAATGCAAAGAAAATGCGCAAGGGAATTAGAATTTGCAGCTGTAGAGTTACTTGAGTAAAACAGGAGTGACAATCTGGGCCTTGCCCATGGGCAGGAGGAAGTTCCTGTAGAAGCCAGCCTTCACATCAATTAGCTGCCCCCTCTTCCCCACATACTCCACATCCTCTTTCAAGATTATCTAACACAATAGAAACCCACCAAAATGAAAAACATCACAGCAAGGCCAATTGAACAGTCTAGCTAGTCAAAACTAAGAAACAATTCACAGCAATGAGAATAACCCAATTCCGCATGTATGCAGGAAATGCGTTTACCTTCCTAGTCTTCTTGGCTTTCTTCTGGGCAATGACCGGCATAGCCAATTTTCTATCTGGCATCACGGAAGCTTCATTGGTTTGGCCGGTGAAGCTGTGAAGCAAAGAGGAAGAGCTCCAGGATAGAGCTGCTGCTGCGTATGAGGATGCCATTTTCAAAGGAGCACCGCGAAACGCTGCCTGATGTTCTGCTTACAAACTGGGACTTATCCGTTTCTCTCGAATTCCTCTCTGACTCTAGTATCCACTCCACCACCAGAACCAGATGAAGAAGAAGCAAACAGCATTTGCAACTTGCAAGCAGGCTTTTCATGTGAAAATTGGGCCTGAAAAAATTGTCAGCCCATAAAAAAGACGAAGCCCAAATAATGTAGGCATGACGAGATTGGGCATACCGTTTCAGAAGAATAGCCAGATTAGATCCCATCTCGCCTCCCACTTAATCCAACGATTCAGATCATCCACGTCATCAATCCTGCTCCACCACTCTCAACCAATAATATCTCTCCGCCAAATTCGAAATCGCAGTGAAATTAAACGCGCCCTAAATTCCCAAAATTTCGAAAAGCCCGCTTACCAACAAATAAATCCTGCCCGTCCATCCGTGAACCCCTCCATCCAACGGGCTGTGCTATCCACGTCATCAATCCGCACCGATTGGGAACCACCAATCAGATCACACCTTTAACCTACTATAAATTAGAAAACCAACCTTCACAATTCCCACCATCATCACAATCTCTCACAACTAACTTTCCCTCATCGTCTTCCCTCAGCAAAACAAGCTCAAAACTCCCTTTTCCACACCTTTCCAATGGCGCCCAAGCAAGCAGAGAAGAAGCCGGCCGAGAAGAAACCAGCGGAGGACAAGAAGGCCGAGAAGGCTCCCGCCGAGAAGAAGCCCAGAGCCGAGAAGAAGCTGCCCAAGGAAGGAGGCGCCGCCGCCGCAGACAAGAAGAAGAAGAGAAACAAGAAGAGCGTGGAGACGTACAAGATCTACATCTTCAAGGTGCTGAAGCAGGTCCACCCTGACATCGGGATCTCGAGCAAGGCCATGGGGATCATGAACAGCTTCATCAACGACATCTTCGAGAAGCTCGCTCAGGAGTCCTCCAGGCTCGCCAGGTACAACAAGAAGCCCACCATCACTTCCCGGGAGATTCAGACCGCCGTCCGCCTCGTCCTCCCCGGCGAGCTCGCCAAGCACGCCGTCTCCGAGGGTACCAAGGCGGTTACCAAGTTTACCAGCTCTTAGATCTTTGTGTTTCTTTTGATTGTAAAGATGTGCAATGTTTAGTGGCACTGTTTCTGAAATTAGGGTTTATTGATTTGCGTCTCTGGTGTTACATTTTGCGAAGATTTAATTCGACTGAATTGAAACTGAGGAAATGAAATTACAGAAGTTTCAGATTCGGGTATTCCCAATTGTATTGTGCTGTGAAAAGTTACAGACTTTTGTTACCGAATAGGCCTTTATCGAGAACCCAATCTTCAATCATAGCCTGTGAGTTAACAGTCTGATCAGCAGTTGCCATGTGCCCAGCTTCCATTAACACGACGCTGGTCAAGCTCTCATACTTCTGAACATACCCACTCAGATCGCTTCCTTTCCCTTTCACTCTCCATACCTTCTTCTCAGCCTTCATAAAATTCTCAATTCCATCCCAATTCATCGTCCTGATCCAAGCCTCATTGGACGCCACACCCAGCCTTATATCCAAATTCCCCGAAAACAGCAAAACCTTGATGACCTTCTTCACCAGCAACTCCTCCACCTTCGACTTCACACTCTGCATCACGTCGCCATTCAACATAGCCCTGACTTTCGTACTGCAAACGTTGAACTCTATCGATGCGTTGGCGCCGATCTTCCTCTTCGCATCTTTGGATCGAAACAATCGCGTCACCAGGTATTGCTCGTAAGGCCTCTTCCTGGTGAAATCGTAATCTGTGGCCAAACCTGTCATGTTCATCATCAAACTCACACCTCTATTTCCAGCATTTGTAGCCTGCGCCCATTTCTTCATGTCGATCAACTTCACCGCTTCCGATTGAACTTGCTCCAACTCGCTCCTCTGCCTCTCGTTTATCAAACCTACATTATAGGCCGTCGAAGCAGGAGTGGTAACTTGAGTCACAGGATCCGTCAATCCGTTCCCAATTGCAATCCCTTTCAAATTCACCCGTTTCGAAGCCGGCAGTTGCTCGTTCTGCTTCACGATATAGTACCTAATTCAGAGTTGAAGGTTGAAGGATTCAATTCATATTGTTGGTCACAATGTCAAAATTAACAATGAAATGCCAATAATAAGAAGAAAATCGCCAATACCCAATTGAAGGAATGAACTTCCCGGCGTAGCTCTCTCCGGTGATGTAAATCTGACGGCTCCTGAGCGCCGGGTACAATTCGAGAAACCCGGTTATGGCTGCGTAAAGGTGCTTGGCGACGGCGTCCTGGTCTCTGGGAATCTCTGCCGGGTCGGAAGCAAAGCTGAACCCGGACCCAATCGGGTTATCCAGGAACAGCAAGTCAAATATCCGGTTCCAGGTACCCGGATTGGGTTTCAGAAAGACGTCGTTTCGATTCCCATCGTGACATTGGGAAACTCGGTATGGGCCGATCTCGAAGAAGTTGCCCAGCATGGAGGAGCAGGCTGGGCCGCCCTGGAGCCAGATTAAGATTGGGGTCTGTGACGATGGGCCCGGAAGTGGGTGCTGGGCTCTGTAGTATGCGTAGAACATGGCGGAGTTAGAGCGGCCGGGATTGACCGGAATGTAGCCGGAATTTGTGGGGAGGGCTTGGTCGGGGAAGTTCAGGCGGCATTCCGACGGAGGTGTGGCTGTGGAGGAGTGGGTTATGAGAGATGATGTGAAGATTAGTAGTATTATGAAGTGGGAAAATGAGACTTGTAATGCTGCTGCCATTGCCATATCTAAATGTGTTCTTTTTTTAGGTGTAGTTTGATCAAATGCTTCGTGATATACATGTATATATACGTTAGAGTAGTGGGTAGAGAATAGTAGGAAACTGTTTTTTATTTTTTTTCCTTCCAAGTTGTAAGGGAGAAAAGAGATTTATTATAGTTCCTTGCTCTTAAACGAGCAGAGTTTTTTAAGTATAGGCATGGTGTGGTAACCTATTAAGTTGTGTGTCCGCACTCCGCATGCTAAATTGCTAATACTATTTGTGGTTGTGCACCTATCTTACTGGAAATTTCACAACCTCATGTTTACTATGAATTATGACGATTTTTCATATCCTGAGACTTTTTAAAAATACATTCATCGTTTATGTTGCAAATCAAACCTTTTTCGATATACACAAGTACATAATCATTCATAAATTAGTCACTCAACTAAAGAGAATCGACCTACGTCTAAAATCAAATTAAAATAAAATAAATAATTTGCTACCAATCGGCTATGTTAGAAAAAAATAAAGTATGCCTAAGTAATATCATTAGCATCTTTTCTCTAGTTCTATCAAATTAACCAAAATCAAACCACAATCTCCCATAGATATAGGCAATTCATCTATTAACTACAAATCAACAAGTCAAATTGGGTTGTGGGTTACTTAAAACAAGCATGCTTATTTGATTTTACATATTATTGTTAATTACTAATTATGACGAATAACTTTATAACATTAAAACTATTTTCGTATAATGAAAGTGTGTCGCTTATAATTATTAGAGCTGTGTCGGAAGTTCCAAATTAAAAGTCACTTTTCATTGTTGCTTTTAGATTTGTGTCAACTTTTTCTTTCCATTTATGTCCCTAATAGTTTTTGTCTTATACTAAAAGTTGAGGGTAAATATTACATTTTCCCATAAAAATAACTTTATGTAGATCAATGCATAAAGTAGAATATCAACAACCAAACAATGTATTGTTAAAATGCATCCATTGTATCAATACATGCATTTATATTATGGTGATTCATTATAATGCAACGATTTATCATCCGCAACTTCCAAACGACCCCGTAGTCTGAAGCAAACTGGTCGACCGTAAAGGTAATGAGGTCGACCACTTGATTGTGGTCATTACCAAAATGGTCAACCATTTACAGAAAGAGGTCGACCAGACATAAGAGTAAATGTTGTATCCATTTATCCATCCTTTTTTTACATGAAATGAAGATCAAGTGTTGGTCTCGAGGTCGATCGAATACAGTAAGAGGCCGATCGAATTAAGGAAATTTAGCCTATGACCTTCGACTTTTTTTTGCATACGTATGTCGATGTGGGTGGTTCGTTTTATCGTTCAAATTACGTTTGATAGTCATTGGAATCAGTCTTATATTATGATAGCAAGGACCCATAACTTTTTAACATAATAACGTAACACACTAACAAGAAATATAATAAAACACACTTCATAATTGTTCACAGAAAACACACTTCATGAAATCGAAAACCACAGAACAACAAAAAACATAAGCTAGACTCATGAAGTTCCTACACCTCTTCACTATCTCAAACAACAAATTAAGTCGACCTAATTCTATATTAGATGGACCGAAAAGTGTATGTTACGGTGACATGCATGTCACCATGACAAAATCCTTCTATTTATGATTATCAATTTCCAGCATTTTCTTTTAATTAGCAATCAAACAGTTTTATGTTTTTCTGTTTTCACGTTATTGTAGAGTAAGTGGTATTCCACACCCAAATTTCCACAATTTTCATTCATCCTCCTATCGTGGTTGGTCAAGCCAAAAATTTGGCCCTTTTGACACTTTTAATGGAGATGGTCCAAGGAAGTGGTGTGCCTTGCGTTATGTTTTTATTTTTGTTATTGGAGGTATACTTTTTTTATATATAAAAATTGGTTTCTCTTGTGTTGGATTTTATATTTTTGTCATATGAGAATATAAAATTTTCTATGGGCTTTAATATTTTCATGTGTGTATCATATTAAGAAATATAAAATTGGACTACTTTTCTCATGGGATATAATATACCGATTATCCATGTATGTAAGGTTTCGTATGGACCAATTGAAAAAAGAAAACCCCCCGCAGAGGCAATTCCTGTGCACCAAGAGACGTTTTACTGTACATGCAGACTCATAACAACTGTTTCGACTCGGATTGGGCTACGGTGTTGGTGGGTTTATGGTGAGGCCTCATTGGAAATCGAATGGAGTTGGATAGCTTGGTTGTGATGGAACTGGTGGTCTTATGGTTTCGTGAATTAGTTGCTTGGGTATCCTCTATCACGTTGGCCACAAGTGGGCTCAGTGTTCCCGATGTTAGCTTTGGCCCCTTCGATTTCCGGGCGGTTGTGTCAGAGGGCCTGGGTGGGCAGGGGGCTTTTCAGTCTTCAGAGATGGAGAAACTGACCTGCTTATCAGAGGGTAGAGTTTTGGAGGTGTGAGGCGACTGGGGTCACTCATTGAAAGTTGAAACAGTTAGAGAGCCTTGGGAGCTGTCTCTGTTGAGTTTGCAGTTGAAAAGAGAGGTACTACTTTCTATTGGGTGGTAGATAGAGTTCCACGTTTATCTTTTCTTTCATCAGTCTTTTCCTTTACTTTATTGAGCCCTATTATCTCACTTGGTCATCACAGATCTCTCTCAACTCTTCTAAAATCCATTTTCTCTGTTTTCTGCTTTTCTCTCATCTCTTTTTGCTTCCTGGATTTGTGATTTCCTCCTTGGTTCTGTTGTTTCTCACCATTGGCATCTACATGGTCCCCGTGGTATTTGCGCAGGTGAATACCAAGTACGAACTGATGTTCAATGAGGCCGGCAAAGAGATGATATCGGCGAGATCCATTGATTTGCGCTTTGGTTTAAGGTGATTATTTTTATTCTCGCTCTCTTATTGAGTTTGTTTTATCATCTTTCCTGAATGGCTCCCTGCTCTCTCTTTTTTCTGCAGATCTGTTTCGTCTCTTTTCTGAGGAGGTTTTGGCGTTGAGATCATCAAGAGGGATTTCAGTGTGTTGAGTTGGTCGTTGAATCTAAGAAAAAAGTATCAGGTCCAGGAGATTAGCTCTGGCTGCAACATCAACAGTATTGTTGATTGTGTGATAGTAAAGCGGTTTCTCTTTTCTTCTTGATATTTATTACATAGTACAGAGGTAGAGGAACTCAAGAGCAAGTTACATATTGTTGTGTACATCTGATTAGAATTCTCTTACTATCTGGAGTTTAATATTCCATTATGCATTCTCGCATAAACCAATGTATATATGCTATTGTGATTTCTTTTGTTTGAGGATTTGTGATCAGCATTTGATACTTAATCAGTGACTCTCCTCTCTCCACATGTTATTTTCCAGTATTAGCTTTAAGAATTAGGTTTGGTTATAGTATGCTACTGTTAATGATTTCATATCCACCGGAATGCAAGCGATAAAATGCAACTGTCCGCTTGTGTTCTGCAACAATGCCACATTCTCTTTTGTACTCACCATGTACTTAACGTTGCGTGTCGTTTTAAATTCCGGAGCTTGAAATGTGTAGATGAGTTCATGTTTAACTTTGGACTTTAGCTAGCATGTTATGGACTTTGTAGAACAAATTTGATTGATGGAAATCAGATCAATAACTAAAAGATGTAGACAATCATGTTTATGTTTAATATGTTTGTATTTATACACTCATTAGCACATTACACAGTATGAAACATGAAAGGCAGTAGTTTTGTTTTGTTGATTTTGTTTTGTTTTCTTGATTTTGCTCAAATCCCGACGCGGAGCGCGGGCAATGAAAACTAGTTTTATAGTAAGCCACTTGTCAATGTCGAATTAAATTCGTTGGTTGGTGAGTACCCAAGTAGGTAAACATTTTCTTGCTGCAAACGGCACAATATATAACTAAGTATATAGTTTTTGTAATATGCACCACTCCCCATCTATGCTGAAATTTGTGAACATGTATGTTCGATGATGAGAGCAGAAATCAAAAGTCACTATTCAGTGGTTGCAATTAGCATGGACGAAAGGTTATACAAAAGTGTATTTGCAGATTGATTCTATGATTGTTTTTCGTATTTTGGCGTGTGAATATAAATGAGAGCACACATACTTCAATCTTGCTCGGCAATTAAAAAAACATTCGACTCAAATGGGAGATGAAGTTATATCGCGCATTTAGGCTAAATTACACGTTTGGTCACTCAAATTATATAAATCTTTCACGTTTGCCACCCGAATTACTTTTCTTTCTTATTCGCCACTAACTTTACGAATCGTTTCACCGTAGCCACCCGCCGTCCAATTCCGTTAAAATCATCCTACGTGGCAGTCAACCAAAGCCTTTGACCGTTAGTTTGATGACGTGGCAATTAAAAAATAATATAAAAATAAAAAATAATATAAACCTTATTCATCTGCTTGAACCTTGCCATTCTATACTTCGTTTCTTTTCCAGACCTCATCTTGTATCTCTCTCTCTCTCCCTGTTTGCTCTTTCTTTCTTCTTCTTCTTCTTCTTCTTCATCTGAACACAAGCCTCATATTTTTGCTCTCGCCACTTACTGTAGGGGAAGCGACTTTCCCTCTCGCCTCCTTTGGAATTCATTTAAGCCAGGCGGGACTCTTTTCGGCGGTTGGCCTTGACACCTATTTCAGCGGCAAGACTCTGACGGTGTGTCTGTGATGTTCGTCGGAGCTTTGTTCTTCTCCGACCTTCTGGGTTTCCGTTTAGCAATCCCCAACGGACCAAAAACATGTCTCTGAATCATGAGCTGGAACTTCCGCGGTGGCGAGTTGATGTTGGGGTGCTGGAGAAAAAAAAAACCCTCTAAAACTTGCAAATTAATAACCAAACAATAAATTTTAATTATCTGTATTTCGAATTTAAAATTTCAAATACAGTCATTTTTTATTTTTATATTATTTTTTATTTTTATATTATTTTTTAATTGCCACGTCATCAAAACTAACGGTCAAAGGCTTTGGTTGACTGCCACGTAGGATGATTTTAACGGAATTGAACGGTGGGTGGCTACGGTGAAACGATTCGTAAAGTTAGTGGCGAATAAGAAAGAAAAGTAATTCGGGTGGCAAACGTGAAAAATTTATATAATTTGAGTGACCAAACGTGTAATTTAGCCCGCGCATTTAAAATGTGTAATAGGACGACTGATTTTCTAACCAACAGAGGACAACAAATGAGTATAGGTTTCCATTCATTAAAAGAACCATTCATTAATGTTGTACGAACCATTCATTAAAAGAACCATTCACCATCATATTCATAAGGCAAATAACCCCTAGAAAGTGTATCTGTGCCAATTACACAGAAATTAAAAACGAGTATCACGAGGATGATAAAATTCTGATCCTTTGCTTATTTAGCAACTGAGTTGAGCTCGATAGACTAACATATCCTATCCCTATGGAATGGTAAATATGCTAATAGCCTAACTGTCATTATAATGTAACGCCCAAAAGAATGTACATATCTTCATGAGCCCAAAAAATGATGTATTAATATTATCACCTATCAGTATAGAAAAGGTTGATTAAGTATAAAAAAAAAGGTTGAGGAGGAAGGTAAGTTTGTGCTGGGCTTTTCCTTTCTTTAACTGACGGTCGCTGTAGTTGGGCTGCCCATGTAAGAAACATAAGCCCACCTAAGATCCCATCTACTTTCCAACTTAATCCAACGGCTCATACCATCCACGTCTTCAATCCGAACCCATCGCCTTCATCCAATAAAATACACCCGGGAAATTCGAATACAAACTCAAAATGAACTCGACCCAGCTCTCAAAAGTTTCGAAATCCCGCTCCAGAAAAAAATCAATCCTAACCGTCCATTCATCCTAATATTACATCCAACGTTCCTTAGTATCCACGTCATCAATCCGCATCAGTAACAGAGCGACCAATCAGATCTCACCCGTTCACCGTAATAAATACGAAGCCAAACCTGTATCAATCTCGTCATAATCATCCCAATCTCTCAAGTTTTTCCCCCCACTTCGAACTCCCTTTCTATCCGTTCCAATGGCGCCCAAGCAAGCAGAGAAGAAGCCAGCCGAGAAGAAGCCAGCGGAGGACAAGAAGGCCGAGAAGGCTCCCGCCGAGAAGAAGCCCAGAGCCGAGAAGAAGCTGCCCAAGGAAGGAGGCGCCGCTGCCGCAGACAAGAAGAAGAAGAGAAACAAGAAGAGCGTGGAGACGTACAAGATCTACATCTTCAAGGTGCTGAAGCAGGTCCACCCTGACATCGGGATCTCCAGCAAGGCCATGGGGATCATGAACAGCTTCATCAACGACATCTTCGAGAAGCTCGCTCAGGAGTCCTCCAGGCTCGCCAGGTACAACAAGAAGCCCACCATCACTTCCCGGGAGATTCAGACCGCCGTTCGACTTGTTCTCCCCGGTGAGCTCGCCAAGCACGCCGTCTCTGAAGGAACCAAGGCCGTTACCAAGTTCACTAGCTCTTAGATTGCTCTCTTGCTCGAGTTTGTGAGGGTTTCGAAGCAGTATGTCTTACTCGTCTGAATTGCAAAATTTAGGGTTTTCTGATTGTAAAGGATTTCAGTATGTTTTGGGGTTACCCTGTTTCGGGAAATCATCTGCACTTCTGTGATTTCACTCGACTTAATGAAATTACAGTAGCTTCTGATCTGTGATTGGTGTAAGACTCTTACTTTACATTTCCTTTTAGTTTGATGTGAGACTGTTCGAATCAATGGTTTATTTAAGCTCAGAATTCCTTTGTCATTATCCATTTGCTATTGATCTGTTTTCTGTATAATGTTCTCTGTTCTTGCTGAAAACGATTTCTATTGTGGACTTTGTCTAATCTAGTCATTGGAGATAGATCATTCTGCTTGTTATATTCATTCCAAGGAAGAAAATTTCTGATTTAATCGATCTCAGCATGTACATAGTCGACAAATACAAAGTTCTTCTCCCACTGGTTGAGTAGATAAGCAACAGCTGCGCTCGTGAGACCCAGACCAGCAAGTAAAACCCGGAGCTGAATCTCAGAAGGAATACCAGCACTCCCACAGAGGGCAACAGTCATGGCAATCAGTAGCTTCTGCAATGTCTGGAATGTCAAGTAGGCTTGTTTGCAGGAGGAGCATTTCGTGGTGTGCTGCTCAAATCTATCCAGCATCTACAAGGTGTGAGTGATAAGAGTAAGCAATTCATCCAAATTGCACAAGATGGGAGGTTCTGAAGGCTGAGTGTTGAGATGCTGCATTTATAATTCATGCCAGAATCATACCTCACGTTTTGTGAGAACAGTGGAGGGCAGAGGCTGTTGGGAAGGAGTAGAGCTGAACCACTCGGGTTGGCCGTGTCGTCTCAGCCAGTTGCGGAATGCCAAGACGAATCGGTCAGCTTGAGTGGGAGTGAATGTGATTTGAGTGTACTGCTTGTTTACATCTCCTTCAGAATCCTTTTCTAGTGACTGGAAGATCTTCTCTTGACCTTGAAGGACAATCATGTCTCCATCGTATACCTTGTTTGAGGTCCAATGCTCTTGCCATCTCGGAACTACCTGATGATATGGTAGCCAGCACAATTGAAAACCGGTTAGATCTTTTGTTACACAGCAGACGAGATGTGTTTCTAAGGCCATAAAGAGGTATTTTCACCTGCCACCATGCAGGCCCGGGCATTGAGAATTGGAAGAAGTTTCGAGCACTGCAAACGATTGAACGGGTCTTCCCTGGTGCCATTGGCACATTGAAAGAGCATATCCATATCACCCATTTCTGATCTCCGACTAGAGGAAGTTTTGTGTCTATCTCTACTCTGTATAAGTCACAAGGGTTTAGAACCATAGTCGAAGAATACAGTACGACATCGGTACATAGAGAAACTAGCATCAATGGAATAACTGATGTCTAAGGCATGTTCAACCAGGTAAGTCCTAGCTATTGAACTTCTGAATAAGAATCGCAAAGAAGAGCTGCTATCACATTTCATGAGACTTACTTATTCATATAATAACAGGGTGCAATAAACTTTGCAGTGATCCTCGGGTTCCCTTCATTCGCCCCAGCAAATCCCCAGGGGCCCTTTGATTCCAGTTTAAACGGCAATGGCTTGGCTCTATCTCTCCTTCCAGTCACCTACCAACCATCATTCCACTGTCACATATTATGCAAACAACTAGTTTAAGCTTATGTACTTGGAAAAAAGTCCCCAGTCTTAAACTTGTACCTTATGATGAGCAAAATCAATGTGGGAAGGATCAGAAACATTCTCCATTAAGGTATCATAGCCATAGTACAGATCTCTCTGAATCGTCACTGATGAGAATTCTGGCTTATCAAAGTCATCAGGCAACCTACAAACTTATACAAGAAACACATTCCGAATCTAAGCGAACGATTCAATGGTTAGCTTCCACAAGAAACTCACAATTAGGGGAAAAGATCAGGATCAAGAACAATCACATTGGAGGTCTGATGGATTTAGCTCTTTCCCAGCCATTCTCATCTGGCCAAACAAAGAGCAAGCCTTGAGAGACCAAAGTAGGGAATCTAGTAGCACAAGCCCTTGGAGATTTGACAGCACGAGCTTCTGGACCTTCTGACATCGCCTGTGGAATCCTTGTGCAAGATCCACAGCCGCCGAATGACCATCCATGGTATGAACATTGCAGGTGCCCGTTTTCGTCGATCCTACCTTCCTGTCGAATCAAAGCAAACACAGGCCAAACTTCAAGAGCTAATCAACCCTCTTCTGCAAATGAAGTACCGATCCGAAACTTGGGCAACTCATAATTCAGGAGTTCTAAGTTCTCACAGCAAAGATCTTACAGAAATGTGCAGAACAGCAAAACAAAATACTGAATTGACGAACTTACAGACAGAGGAGCAAGCCTGTGAGGGCACTTATCATCAAAGGCAACCCATTCCTGGTTAGTGCGGTCGAACCAGAGGACCAAGTCTCGTCCAAGAAGCTGGAAAGGGGTAGGCAACGCAGGGTCCAAATCTTCGATCAGAGAAACTGGGTACCAATGATCCCTCCAAACGAACTTCCCATCATCACCTTCTTCCCCTACTTCCTCTCTAGTCCCGTAATCTTCTTCTTCTCCCTGCTTCTCTTCTTTTTCTTCTTTCTGCTGCACAGACCGAGAGCGAGAAGGCGGCGCTGCAACGCGAAAAGGAGATACTAAGCGATGGGCTTTGTTGTTGGGCAGCTTCCTCGCTGCGCTCGAGCTTCTGGAGGGCAAAAAGAAACAAGCTTTGCAGTGAACAGTGGATGTTGGAAGTGCTGGAGATGCGAGTTTGGTGAAGCATTTGGTTGACACGAGAAGCGCCATAATTAAGTATTCTGTGGGTTGATTTCAGCCTTTCAGGGCTTTGTTTATTCCAGTTTCGCGAGCTTATTTCGTTCTGATTTCGAAAGGAGATGGAAGGAATGCCGTGCAAGTTTCGGCAACGGCTGTAGAAGAAAATACTGGTCAGTTCTCAGTTGAAACGTGAAAGTGAAAGCACTTGCATTTTTCTTCATTTCAAAGTTCCATATACTGCTTTGTTCTTTTTGTAAAGTACGAAGGTTAAAACAAAATTAACCGACATGTATGTATGGAAATTTTCAAACGATTTCAACGTGGCAACAATAAGAGCCGCATGTTGTGGCCTGCCGGGAGCCACCGACCGGCGAGGGCCATCTTCAGACACGTCGGAGTTGACTAGCCATGGACTGGAGAAGGCCAAGTAGGAAGGCCAGCTGCAGCTTTCCAGTCTTTCCCCTCTCTTTTTTTGCTTTCTCTTCTCTTCTCTGTTCTCATCATCATCTTCAACTTTGCCATTGAAGAATGGATATGAAATCAATGAGTAAACGAAGTTGAGGTCCACAAGACAAAACGATCACTGTAGAATCGAAGGGTGGAAACTGGAAACGATGTAATAAAGAACAAGCTAAATTTGCTAGTCAACACCATTCATACAATACAAACACATAACATTTTATTGAAATCCCCATGGAAACGAAATAAATATTCCGAATTGCTTCCAAGAACGAATCCTTAAATTCCACATTGAAAAGCCACATTCAGCTGGCCAAACACTCAAACTTAGCAAGCAAACCATGATGAGATGAGATGAGATTCAGAGAGTGCAGCAAATGCTGTTTCACTGAACCTTCTTCTGTTCTATAACCCTCCTGAAGCTATTATCTAGTGCTGCATCAAATTCATTCACTCATGGCTACTGCTCAATCGATATACACTAGGCTCGTTCTTAAGTTAGACAGCAAATGATGGAGCACTCGATGAACTTGAAACGATGACTACACCATGGCATACACTAACCAGCAAGCAGGATGACAAAAATCATTTCTTGGTGTAGCTCTGGAAATCTGGTCCGATATCACGGGAACCCGTGTTGATGTAAGGCCCTCGGAATGTGGCTTGTGGCGGCAATGGCTTCGATGAGTCGATCACTGGCTTACTCTTCCCTGCTCTGCGTCACAAGTAAGCAAAATCAATCATGGTTAAACCCATAACTAGTAATTCCCAGGCAGAAATGGTGGTGGTAATAAGGGATCAATATCAAACTCACGCCATGTAGAAGGGAAACGCCATTCCAGCACTAGCAAAGGCTAGTAATCCACCTGCAACAACAAGGTTGCGAGTGCGAGACATAGATAAAGGGCCGCTGTGGTGGCAAATTCAGGTTATTGAAATGACCTGCGGCGGGAAGATCCAAAAATTCAGTGCGTCTATATCAATATCCAATCGGACAAAAAATTCCCAATCAGGAATCAAATCCCAACATATTTCAATTCAGGGGGGGTTCCATTCGCCCGGTGGATTCGATAGCTGAAATCGTCGCCAGGACAAATGCGAAAGAAGAAGCGGAAAAACCCTAAGAAAGGGAGAAGACGACGATAACGTCGGGATATCTCACCTCGAGTAGCAAATAGGTGGAATTCTGAGTAAAGGTTTGCGGCCGAGATGACGACTAGAGTTTGTTCGTTCGTTGGTCCGTCTTAGTCGTAGAAGAAGAAGTCGCGGTGCGGACGGCCTGGCCGGTAGTGTTTCCAGAGCTTCTCCGATCGAAAGTGAACAACAAGCACACATCATACCGACGGGCGGGGATCCGACGATGAATAGCATAAAAAGATTGGGCTTTTCCTGGGATGTCGTATCTGTTTGGGCCAAGCTTAATCAAGTAGGCCGTATCCTTTTGGCCCAGTCATTATAGACCAGAACGAACCAATCATTTTCTTATGAGAATTCCAAAGCTCAATCGAGCTTTGTCGCAAAGGTCAATAGCCAATTTCATGATCCATATTAACATGTGGAAGGTTGAAAAGCAAGGATGACCAGGCCCTTACTGGTAGACTAAACTGCATGATTTGTAGCAGTGAACCTAAATTGACCTAAACTGCATGATTTGTAGCAGAGAAACAACTGCATGATTTGTAGCAGTGAACCTAAATTGACCTAAACTGCCTAATGTTCAGTACGTACGAGACGTAACCAGTGAACATTTCGGTTTGAGTTATTCCAAGCCGAGATGTTATTTGGTTTAGTTTGGGAACCTTAGCCATAACCAATCCTCTCCTTGTACTAGATCAACACAAGAGTGATTCCATCTCATTCCCACGAGAAATGACGGTATAAAACCTTGCTGAAACATTTGCTGATCACAACACATATCTTGCAACCACCAGAACCTTTAGAATCGTCAATGTCAACACAGCTAAAAGCAAATAAGAATTAACATCTAGAACCACAAATGCAGGCACTAAGACGGAAAACCTACTAAACCATATTATCCGAATTCAACAATACATTCACGACCTTAACAGAAGATACTAACACGAAGCAGGAAACCACAAATGCAGCGAAAAACATTAACATCCATCCACTGGACAGAATTGACAAGACGAAGAGTCCATAAATCCTTAGTTCATTAGGATGGTTTACACGGAGAATAAACCATGACACAGAGAGAGAGACTATATAATGCTTCAGTAGTAGTATGTAGCTGCATCAGATGTTGGAACTGCACAGTTGCTCTTTGGGTTTAGGCAACCATGGTCTGCTGGGCTTGAGCCTCCTGCTGCTGCTGGTAGTTGAGAGGCCTCCTGAACAACATGATGTGTGGCTCGGGTCGATGGATGGCGTAGTGAACCCATCCACGGCTCTGCTGAACACCAATTGCGCGCCATTCATTCTGCACCAAATAAAAGTATGGTTATTATTCACACCTCAGAAGACAAGCACATCATTCTGTACCAGGCAAACAGATGATATTATTGACAAAATCATTTCACTAAATCTCATACAACAGACCGAAATCAAGACCTAATTCCATAGTTCAAGTGGGAAATAAAGCACATTGCAAAGTTACTGTTCTTCCTGGTGTTGCAAAGTATAGGACGAGTTTAGGGTCTCCTCCACAAGACAAGAGGAGCAACCCTTAACCACGCTACCAAGCATCGTAGAATAGGGAAGGGCCAAACAAATGCGTCAAGATCTCAAGCTTACAAAAGAGTCACTCTGCTTCTTCCTAGTCGACATTTACCAAGTAGATACCAAGCAGTTTCCCTCAGCCCCTTACTAGTTCCTGAACCGAGGTTTGAATTCAGGACTTCGAATCTAAGAATTGTTCGAGCCTAAATCAGTAAGACTGTGCTCTCTTAACCTATCTAACAGCTGGAACGTAACAGCCAAACAGGAAGCCGACCTAATCCAAAGGGGCAACCCAAAGAAACCCTAACTATTCAATTACCTCAGAGAGAAGGCGATTCTTGGGGAGCAGTTTGGCCACCTCAGGAGGAAGCACCACATGCCTGTATCGAAACCCATACAAATCCAAGATAAGCAAGAGATACACACAGAGAGCACAATATCGAACTCAGAAGAAACACGGCCAACACACAAAAGAGTGAAGCGACGGGGGTAATGAAACAAGTCGGCTACCGGATCGACTCACCTGTACTCGTAAGTGTCATCGAAATACTTCTCAGAGTACTGGATCTGCCCCATCTCGTCGCTACCGCTAGGGTTTTCCGCCGATTCAAAAAAAGAACGACGCCTACAGATTCTTGAACTGCGGCAAATTCAAACAGAAATCGTGAGAAATCCAGGAAATGAAAACGACGGCAAGTGTAGTTTCTCCACGACACCACAGGCGAGAGGATTCAATTAGATTCGGACTCGGCTGCCGATGGAGGAAGAAGATCGGGAAGAGCAGGCGATCAGAAATTCATACCTGTATGTGCGTGAGAGAGGGCGGTTGGGGAGGGAGCAGACTGCAGAGGGTTACAGAATGGAAGGAGCGCCTACTAACACGAGTGAGATTGAGTGAGAGGGTTTTCTAATTTATTCGTTTTTATTTCTTCTCTCATCGTAAAATTAGTTTTTTTTTACACATTTGAAATTCAAATTTTCGAATAACTCTTTCCTCCCGCCTTCCCCCAGACCATCACAAGTTACCACTTACCAGCATAATTGCATAAATCGTTCACGAGGGTTAAAGACACATTTGGTCACTGAGATTATAAAATCGAGACATGTATAGTCACTAAAAAAAGTTAATATCAAATTTGGTCACTACAATTATTAAAACTGGACACATTTAGTCACTCGCCGTTAGTTGCCGTCCAACTCCGTTAAAAGAGTCCGTTATGTGCTGACGTGGCTAACGTGAGCGCCTAGTCAGCGCCGTTTTGGGCAGAAAATGGTCAAACCCGACCCGCCATGTCACTAAAAGATAAAATAAAAACTACGGGTACTGCTTCTTCCTGGTCAAGGTCACGGCCTCGATTGGATCCCTAACAGCGGGGCGGTAGCCGGCGCGATTGAATTTATACAGGTAGTGAAGGGAGGCTCGGAATGGAGTATCACCATCATTTATGCTTTCACAATTTTCAATCTCTGTGCGAGACTGTTTCCCTTCATAAATATTTGTTGGTCTCCCTTTAATTCAGTCTTTGCCTCCTTCCCCTTCATGTCCCATCTTCTCTTTTGGCTTTCCAATCATCCACTTTCCAATCCCCAACGGTGGCGCCACCAACGACGCGTCGCCTACCACCGCAGATAGAGAATCAAAGCATAAATGGTGGGTTGGTTAGGGTTTGATTGGTTTTTATTTTATTTTTATTAATTATTTTGATGATGTGGATGCTGACGGGGCAGCTGATTGGATCAAACTAACAGAATTTTGGATGGAGATGGACGGAATTACCTTTTTGTTATTAGTCCAAACATATGTTACCGAAATGTGCAAAATTAAAGGTTTGTGACCGTTTTGTACAAAGTGAATAGTTTTGTTACCATTTATGATAACTACCCCATAATTCAGGGGTTGTTTGGAAGTTGTGATTCTTCAAATTGATGTATTGGGACAATTAGTGTATTATCATTTGATGTATTGAATCAATTGATGTATTAGGTAAATATCTTGTTTGGAGGTTTAGATTGTGTTTTTGTTCTAAAGGTAAAAAGTTGGTATTAAGTGATTGTGAAAAATCTCAACAAAAAAGTAGAGATTGTAAATCCCTCAATATTGAGTGATTGTGGTGCGGCCTCCAAAAAGTAAATGCATGTATTCTAGTTCTATATAAACCAAAAAAACGACTTAATCTCATAAATACATGAATTAGATCAATACACCATTTGAAATCACAACTTCCTCACGAACCCTCAGTAAACTTCTGTTAACTATCATGACACGAAGAGAAGTACAAAACTGTTCATACATATTCTCTTTGCACGAAGAAGACAAAATGATGGAAGCCAGAATTTCTGCAAACTGTAGCTACTTAATAGTTAGTGCCTGTACTTTCTGTTTTCTACATTTCCATCCATCTTCGCACCATCAAGCTTAGCTGACTGATCTAACTAAAACCCTACTTGTTACTAGTTAGCACTCTTGCTTTCCCCACTTTCTATATTTCTACAAAAAAGAATTTGAGGCAAAACTCCCTTCCCACCTCCACTGTCAACTACTGTATCCATATATGCGCCCTGCCTGCCACCCTTCGCACCATAAAAAGGAAGGCGTAGCGAGGAAAAACAACGAAAGAAAACCGATTCTGTACACTACTAGGAAGCTGTCCAAAAAAGTTGCATTCCCCTTGTCAAAATTAGAGACCTTGGTGCCTGCACTGCATCAGCCGCCTTCAGACTTGCCGACGATTCTGCAGTTGGGGACTGGTTTCTGCAGCATTGATGTGCCTTGAAATACCATCATCTGATAATCCTTCCTGAACTTCACCACCTGCAAGTATTCACACCCAAGGGGTTATAGTCTACTATAGAGTAGACTGAGAACTGAGTTAAGTAAACAAGCGTGTTAGGACAAAGGATATGCAGATAGATACCTCATCCTGATTCATCTTAGTGAAACCGAATTTGTTCATCCAGATGGATTCGGCTTCTTCGGCAGCAGGGAGTATAAAATTCTTCACATTGAGGGATCCGAGGAGTTTCTCCAGACAATCATACAAGACTTGGAAATAACCCTGCAGATTTTAAGAAAAGCCACATTTACATTATAATATAAAGCAAGAGGCAGTTTTCTAAACTGAATACGGAGTAGATTGGAGAAACACCATATTTGACAAAATTATCGCATGGTAGAATAAGGTATCCCAAATTACCTGTCCTTGGAACTGACTACTTGTTGCAACCAAAGGAAGTTCAGCCAGCTCTTGCCCAAACACCCTGATTATAGCAGCAGAAACAACCACATTGCTGCAGAAGCAGGAACCAAATGTCAAATACAAAAAGGAGAAAAGTTATTCAAAATGGTACTACAAATGACCATGATGCAAGTCTTACTCGACTAACAGCACAGCACAATACATTCCACCAAGTTCCTGGCCTTTGATGTTCCTTCTGAAAGAGCAATTAAGATTGTCAATAACCTTGGATTTAATAAAATCATGAAAATGATAGCTAAATACAAGAAGAAACTTTAAACAAAGAAGTACAAAGATGCATGGACAGCAGGAACATTGAAGAATATATTTGCTTACCCATAGACCATAGAAGGGATGAGATCCCGGTCTCCTTGGCGGCCAGATGTCTCAACCACAATAGGATCAAAGCGTTCCTAATCCCAACAAAACGTAATCACAGTTTTAGCCATCTTATCTTGAATGCTTGAGCATCAACATAATGGAAATGATAAAGGGAAGTAGACCATAATGTATGCACGCCTTGTAACTCACATGGAAGATGGTGACAGCATCAGAGAGCAAGCTTGCACTGTCTGCAGATGGATCTACTCCTTCATTAAGAAGCCTCCATCTCACATCAACACATTCCTCGGTGTTCACACTTTCAACCTTATGCTTTTGCTTTATAATGTCTAGACAAGAACCTGTAAGCTTCTCCTCCCCCCGAACAACCAAAGCTTGCAAAGCAGAATGAATTTTGTCACATTCTATGCAACAAAACCAATCTCCTTCAGGTAAAGCCTGTTGCACAAAACCTTATCAATGCCAGATAAACACTAAGGTGAAAGAAGACACAGGCCATAAACATGGTATCAAAGGTTAGTTACCTTCAGATCTTGCATGTTGTTATCCCTTAAGCAGCCCACATGGAACTCTTTCTCACACTGAAGAATTGTAACAAAAGTGCAGATTTTAGGGGGTGGGGGGAAAAAAGATGTAAATAGTACGCAATTTGTAGCAACTGCATGAAAAATTTGTACTGATTGTACCTGATCACAAAGTATGACTGTACGGGGACCAAACGATTTGTCGAAATCATGTTCTCTGCAAAATAAACATGAATAAACCATTCTGCTAAGGACTCTTTCGTAATAAGACAAACAATGCAAAGAACGTACGAAGCAGCAACAAATGCACCAAATGGTAAAACTACTAAAACAGAGAGCCCCGGGAAGGCCAAGCTGAAGACTAAATAAATCTAGGATTGAGCGTGAAATATAAACTACAAAATTATTGGATTTTAATAATGATTGAGAGATGGGGCTAACCTGCAGAAGAAACATCCCCCATAATCAGTATCCATAGTTTTGACAATACGAATACATCTCCTAGTTATCTCTTCTATAGGATCCACCCCTGCAATCCTGCCTGCTGCTATTGCATTCGCATTACGCTCCCAAAATTTTTCATTCTGGTTGTTCACGCAGTATTTGCAGTACCATTTATCATTAGGAATGCTCGCCAGCAATAGACACTCTGCAAATGTTAACGTGATATAAATATGAACAAGAAGACAAGTAAATATAGAATCACTGAGAAACTAAGCCTAACTTAGTGAACAGAGCAAATTACTAAAATTACGCCACGATTCTAAGACCCATACTAATGTCAGGGTAAAAAGAAAATATATCATACCACCCAAACTAGAAATTATGGTAGTTTAAATGCAAGTGGACAATATGGGTCCCTGACTAGCATTAGAATCTTGTAATCCTGCAAATGACATCCTTTATACAAAAGAAGACGTAGAACTGCTTCTGCTCACTATCCCATACTGAGACAAAGAAGCTGTGAACTATGTGATGTAATCATAATGTGAAAGATTAACGTTGAATCTTGAATTTTACAGTTTTAACTTGCTGAATTGACACACATGAAACCGTATAATCAGAATGCTAACTTTTTCATGTTCAAACTAATGGTCTTTGAAAAGCTTACTGCAAAATGGAAAGACCATTTCCTGGAGGAACACCTTAGACTATGAGAGCTGACAGGTATGTCAAGTAATCACACAGAAACAAACTTACCTTTGTGAAAAGATCTTGGGCACCCATCACAACATACAAGATCCCCACCATCTTTACAGATCTGGCAAAGGTCATCATTCTCGTGTGTAGAGAACTTCCCACATTTGGCAAGAGAAACTGACAACTCATGAAGGGACACACCATTTGATGTATATATGTGCAAATAACTGCATACAAACAGAAATAACAGTGTCAGTTTCATTTGGATCCAAGACTCTGGTTTCGTTAGAGTACTTGAAATTGCAACGTTATGATTCTTCGGAGTTCTAACTCTTAGATACCGGAGATGATGATCCCGATAAAAAAATCAGCACATAAATACTCACGGTTTCCGATGTGATGCCCAACCAGCATGAGCTTCAAACTGAGATGGGCTAACCTGCCAATTGAATGTCAAATGCAAAGATCTTTAGTGCTGCGCCACATACACTAGACAATTATGACATCAGGATAAGGATTTTACCTCAGTGTTGCAGCAAGAACAAACTATTCCAAAGCCTTTCTTATAGCCCACAAGCAATTTCTGCAGAGTCAGAAGAGATACTAGTAAGAAAAGAGAAATTGTATAAAAAATCAAATTATGGCAATGAAAGCTGCAGGCACCTAACCTGTCCACGAGAATAATATGCAACTTCAGTTCCATCAGGCAACACGTCTTCCTCAAAAACTAGTTTGTGCAACCGTAGGTCCCTGCAGAAAGAAAGATCAGATAATAAACTAGGTCCCAACCAAGAGCTAAAAGGAAAAGACAGATTCGATATTCATTCCATTGCTTGACCAAATATTCAAGTTAAGCTCAGTGCGGGAAACATAAAACTACTAACTTTCTGGTAAGTCTGCCCAGGCTCTTGCTTTGAGATGCTGAGGGCTTTGGCACACTGTCAAATGTCTTTCGGACTAAAGGTGGTTCAGGAGACCTGGGACTAACACAAAATAAGGCATACATTACTTTGCCAAATATGTAACAGATGAACCATAGAGAAGCAAGAAGTATAATCGTTCATATTACAGAATGGATAACACATAATTGCAAGATTAACACACATAAACGCAATTGTAGTGCATAAACTATTGCATATGCACATCCCTGACTGCTGATTGATTATATAAGCTATGTAACCGTTGCAAGTTTCAACATGCATTTCCAGCACATGCAACTCCAGTTCTATACAGGTAAAATGAATCACATCTTGATTCATGAATCATGACTGCCAACTCATATGACAGCAATATCAACATTTACTTGGGAAATAAACACATCCACTTAGTCTTCAGTTGTCTGTCACAGGACACGCATAGTTATGCTAACAAGTTAACAACAAGCATTTTATGAATTGCGTATGATAATATATGGTTAAAACCTAGCTAAGACTAGCTCCCTAAACCTAGGAAACCTGCCATAAATATATTAACCAAGTGAAGAATGTGATCTTATTTCGTCAGTAGCAAGCAGATACATCCATCCCCAAATCAGATTGTCGCCATCATATTTTGCACATGAAAATATACCAAGAAGTTTTACAACAATTTAAAACGAAAGAGCCATCCATCTAACAACTCATGAAAGTATACCTGTCATGTACAACTCTAGCAGTGGACAAACAAGCACTAGTATCCTTTAAGTTCATGCATGACGAGCAACAAATCATTGAACTCCCAGATGCAGTGTCCACCATTGACCCTGAAATCCGTCGAGCAACCAGAAACCTTCAGACCATGGAGAATGAATTTCTGCTAGCAAATAATAAATCCCATTCTAGATAGTAGAGAACAAACCTCTGCAGTTGAGACAGAACTTTGCCTTCTTCAAGGACTGACAACCAATCGCAAGTTGTATAACCCCCTCCAACGCTTCTGCTGAAGCGCCTTTGCAAGCATTCATTATATCACGGAGTGAGTTCCCACTCTTAAGGTAAATATAATCTGGTGGACGCTTATTCGTACTGCCAGCATGAATCTCGAATGTTGCAGGCGTTACCGTCTATAATTTTCAAATACACTTAGTCAGTAATCAGCATAACGAATGCTTTAGGTGCATGCAATCACAAAACGAAAATCCCAGCTCACCTCTTTTCCTCCACAGCTGTCACAAAAGCATAGAATTGATGTTCCCACAATCCTTCCGGGCAGCCCTGTCTCTCCAACTCCTCTCACCTACAGGTAAAAAGAAGTTGTCAACTAAATCACTTCGATAACTTGGCTAAATTACCAGTATTATTTAATCTATAATGCTAGCCAGTGTTGATACCTTAGAGCCCCGTATATAATCCACATGTTGTCCCTCCAAGATACCAGAATCAAGCAGATCTTTCAACTTGGATGGAAACCGCTTAGATGAATTTCTCATCAATCCATTAGTTGAAGCAGAACTGGTAGGCATTGCATTATCTACTTCATCCTCATCGATGTTATCAGCACTCAACCCATCTTTTGACTGTTCATTTGCGACCGTCGTCTCAGATTTTGGCTTTAGGGCTGATCTTGTAAACCTCCTGAAAGGCTTCCCCTCTACCTTGACCGGGGATGATACATCAGTTCCGTCCTCGCAAACATTCCAGCCATCACCCTGCTTAGATTGCACACTACATTTGATTTTCGCGATATCATCTAACCCTGAAGTCGTCACTTCCTCGGATCTTGGCTTCAGGGCTGACCTCGTAAACCTCCTTAAGGGTTTTCCCTCTACCTTACCGCTGTTACAATCATCCTTTCTGACCGAAACAGGTTTCGACTCTTCGGCATCACCTTTACCGTTGACCAAACCGCCGGCCAACCCACTAGTTCCTTCCTCGGAGACATGGTTAGGATTATAGTTTAATTTCCTGCGCGAAGCCCTATCCATTTCGTTACATAAACCATCATGCTCCATCAAAACCGGCGGTGAGATACTGGTTCCTCGCGCAGATAACCCCATTACAATGTGAATATTCTCGCTGGCCCGTTCCTTGCATTTACCACCGGTGAGTTTTTCCTCTACTGAAATCGCCACATCGCAACTCTTCCTTTCCACTCCCGCGGCAGCGTTCGGCACATGCACGGACACAATCTCCTCGTCTCCGCTGCCCAGTTCCACCACACCACTCTTGGCATCCTCTTCCCCGGCTACTTCCACTGCTTCCTTGGCCTCCAAATCACGAGCATTCGACTCTTTCCCCGACGCCACCCCACGCCTCAATCTCTTGTAGCGTTTCAACGCCACCGTAGTCGCATTGCCCGGGGAGACTTCTCCTCCTCCTTCGCCGCCGCTGAGCGGCGTCGTCGGAGTCGGAGTCGGAGTGGTCGGAGTGCTGGCTCTGGTCCGTCCCAACGACCCGGCGCTGATCTCTGATTGCGACCTGAAAGCGAAGGCGAACTCCCGTTTCAACCCCGGCCGGACCTTCGACCCAGCAACTTCCTTCGACTCCGTCCCGTTCGCCATGGATTGAGATCCGAATCGAAATCTTCTTCGCCAAGTGGGAGGCGCACGAACGATTCTAGGGTTTGGAGAGAGAGGTGATTTGGGGGTGGGAAGGTAGGGAGGGGATAAGAATTAAGATGGAAGGGGAGAAGAAAAACAAAAAGAAAGAGGGGGAAGAAAGAAAGAGGGATAGGTCAGTTTTTTCTCTTTTTTCTTTCTCTGTAGTCTGTACAGTGGGAAACAGGGGAGACGCAGGAAGGAGAGAAAGGACGCTGCTACGTTACCTTACGGTGGAAATCGGAACAGTCAGACCTACACACAGCCACCTTGAAGATAAAAAATCACCAAATTACCCTTTTCCGGTATTTTAGAAATTCCCTCCTTGGGAAAATATTTCTTCGTTAAGTTTTGACACATTGAATCAATTAATTTTGATTATGTTAAGAGTTTGTACAAAAACATGTTTTCAACGGGAATAGAACTACGATCACCAAACAAATACTTAATACTATTACCTTTGTGACGGCTCGTTGACTGCATTTGACGGTAAGATAAATAGCCTATAGTGATTTATTTTTTACTAAATAAATATCTCTATTGATATCGAAGTTACATCGAAACACATATATTTAGTCGAAATCTGTACTCATATAACTAGACTATACATGTGAGCAATTGTGAAAGGTTGGTAAGCTAACCAATAACGCCACATGCCTTTTGTATTAATAAGTTAAGTTGGTATATATGTTACATGTCACGTGTGTAAGTCCGTTGTATTACTATTCCCAAATGGATGTGTAGCATTTTGTTCATATACAAGTTGGATTTATAGATTGCTGCTAATTACACCTAATTACGTAATGTTTTAATTTTAATTTTTCAAAGTTACTATTGAGAGATTCGGTTTGTTGTGGTTTACGCTTCAGAATTCGAATAATAACCATATATATCTTTAAGGAAGATTTTTTGAAAGTAATATTTTCTGAGTTGATTTATATACATATGTGACCATCATATTTATGCCATATCCATATATGTGAATGAGCGTTATGTATTCAACGAAAAAAAGATGAGCGTTATGCTTTGATAAGCATTATACATTTTCATAATTATTTTTTCACATTATGCCAGGGTAGTTTGGTCCATCCATGTGAAATATCTGAGGGCAGTATCCCTCTCGGCTTCCACATCATATATACATTTTTTTCAATTTTCCCGCAAAAATGTCCGTTAGTATTGGCGGCCCAACCAATCAACGACCATCGGACCAGAATTAATTATTTCCCGCGATGTGCCCGAAAGAATTCCGCTGCGCTGTCACGCTGACTCACGACAGCAGAAATTCAAAGCCCCAAAAAAATTCCGGGAAGCAAAGCCGACGCGCGGCGCGTTTGTATCACATCGTTTTTCCCCACTAAGCCAAGAACATTCCAGAATGCCATCCAAAACCCTTAACCCCACCCGCATGTGGTCATGACTCATGACCTGCCTGGAAGTTGTTTACCAACCCCCTACTCATGAAAGATGAGACTGAAAGTTTAGCATAATCTCATAGAGTAAACTCAATTAAGGTCTCGTTTAGCTTCACAAATAGGATGACACAACACAAATTAATAAATTAAGTGTTTCGTGATCTTTCGAATGTACTTAGGGGTAATTTTATCAATTATTTTTGCTGTATGCATGCAATGATCACAAAACGCAACGATTCAACGTACTTTTGCGACATATGTACATACCCTAGTTATTAACGCACGGAATGAGCATAGAAGGGGATCACGCGCGCCATTGGTGGTGTAATAATAGGCGTGCTAGTAATTGGCCCAATAAGAACTTGATAGGCTGGTAAAAAGAGAAAGAAAACATGTGGGCCTGTAATGGGCCTCTCAGCTTCACCACTATAAATCCCTCTTCCCCTTATTTCTCTCCAAGGAACATCCATAGTCCCGACTGTAGTAAAGCGAAAGCGTTCATACATGGACAAATACTTATATATATATGTCGCCGGCGACCAATATCCCTCGTACCCAGAACCCGGCGAGGTAAATAATTAACTGAAACAGTAAATAATGATTAACCAGTACGACATGCTCTCCGTGAAAACTACAAAACAAAACACATCAACCACTACTGATGATGAGGACGGTAATAACTAACGTAAAAAATCATTACACTTGTTAGTTGTTACATAGAATGCTAAAAAAAAAAAAAACAGATCAACACAAAGTAAAACAAAGGAAGATGATGATTACATCCATTACGAGAGAGAGAAAGAGATTTATCTGAGAAGATCGATCCGGGAAATGCCAAAGGATTGAGGTTGCCCTGTTTTTTTTCCCCCGAGAGAGAGAGGGAGAAGAAGCCCAAACTTGATGATCAGTCTTGTGTCCCCAAACCGACTCCATCATTTGGGCCGAGCCTCATGGGCTTGGGGCCCATGAAGCTGCTCCGGCGCCGGCCGGACGGCGAGGTAAACCATAGCCGGCTTCCCATAGCTTCACCTAACTGCAGCCTGTCTTGTAGAGTAAATCAGGGGAGAGGGAGAGGGAACGCGAGTGGGTATTTATAAGAAAAGGCGGTGTCCATTTACAGAAATGCGATTGGCGGGCATCTTCCAAGGGATATGCGGCGACCACCAACACGGCATCATCATCCCATTTCATCGCCATATTCTTCCTCCTCCTGCCTTTTTCCCTCAACTAGTGTTGTCTGTTGTGTCAGACCAGTAGTGCATTGTTTCCTCCCCCTTTTTTTTTCTTCTCTTTTTTGCCTCTACCCTTTTCCCAAAACCTTTTGGTTGGAGCATTGTATCAGGATGTGGATGTCAGCAGATGAATGAATGTTCCAACACTTTCTCCATCCTGAATAGACTTTTGGTCCAGCGGTGTGTAACAATGAAATGCTTGGGATAACTATGAATCGAAGTGTAAAAAATGACAATTCTGTTCAAATCTTCAAATTATTAAGACGGGTTCCATCTGAATCTAAGGTTTAACAATATCTGTAATATGTATCTCGTCAGTTATTACAGACGAGTTTGAATGGTGCCTACGTGGCAGCCCGTAAGTGATGGGTGATGTGAGAATCCCATATCATTGACGTTACTATCATGGAAGAGCCATTCATCTGAATCACCTATTGCTGATTTCATGTCATAGAGAGAACATTCCAATCATTTTTCGACTAAGATACTATCCATTTTTGGGCTTATCCGTGCACATTTTTACTTCTGGGATGCATTATTATGACTTCCTGATAAGTCACGGCCCATTTCTACACGGCTTTATACTGAGCACATTTAGTTTCGAATTCCTTACAAAACTTCATTTATTTTTCACACTGCTTAAGGCTTTACCAATATTACTAATTTCTGTTTGGGGTCTGCATGACACATGGAAAACCTACATGTGCTAAAATGGGACCTCCTTTGGTTGGAGAGGTGGCACTAAGAACAGTTTTTGTGGTGATCAGACAGCGCCCAACAAGAAAGGAATGAAAGATCGTACCTAATTTTGAAGGGTAAAGCACTTAGTAGTAGCACTGAAAGTCGGGAGCCACATGCTTTGATGATTTGGTCGCTTCAGTATTTATTCAGAGAGTAGTGAATGGGCTGTGAAGAATCTAAAGTCAAAAAAAGTGTAGACCCGAATATGCCGATCCAGCTTGTTAGTGGAGTGGAATGAAACCATATGATTTAATAAGAACGGCGGCAGGATTATATGTTAAAAACTTGTTCCAGTAGGTTTGTTAAGAATGATTTGAGAAAAAATATTGTCGACCGTGAATCGGTGAAGATAAGTTCATTGTTATATGTCGAGAAACGAGTGTTAAGTTAAGAAAAGAATCGTTGACTTCATGTTCTATAGGTGAAATGCATTTAAAATTAGAATTATATATCTTCAAGTCCGAAATCCACTTGTTGTACCACTATTCATTCATTATCGTATTTGTCATTGCCATCGAAGGACAATTTAAGAAGATAAATCAGTTTGTTTAGTAAAAACTTCATAGATATGTAAACGGGTCGTTAATTAACATGAGAAAAAGGGTTTGTAAAAATCAATATTCAAAATTCAAAGAGGTTAATGTTATTTATATTAGAATCTCCATAAGCGTCATTGACATCGAAGAGCCCCACTTCCCGGGGAAGAAAAAGGAGCAGCAAGGAGAAGTGTTCTTTCAGGCTTCCTTGCTTACACCTTTAGGTTAGGTCTCTCCATTCCTTCACTTTTTTTCTTCTGGTGTCTTCTTCTCCCCATTTCAGTGGAAAGCTCAATGAAATCAATAAAGAAAAGGGTTGATACTCTCTCATTGGCCACTACTCCAAAGTCCAAAGTATATGCTTAACTCACTAATGCCCTATTGAATCATCAAAAGCTAAATTGTAGATGGAGACCCTGCCTTCCATGCAAGTAAAGAACCACACTGCAAAATATTTCCCCCCTAAACTTTCCCTTTCAAGAGCTTGTGTCAGCAGTGGAGCATATTCTGCTAAGAAAAGAAACTATGTGCTGGACTATGTTTACTTGAGGACGGTTAGTATGTGCTGACGTTGTTAGATTATTGTCGACGTTTATGAACAATACCACTGTACACAATCCAACGATCGAGGTTGCACGAACGAACGATTCAATCGTACCCAATACGCGCTGATCATACCCGTGTCAGCATTATAGTGCACAAGGATTATTGATCATTTCCAGGAGATGAGACAAAAATTTCCTGGTAAGGAAAAATGAAATGCTGCAAAGTGACAATCTACTCAGACAAGCAGGAAAAAAACCCCTTACTGAAGACAGCATATTCCCTCCTCTTTGTTCTTTACTTATGCTCCAACCCATTATATAACTACATATTCTTATTACAGCTAAGCACAACAAGAGCCCCATATCCACTTAAAAACAGCAAAAGAAAAGTAAAGGAAGAAGAACCCTAAAACAGAAACTAATGAACAGCCAGACCATACATGAATCTCTAAAGGAACATTGATCGTCAAGTAACGAACAACATTCTTGAGTGTCACACAAGTAAACCTCGATCTTTCAAATTGTTCACCAAAAAACAAATCAAAAGCTAACATTCGAGACCCTTTTCCCATTTCTATAAAGACCGATCTTCCTCCAGAGCTGAACTCAAACTAAAACCAATCATCCATTCCATTTCCACTTCTAACTTCAGCGATGGCGAACCCATTTCGAAGCCGTCCGGCAAATACGACGACGCAGCAGCAGCAGCAGCAGCATGCGGCTGCCAGGCCCAAGAGCAGCCTCCTCCGCATCGTGATCTTCGCAATCTTGGGCCTGATCGTCATAGTGGGCCTGGCCGTCCTCATCGCCTGGCTCATCGTCAAGCCCAAGCGGCTGATCTACACGGTCGAGGACGCCTCCATCCGCAACTTCAACATAAACAGCGACCACGTCAACTCGTCCTTCAGCTTCGCCATCCGTGCCTACAACCCGAACAAGAGGATGTCGGTCTACTACGACGCCGTCGAGGTCTCCACGGCGTTTGACGGCCAGACCGTGGCCTTCAACACGCTGTCGCCGTTCCACCAGCCCAAGAGGAACGTGACGGTGCTGGAGGCCCAGCTAGAGTCGCGTGATGTGGCCCTGTCCAAGTCCCTTTCGAAGGACGTCCGGGCCCAACGGGCCCAAGGGCAGGTGAAGGTCAATTTGCGGATCAGGGCCAGGATCCGGTTCAAGGTCGGGGCCATCAAGCTGAGGCACCAGACCGTGAAGGCCCTCTGCCCCGCCGTGCCCATAAGTTTCCATTCCGGCAAGAGTTTCCAGATAACCGAATGCGATTTGGATTATTGACCAAAACCTGATTTTCAATAATTGATTTATTGATTTTTTTTTTAATACTTGCTCTTTCTTTTGGGTGTTTTTCTTTTGCCTTTTGAGTGAAGATTTCAAGGATTTTCTTTTGCCTTTTGCCTTTCGAGTGATTTTTGTGAACTGTGATTCATTGTATTTGAGGGGGGATATTGGAATTATTTGTAACTTGATTACTATTTCTCAGTATGCAGATTTGTGGAAAGTTTTTAACTTTTTGTTTGTTGTTCATAATATTCCATGATCGTGCATTCGATTAACTCATCTTACGTGCAATATCGTACTGATGAATCATTCGGTTTCAACAACATTGTGGTACAAAGCCACACCACTGTCTAACATCGGAATAAACGCCATGCAACATGACCGGTGCATCATCAACATGTTGTCATGAAACCAGTTGGTTCCAATAACTCGACTTATTAGGAGAGTTCCCCATGTATGGATCTTAAACACTTCCTTGCATGCCTCTCAAAAGAAAGCAAGGTCATGGATTTCGAGTTTCCATAGGCCCACTATATCATGAAGACAACGGTTAATATTGAGGGTCATGAGGATTTGAATTTGTGACCTTAAGAACAAACCAGTTTTGAAATAATGAATCATATACCACTTATTAACACGTGAAAGAGTATTGACTCCCCTTTTGATCGTTGCTGGTGAAGAATGGGAAGTCTAACTTCTTTAATATGTTGGAAAATTTTATTGTAAATGTAATGATCAAGAGTGGCTAAAGGCAAATTAAAATATTTTTAGCTCGACATTTTTAATATATGGGTATAACAACGTATAATGAGAGCTTTGTTTGGCACATTATTCATTGATATTGCTTTATCAACTTTGTTAAGATGGCCATCTCTAGCTACCAATTTATTGATAATGGGAACATTCTTTAATTTCCACATGAATAACAAACAAGACGTGCTTTAAACCCATGTGCTTAGCCGTGACTTCAAAAGGACGATAGATATAGATGGCATTATCCTCCCAAGTTTTAACAAATAGAAAATATCGATCCCACAATCTATGTCTCGGAGGCTTCTAACCAAAGGGGACCCAACCTTTCCCAAATGATGCAATAGAAATCAACATTTGGTGCCCTAAATAACAAACAGAACAGTCGTCAATTATTCCTTCTATATATCAAGTACTCATTAGCCCTTCCATTCGAGTTTGGCCATCGATTTGATTCCTAGAAGGGGTGGATTTGGTATAGGGTTAGCAAGTGTTCTACTCTTTAGCTTCTCACTACTTTGAAAAAGTATTGGTAGATCATGCACGATCATGTTAGTTGTATCTAAAAGAAGTCATGGGACTGAAGTGTTAAGTGAGTTATTTGAGCGACTAAAGTATGAACTACGGTTGGCTTGTTAGTATGTGGTATAAAATCGACTATGGAATATTCTCTTCCAACAACTTGAGTAACTGAAAGCACTTTGTTATTGACATGATATCATAGTCTTCTCTGTTCGAATCATGACGACCCCATCTATTAAGCATATGATATTCAGACCTGTTCAAACTTCAAACTCATATGTGTTGACTTTCGTTTGAGAAAAAGTCTTATTACGTGGCATAAAATCCATTATTGAACCTCTTCCGATAACCCGAATGATTGGAAACAACTGATTCATGACTGGATTAAGTAGCTTATATTAGGAATATCATATCCCTTTCCTTTACAAAGGGGAACAAAACAATTGACTAGTTGTTTTCTGATAGACCCTCTCCATTATAATGTTCATGGTTCATATATATATGCATGGTCGTGGAGTGTTGTAGGAAAAGAACATTGATAAAAGATAACTATCCCTTATAGTAAGGAAAATGAGCATGTGAAGAAGGACGAGGAGAAGCTGTTGAAAGACAGAGAACCTACCTATTTTAACTCTTTGTGTCCTTCAATTCCATTAGAATTGTCGATATGAGTTTGGTTACATATGTATTGTCATCATAGGTTATGGTCTTATTCAGTTATCTTCTTTCTCGTATGGAAGGCCCCTATCACATATATGTTAGTATCCCATCTCAATTATGGTTCTTAGTTGAATTACATTGGTTGGTGATTGAAAACATCTATACATAATGTGACTGGACAAAGTAGTGTTGTCAATTAATTGGATTTGATATTCACGATATAACGTGTCTTGACTCATCATGTGTTGGTATTATTCTGCCTCGTCGTTCTCTTCCTGTAAGTATTACTGACATGAGCTGATGTACTCATCGCATAGTAGTTTCTCAGAAGACGATTGGTTTCAATAACTCAAATTGTTGGGAAAAAGTCATGATAGAATCTTATGACATTCGCTTACACCCCTGTTTAATGAAAGTCAGATTCATGGGCTTAGACAAATCGTTAACATAATGTCAACAAATTCTAATACAATTAATATCAACTACTATTAAATCATATTAATTCGAGTTGTCGGAAGAATTTCAGCCTAACTTCTTTTTGTAAGAATTGGACCAAAGATGTTCACTGCTGGGCTACACTCATGTCCCATGGGTCTCCCTCCAATTGTTCATGTCAAAAGGCAAATAAGCTTTCCTTATATGCATTCATCCATTTGGATCCAGTCCTTTCCCTTTCACTTTTCTGTTTAACATTGGATACTTTGTCTTTGTAGTTTTTCTCCCTACTGTTTAAGATAATTGGATATTGTTGTTTGTTTGGGTGTGTGTCAATAATGGCGATAAGAATAGAACCGGCCGCCTGCATGCATTTTGCTCGAGGGTGGGAGAGAAAATTAACATTCATTTGCTCCCTCACATCACATGGAAGCCTCGTGCGTGGATGAGGTCCAGAGGAAACACCAAATTGGGCATCCTTTTAACCACGTCTAGGCACGTCAAGAGGTCGGTAACATTATTTTATGTGCGGTGAGGAAATCTTATTGGAGGGTTAGTAACCTAATTGGTCATTAAATTATGATTAACTGCACAAAACCGCCCCTCGATTTGCTAGGTGTGACAAAGTGATGTGTCTACTTGACCTAATTTTCGTCCAATATGCCCTTTTGATCCCATCACGATAGCTCATAGCAATCCAAACATGTGTCTACTTAATCGGTAGTATACGTACCTAGCCAAAAATCCCATTCCAAAGTCTAAACTGATTGATTTGTCCGTACGAACCCTTCTCTCTTCTGAAAAAAAAAACAGGTTTCTTGAAGAAGGAGAAGAGGAAATGTCGTTACTAGAAATTGAACACACGATGTTACAATGAGAAGTGTGCATACTCACTAGCTAACCTGACCATTGTTCGCATTTGTAGAACAATCATCTTACTAACCCAGTTTCCAAACAAACCACTCTCTCTTGTCACGTATTTCATTTCAAATTAATGTGTTCAATTAAATAAACAAAAAAAACTCATTACGCAAGTTATTTATTGATGTATTTTCATTATATATCCCAACATTTAAAAAGAGCCCCCCCAACTGCGTACATATCACTAACAGAACACATTTGTCAAAATTGGGGGAAAAAAACTATATAACCTAATGGCCAATTAAATAGTTAAATGATAATTAATTGTTAATCAAACCACGGACCAGAGTCGCTGATTTTGTTGGGAGATTGGAGCGGCGCGGAATAATGCTTCCCACGACGACGCGGTCAAATTGGCTTTCTGACTTTCTGTATATAAAAATATCACACTTGACCAGCATTTGGTCGGGCCGTGGGCTAGCCTAGCAATAGCATAGCATGCATCTTCGACTTTCAGAAAAGGAGATGGCCGAGATGGAGTTGTTTTTGACCTTTTTGTTTATTCAATAATACAGACATATATACATAGTACTGTTAAATTAATACGAACGTACTCTGCTACAATTTATTTATGGCGCCTCTCCCTCCGCCGGCCGGCTGATGAGTTTAATTCGCCGCCGACATTATTGGCAGCAGAAACGATCGAAGTGATGAAAACTGAAAAGCATGCATGAACTTCCTATCTACCCACGATGGAACTTTTGGTTCGTATATTGGATTTAAGGTGGGTTTTGCCAGCTGGCACATGTACAAATTACAATTATTTCCCTTTTATGGACGATTTTTTCTGTACGTTCTTGATCGGCCGGCGCTATAGCTAGCTGTCCCTGATTTCTCTTCTTAATGCCTAACAGTACTCAGTATTGTACATTTGGACTCGTACCCTGTAAGGTCACTTGTTGAAACATGAAACCCATGGGGCTAATTAAATCCCAGTCTTCTATATAGCATATATAGTAATTAAGTGAGGTCCAAGAGATGTACATTTGTGCAACTGTAATACGTTATTCAGTGCTTTCGTCGCTGAACCTTCAATGCGTTACGTTATTTTTGTTGGGTTTCGGAGAAAATCGAACCCACAAATTATGTCGGTTGATTTTTCTCTCTCTCTCAGTAAGTCAAGTTACTGCATGCTCAGAACAGAAGTCTGCAACGAAAAAATCAAGTCCACTCTCATTATTTGGACAGCAAGTAAGCCGAGTGTGACTAGCTAGCTGTAACAATTGTTGTGTAATTTTTTGCAATCTCGATGGGATAATTTAATGTCTTTTTTCTTCAATCCATAAACACGATTTAAGGCAGAAAGGATATGGGTATACAAATTTATTTTATTGTTGTATTGCTAACCATATGTGCTGTAATTACATGCTACAAATTATCATGAAAACCAATTGAGGCCTTTTTGTAGCAAAATGCAAGGAAAAAATGGAATTTTTTTTGGGGAGTGGTTGAGAGTTTGATAGATGATCAGCCAAGTGAGTTCAGCTTAAAAAGGTGTGTTTGGGTTGGTTGCCTCAGAAGCTCAAAGTACAAAAAGCGCAATCTAAAACCTCTCTTAGTCTCTTCAAACGGACCATTTTCGCATTTAGAGGAGCAATCTATAGCTAACTTATAGTTTAACGAGGCAACAAAAAGAGGTTTTGTCGTTTTGATAATGATGATTAAGGCAAAAAAAAAATGAAAGGGGACTAATTATAGACCCAATATTAAACTATACTCGAGGCTACTGGCCAAACCTTTTCTGTTTCCTTTTCAGTTTGTGAAGGATGGATGAAACATTGAACTAATAGATTGTATACAGAGCGACTTTAATCATTGAAGACAACAACAGACTATGAATTCCTTGCAAAGAAGTTTTGAACTTGAATTAGTGTGTTAAGAAGACCTGTCATGTCCCATGATTACTCCTAATTAAGGTACTTTATGGATATCCTTATTCTAATTAAGGGTGCCGCAAGTTTTCCCTTTTACGTGTGTGAAAAATGGTGTCACATAATGTTTAAATCTACGAGCTAGTGTGCATTTCCTTAATCACCAAAACCGAAATGATTAAGAGCGTAATAAATAAAAAATTTAGCTGGTTTTTTTGGACTATCTCGGAAGATTATAGTGTTACAAATTATAATTACATCACTAATACATGTAAAAGCAACCAAGCAAACAACAAGTAGGAAGCGATTAAACAAATAACTATCTACTTAATATTGTCGAATCTTCTTTCATTTCCGAGTTTTTCTTCTTGGTACGACACACATAACGTGAAAAAAATGCGGTGAACAACTAGTTACAGAGCGAGACAGTCCTCATATCTTGAAGACGATTCATCATAGTAAACAAAGTTTGCGATATAATGTTGAAGTGGCATACACAATCCAACATATTGTGTTATCGTGGCAAATCGTAATCACCTAAGCGATATGATTTCACCAAAAAAGCACATGGGAAACAAAGAATCGCGCAAATCAGGACAAGTGGTTTGCAAATTGCAACCAGTCCTCTTCTCTACAGCATAGTTAGTAAAATACGGTACAAGAAAGTTACATATAAAATAAGTACGAATATGTTACTTCTTCTATAAGCTAATGTTACGTTTAATAGTACGTTAATAGTCATAAATATATAAAATTAATTATTTTAGAAATAAATAAATATATAAATAATAGTAAAGTTAACAATTTAATTCGTTAAGTATGGATATCAAACGTGTTATACGAGTTTTATACGTTTTTAGTACGGGAGCCATCAAATAAACGGGAAAAAATCGAACGACTTGACAATAATACGAATACTGAAATTTTAAACGGATAAAATAAGTACGAGTACATATTCGTGTATTAAACGAAATATTTACTAACTATGCTCTACGCCTACGGTCCTACTTTCGTAGAAGCTGGGCCCGTGGCCACTCTTCCTTTCCGCATTTGCCCGTTGCATATGTGGTGGGAGCGGGCTGGGCCGGGCTGGGCCCATCTGGGACTCCCAAAAATCTTGCAGGCTGCAACTGCCTCCATTTATTCATTTGCGTCACCCCACGGCCATTAACCTCGCACTAAAGAAGGGAAAGTACTAATTGGCTCCCAACTTAATTCGAGGAAAATATCCGTTCCGGCACCCGACCGGCGCCGTTTGACGGGGTTAGGTAAAAAGCACAAAAAAGGCGAGAGAGAAGGAGGACCGCAAAAACCGTTGTCAGAAAGTTAAACTCAACCGGACAGGACGAGTACTCGTATATTTTACTCCTTACATTTTGGTCCTCTTTTCCAGCTTTATGTTAACTTTCAAGTTTCAAGTCCCCTAGTTCAAACTGTACCTTCAACACTCTTTGTACTTTCATAATACAAAATCAGTAGAATCGCTTGACATTCAGATTGAGAGAAAAAAATTCGTTTGATATTGAACTCCTTAATCAAAGATAAGATATCAAAGATTGAAAGTTCGTCAAAGCACCTTCATAATCTAGATCGCTGAAATTCGCTCATTCTTTTGACGGACTATAAGCATTTCAAATTGTTATATGTCAAGTGGAGTATGTGATCGGGTTAATCAACAATATTTGTGAGCATTTATAGAGTCGAGCTAAGACGAAGTTAAAAATGAATTATTTTCATTTAATTAGAGCTGGGATTTATGTGTAAATCAAAATTTTATCTGAGTTTCGTACAATTAGTAAACGAGTTGAACACATTCTAGATTAAACATTCGACGCACATTAGTTTAGGGACTGATTTGTACATATACCAAATGTTAAAAACCTAAAACAAAAAAAGAACACAAAGGAAAAAAACAAAAACAAAAAGGAGAGATCCACGGGGGCTCCATCACCGGCTTCTTCTCCTCCTTCACTTGCCGTTGAGCTCTTAATTAAGACGAAGAAACCTCTCCTCTCCCACTTCCTCCCTCAGATTGCGACGCCCTGCCACGTTTCCTTCCCTCTCCGTTTCCTCCATTACCTTCTTCTTCTTCTTCTTCTGTCAAGTGTCAATCGCGTTTTCGCTACGGCAGCTGCCGAGGTTTCATCGTCTTTATGCATATAAAAGCTCTCCTCTCTCTCTCTAGAGCGACTGTTAAACTGAGAAAATTCCCGCTTACGTGACCTTTCTCGCTTCCTTCCCCATTTATTACTCCCAAAGTCTCCTTCCTTCTCTCCCTTTCGATCCCCTCTAGCTTTCCGTTTCCTTTACTTCCACTCCATCGTCGTGGAAGCCTTCACCGGTAAGCTTCACCACCGAATCTCTACCTTATAATTCCACCATTCGTTTGTTTTTTTACCTGTACCGGATTTGGATTGTTTGGTGAGCGAGCTATTGGTAGGAGCTCGGATTTTTAGTGATGGTGATTTAGTCTTTTCCTCTACTCTTTCTTGTTTGGTTCCTGAGAGCCAAAAATAGGCGGAAGGATGGGGAATCGGAGTGGTGGCGTGAATCTCTTGTTCGACTCTGGACATTGGAGAATCCGTCGGACTGTTGAATTTGTGGAGCCTAGCCTGTGTCGGCCAGCCGGGATGGGGGAATGCGGCTTCGAGAGATTCGGCCTCTTGGCTTGTCCTGCATTTGTATAGGCCGGCTGATTGGGGATTTAGGGCTTTGATTGTATCAGATTCAAATCCCTATCCGAGTTGATGACGGGAATTCTTATGTTTCTATGAAGTTCCATAGAAGTTAGAAAGCGGATCTTAGATAGGCTGTTTTCTTCATATGATTTCTGGTTTCCTTTCTCAGGTACTTGATTCAGTAATTTTATCAGTTACTTCAATTGGATTTGCATTTATATTCACGGTGGTTTCTCTTTTCGTTTGATGCAGTAAGGAGTATACCTGATTGCATTTCCATTAGTGATGGTTTGTCCCGTTCAGCTTAAGCAGAAGATGGGTTGAGAGGGTTTACTTGCTTACTCCACAGTTTATCTGGATTTCCGTGACTATGGCTATTGCTGCTGGCCTGCAAAATGTTTCGGTACTCGATTCGTCTTTCCTTAGGGACTCGCAGTCGGGATCAGTCCGCAACCATGGCAATGATGGGAGGGGTAGCACCCGAGCGGTCCTGAGGATGTGGAGGGAGCTTGAGGATGAGCATGGGGTGAGCCATGGGCAAGGTAGGGTTGGTGAGAGATTGCTGCAATACAGGGGTGAGGTATTGAGCAATCTGTCCAGAGGGGATGACGTTTCTGATGGGAACCATAGTGGTAGTGATGAACATGAGGAGATGAGGACTGTGAGTGGAGGTGAGAGTGAGTATGGACTTGAGGAGGATCGATCCGATCTTGGGGAGACAGAGAGGGAGAGAGTGAGGCAAATTTTTCGGGAGTGGATGAGTAGTGGTGCCAGAGAACGTAGTACACCTCATGGCTCAAGGAGAACTGGGTCAAGGGCGGAATGGCTGGGTGAAACCGAGCAGGAGAGAGTTAGAACCATACGGGAGTGGGTACAGAGGAATAATCATGGTCCTGCTGCTGGACAGATTGAACAAGTTCTTGATGGTCTTAATCTTCATCGTAGTGAAGGCCCACCAGAGCAGCAACCCAGAAGAGGGATCCGTCGACTCTGTGGGAGACAGGCTCTCCTTGACATGATTAAGAAGGCTGAACAAGAAAGGCAAAGAGAACTTCAAGGTTTGCTGGAGCATAGGGCTGTTACTCAATTTCCTCATCGTAACAGGATTCAGGTTAGCTGCTGTTGAATTTGCTTATTTGATTGTAGTTGTTTGTTACAAATTTACAATATCCACTTATTCTCTGCTATCTATTAAGGGTAATCGTTGCTTAAAATACGCAAGGTTCTTGTTATGGACAAAAATTGATTTGAAAAGTAATTTCTTGTCAAATGCGTTGTAGCTAACGATTAATAACGTTTTGCAGTCATTACTCAGAGGCAGGTTCCTCCGGAATGGCAGAATGATTGAAAACGAGAGACCTAGATCGACAGCAGCACGTGAGTTAGGTTTGCTGCGGGAAAGACATTCAGTTGCCGATTTAAGGTATGGTATATATGTCTGCACTGGATATCTAGCTTCTCAACTTACATAAGCTCCTCCCTCTTTCTATTTTCCGGCACTATTTGTACAATATGACTTGAATCTAAATTTACAGTGGAGTTACTACATCTTTTTATATTTTCAATTGAGTTCAACTTATTACATTGTTATTGTTGATTGTTTTTCTGATTGCGAATGTTTTCTTAATGTAGGGAAGGGCTATTTTCCAGACTGGACCGTTCAGCTTCTGGTCAACTAGCCACCAATGCTTCTGATACCTCGTCTAACATCGAAATAAATGGCTACGGAGCTGAGCATTCAGGAGCAAATGATTTACAGAGGGCTGCAAGTGAGTCTCCTCATCAAACACATTCAAGTTTTGGGGAAAGTAACAGCTGTATAACGGCAGATGATAGAAGCACTACTGGGTCTATCACGCATCAAGATGTGGTTGCCGAAGGATCTGTTCATATTTTAGAGGACATGTCTGAGCAACCTTCTCAGGATGTGGACCCGAGTGAAGATGAGCAATCATCTGGTGATAATACAGAAGAAATGAACAGAGATTTGCAGGAACCTACATTTCTACCAACCATGGAGAATGGAGGACGAACTCCTGGTGCAGGTGAAGCATTTTCTCAACAATCTGAGTCAAATGAGATGGATTATTCTGAAAGCAGTGCAGTTGATCATCCGAATAATCATGCACGATCAGAAGAGCCTGAGAACCTAACTTTTGAAAGTGAAGCCCCCGCTGATGATTGGTTTGGAAACCGTGATGATACAGCTGAGGCCTCTGGAGAATGGCATGAAGAAGATGGTGGTGAGTTTCAGGAGGATGTGCAAAGTTGGTTAGAAGAAGAAGAGCCTTCTTCTTATTCTCAGGATACTGCTGCTGTTGGAAGGATGGATCATCCATTTTATTATACTGATGATGATAATGTCTACAGCGAGGAGATCAGGGAACTTCTGAGCAGGTGTGAAATATCATTACAGGGGCCTCTATTCCTCTTTTGGTTTCTTCAAACGTTGTCAAATGGTTTTAACGTTAGTTTTTTCTATTCATTATTCTTGCAGGAGAAGTGTGTCTACTCTACTTCGAAGTGGGTTCCGTGAGAGTCTCGACCAATTGATACGGTCTTATGTGGAAAGGCAAAGTGGTAACTCTCAGCTTGACTGGGAACTGCAAGAAGAAACATCTCCTAGCTTACTGGAACAGGAGTTGGCTCATCAGCATACGACTGTTGATCAGAATGTCAGTCGAGGAGGTCGTATCCCGAATCCTCCACCTTTACCACCGTCGCTACCTGTCCAAAGGCTGTGGGACCGGGAATCACAGCATTACCACTGGCCTCAACATCATGAAATGCATCCACGCTTTGGCATTGTAAGTTATAAACTGCGGGTTTTGAGTTTCGGAAATTATGGTTGTTCGTTCTATCACCTATTATGAGTTTGAAAATCATGAAATGAACCGAAACATGTCGTGGGATGGAACGCAGGAGTGGGATATTATCAACGATTTGAGGATCGACATGGCTAGGCTGCAACAGAGAATGAACAACATGCAGAGGATGATGGAAGCCTGTATGGACATGCAACTCGAGCTGCAGCGCTCTATCAAACAGGAAGTCTCTGCTGCTCTCAATCGTTCCCCTGAATCTCCAGGTGCGTAGTAATTCAGAGATTTTTCAAGTACGAGCATTTCTCGTCATACCATTGTCATCTGACATTCGGATGGTTGTTTTGCTTACTCCAGGGACATGCGAGAACAGTTTTGCGGAGGATCCATTGAAATGGGAGCACGTGAGGAAAGGGATGTGCTGCGTATGCAAGGAGAGCAGTATTGATTCCTTGCTCTACAGGTACGAATAACAAATTTCCGCTACCATTATTAGTGCAGGTACGAGTTTATGAGCTTGCACCAATTCCCTTCCCTTTCAATCTTTTGTTCTGATGCAGATGCGGGCACATGTGCACATGCTCAAAGTGTGCCAACGCGTTGGTCCAGACCAACGAAAAGTGCCCGATGTGCAGAGCGCCTGTAATTGAGGTCATCCGAGCTTACTCCATCTCTTAACTCGATAGAAAGATACGTCAAAATGGTGTGTTTCTTTAGCAAATAGAGAATTGGAAAATCTGGGAGGGAGAAGTGTCTGGTTTTCTTTTTGAAGTCGCCAGGTATTTATCTGTTTTTCCCTTTTGATAGTGGGTGTCAGATTGTAGTTTGGCTTTTGCAAACTGGCTTCTGTTACTATATAGAAATTACTTTGAATCTATGTGAATAACAAGAGATCGACAAGTATTACCATAGCTACACATTTTGCTACGATACTGTTGCTAACGCAGCAGGCTGACTTCCTTAATCTAAAGTCTTGATGTCTCAACTGTTAGATGCATATGTTGTCATTTTCTTTTGAGTAATGTTTTTTACGTATACACGATCGTATGAGATTGTGTTGACGTATAATCCAACAACGTTAGCTCGTGTTGATGCTCAACCATCATAATGCTAACCGACTACAGCGATGATGATCTGGAAAGTGCCAGAGAATCATCAACGTGTTTGCTGTTTTTCAACCACCGATTCAATTTATTAGGTTGTTCCCCCAAGTAAGAATGATGCAGTGTGAAGTATCACCTACCATATTTGATATTATCGACATAACTATACATTCAATATTTTTTTTTTTTTTTTGATAGTCGACATAATTATATAAATATATTATTGGAAAATCAAGAATTTACACATAATATGGATATTTACACGTATCAGAAACTGGAGGTTCTAGGTAAGGAAACCCTATCCTGTCCCTTTCTAACCAAACTCGAAGAGCTACAAATCCTCCGCAGCCCACCAGCTGAGCCCACATCTACCGTCCACGTGTCCTCGCTCCCTACCATCGATCTTCCCTCCACCACCTCCACACTTCTCGAACCACTGCTTCCTCCTCCGCCGCCGTCTCCTCCTCCGCCGCCTTCCACCACCACTTTGACGAACTGGGTGCCTCTACACAAGGGGCAGTTCACGTGACTATTCAGCCACGTGTCGACGCACTGCACGTGGAACACGTGCTGGCAGACCGGTATCATCTTCACCGTCTCCTCCTCCTCGAACTCCCCCAAGCAAATCGCACATTCCGCCAGATCGTACTTCCCGTCCCCGCCGCCGCAGCCCTTCCGGTAACAGTACGCCGGCAGCGACTTCACCACCTCCGGGTCGAGCCCTTTCTTCTGGCTGCGGCGGCGGTAGTGATTCCCACCCTCCGCCGACCCCGCGGCTGCCGCGGCGGCAGCATCGCTGGCGAACCTGCGGATGTATAGGGAGAAGAAGCCCATGAAGAAGATGGCCGTCAGCAGCACCAGAATCGTCAGGGCCATGGAGGAGTCTATGGTCGTCTGGTTCGGGTAGTGGAATTTGTCCACCGGCGTTCCTTCTCCGACTGCCACCGGCGGTGCCGGAAGAGACACCCTCGGGTCCTTGGTGCTGGTATCGCTGCCGGCCGTGACCAAGACCGAGCCGGCGACGGAGTCGAAACCACTCGAGAACGCCACAGGGCCGTCTCGGCGGGTGAACTGGATCTTCCGATTGTTGGAGTTCATTGTTCTAACTTCTAAGGTCTACTGACTGAGCTGAATTTATATATGAAATGGGAAGTTGCAGTTTGAAGCGAAGAGAGGGGGAAGGGAATTATGGTGTGTGGATATGGAAGATAAGGTTTTTTAAATGGGCATGGGATGGGAGAGGAGGTGTTCGTTTAGTCGATTATCTAGACTGGGGGAGTTCGAATTTTCTATGTATTTATGATGTGAAAATGAGCAGGTTTCGGAAATGAACAGAAAAGAGCGTTTTGGAGGGTACTAGGAGAAGTGGGAAGCTTCCAAATATGGGGTTAGAGGAACTGGGGCCCCGAGGGATTTAGAAGATGGTGATAAGGATGAGATATGAAGTTCCCTCCCTGGCCCGATAGGCTGCTATTGCGCGGTGCATCTTTTTCTTGTTTTGTTTAATTCGTCGAAGTTTGTCTCAAACTAGGAAAATACAAAACCACGGCTGGCTGCCGAAGTTTTGGGTTTTGCTCTGGGCGGCAAGTGTTCACAGAATTTCAACGTCAACTTCACTTCTCCTAAATTGATGATTCCCTACCAAGTTGCTCCAATTCGTGGCCTCAATACGTTTCTTCTCGGCTACGATAGGCTCTATAGGGTCCAACGTTGGACGATAAAAGAATGAAGAGAGCATTAAAAAGGTTAAAAACCGATTAGTTGATTTGCCGCCCTTTCAATCCGTTGATCTACATATACAAAACAGGACCCACCTAAGTCCCAACTGGCCTAAAGCCCAAAACCCAAAATTAGAAAGGACAACAATACCACCGTACCCCTGCCTACAACACCTACACTAAACAAAACACAACGCCACATAACCCAAATAGATCACAAAAAAAACGGAAAATGACAAATGGCCAAACGGTTGCCACTTCTACAAACATTATCACGTTAGATCCCAAAAAGAGACACGTCTTTCTTCATCACTTGCCCTTGGCGGCGGTGGCGGCGGTCTCGTTCTTCTTCTGATACGCGGCGTACTTGGCCACCGCCTTGGACCCCTCCGCAACGGCATGCTTCCCGAGGTCACCGGGGAGGATCAGCCTCACCGCGTCCTGCACCTCCCGAAACGACATCGTCTGCTTCCGCGACACCCGCGACGTCAGGGTGGCGGCCTCGTCGGCGATCCGCTCGAACATGTCCTTCATCAGGCTGTTCACGATGCTCATGGCCATCGCCGATATCCTCATCTCCGGATGCACCTCCTTCATCACCTTGTAAACATACCTCCCGTACCCTTCCCCTTCCACCCCTCCTCCTCTTCCGCCGCCGCCTCTCCGCTTCCTCTTCTTCGCCTTCTTCTCGCCGCCGCCTCCTTCTTCCACCGTGCCTTTCTCCGCTTCTTCCGTTTGTTGTGTTTGTGTGGCTTCTTCGGACAAGCCGCTTGCAGCGGCGGCGGGCTCTTTTGGGGATGGTGGTTTGTTGTGTCTTTGGACTTCGGCGACGTCCGGGGTGACTACTTCCTCGACGGGGATGGTTCGGACGGTGGTGGTCTCTTCTTGTCGTTCGACGACTATCGGCTGGTCGACGGGGGTGAGGTCGACGTCGATGGTTTCTTGGCTGTCGACGAGGTTGTTGATGTCGTCTTGCGTGGCGTCGTCGACGTCTTCCTGGGTGTCTCCGTCGCCGGAGAGGAAGGAAACCTGGACGGTTTCCTTGACGACTTTTCTGGTCGACCGGACGACACCCACCACCCTTCTCTTGGAGCGCTTCGGAGCCATTTACGTACACTGGAAAATTTTAACTATCAATTACTGCTTCTTTGTGGGTAGTGGGAGGAAGAAGAGAATGGTATTATAAACGGTTAAAGATGGAAATGGAAGGGAGTTTACTGGAAGGAAGACAGGTGGGGTGACGCGTGTCAGCTTGTGGGGTGCTTTGCATGGAATGAGGAGGGTGACGTGGATTCGCGGTGAAAAGAGTGCTGGCACTCGCTGGAGGTCTCTGGACATTTTTACTTTAGCAATCCCCTTTGTTTTACTGCATTAATTAGTATCTGGAAAATTTGTAGCGCTTGTTCATATCGCGCCAGGTCTGGTCGGTTGCTTACTGCAGTTGCTTGTCGGATAAGGAGGTAATATTTTTGAATTTTGATTTATAGTTCCTCTGTGATTACTGATTAGGATATGACTTGTAACTGGACATAATAATTAATATGTAAGGTTTAATGGGCTTTTAGTATTTGCTCAAACTGGGCTTCAACAGGCCCACCAAGTTATAAACACGGACGGATTGCTTTGGGCCGCCTCCCAATCAATGACAAAACGTTGGACTATACTTCCATTCGATGGTTGGGCCATTTATGACCATACGAAGGTTTTTTTTTTTTATATAGTAACCTGTGCGGACCATACGAAGGTTAAGGTACTAATCTCTGGTTTGTTGTTTTGCATCTGAAAATGAAAACCACTATACTAGTAACCGCAATTTCTACAAACTAGCCGTGATGCCAGTTTTTCGTAGCAATTTCAATTTATCTTACTTCATTCAACTTGCGGCCAATTTACATACGTATCACAAAACAACACTATTTTGTACTACCGCAGTAACTGCTATAAACGTAGCCGTGACGCAACCATATGTACTTCATGATCATATAATACCAAGAAGAATCAGACATTTACCCCCGCGAAGAGATCGAGGGTGGGGAAAAAAACACAAGACCGGCCGTGTGCCGGCTGCACATGACTGGCAGGCAGCTGGTCGTCTGACAAATGACGATTCGATCTCCCCCGCCGGCCCATAAAAGTCAGTGAGCTTTTTGGTCTGATATACAGATCACGGCAGGTGGTTGCCTTACGGTAGAGGGTGAATTCTCTTGTCCTTCTCTCTGGCATATATATGTACTGTACAATTTGACTGATGACCACCGATCTTCAATTAAATTCGAGGTTACCTAACTTTAATTTACAAACTTAATCAGTAAACTAATTTGGTGCTTAACGAATAAAATGGTCATTCTAACCATTTTCATCAAGTTTTTCATTAAAGACAGGTCCCGATCATCTTATTTCATCCTAAGTTGGTTCTGGCCTTCTTGACTGCAAATTACAGGAAGTCATGTTCTATCTTTTGCTACCCTCCTCACATTTTCATTCAAGAACCCGAAGTAAACCCGTCTTCCTGACCCAACCTTTACGAGAATTCCTCCTCACATGAGAGACATGTCATTCATTTCTTAACAAACTCTCTAACTTCTTCAACCGACCACAAACGATCGCTGCCATCAACCTACCTCGTAGCCAATTGCTCGTCGTCTTTTCAACTTCCTACCTCCTTAATTAGAAATTGTTTCGACTCATCTCGCGTATATGATGTTCAACCCTTTAGTAATATGGAATGCATGGAACATGTTTGTTTTTTCCCCCTTCTTGTTCCGCTTTGTCTCGCCTGATTCTCGCTATTCGATCGTGTTAAATACATACACATCGTGTTAATTAAATACATATACATCTTCATATGGGCAAGACTAAGCAGTACAAAAAAGCCAAAGACATAAAAAAAAAAACCCACCTCCAAGCATGGATTGCTGTTTACTAGTGGTAGAACTGAACATTTGATTATATTGCTGAGATGTTCATGTCAAATTAAAGGGATCAGTTAGCGTGACTACCCCTAAAGGGGTAGTGATTTTTGACACCCCCTTTATGATTGGCCAATTTTATTTCCAATCATTGGCAAGTATTAATTAAACTGATTTTTTATTTTTTTTTAATCTTGTAATTTGGGGTCTCTCACCACATTAGAAAAGAGAAAGAATCTGGGGAAAAACGAAATCACCCCCATTAATTACATAATTAATTTCTCTCACTGGTACATTAATTACACGTACCACTCCACTGGTACACGTACCACTCCACTGGTACACGTACCACTCCACTGGTACACGTACCACTCCACTGGTACACGTACCACTCCAATGGTACACGTACCACTCCACTGGTGCGAGCAATCCACAAGGTAGGTTAGAGTGAGAACAATACCAGTGCAATGATATTTTTCATAACAATGATAAACAATAATAGGGAAAAAATAGGAACTTTCCATTAGTAGCCAAAAACTGTGTTCCAAAATGGGTTGCAAAATTAGGGAAATGCCAACAACAATGCCAAAAGCAATAAATTATCCTTCGAATGTGAATAAACATAAAGTCTTCACAATTTTTTAAGCCTAAACAGGACATATGGTTACACGTACCACTCCACTGGTACACGTACCAGTGGAGTGGTACGTGTACCAGTGGAGTGGTACGTGTAATTAATGTACCAGTGAGAGAAATTAATTATGTAATTAATGGGGGTGATTTCGTTTTTCCCCAGATCCTTCCCCATTCATAATTACCAACGTTTTTCTCCTTCCCCATTCATAATTATTATCACAATTAAGGCTTTCCCAATTTACAAGATTACAATAAATAAAGTAAAAAGCTTAAATGGAAAAGTGACCAATCAAGAGGAGGGTGTCAAAAACCACTACCCCTTTAGGGGTTAGCATAGTATCCGACCCCCAAATTAAACTCCATTGATCATAGGGTAAAAGAGCAGTATTACTAGCTAGCTAGACCCAAATTCAATTATGCAATTTATTAACCCATTAACTTCCTAATTACTAGTTACTCGTTGAAACTTATTAATTAAAGATCCATTTACTTGTAGTTGCGCACCAATTACAATAATTGACTTCCCCTCTAATTTTGTTAGACTCACTAAATATTGTACTAGCTAACTAGATTTATTTCACCTAACAAAGTGCACCTTCTGAAGTGACTAATCACCGTCCCCTTGCTTCTAACTAACCACATGCAAATGCAAGAGGTATATATACAAACAAATTCAAATGAAACTGAAATTCACTCAAAACATTGTCATTATCCACTATGGGGGAAAATGGGAATTCAAGGGTTATTATATTATTTGTGAATTGAGAAGCATAGAGAAGGAATCCAATGCAACATTTTAATCAAGTGAGAGATGAAATTAATGAAAGAGAAGCAGGAGAAAGTCAATCAAAATGAAATAATCTTTTTTTTTCTTCTTCTTATCGGTCGTAGTAATTCAATTGATCTTCATTTTGCACAGAAACAATTCATCGTGGTAAATTCTTGTCGTAATCGGATACAATATACATAGAAGATTAAGACTACGTCAACTACTACTCATGTTCAAGTGTGAGGAGAAATTGTATAATCAATTTTAATGATCATGATTTAGCTAGAAACTATGGCGGCGCTTCCTTCTCACCCGCCGATCATTTCTCGTACTGCTGCTAGCTTCCGCCTCCGCGGCGGCGGGAGGAGGAGGAGGAGTAGAGGTGGAAGTAAAATTAGTTGCTGACCGGAAGAAAGATTCTACCTCTTCCCGGTTGATATTCTCGAAGAACTGATCGTCCGGCGGCAGCTTCCTCTTCCTGTTGCCAGCTGGTGCCGGTTTCTTCTCTTTTCTCGGTGTCGGCGGACAGCTTTGGGCCCTTATCGGCCTTGTTGTCGGAGTTCGAAACCCTTCCTCCTCCTCATCATCTCCTTTCTTCTCCGGAATCCCCGCCGGCCGGCCTTCTTCTTTGTCTTTGTCTTCATCTTCTCCTTCTTCGTCGTCTTTGCTGCTGCTAGGATCGGGGTGATGGTGTTTTTGGTGGGACATTTCGCGCTTTTCTCGGAGAAAGCTGCAGCTTATTGGGCGGTATTTATATGAATTAGATTTTTAGTAAGATATATGTACAGAAAGGGGAGGATTATTGCGAGGGAAGCTTTGGGGCGGAAAAAAGGACTCTACAAATGGAGGAAGATGGAAGATTTAAGACAGCGAGAGAGAGAGAGAGAGAGAGAGAGAGAGAGAGAGGGAGGGGAAAGGTGCACTGGCGTTGACGAAAGGACACCAAAAGTGTAGCCAACACGATTTCCTTCCTTCTATTTTTGTGTTATGTTTTTTTTTTTTCTTCTTTAATTTAGGTTAGAATTGATTTTCCGATTTATCCTTTTAACTTCTTACTTACGGCGGGCCGTCCCACTTCTTCTTCTTTTGCAGCACTACACGTGTCCCTCGTCCTGCAGGTTGTATTAATATGTCGACGGCGAACCCAAACATGATTTTCCCAGGGTTAAATTAAAGATTTTAATTTTTAGCAAAAGTACGTACTTTGAGTAAAAACTAAAAACATTCCACTGTGTTCATTGTTCTTCTGCTAAATACGCAGGCTCTGCTGCTAGGTGCAAGCAAGCTAGATTATACCATAGATTTGTGCTATCACCATGACGTAACCTGGATAGATAGTTAAATAGTTCTCGTACCATTTAAATTTGGATGGTGACGCACAAATCAAATCGTACATATTTATCTAGTGTTTCTTGAATACCATAAAAACAAACAGAAAACAGAGTAAATTTTTTTTTTTATGCGACAGAACAATTTTACTTCTTTCTTGCGAGAAATAGTGCTGAAAATCGATGTATAATTCTAATTCATCTCCCTCCCGCATTCTCAAAGTCGGATGTGGAACAAATTAGTGCGGATAAGGAAGCTTCCATGCGACTATAAGAATCACACATTTTATTCTAATTTGTTAAGTAATTATGGTACGTTGGTGATTTGTTTGATTGTTTATATAAAGAAGTACCAATTAGCATAAGGAAACTTCTCAATTGTTTTCTCGACCAGGCGACACCAGTATCTTAGCTACTTATCGTATTCCTCGCATCTTTCTTCTCCGACCCAAATAATCATATGATTGGCAAAGACAATTTAAGTTCGGCGCTACCAAATACACCAATCCCCAAAAAGATCCACATTAAACAAACAAATATAAAACCCATAACCGGTGTTACAAAATTATTCGTAAAGCCCCATGTGACCCATGGTGCATGGGTCTGGTAACCATACAACTTACCTAGACACAAAAAAAAAAAAACAATCATAATAATATAATTAACCACACTAGCTACTTATATTATATGCACTTTCTTATCGTATCTGTGTCGATTTGTCTCGGTCTCATTTGGGGCGGGTATTATCCAACTCGTAGCAGCGTGTAGCAGGGAGGGCAATAAGTATTGTTTCCGATCAGATCCCCTTCATCCTTCCCTATTCTCAACCCGTTCTATTATTAACTTATATCAATATCTACACGTATTTCTCATATTTTGACGATTTCACAAAATCCTATTTTCATCTAAAGAAGTTTTTAAGGCTCTATCTTTCATCTATTTAAACTCAGTACATACTTATACTCATCCACAATTACGGCACGACGAGTATAGGGTATTACTCTCACCGTCCGACTCCATTGCCATCACTAGTATATATATGATTCGTATATGAAAAAACCAAGTGAATAAAACAATTGATTTGTTGAAACAGAATCCAATATTTGCAGAAGCACAGCAGCTAGCTGCCCTGCCGCCTGCTCCAATTTGCCTTTGATGGGATGGAAGAAGAGAATCCCATGAAACAGAGACATACAGAGAGGAGAGTACGTCCTTATCTACTACCTCTCGTCTACACTAATCTGTCGTCTTGCTCTGTATGTCTCTGCCCTTCACTTCACATGTCGTGTCATTATATATCCGTCCATCCATCTTCCTTCACTTGTCTGTATTAAAACCATTTTGCATTGGATTCCCTTTTTTACAGACCAACAACCCCTACCTTCCGCTCATTCATTCATTATTGTGTATTTAATCCCTACAACGTCCGGAAAAACAACCCACTTGAATGAACGAAAGGTTACACTTACACACGACACGACATGACACCACATTCCCCCCCGGCGTTTCCTTCCATCGTCTGCTTCTGCCGCCCATACTGCTTCTCCTCTACAACTACCCGTTACTCAGTCAAAAGTCTTTCACTACTTCGGCTCCCACGCAGGTAATTAAGAGATCGAGCTTGTAAATCAGTTAGCCGTGGTTTGCATTGAATGTGTTTCTTAACAAAACATAGTTGATGATGAATTGATGATGATGATGTGACTAACTTGAGCTAATAGTAGGACACTAAATCGTTAGCGAGTCAAAATGTTGGTAATAGGTCATCATTTGGGAATAGTGCTGGACAATCGGTTACAACCGAAACCAGTCGGTTATCCACTAACCGATAACCGAGATAACCGAAATTCAATCGGTGTTCGAAGGCTGGGTGATATAGTTTTGGTCTTGGGGGCTGTTCGGTTAACCAAAAATCGAGATAACCGAAGGCTTAAGCCCTCTTTCGGTCGGTGGTCGGTAGGGTTGAGAGGTGGTTAGGTTGACCAATAACCGACCATTCGGTTATCGGTTATAACCGAACCGACTGGCCGTCCACCCCTATTTGGGAACATCTTATCGAAAAAAAACCCTTTTAATAAGTTATGAGACAGTTGAATCATGGTTAAATCATGATTTCAGTGTAAACTATCATAAGTCATAACATTTATATTTTTCCGAATATTTATTGTTGGACCTCTAATACCGCAGCAAATCCAGAATTTCACTAACAAAAATAATATACTTCTTACTTAGATTGTGTTACTGCGGAATTTTTTCAATATAACTTTCACAATGATTTTAAGATCGTTAAATTGACCCCCTGTTTTCCTGTCGAGGTAGCATTAGCAACATGCGATGGGTTCCCCAGTTTGTTATGATGGGCTTTCGGCCTTATTGTTGGGCTTCACTCTTATTAGCTTTTGTCTAACTGTTCCCAATGGGCTTGTTACGCATGGTCTTCTTTGTGTACCAGTTAGAACTAGCTTGCATGCACTCGGCCCAAAGTTCGCTCACTCTTCAACTTCTTTTGTTTGTACTTAAAACTAAGGCTGGCTATTTGGTCCGGACTTTTTGGGTTTACTCGAAATCGGACCGGATCAAATAGCAAATAATTAAATCTCATCTTCGGTCTTATATTTGAGGTAAAAAAATTGTTTGGTACAGGATCGAAAACCGGATAAATATCAGATAAGAGTGCGCAACATCCAAAACTTAACCAACTCCTCACCTTTTGAGGTCTCAGGCCACTCAAATTTCCACAAGCTCAATCTAAAACCAAAACCGAATTGGGACCGGACTGTATCCAATTCAATCTTTGGTCCTTATATTCCCGAAAAGACTGGATTGAGACCGAATCAATTCCGGCCAATTTAACCAGACCGGACCGTATAGGCAACTATAAGAACTAGAGATATGGGGTAATCAATTGGAGGCATCCTCATCATGTTCTTGTTCTGTAACTAAAGTTTTTTTTTTATACAAGTAAAGCACATAACAATGTTATAATCCCCACATCTTAATATTCCCCCCTGAATTGTATCTAAACTTTAGTATACTATAAGCAAATAGATATAACTAGCTAATCTAGTTGAACAAGGAAAAACACAAAACAAAGCCAATTTTAATTTTCTCATCTTAATGGGGGCAGGAGGGAAATGAAGCATCAAGTTCTTCGCTAGTTTAGGCGAAAAAAGGCGCCCTCTGTGGGATCCCCTTTCTTGGTCTCCTCCTCGGGTTGGACGTCGATCGCTTCGGCGGTGGAGGCGGCGGCGGGCTAGAGGTGGCCGCCGGCGACGGAGGTGGAGAATCCTCGTTTTGCTGCACACCACCATCTTCTTGTTGCTTTTCCTCACGCCATTCTTCCCTGCAGCTATTTCCTCGTCCCGACCTAATTCTTTCCTCCAGTATTTCATCCCCTCCTCCTCCATTTCCCTCCGCCGGGATCGTCACCTTAAAGCTTGCATCGCCACTCCTCTTGATTCTTGCCAGCTGCACATGTTATTACATATTTAACCAAATGCCCAACAATATATATCATGCTTGTAACTTGCAAGTTAGAGTATACACAATTACACATATAGTCGGATTATCAGAAGGAATCCTTCTACTTTTACTCTAAATTATTGTTGTTTCAGAATAGAAATTGGATTTTTATAGTTAAAGATACAAGTTTATTGGTTTAGTTTGTACCATTACATAAATATACAAATTCAGTATGTGGAATTCGAATCATACATTACAAAAATTTATAGTTACGAAGTTGTATAATAACATTAAAACTACAAATTCAAATGGTATAATTTGTAAATCAAAGCACCATAAAATATTATAAAATATTTAGTTATATTAATGAACAATTATCGTTAAGACGTTAACTTTGTGCTACTAGCATCGAGTTGCTTCTAACACACATAAGTAGGGTTGGCTATTTGGTCCGGGCTTTTTGGTTTTATCAAAAACCGGACCGTATAACCCGGATCGAAAGCGGATCGAAATCGGATAGCAAACAATCCAATCCAATCTTTGAGCCTAAATTTGAGGTAAAAAACCGTTTGGGACCGGACCTAAACCGGATAAAGACAGAATAAAAGAGCTCAACACCCAAAATTTATCCTCCTCACCCTTTCAGGTCTTAGGCCACTCAAATCCCCCCTCGAGCAACTCAAATCCCCACAAGTTCAATCTAAAATCAAGACCAAATTGGGACCGGACCGGATCAAGACCAATATTTGATTCTTATATTCTCGAAAAGACCGGACCAGTACCGAATCAATTCCGGTCAATTTAACCGGACCGTACCGTATAGCCACCCTACGTCAGATTATCGAGGAATGTTATTTTTTTAAAAAAATAAGATTAATGCTGAAAGCTATTTAACATAGAGGATAGGCATAGGCTCGACTTATATAGATACAAAAAATGAAAATGCAAAAGGGGGAATGCATGGGTGGAAATGGAACCCCCTCTTAATTAAATTACCTTACACCCCAAAGAGCAGAAACGACACGGATCCAGCAGGCTCCTCCCACAAATCTCACACAAATGCGTAACGCCTTTCCCACTACTACTGCTCCCACCGCCGCCGCCGCCGCCAGCCCCACTCCCCGCGCCGCCGTTCTTCGGCAGCGGCCGCTCGTTCAGGAACACAACCTTCGCACTGTTGATGACGTACGTCTGGACCCCACCGGTGTCCAGCAGGCTCTCCACCTCAGCCACCCTCACCACGTCGTGATACGACGACCGCCTGATCTGCAGATGGCAAAAAAAAAAGAAAAACACGGTAAAAACGGCGGCGTTTTTAATTAATTATGGGATATATATATGTGTATTATGTATATATATACTTGGATGACGGCGTGGTCGTGGTGGCGGGAGGAGCGGCAGTAGAAGCAGAAGGCGCCGCCGTTGGGGCAATCGAGGCAGAACATGTTGCACTCGGTGCGGGGCCCGTCCTTGTGACGTAAGCAGCCGGAGAAGAACGACGTCGTCAGCAGCGGCTCCAGCCATTCCGGCACCACCGCCGCCACGTGTCCGGCCTTCTCCTACGTACGGTGCACCGGCGAGACATTCAAATTAGGATTAGTAGTAATAATGAATTAATTACATACGCTCCTCAAAGCCAATTAATTAATTAATGAGATTGAATAAAATTTTTGTTGCTTTCGATTTGGTTTTACTTTACCATTTGGATTCTCGAAGATGGAGGGGAAGATCACGGGTATATGCAGCAATGGCGGCTGTATTTTGGACTTCAGTGCAGAGGGAATTTTAATGGAGAATTCATGAGATGGAATGTAATCCAGGGTATATAAAGAGGAAGAAGAAAGACTTGAGGTTTTGATATATGGAAACAGAATTAATTAAAATTTGGTCAAAGGATTAGTCATGAAAAGAAAATTTGGTCAGAGAATTTTTGTATATACACAAAAAAAAGGCCGACTTTTTATTTATTGTGCATGTCAGCATGTGTAACGGTTGGAATGGAGATGGTGCGGATGGCGTTTGCTTTGTTGGTTGAGAAGAAATTGTATAGTTGAATATTGGGTGTATATTGTTAATAAAAACGTTCAGTAATAATTTTAGGGCTGAATTAACACTTTCATATACCGTTCATTTTAAGAACAATACTCTTTTACCGGATTATGAAAACATTAGTTAAATAGTGATTTAGTATTACTAAACTAATTAAGAACGATCGGTCATGATCGTTGTCAGCACCTGAACGTACATATATCGATCGAGTTCAACTAATTTATTTGATTCACTTAATCTGATGTATGTAACCGTTAAAAATATATAATCATTGGCATCCAATGAGTTGTAGTTCTTTTAAGGATCTCTGATTTGACTTAAGATTTCAATGTTACAAACATTTTTTGTAATATGCTTAAATATGAATCTTATATAATTTATTAACACGTCATCTTAAAAGAAAGCCAACTCACATTAACATTAAGTTTGCACAACTTCGAATATCATGTGCTTAACTTATGAGGGTCGTCGCGAATCGAACACATGAACTCTCAATTGCAGAAAGCTCTAACACCATATTAAAAAACCAGTTGATTCTAATAAAATGTATTTGGTTATAAATCTTATACTATTTACTAACATTTTCTTGAAAAGCCTTGACCGTGCTGCAAAGATAGAAAAACAAATCAAAGAGAAAAGGGATGTGATTTAAGAGAGAATGTATTCCCTAATTGCATATTGGTACGTTTCCATTTAAAAAAAGGAGTATTTTAATACCCAATAAACCATTTACAAACTTGCCAATTAGTTTCGGTCGCCTGTCAAGTTGAGTTGACTTGTTGACTGCTTTCTCCATTTCTACTTATTCATTGGGGAGAGGACTTTGACCAATATCTGAATGTTAAACAAGAATTAATCCTTCCTTAGTTTGTCCTATGCTTGGTCATCATTTACATTTTTCGATGGTATAATTTTTTTTTTTTTTTGGTCATTCGGTATAATCTTTTTTAATATATAATGAGGGATTTTGGTATATACCTTTAGAGGTAGTTTTGGATTAACTCTTTTTTTTTTCCATAGTATTTATTTATTCACACCAAGAATGAATTGCCGTTTATTTCACGCGATTGATTTTATTAACGATAGATTGTACACCGATCAATAAAGAAATAAACTTTTAAAGTTGAAAATAGTTAAAATACTTATTTTCCCTTCTTTTAGTTAACATCTTATTTTATAGCTCACAAATCGCCTATATTCCAGAGGTTTATTTTCTTCACTTTTCTGATATTAAAGGACTTACAGGTTGGAGTCTCTCTTCCATGCACTTCTAAGTAGGGATGACAAAAATATCCGTAACCGTGGATATTCGTCCGAACCCGGACTAAACGGGTAGGGCGAAACCCGAACCCGAATATTGTGGGTAATGGGTGGGCATGGGTTTCTCACTATCCAACCCGAATCCGCCCGATTATACACATACATATGTATTTTGTCTATAAATAATCATTATATTTCTCTAACATATTTTATATTTAGCATATAAATATAATATTTTCATGAAATTGTGTTGTTTTAATTAATTTTCTTCATTCTAGTGAATTATTGTCATACTTTTCCTCTTAAGTAATGTAAGAATACGTGTGAATATTAACATATTGGTTGGAGTTATGAAGAGAAATCATTACCCATGGATAACCGTGGATACCCGAAACCCAAATGGGTATGGGCATGTTTTTAATTTTCTACCCGTTTCACATGTGGGTATGGGTATGGGTAAAACCCGAACTACTTTGGGTAGGGTAACGGATATGCACCGTCCCCGACCCGACCCATTGCCATCCCTACTTCTAAGGAACTCATCCTTAGCTCTTTGGAAATAAATGAATCTCGCTAAAGGATTTTGGTTATAGTTTTCCTTGCGACAGTCCGTAACGGGGTGGTACTTGTGATATCGAAAGGCTTGGGACGCATTCTCATATCGCGGTTGCTGCTACTAGTGTTATCTCTTTACTCGAAAAACTACCTTTAGCTTTCGATTTCGACGAGTCTGCACTTGGCCTGAAAGTCCCATCCCTGGGACCTGTAGTGACACGAGAGCAAGTCCTAAGCGGGCTCACATAAGAGCAATTGTATATGCGGAGAAATAGGAATTTCCTAAATTCCGAGAATCTTTCGGACAAATCAATAAGAATTAGTGATTTGAACTTGTCACATACTATATCGTAACCAAAGCAATAAGAATTTTAATTAAAACGCTATCGAAACCAAAGCGCGAAATCACGAGTTGGTTGTGTTCCCATTGATCCCCAGTTCAACTATGATGACCATGTCCGGCCTGTTATTCAACAACGATTTGGATCACACCATGCCAACGCTTGAACTCAATCTTATCGAACCAGGTCATAGTTTCGATTCAATCTTTAGAATTCTTTTTAGCTTCAGTTCTGTTGAACCCTTTTGAAACTATAAAGGATCAAAAGATAATTGAGCACATGCTTACTCCAGTTTTGTTCTTATATTTCCTTTCATTTTGGTATATTTGTGTTTTCCCGGCGAGAAAAACTAGAAGAACAGAATTGGATTTTGCACCTTTTTGACTTCCAAACAAACGATTAACAAACACGGTCCACACCTCTTTGAACAAAGTTCAAACAAGGGTGTTCGATGTTCTTGATGATATACGAGGCAAACTAAATTACATTAACTCTACTCCTATGGAGATTCAGTGAGAGCTCCAAAACTACAACTATGGCTATGACTACATTTGCAGAGGAAAAGGTAAAGATAAAAGGGTAAATTTTGACATTGTGTTGTCTGGTGTGATTTTGGCGAACCCTTTCTCTGTCATCTTCACCTCCTATTTATAGCCATCAAAAGTAACTGCCCCAAGAAACTGCTCTGCTGACGTGGAGTGACGGTTACCCTCTCAACTGCTATGACGGTTACCCTGATGTTGGAAGTGGGATCCTCTTCAGTCTTGACCCCTCCTCTTGAGACCACAACCTCTGCTCTTGGCACCTCCCCCGTAGTTTTGCTTATCCATAGAGTAAAAATGGCTAAGGCATAAAGGAATACCACTTACCACATATGGGTGGGTATTTGAATAACATGAATTAAAAATGGCAAAAAGTACTTCACCATTAGTAGAGTAAAGAGACCACGTGCTCACATGACCCCATTGCCTTTGCCATACCATGGGGGTGTACGTTGGTGACCCCTCACCATACCATTGGGGCATCCTCCATGGGGTCATATGGATCACCCCACCACTATATCATCCTCATGGGAGCTGGCGTTGGTGACCCCCCACCCCTGATCATACCATGGGGGTGGTATGTTGGTGGTCCACAGACCACCTCATGGGGGTACTCCTTGCCACCCTCATCATCTTCCATACTTAGCCACGTTTTACCTCTTCTAGTCTCACCACGGCCACGGGGGTGGTGGTATGGTACCTACCCCCTCAGTATGTCTTGATGGTGGTATGATGATGGCCACCCCCTTGGTACCTCCCAGGCTGGTGGTATGATGCCCACCCCCTTGCCACGTCCTGGGGGTGGTATGATGGTGGCCACCCCCTTCACCATGTCATGGGGGTGGTATGATGGTGGCCATCCCCCTTGGTAACTCCTAGGGGTGGTGGTATGAGGCCCACCCACTTACCACATCCAGGAGGTGGCTCCCATACTCCTTGCCTTAGCCAAATTCGGCCATCACCCCCTCACCATGTCACTGGTGGTGGCGGTATGACACCGAGCCATCCTCCAAATCTCTCCACCACGGTTCGATGACCCGTCCTACCATGATTCTTGCAACATATCATTTTTTACTCCACGGACTTTATTTAATTAAAATCGAGGCGGTAGACTTTGCAATGTTACATCGACATTGACATCACAACGTTGTCGAGCTCGCACTCTCTCAAACTTGATTCTTATGGTAGCCATGATGTAACAGAATCCACGCTGCTAATGCTCGTTCATCAATGCCATAAAATTCGCGACGTTGTTTTGAGCTAAACAACGTCGCTATTTGAACTCCCTTCCTCTCAAGTGATTTTGTCATGATGTATATCTTCGCCACATTGATGTTGGGATCTCGCAGTGTTGTTCATCGTTCACCTCGCGGCGACGTTGAGCTTGCAATCTCGGCCTTGATGGTCCACACTTGCAATATTGGTTCATTGTTTTTCTATACCTAACAACGGTGTTGCGGTACCTAACAACGTTGATGCCTAGCACCGCAGCACCGTTGTTGTTTGGTAGAATTTGTAACGAACTCTCAACCAAAACAAACTTGTTAAATGGCCCGAGTTCCTCGGCCACGTTTTCACAAGTCTCCAATGCTTATTGCGACGTGGTCTAATCAACATGCATCTTGTAGCCTTGCCATATTTCTATGTGGGACCGACCAATGTCAACGCGATGTTGTTTTGGACTAAACAACGTCGTTGCTAGTATCGCGGTGTCGTTTGGGTTTGACTTCTCGGCATTATTTGAATTTACTAAACAACGACGTTTCTAATTCCACGCCGGTGTTGGACACGCCATCCTTGCAACACCATTTTCTGTCAAGATTCATATTTCTCTCCACTTGCAACATTGTCGAGACCCAATACGATCTTGGTCAAATCCTCTCCTTCGTCGGTAAGGAATAAAGAGCACTCCTTTTCCAATCCCAACACCAACATTTGCAAAACCGAACCATGGCTCACGATATTGTTTTCTACTAAACAATGTCGTTTCAAATATCGCGGAGTTGTTGGGCTTGCTCGTGGTGTCGTTTTCTTCCCCAAACAACTATGTTGCTTTTTTACTCCACGACATTGTTTTATATTAAACAGTGTCGTTTTCTAATCCACAGTGTTGTTGATACCACTCGCGGCGTCGTTTTCAACTAAACGACACCATCCAAAATAATCATTAAAAATATTAATTAATTAAACCGACCATTCAGAAAACTTGGCCAACGCGACATTGTTTTCAATTAAACAATGTCTCTCTTGGTATTCTGGGCGACTTTGAATTCACGTTGGACTTGGTGGCCCGTGGGCCAAGCACTTAACCGATATTGTTTTTAACTAGACGACATCTCTTACCAATACCACGACATTGTTGATACTTCACGCGGTATCGTTTTTGGCCAAACAACACTGTTTCCCAGTCTCGTGATGCCATTGAGCTTTGAGCTTCGCCAAACCGTTTTACCTCTTCACGACGTTGCTTGACTCCAAACAGTGTCTTTTTTTATCACACGACATCGAATTAAATGTCGAGACTCAATGCGACATTGAATTCAGACGAAAATAATTTTAGGTGTCAACACTGCGCCATGGAAAAAAGAAACTACAGAGGACGACGCGTTCGCAGACGTCTTTGGTCAGATTGGAAAAGGCGGTGGTTAGGCTCCGACAGAGGACTCCTATATTATTATGGATTAATTAACCTAAATTTTATTAATTAATTATATTTTCATTTCATCAATTCATAAAAAATTCAGAATTAAAATAATTTCTCTCAGAATAAACTCCAAAACAATTTATTTGAAATTTCAGAAACAAACATATCTGCCTCTAAATATACTTTTAGAGACTAATATTTTTGTATTTAATATGAGAAATTGAGGCAAAATTATAGTCATCAAAAGGATATATTAGAGACTAAAATATCAGTTGCGATATCTCTAACCAGCAACCGAAAATATTTGTCTCCAAATCTGACTCGATAGAGTATTTGTGATAGCTATACAAGAGACAAATTTGTAATCTGCATCTAAAATAATACAGAGACAAATAAGTGGCTCAAGATAGGGTGCATAACCCATGGTTATGCACCCATCAATAACCAAATCTGGACCCTTCATTTAGAAAATCCAGATCTAAGGATGGAGAATTAAATGCTATTTTTATTTTCACTAGTTTTCTTAATTGACTCATATCTTTTTCGTTTTAACTCGGATTTTAATTTTTTTTTGCACAGATGGAACGTGTTCACCGTGCTCTACTAAATGAGATCAATTTTCAATATTTTTTTAGGAAAAAAAAATTCTGGCCTCTCGGTACCAACTGCATACCATATGGTATATTCTTCGTTTTTAATTCATTTTTGAAAATGTTTGCACAGCAGGGATGAGTTCATCATGATCTACTGGATCTACAAATTTCTGGGTGAACAAATTACAGGACCAAAAAATACCACACGATACCATACAATACCACCGTGGTACGGGGTGGTATTGTATGGTATCTTCTTCGTTTTTAATTCGTTTTTGAAAACGTTTGCACAGAAGGGACGAGTTCATCATGATCTATTAGATCTACAAATTTCTGGGTGAACAAATTACAGGACCAGAAAATACCACACAATACCATACAATACCACCCTGGTACGGGGTGGTATTGTGTGGTATACAATGTTAAAAGTCGTAAATTACAATTAATATACTTCTACTATCATGTATTCAACCATCCTACAGTATTGGTTTGTTCATACCACCATTGTACGTTTTTCAAAACATAGGTATGCTTTTATTTCAATACTAGTCAATACCATATGGTATAGGCTGGTAAAAAATGGCTCAATTTTTTTTGTTCGAAAAATATATTAAAGTGGATATCATTTTGAAGAGCATAATCAATTTGATCTAACTGTGCAAAAAAAATTAAATTTTGACTTAAAATGAGCGAGAAATCGTCCATCAAAGATTAAAGAGGGAAAAATTAAAGGCTTTCCATGAGAGAGAGGATGCTGATGTCATGCTGATGTGGACGGGTTACTCATGGTTACTCACCATAAGGTTACTGACCTGATCCATTCCCCAAATAAGTAGCTTATAGAGACGCATTTCCTTTGTCATTATATCTAGATTTTCTTATTGTAAAAAAAAAATCTGAATTTTCTTGTAGTGATTGTAACAATTAATGTTATTAAGTTTGGTCTCATAGATCTTAACTTTGAAACCAAAGCCATTAAGCCATTTACTAGCAATGACATGAGTCAAGAGGGACGTGACCCTCTACTGAGAGGCCATTTCAGGCCACGAACGACATGTCAAAAGAGAAAAAATGACTAGGGGTCGTTTGGAAGTTGCGATTGTTAAATAGATGTATTGTTGAGAATGCATGTATAATATTATACATGTATTGTCGAATTTGATGCATTGTAGAATACAACGTTTGGTATGTGTGATTGTGTATGTCGCATCAGCTAAAAGCTGAGACAAAACAATCTCAACTCAACTATCTCAACAATCACAACGAAAAGTTGAGATATAACAATCACTCAAAATGAGTGATAGTTTCTGTCACATCACAGAAACAATCCATGTATTGTTTCTGCTAAAAAAATAAAAAAAACGATGCATTGTAAACAATACATGCATAATGACAATCTCAACAAAACTATCGCAACTTCCAAACGACCCCTAAGTATGAGAAGTCTCAGGGCGCAAGTCGACAAGCCTCTAGGCACGAGTTGCCAAGGCTTAGGGAACGAACAAGAGGTCCTTGACCGAGAAAGCAGGCCACGTTTCGACAAACCTGAGGACTCAAGTCGACAAGCCTCAGAGTGTGAGCTGAGAAGGCCCAGGGCACAAACAAGAGGGCTAAGAATAAGGTTGTCAAACCGGTTTGTGCCAGTGTACCGGTTTAGCAAGTGTAATGATTCGACCGGTGGTACATACCAATTTGTGCCGGTTCATGCCAGTTAATATTACACTTTTTTATCAAATACATAATACTTAGTATTTGATTGCCAAATAGATCACTCAAATCCTACAAGTAAACTCTAACCATTTTTCTTTTAGATCAAATTCAATCTAGCCGGCGATTTTTGTGGATTCTATCGATGTCGAACGGCGGCGGAGGAAACCGGTGCTTGTTAATTTCTTCTCCCTCCTCACGTCTCTCTGGTATGATTGAGAATGCAATCTGATCCGATTTACAGCCTCATCGGATGCAATTCACCGTGAGGAAGTTTCTTGACGAGATCCATTAGGCAGGAGAGTACTTGCCCAGCCGGCTTCTTTCTCCGTAGAATTTCCGGGAAAGCCTCTGTCTTTACCTTAGCGAAGGCCAAGTAAGTTCTGAAGTTCGGTTACTTCCTTTGCTTGATAGATACCATATACTGTTCTCTTTAGTAATCCTTCCCATTATCTGCAATGGGCGTTTGAATTTGCTAGCGATTGGAGATTTCGTTCGTTGTAAGTTTCAATTTTGCTTGTATTCGGATGCGCGTCGATTGGGTAGTTCGAAAGTTTCACTCTACAAACAGTTTTTTTGCTGCCCAGCTTTTGTAGCTTGTTACATGTGCTAATGAATGTTTGCTGCTTTCCTGCGACCGCTGAAGCCCAATTTGAAACCAAGTCTTTGCTTGTTACTATTCTTCTGCTGCTCCTTGCGACTTGGGAGCATGAACTTTGATGCTCCTTCATTTACATATTGGTTCTTCTGCAATCTTATGAATTGATCCTGCAAGTAATTGGTTGGTGAAGCTTCAAGGTCACTTAGGACATGATATGGCATTGTATTTCATTGCAAGCATCTTTATCCTGCATAAGAAATCAATGCTTATTCATTTGCATACTTACCTGCACATTTAGACTGATGATTGCCTTATGTAGTGGTTTCTAAATGTTTGTAGTTGTCATTTCATTCAGTGTAGTACCATAATTTGATATCGGACGTTCCTATGTGGTGATATCTGATGTGATATTATGCTGCAGATACCGGATGCTGGGTTACCATCCACCAAGGTGTTAACAAAGGTCATGCTCTTGCAACCGGAATTCAACAGACCAACCAGTATCTTGCTGTGTCAAATATGCTTCCCAAGAACATCGCACCCACCACATTTGCTATCAGAAGAGCTCAGTTTTCGTGTTCCATTGTGTCTATCTTCCTCGCGTTTGTAATTATTTCCCTTCTCTCATCTATTTCCTTCCACTTTTACTCAACCCCATCCCAGCCGTTTCTGAAATCCCAAACCCATATTAACACTGCCCAAACTTCCCTCAAGGTCTATGTAGCAAACCTCCCTAGATCTCTTAACTATGGTCTCTTGGAGAAATACTGGGCTTCCCCTGTACCTGATTCACGCATTAGCTCTGATCCAGATCATCCCAAGGACCAAACGAAAGCCATGGCATTCACTAGAGGCACCAAGTTTCCTCCATACCATGAAAATCCAGTAACAAACAGTACAGTGCTGAGTACTGGATCTTAGGGGACTTGATGACACCAGAAGCTTCACGAACCAACTCATTTGCCAAAAGGGTGTTTGATGAGAGCGAGGCTGCTGTCTTCTTTGTACCGTTCTTTGCTATGTTGAGTGCAGAAATGGAGCTAGGAAGAGGGAAGGGCACGTTTAGGAAGAAGGAAGGCAATGAGGATTACCAAAGGCAGAAGGAGGTACTTGATTTTGTTATGAACTCAGAAGCATGGAAACAATCTGGGGGTAGAGATCATGTTTTCGTTCTTACAGGTAATGTTTATTCATGTTCTTGATAAACTCTTTTAGCTTTTGTTATTTGACTTATTTAATCTGGACTGGGGTGATTGCTAAGCTTCAGGTTTTTGTTTACCATGTATATGCTAAACCTACATATACAATAGTTCATTTTGTGTATAGGGTATTGCAGACCCAGTAGCAATGTGGCATGTGAAAGCCGAGATAGCCCCAGCTGTTCTCCTGGTTGTTGATTTTGGTGGTTGGTACAGGCTAGACTCGAAATCTTCTAATGGCAGCCTGCCAGGGCGGATTCAACATACTCAAGTTTCTGTGCTCAAAGATGTGATAGTTCCTTACACACATCTTCTTCCTCCATTGCCCTTATCTGAAAATATGAAGCGCCACACTCTTCTATATTTCAAAGGAGCCAAGCATCGGCAAAGGGTGAGTGAGTATTTTGTTTCTTTCATTCACAACATTAGCAAGGTGTTTGGTATAGCTCCTTGTTTGATCTTCTGGCACTCAATTGCAGTTTCATTTGAAAACTTATATACGGTACTTGGTCATCATTAGTCATATTGAGAGTAAAGATCCAAATACTATTTCTGAACCAAATTAAATCATATCATTTGCAGTTCCTCTCGTTCTTCTGCGTTTTTCAATTCGTTTGTTCATCTAAAGAATTTTTTTTTTGGCAATTCATCATCTGATGTTTGAAGCATAGTACTGTAGGAGGTTTTAGATTCATATATAACATATCATACAGCGCCCAGATAGATATCTCTGGCATATTGATCATACATCTAATCAGCTATCAAATGCTATCTATCGACAGGGAGGGGCAGTTCGAGAAAAATTGTGGGATTTGCTGGTTAATGAGCCTGAGGTGATTATGGAAGAAGGCTTTCCTAATGCAACTGGAAGGGAGCAATCAATCAAAGGGATGAGAACATCAGAGTTCTGTCTTCACCCAGCTGGAGACACCCCAACTTCTTGCCGGCTCTTCGACGCAATTCAAAGCCTATGCATACCGGTCATAGTCAGTGACAGCATCGAGCTTCCGTTCGAAGGGATGGTGGATTACTCCGAATTCTCCATCTTCGTAGCAACCAGCGACGCCTTGACACCAAACTGGCTCGTGCATCACCTGCGAAGCATCTCCGAGAGACAGAAGGATGGATTTCGGCGGAAGATGTCCATGATTCGCCAATGTTTTGGTTGGACAATGGCCAGCCCGGTGGCATCGGGCCTGTTCATCCAGATGGTGCGGTGAACCACAAATGGAGAAAGGTACACCAAAAATTACCCATGATTAGGGAAGCTATTGTTAGGGAGAAGAGGAGACCGCCCGGTGTATCTGTTCCTTTGCGTTGTCAATGTACTTGATTGAAGAAGAGCCTTAACAAGCTAGGTACTGCTGATGTTTTGTTCTGTGCTTTAATTTCTGGATGTGGATGAAATGGTCTAGCTAGCGACTTGCCGGTCACACGAGGTTTTTGTTTTCTTCGATTCGCCATGGCTTAATTGTTTCATTGATTACCATATGCTGTGGAAGAGATACATAAGTACTGTTGTGCTATTCATCTAGTCTACTCTTCTTCTAGTATCTTTTCCCATCAAGTATGACCTTTTTTTTGGCAACCACGGTTCTAGACCCTTTTTCTCCCCGCTTATACGCCATCGTTTGTGTAGATAGAACTCCATATTGGACATTTCGCTTCAACAAATGCTGCAAAAAGCTGTATTAGCAAAAGAAGAAAGCTTCCTGTTGCCGGCAAGAAACAGAGGAAACGCGAAAAGCAAACGTAAAAGGCGAAAGCCGAACCTCCGCCGCAGCAGCAGCTCACTGACTGCGGTTCCCTTCACCCAAATCCACAATCCAAGTCTCGCGCGCTGCATTCTGTTCTGTTCTGGTAAATGGTAATGTATGAGCAAATGGTCCAAGTAAAGAAATAGCGGATACGTTATCTTTAGTTGTCTAAAAGTTGTGTACTCTTTTGTCTCTACCTTCCTTCCTTATTCTGCCGTTGCCAGATCCGCTGCTCGGTCGCGTGGCTGTCATTTTCCTTTTCTTTTGGGTCCCTTTTTCCGACCTCATATTAAAGTCGAGCACTTTTTAACAATCTATCTAGTTCTACCCATAAAAATCTGAAACCGAATCGCGTATTCTTCTCTGTTTTCGTTACAGTGGAGAAAGTATGGCTAAGTTATGGGCTCTTCTTCTTCTCGCCGTTTTAGCTTCTTCCACTGCCGGCAGGGTGATCTCCAGGACGACCAAAGATGGATCGGAAGTGTGGGGTTACGAGAAAGTCCGACCCAGTAAGCCCAATTTTGAAAATTTCTACCCCCATTGGTATCCGTTTTCCTTTTCTCTGCAGCCAAACAGAGCAATTAGAAAATGGAAAAATGGAGATCCCCACCTCTAAAGTTGTTGTCTTTTTTGCTGTAAATCAGAAGCTCACATGTTCTGGTGGCTGTACAAGAGCCCCTACAGGGTGGAAGATCCTTCGAAGCCATGGCCAACCATTCTCTGGCTCCAAGGTGGACCTGTGAGTTCAAATTTTTTACTCTGTTCTGTTCCCTTTTCAATTTCCCCCCATTTTTGCCCGGAAATGTGTTTGGTTGAAGTAATTGATAATAATGAATCTGATTCAGGGAGCTTCAGGAGTAGCGATTGGGAATTTCCAGGAAGTCGGCCCACTTGACACCAATCTCAAACCCAGGAACTCAACCTGGCTCGCCGTCGCCGATCTGCTCTTCGTGGTAGCTAATTACTCACCTAATCAATTCACTCAAGCCAGAAAAAAATTTTGAATGCAATTCTGAATCTTTCTTTTTTGCAGGATTCGCCGGTGGGGACGGGCTACAGTTTCGTGGAAGAAGACGGGGCACTGGTGAAGACGGACGTCGAAGCGGCGGCCGATCTGACGGTGCTGCTGCAGAACTTGTGCAACAGAGACGAGAAGTTGCAGAGAAGTCCTCTGTACATCGTGGCGGAATCTTACGGCGGCAAATTCGCCGTCACGTTGGGATTGTCTGCTCTGAAAGCCATTGAAGCCGGGAAATTGAAGGCCAAGCTCGGCGGAATAGCGCTGGGAGACAGCTGGATCTCCCCTGAAGATTTCGTGCTCTCTTGGGGTCCCCTGTTGGGCTCTGTTTCTCGCCTCGACACCAATGGCGTCAAATTAGTCAACAAGTAAGCCAGCTTGCTTCCACTCTAACAAAGTTAAGATCTTTGAACTGTGTAGCATTGACCCAAGAATTAATAATGGAAAACCCAGATTGGCGGAGGGGATAAAGCAGCAGATTAGCGAGGAAAAGTTCTTGGAAGCGACGGATGCTTGGGGTCGCCTAGAAGGAGTGGTTTCTGATAACTCCAACAATGTGGTAAAATCTTCATCGCCATCATTAACTTGAAGAACACCCACACTTTACTGATCAATTGAGTGTGCTAATAATACTTAGTTGTGGGATTAACCAGGATTTCTATAATTTCATGCTGGATTCCGGTATGGATCCGGTGTCGATGATGTCGACGACGACCACCACGACGGCGGCTGAGCTTTTGCTGGGGAAGACGAGGAGGAGCTACGCCAGGTACTTGAGCTCGCCGGGGGAAGATGGGGTCGACATTGACACATTGATGAATGGTGTCATCAAGAAGAAGCTTGGGATTATCCCTGAAAAGCTTCAGTAAGTATAATTAATTATTTATTAATTAATATCAATATATTTGTAAGTGAACTAATGACATTTTTCATTCAGATTATTTATTTCATGATTGGGTTTTTGGCCGGGAAATGAATTTTGCAGATGGGGAGGGCAGTCGGGATCTGTGTTCAATAGCATGGCGGGTGATTTTATGAACCCAAGGATTAACGAGGTTGCTAATTGTTCTTTCTTAATGAACTAAAAATCTAAAATATGATAAAAGAGGATTTGATCTATCATTTAGCTTGAACGTTTTAGATTCGAATTTGAACGTAACTATTCATCTGCGGTAGAACTTTGTTTCTCATAACCATTATTCCGATAAATTGATTCCTTTCTGATTTGGTAGGTGGATGAACTCTTGGCCAAAGGTGTCAACGTGACTATATACAATGGGCAGGTAAGACAGTTTATTTTTTTTTTTTTTTGGAAATTTTAATAAATTTTTCTCCCTTAGAATATGTTTATTTACATATTTATAAGTAGAATTAACATGTTTTTTCCTCAATAAACAATTTTTTTGATTGGACCCAATCTTATCATGTGCACCCCAAACTAGGCAACCAAATAATGTGGAAAGTTCATCATGGGCCTCGCCCAACTGTTCTTTTGGTTTCTAGTTCAGTATTTTTTTATACAATTAGTTGGACCACATGGAATGGAAGTAATAACTTAAAACTATTACCATTTTATTATGTAGCAAATTTGCTGATCCATTAACCCTTAGTTTTGTTAGTAACTCTTGGGTTTTATGTGGTTGTAGCTGGACGTAATCTGTGCAACAAAAGGGACAGAAGCTTGGGTGCAAAAGCTCAAGTAGGTGAATCACTTATTGGTTTGCAGTTACAGAATTACAGGCAATTGTATATTGTTTTTCTGATGATAAATGGGCCTGAAATTGCATGCACAGGTGGAAAGAGCTTTCGAACTTCACAGCCACAAGGAGAAGTGCTCTGTACTGTGGCGAAGGTGGGACGAAGGGATTCCTCAAATCCTACAAGAACCTTCACTTCTATTGGATCCTTGGAGCCGGCCATTTCGTAAGTCCCCCTGTTGTTTCGCCTTCAAATTAGAGTGTGTAGCTAGCTAGACAAAGAAGATCGATTTATTGCGCGCTTAAATTGTGTTTCTTTCGATGTGCAGATTCCAGTGGACCAACCTTGCGTTGCGCTGAACATGGCTCGTGAGATCACGCAGTCGCCGGCGTCTACCGTGGTTGGAGTCCCGATCCGCAGACTGTAAGAAGGGAAGTGATGGGATCGTCGGAAAAGGGCGGGATCATGGGGAGAAAAAAACACATGTAAATAAGGATACAAGGAAATTATTGAAATCCGGCTACTGTCGTCGCGTTGTCCTTTCAATTCTTCGGCAGAATAGCCATTCATGATCATATCTGTATTCTATTCATTAATCGAATAAATATCGTTCTCTTATTATTACATCAAACAGTGAGGTGGACCGTCAAACTAACATTTCTCAGTCGGCAGAGTCTTGAGACTTTGACTTTCAGAAGACTCCTTTCTTTCAAAAGGGTCCTGTCCTATCAATTGAGGGGGGGAACTGGGAAGTATTATCGTAGGGTCAAAGATTTGCTTTGGGAGGAGAATTACAGTGTACTAATTGTTCAGTCACTTCAGAAGCAACATGTAATTGTCACATGCACAATGTCTACGTTAACCCAAACTACAGGCAGAGATCGTGGCGGCAACACATAGGAGCTTTTAATGCGGAAAATACTTATCCGTATACAGCAACCCGAAAAACTAAATAATAACAAAAACGAAGGATAGTTCACATCGTTTGTGAAAATTACACTTCAAAACATGGTAAAGGAAACCGTACCGGAAGTCATACCGGATCTGTCTGTGGTAGGGTATTTTGTGGTACGACCGTGGTTTAACCGTTGTGTACCGGTAAAATATCGTTTCTGTAATTAAATAATTTTTTTTTGTAAAAAAACCGTATCGGCAGATTCAGGATACCGTTTCGGAGTAATATCGGAATAAAACCGGAATATACCGGATAACAAACCTGAATAAACTAAGGGGTCGTTTGGATGCATCTTTTCCAAAATGAGTCAATTTGGCCCAAAAGACTCATTTCAGAAAATGATCCAATTGGTTGAGTAAATCCGTTCAAAATATACCGTTTGGGCTGGATGGTGGAATGAGTAACTATGGGTAAGTCATTTTGATTAATTACTAATGTAGCCTCACTCACTCACAAACAAACAAACTTCTTCCTCCTCACCCTCTGCTCGCCCACTAATTTTCAATTTCTCCTTCTTCTCTCCCTCAACTCTCGCACTCTTCTCCCCGGCGGACCAAATGTTCTCCCCGGCGGACCAAATGCTCATTTCCCTACTATGCATGTCGTCTTTGACTGTTGAGATCAACCAAAAAAATCATCATCGAGATCTTTCGGCGCCTCGATTCAGCTCCACTCCTGACACTAGCTCCCTCGTCTGCAAGTACCTCAGTCGGACTCGGGAAATTTGAGAGACAGATATGGAATGAGGTCGGAAAGAGGAATCAATTTGGGAAAGAATCTAACTAGGGATTTCATAGTTGGGAGGGGGTCGATTTGGGACGATGAGGAAGACGTCACTGTTGACTTGAACGAAAGTGGTGGTGAAGGCTTCGGGATTTGAGGTACGGCGCACCTTCTGTAAAGAATTTCAATGGCGGTTTCTTGTTTCTTCTCTTTCTCCTTCTCCTATAATCCCACATGCAATGAACTAATCTCCCCCTCCAACTATTTGTCATCGCCGGAAAACACCTAATAGGCGCAGGTCGCCGATCGAGGGTTGCGAATCACCAGAGGACGAGGAGAGGAGAAGATGAGCGGCGAGGCGGGGCTGGGAAGAAAGAAACAATGAAAGGCTCCCTCCTCCAGATTTGCTTCGTTCAATTAGATATTAGGGTTTCACGATGAATGGCGATTTTTTTTTAATTTTAACTCAATTAAACGGCGACATTTCTCTCAGTTTGAGTCTACCGCCGGTTAGAATGAAACCGAACGGTATGTCGGTTTGGACCGGTTAAGCCGGAAAAACCGGCCGGCACGGTGAATTCCTTCAGCTAGCTTACCGTATCGTTTCTAGTCCGGTTCCCGGTTGAACCGGTTGAACCGGCCGATACGATCCGGTTTCCTGGTCCATGCTTCAAAATGGAAATTGTATTGGAATAGTTAGGGGAATGATAATCGTATAACCAATTTCTTAACATATAGTATATTGAGATAGTGTCGTTATTAAAATAAGATTTTGTGGTTAACCGGCAGTTGAACAACTTAATACCGATCAAAATCGAAAAAGTTGATTAGTTTATCATTTTATTGCATTGTACCAATCCATACCGAGTTGTCTTTCTATGTGTACTGTATCTCCCTAGCCGAAGTATAGTTGGGTTTTGTGGTCCAATGGTAGTGATGACTGATGACAATTGACAAACCATGAAATGAATTAGGAAGTTACTGGTGAACTGGTGGTTGCCTTTCACTCGAGGTCAACTGCTCAGAGGTTCAGGAACCCAACCAGAAAAAAGCCTGGCCCAGTTATGGCTTTACGTATTACCGACCCATCACATTTGCCCACACGCAATCTCAATTTCAGACATACAGGACCGTAACAGGGCCCATACACCCAGTTGGAAAGGGAGAAAAATACAGTTCAATTGATGTACAATATTGCCACATATCCATTTCTCTGCTCTAACGCCCATTTGAATTGAAGACCTAACCGTTAAGCGTATCGATGGTAATGGCAGTTTGAATTCATTTCGCAGGGTATTATGCGACTGATCTGCGCTGGGTGAATAATGTTGGGATTTTTAGTGGTCTGAATGGAAATAAAAGGGGAAAGTTTCAATAGAATCTCTTTTTTTTTTTTTGAAGAAAACATTCATTCATTCATTCCCTTAGAGATTGGTACAATTACAGGAAAGCAGAGATGATATTAAGGACAACAAGCCAGTCCTGGTGGAGGGTGTTTAATCTAGCATTTCGGGCAATCCAGTCTGCTTCTTTGTTGTTCCGTCGGCAAGTGAAGGCAATGTTGATCCAATTGGACACCTGGATAATACGTTGAATGGAGGAGAGGATAGCGTAGCAATTCCAGGGCCACAAATCCGAGTGGTTCTTCAGAGCATCCACTAGAGCTTTACAATCTGAAAATATAGTTGATGGGACATGCTCTCTCATCGCCAACTTGCATGCTTCCAACAAAGCGTAGGCTTCAGTCTCTATAGGGGATGAACAAACAACCCGTCCAGCCTTACCATCCACAAACTGTCCATGAGGGTTAGTAATAACCACCCCATAAGCCGCCTCTCTTGAAATAGGATCGAAAGAACCATCACAATAAATCCTTCTTGTGAGTGTTGTTGGCGGTGGACACGGTTGTTGATGATCGTCCCTAGGCTGTGAAACGGGAGACGAGGAAGTGATCATCGTCTGAGGCTCAGCTGCCTCTCGAAAAGCTTGAAAGGAGGAGGACATCGGGGACACTGTCTCACTCCGAAAGATGAAGTTATTTCGGGCCTTCCAAATATTCCAAAGACAGAAAACCTTTCTCCTTGTGATCGCAAGATCTGGTTCTTCTCGCAGGCCACAGATCCAATTAGCCAAGTTAGGAGGAGGGGAAGTAGATGGAGAGACGATTTCCCAAGTCGCCGCTGCATGGGGGCAAACAAAGAGGCAATGGATAGCCGATTCAACCTGAGCTCCGCAGATCTGGCATTTCTTATCGGGGGAGCATCTCCGGTTATGCAGCTTTTCTTTGGTAGCAAGCGCTCCTCGAATGCATCTCCAAAGGAAAAAGCGGATCTTTGGGGGTAAATTGATCGCCCAAAGCCATTTCCACACCTCGTCACTTGTCGGTATATTGAGGTCCACTTGAGCTGGGTCGGCCTCTCGCAAATGTGCACGAAGACCATGATATGCTGTTCTTACTGAGAAGGCACCATTGGAAGTAGGTCGCCATGCCCATTTATCATTCGTATTGAGAGGGCCAATAGGAACTCGAGAAATAGCATCAACTTCCTGGGGAGAGCACTGTTGTTGGATTTGGTCAAGGTTCCATCGTCGCTCCTCAACATTAATCCAATCACTGACTCTAAGAGAAGGGTCAACAGCAGTAGAAAGGCAGAGGTCATCCAGGTTTGGAATCCAAGGATCCATATTAATCCAAGTTCCGTCTCCATCTCCAATAACCCGAATTAAGCCGATGTCGAGGGCTTGACGTGCATCACAAAGACTTGCCCAAATCCATGACGGAGAGCTCCCTTTCCTCGCCGAGCGGAAATCGCCATTGTTGAAATACAATCCTCGAAGTAGACGTGCCCACAGAGATTCTGGCTCATTCAACAACCTCCATCCTTGCTTAGCAATAAGAGCTAAATTGAAGATATGGAAATTGCGAAATCCCAGGCCACCATCTGCTTTTGGATCGCAAAGGATTTGGCCCTTACACCAATGGAGGCCCTTCTTCTGCATCTTCCCAGACCAAAAGAAATTACGCACCAGAGAGTCCATCTTCCTAGTCAGACACAATGGTAGCAGGAAGACACTCATAATGAAGGTGGGGATTGCTTGTATGACTGACTTGAGCAGAGTCTCCTTCCCCCCCTGAGACAACAACAAGCTCTTCCAAGATTCTCCTCTCTTCTCCATTCGACTGATGAGGAAGCTGAAAGTCTCTTTCTTGGACCGTCCCCACTCCTTCGGAACCCCTAAATATTTGTCATGAGTAATAGTCGGCGGAAATCCAATATGGGCAGTGATCTGGGTTCTCAAAGAATCCGGAGTGTTCTTGCTGAAAAAGACCGAGGACTTCTCCAAGTTCACCTCTTGCCCGGTAATATGACTGTATCCATTGATTATGCTCATAATCTTAGCTGCCTCCTCCACTGAAGCCTCCCCAAAGATGACTGTATCTTCGGCAAATAAGCAATGGGAAAGCCTTGGGCAGCTCGGCTTTAGTTTCAGGCCATGAATCGCTCCTTGCGAAGTTTCTTTATCCAACAAAAAAGACAAAGCATTAGCCATAAGGATGAAGAGAAAGGGGGAGATAGGATCACCTTGGCGGATACCCCTCGAGGGTGTGAAGAACTCCGTTGGACCTCCATTTATGAGGATGGAAAACCTCACAGTTCTAACACATTCTATAATCCATTCACACCATGTTTGATTAAAGCCATACGCTTGAAGGAGGGAAGTGAGGCACTCCCAATCCACCAAGTCATAAGCCTTCCGCATATCCATTTTCAGCATCATGTCGTACTTTCTACCCTGGCGGCGATTTTTGAGATGGTGCAAGACCTCATGAACAATGATGATGTTATCCTGAATCACTCGACCTCCAGTAAATGCAGCCTGCATTTCTGAAACAAGCTCCGGTAAAAATGGTTTCAGCCTGCTTGCCATGATCTTGGAAATCACCTTATACTTGAAATTGCAGCAACTTATCGGCCGAAATTGGCTAATCATCTCTGGAGATGAGATTTTTGGAATAAGAGCGATATGAGTATCATTCCAACCCGATGGGAGAGAGGACTCCATGAAGAAAGATTTGACCTCTTCACAAAAAATTTCCTCAATTGATCCCCAATAGTTCCTGTAGAATTGTCCTGAAAAACCGTCTGGACCTGGTGATTTGTGAGGTCCAAGGGAGAACACAGCTTGTTTAATCTCCCCATTTGTAACCGGTCTGCACAAGATATCATTCATTTCCTGAGAAACAAGTTGTGGGAAGCCTTGCAGGAGGTGTCCATCAAAATCCATGCCTCTGCCAGTGAATAGATTTTGATAGAAACCCTTAATGTGGTTAGCAAGGTCAAGTGGTCGCTTGATCCATGTACCCCTTTCATTCTTCAATCCCACAATCCGGTTAAAATGTCGACGCAAAACAGTGGTAGAGTGAAAGAATTTAGTGTTCCGATCCCCTTCTGCAAGCCACTGAATCCTGGACCTCTGCCTCCACATTTTCTCTTCATCCCTCCAAAGAGAGTCCAGTTCCTCCAATAATATCCTCTCCTCTTCTTCTGTTTCTTCAGTTCTAATCAGATTCTCTAGGGCCTCCAACCTGTCTTTGATTTCTGTTTCACGTTTTTGTTGATCCTGAATCATCCTTCTTGCCCAGTCTTTGAGCTCACCAGCACATCTCTTCTGTCTTTGTTCTATGTTTCCCTCCGCAGCCCAAGCTGCAAGAACAATGGCGTCACATTCATCCTTACCGATCCAGCGAGAGTCAAACCGAAAGGGTGGCTTATTCCAATTTCCTCGTGAGTGTAATTCAATCCTCACAGCTCTATGGTCCGAGCCAATGTAACTCTCATGATAGATGGTAGCTTCCCCAAAGTTTTCTCTCCATTCAGGAGTACATAGTGCTTTGTCCAGCCTCCCTTTGATATTCCGATCACCTCTTCTTCTATTAGACCAAGTAAACTGAGGACCTTTGAATCCCATGTCTATGAGTCCATTGTCGAAGATGAAAGATTTGAATGGTTCAACTGATTCGCGTCGCAAAGGGCCGCCACCACTCTTCTCATAGTCATAAATCATTGCATTCATATCGCCTAACACAACCCATGGTACATTAGGAACATTACGAAATCTGGAAATCCTACCCCAAAACGCTCTCCTCTCATTAGCAACTGAGGGAGCGTGGACAAAGGTCATGAAAAACCCACACCCATAATTGGTAAGATGTGGGAAGGCATGGCCTCGAATTAGATCGATTTGATATAATATGTGGTTAATTGGTTAAATTGGTTTGTGTAACCAAATGAACCAAACCGAGTTGAACAAATTTGAACCGAACCGATATGGCGGTTGGAATAACCAAACCGGTCCAACTTCCATGAGGCCGAACCAATGCAATGGTTGAAATATTTTAAACGAACCAATGCAATGGTTGGGGTGTAACCACTCATATGAAGAGTTGCCTCCCTTCAATGCATCCCTTCATTTTCTATAAATAGCACCATACCCCCTCTTGTTTTAACTACGAGTTTTACATGGATTTTTCCCGGTACTGAAACTCTGAAAAAATCCAAAACTAGTTTTTCTGCATTCTTTTCAAAGAGAAAATAGAGTCAAGTGTGGTTCTCGCCGTTTCGCTGCGTTCGATGGTTTCCGGGGTTTGAGGTACCGCTACGCCGGAAAAGGTACGTCCTTTCTATCCTGGGAGGAATCATTCCACAACCTTGGGTACTTGAGGGGAATAAGATTCTTTAAGGAGAGATAGTGAATTCTATCGGCTAGGACGCTTGCATGTGTCTTTGCATGTTTTTCTTAATCTTATGTGTTTGCTTGTGTTGCAAGAAAATAGTATACATGGGTAGCTCAGACTCGGTTGACAAAAACGACAGGGATGGACTACTAGACTTAGAAAAGAATGGAAACTGCTAAAAAAAGGCCACATTACACGTTATTCTAATGCGTTTCAAGACTGGATCATAGCATAAATACCCTTTATGAACGTCACTGTAACCCAAGAAAGCACATCGAACAGTTTTAGATGACAACTTAGGACGCTCTTTCTTAGACAAAAGAACAAAACAAGTACACCCAAAGACCCTAAGACGAGAGTAATCTGGATGAGAAGAATATAACGCAAAATAAGGACTCTTTTGACTCAGGACAGGAGTGATCTGATAATTTATGAGACGAACAGCTGTAGCAACAGCCTCCGGCCAAAATGACACCGGGACATGAGAAGCCAACAAGAGAGCCCTCGTAAGATCAAGAACATGTCTATTCTTCCTTTCAACTAGACCGTTCTGCTGAGATATACCGGGACATGATTTTGGACTCAAGATGCCAAGGGACCGGTAAAGATCACGCAAAGGATGGGAACTGAATTCCCCGCCTGGGTCAGACCGAACAATCTTGACAGGACGCTCAAACTGAGTTCGGATCATGTTCAGGAACTCCGAAGCAGCAGCAAGCAAGTCAGATTTCAGGCGAAGGAAATACACCCAAGTAAACCGGGTGGCGTGATCAACAAACAAGGCAAAATAGCGAAAACCATGTCGTGATACGATCTGGGACGGTCCCCACAAATCGATGTGTATAAGATGAAATGGTTCAGAAATCACAGTCGTACTTGAGGGAAAAGGAATACTAGTAATCTTGGCCTTAATACAACTCGTACATAAATGTGAAGCAACACCATTCATCTTATTTTTTCCAAGAAGTTCTTGTTTAAACATAGCCAAAAGACGAGCAGAGTTGGGATGACCCAAACGAGCATGCCACAAATCCCATACATTATCAGACCGACTCGACAAAAAAGGAGACACTGGGAAAGAAACCGAACCACTAGACACCGACGAAACTACTTGACTGGAAGGACTACTGACAAGGGGTGAACTAACTGATGATGGTGTTGGTGACCCCGTACTCGAGAGCTCCTCGAGATGAAAGACCCGCCCCTTTTTACTCCCTCGCCCGATCTGCCTCCCCGTCTTCGTGTCCTGTATAACACAACCAGAAGGACCAAACAAAATGGATAAACCTTGCTCGGTAAGCTGGCCCACAGAAACCAAATTTGGAACTAAAGCAGGAACATGTAACGTATTTGGCAGCTTCATATGTGAACTACAAATACTCCCAACACCATTAACCTTTAAACTCTGACCATTTGCAACATGTAGAGCCATATCATGGATAGGAACTAAGTTTCGAATTTTGGTAGCATCTTGTGTCATGTGGTTGAAACAAGCTGAATCAATCAACCAAGGCTTAGGCGTACCTGTTCATGAGAAACTGGCAAAGGCGAGCATGTTGGCGCTCTTCCATGACCTCGACAGAGGCTTCCTCGGACCGCAGTGACGCTGTCAACAGGTCCTGCTCGATCCACAATTCTTGTGCAGCACTAAAGTAGGACGCAACGTCCTTGTTTCCTTGCTCCAATCGGCCCAATTCGATTTGGAGTTCGAACTGGCGAGCAGTGTTCACCATAGAGTAGGTAGAGGCGAGATGAGCCCACATACCATGAGAGGTCGAATGCATACGCAGCCCTAGAGTGATCGTCGGATCGACAGAGCCGAGTAGCCAGGAACGAATCCGGGCATCACTCTGAGCCCAGCGAGCGATCTCTTGCGTCGTAGCTGGCGACGTTGGCTTCTGGATCGTGCCATCAAGAATTTCCAGCAAGCCATGGCCTTCAACGAAGACACGAAACTGAATTTCCCATAGAGCATAGTTCTTGTGCGTCAATCGAACTGAGAGCCTCTGTGATTCCATAGCCGTAAGCTCTGATACCATGTTAGGAAACTTGTGAGCTGAAACGTAAAGACAATAGGTTTACGTGGTTTCCAGTATTGCAGAGAGTAATACCGACTAGTCCACGGAGTAACGGAGTCTCTTATTCAGCTTAATGATCAACGATGGAGTACAGGAGATATATATACAAGCTAAACCCTAATCCATGCTCTCAACAAGTCTACGTATGCATGGATTAATGGGCTAGGGTACCGAGCTTATGTACATAACTGGGCCGGGCCCTATATACACTAACAGCCGTGACCAAAAGAGTGACCAACGACGATAAAAACGTTTCGCCCAGGAAGAGTTATTGGACCGTGGTTCCGGAAACGGCCAGGACCGAGCTGGAGGCCTGAATCCGGATACCCACCAAGGGACCCGAGGAGCTGGTTAACCCGAACAAGAGAACCAGGAACGGGAACCCGAATGGGTACCGCTTGGTGCCCGGTCCAACCATAAACCCGCTCTTAACCGAGGATGACTACCCGCAAATCAGAGGTGCATTCACCAATTACAACGTCTGGGTTACTCCTTACAATAGGTCGGAACGTTGGGCGGGGGGTCGATTCGTGGACCAGAGCAGGGGACAGGACACGCTGGCGGTATGGACTCAGAGGTATGCATACTTCATAGTAAAATCGCAATTAAACCCGACTAGATTGGCTTATTAAGTATTTTAATTTAGTCGTAATCCATTTTATCCGAATTCAATAGATTAGATTGGATGATGTTATGCTCTTATACGTGTGCTTATTTTTGTTAGGGATCGGGAGATTGAGAATCGAGACATAGTGGTGTGGCATGTGATCGGATTTCGCCATATACCTTGCCAAGAAGATTTCCCGATGATGCCAACATTGAGCGGCGGATTTGAACTTCGGCCCAATAATTTTTTCGAGGCCAGCCGGGTTCTCAAGGTTGTTCCTCCGTCGCCGGTGACAATTGGTAACTGCACCGCCGCGGTTGCTAATCGGATTCAAATTTAATAGTCCATAATTGCATCTAAAAAAAAAATAAAGGACTGGTGTACTTAGTAGTTAGTACTATACATTGCGCCCAACTTGTAGTTTAGATATCAAATCTATGCTCTTTGAGATGCATCTATTTACTATTTTTTTTTTGTCATAGATAGAGTTAATAAAATATCCTCATAGAACAACAAGCAACAATGCGGCAGTCGGCCAATAGTCAAACTGTTGATGAGAGGGTCTTTTGAGTCACTAAATGGGTAGTCCTATTGAACATTAGTATCTAAAGGGACACCATTACATATTTCAGACATTTTTTACATGTAGTGACAGTGAACCATCTCTGATAGCATTTCACCAATCCCTCTATGACATAGATGGTTTGTGCTTCCTTGGCATGAATGTTTCTAAGCGATGTGATATCTAATCCAGAGCAACATGCATGTTCAAGTTCAACAATCTTCATTCCATGTCATGATGGGTTGTTATAAGTAGGGTTGGCAATTTCGACCTGACCCGATTTACCCGACCTGTTTGGCCTGTTTTGGAACAGGTCGGATCCGCCCCGTAGGCGGGGGCGGGGCGGGCATGGGTATCTCTCATCGACCCGACCTGCCTTGACCCACCCCATTCTTGACCCGTTCTTGCCTAAATTACATGTAATAGGGGTCGTTTGGATGTAGAAATTTTAAAACGTTGGAATTTGTCTGAATTTCCATGTTTTACAAAACCAAGGAATTGACTTGTGGAAATGGGGAAAAAAAATCACGTTTGGATAGGGTTTAGTTTTGTGGGAATTGATGGTGTGTAATTTGGAAAAAGAAGTAAGAAAACGTGGTAATGTCAAATTACTAGAGGGAGGTGTAGTATTCTCAATTACCATGAATGTGGTAATTGAAGCCAATTTCCATGGTCCAATTCTCATACCATTTTTGCTCTCCCAAACGTGGGTTTTTAACTCAATTACTGCATTATATGGTAATTGGGTCCAATTACTGCATTATATTTCCACATCCAAACGACCCCTAAAGTAAAATTACTTAGGATTCTCTTATTTAATTATATTTTAGCTATAATAAAGTTATAAATAAGTGAAAACATTAATTTCTTCAATAATTTAACTACATTTTATCATATTATGGTTAATTTTTTGGTCTTTTAGTGAAAATAACGAATAGTTCTAATATTTTTTGCATAAATTACGTACCCATTGGATCGACCTGCCCCGACCCAGTCCCCGTGATAAATTACCCGACCTGCCATGAGACAGGTATGGGTACCGAGAAACCTGTCCCGGACCTGCCCATTGTCATTGCTAGTTATCAGAGACTAATTAAATTTTGTTTTGTTCCCTCTTATGACCGGACTCATCACGGTGTTGAGTGTTGACGTTCTAGTTAGTACTTAGTACCAATGTACCACAGATGTCTAGTCTTACTAAAGACAGAAATCGGCTACTACGTTATATTATTCTCATTGCTAACAGGCAGAAAGTACTATCTCTTGTCCCATTGCCGGATTATAGCTTATTCGGGCCAAACGATGCCAACCAAGTCGCTAGAACCAAACGTATGCATCAAAACCTCTAGCTATGATACCAGCTCGCTCTTTCTAACTAGCCACCTTGCTGCGATAGATATATTAAGAGAAACGGAAGCAAGCTAAGTCATCCCATGGCGAAATTCCGGTTCCATATCCGCTACTTCCTCCTCCTCCTCACTGCGGCTGCCACTGCATCGTCGTTCAAAGTCCCCAGGCTCAGCATCTACGACCCACGGCACCATCTTGCCGGCGGCCAGACTTCGACATTAACGGCGGCCGCGGAAGGTTTCGAGCCCCATTTCTACAACCAAACGCTGGACCACTTCAACTACCTCCCGGAGAGCTACCTCACTTTCCGGCAGCGATACTTCGCAAACTCCAAGCACTGGGGCGGGCCCGGCGCTCCCATTTTCGTCTATCTCGGCGCCGAGGCAGCCTTTCCTCACAATTTCTCCGGAGGCAAAAGTTTCCTCATTGAAATCGCGCCAAGCTTCAATGCGCTCTTGATGTACATTGAGGTACTTGATTGCTCCCTTCTTTTAACTCTATAAATACTCGAAGAACTCATGGGAACGGACGGTTGAATATGTTCCGTCACGACGGTTTCTCTGCTGAACGGGAAATTGGAGTATTCGATAATGTAATAAAACAAAAGCAAATCATATTCTTAAGTCTCACCAACCACAGATTTACATGGTTCACTAATACATTTGTGTGTTAGTTCACGGGTAGGATAGATCCCATTTGGTAAAAGAAAACGGTTACAGACCGTATCCAGAACGGAAACTGAAATAACATTAACTCCATACACCGTGAATTGAGGGCGTTGCCAGATAATCCGATTCAAGTCATATCAACATGTTTAATGTGGATTTTTTTGATAGTTATATATATATGATGATCATTCGTGTTAACTTGCATGTGATGAAATGTTTTCTTGGTGGGTTAATTAATCAGCATCGATACTATGGGGAATCAATCCCATTCAGATCGAGCGAAGAAGCGTTCAGTAACTCGAGCATGCTTGGCTACATGAACTCTCAACAAGCTATCGCAGACTACGCGGAGATCATCTCTCACACAAAGGAGCAGTTCAACGCTGGCGATTCTCCCGTGATAGTTGTCGGGGAATCCTATGGAGGAAGTAAGTAAACCAAAGATAATATACACTACGTAACATGGAAATTTTTGGACTCCTTTGTTCTTTAATCGGAAGTTGAAGGACTAGAATGAAACTTTTTGCTCCATAAATTCTCCAAAGATAATACTTTACGTTATTGTAAATTTTCAGTGCTGGCAGCGTGGTTCCGATTGAAGTACCCGCACCTGGCAATTGGAGCACTGGCTTCATCGGCCCCAATTCTTTACTTCGACGACATTACGCCGCAGGATGCATATTTCAATGTTGTCACCAAAGATTTCAGAGTAATTCTCTTCATTATTAGCTAATTTCCTCCCTTATATATTAAGCGTACAATATACGTAATTATCACTTTTTATGTACATATCGTGTATGGTGAGTACAGGATGCTAGCGAGACGTGTTACCTAACAATAAAGAAGTCGTGGGCAGAAATAGACGAAATGGCTTCCAAACCATATGGTCTCTCTATGCTCAGTCAAAAATTCAAGACCTGTGTGTAAGTTACCGTTTTTAGCCTTGTTTGTAAATACTATAAGATCTAAATTAAATCTTTTCAAAACTTGAGTTAATGGAATCGGCCAGTGTTTAAACGGGTATCAGAGCTTTCGATAATCGAGCAGTCTTGTTCGAATCGAGACGATTCTACACCGCTCCTAAACTACTTTGTCGCGTTGAAAACATGCATGATTTAGGCCGTTGAAGAATTCGACATCTCTGACGGACGAACTGGAAGACCTCTACGCTTCAGCAGCCCAATATAATGCACCACCAAGTTATCCAGTGACCCAGATATGCACCGCAATAGATGGATTTGGGCCCAACAACGATACTCTTGGGCGCATATTTGCTGGCGTCGTTGCTTACTACGGAGAGAAGCCTTGTTACATCAACGAACCAACTCAGCCCTCTGAAACCGACGGCGGATGGGATTGGCAGGTATTCAATTTGGGCTTCGTTTTGTTCTTGGTTTTTTTTTTTTGGTTCAAATGGTTTAGTTGGTCTAAGTGGAGACCATCAAGGTGAAAAATGTCTTTCATTGACTCAGCTCAATGGTTTTCTTGTAGACGTGCAGTGAGATGGTGATGCCGATCGGGTTTGGGAATGACACGATGTTTGGATCCGATAAACCTTTTAACCTCACCAAATTCTCAGATGACTGCAGAGCTCGTTACGGCGTCGCGCCTCGACCTCATTGGATCACCACCTACTATGGTGGACATGTACATTCTCGATCATCTTTCCCCTCAATCTATTTGTGAAGAGAGTATTAGGGTTTCTTGATTCTTGGAAAGAATTTCTTAATGGTGGTGAAGTCACGATTCAAAATGGGAGAGTTTAAATTAGAAAGTCACAACAAGCTATAGAAGTTTAACTCGGATCTTAGATGGAGAGTGGAGTTGATAGTATACCATCCTATCACCTTTCAAAGTCTGATTATCATATGATCCACATTTTATAATATAAATCAAATGTTGAAGAGGAGAGGAGTGAGGATTTTGGATCCATCATATACTACGCGTACCTCCACCGCTCGTTCTTAACATTGATGGAATTAATCACCTAATTGTGCAGAGCATAAAAAGGATTCTTAAGAGATTCGGAAGCAACATTATCTTTTCAAATGGTCTGAAAGATCCCTATAGCAGGGGAGGGTAAGCTACAATTTCAATAACCGTAGCTCTTTCTTTTAGGAATAATGAGAGCCGAGTTGGTTTCAACTATTCAAACAAATTCAATGCACAAATCTTACAGGGTGCTAGAGAATATATCGGACTCTATCCATGCCATCTATACAACTAACGGTATGTTCTATTCTACTAGTAAATTATGTCTATTTTACTTTTTTTTTCTCTCTCGAAGCTCATGATGTTTAGCTAACTTGTAGGGTCACATTGCTTGGATTTAAGAGCATCAAATGTAACTGATCCAGAATGGTTGACTGCGCAACGTGAAGAAGAGATCCACATTGTGCATGGCTGGCTAACGACTTACTATAAGGATCTTCAGATCATTTAATCTTTTGTATTGTTGGGTGGATTAATGAAACTGATTACAATGCAATATGTATAGATAAGGGAACAAGTACTATGAAAATTGTGTATCCGCCAATTTGGATTGATTGAAATCATTATTGGACTATTAAGTGGGCCGAAAGCACAAAAGACAAGCAATCGCCTTCCTTCCAAAATGTTCCTTCGATCCAAAGTCAAAAGTTCAATACTTGCAAGTAATTACTACTGATACATTTCGTCTCTGGTTAATACCACATTTCATTTCTGAACAGAAAAGTCATTTTCTTTTTCAAGTAGTGTTCGATCAATTATGTATTAATCAATATTCGATTGGTTAATTTGAGGTTATTAACAAAAAAGATTTGGCTAAGTCCCTTCGCTTCCTTTTGTCCAAGTTACTTATTTTTTTTATCCAAGTTTCTTCTCTTTTTGTCTAACTCACTTCCTTTTTTCTTTGGGAGTTTCGGGAATATCCTCATTCATAGGTCCGAGATCCACATCCATTTTCAATAGTTTTTTAGAGGAAAAAAATTTTATACCTCTCATTACCAACTACATACCATATAAAAATCGCTAATATATATCAGTTGTTATATATCAGTACACAAATATTAAGAAAATTGTTTATCCGCGCCAATTTGGATTGATGGTAATTAATCACAGTTGAACTATTAAGTGGTATTCTATTAACTTATGTGATAACTGATATGACACAGTGTGGGAAGTAAAATGATTAGGCATTAATGATCTAAGTGATCGAGATGCAAGAGAAAGTTCTGTCTGGGGTTCTGGTTTTGTTCCTCATACTCCTTTCCTCAAGAGTTGGCTTGAGGTCGCTTGATGGGAGGTTTTCCATCCATTTGGAGCAAAACAAATCAAACCATTTTTTTTTTGTTGTTGAAGGAATTAATGGAAAAAACTAAAAATAAATACTAAAAGTATGAACTAATTTAAGGTAGTAACAAGACTTTCTACCGAGAAAAGAACAATTAATCAGAAATAGCTACTACCACACTTTTAAAAGCAGTACCGGTCGTGCGAAAGTAGTACTAAGATGGGTGACCTCTTGAGAAGTCCTCGTGTTGCACACTTTTCCCTAAAAAAAGCAGTACCGGCCGTACGTAGTAATAAACTTCGTCATTACTTACTAAATACTAATTAAATTCTATTATATATCTGATTGGTACCGGCTACGATTATTGCTAAGGATTATTAACTTGTAGTGGTGTCTTATCTTTCTCTTCCCATTACTATTTGATAATGGCACGAAGAATGGGGCACTAATCACATAAGACAAGAAGCAATGGTACACTAATTAGCTAGGTCTCTTGTTCTCGTTGCTAACGGGCACAAAGTACTATCTCTTGTCCCCATTGCCGGATATAGCAAATCGGCGGTATAAATCTTCTATATATATCGTCGGAGACAGATTGGTAATTGTTCATCACGTCCAGCTTATTCGGGACAAGCTGGGCCGGCAAATCGATGCATCAAAAGTTCAAAACCTATGATACTACCAGCTCGCTCTTTCTAACTAACAACTTCGCTGCAATATATATATATATATATGGTGACTTCTACGGTACCTCGGACCCGGGTAAAATCCGGGGTACCGCATACCTTGAGTATGAAAACGCTATCTAGACCTCGAATTAGCATGATTTTTGGGCATGATACTATACCCTAACCCTTAATGAGTGAACCGTAGGTCCTATTTATCTAAATCATAAACTATAAACCCTAAGATGGTGCATTACTTTTTTTTGCCTATATTTGGATGAATCATAACCGTCGATTATTGTTTCTAATTAAATTGATCTTGGGGTATAAGATTTAGAGAATTAAGACCTAGGTTTTGATCTTTATGGGTTAGAGTATAGTATAATGTCCGAAAGATCAGTCAATTCAAGTTCTAGATAGCGTTTTCTTACTTAAGATATGCGGTACCCCGGATTTCACCCGGGGTACCGTAGAACTTCCCATATATATATATATACCACAAGTATTAAGTAGAAGCTGGTAAGAGAACGGGAAGCTAGCAAAGCAAATAATCCCATGGCGAACCTCCGGTTCCATATCCTCTACTTCTTCCTAGCCGCGGCTACGACGGCGTCGTTTGAGGTCCCCAGGCTGACCATGTACGACCCGCGTTACGCATCCCACCATCTTGCCGGCGGCCTGCAAACTTTGGCCTTGCCGGCGGCCATGGAAGATTTCGAGTCCCATTTCTACGACCAAACGCTGGACCACTTCAACTACCTCGCGGAGAGCTACGTCACTTTCCATCAGCGATACGTCGTCAACTCCAAGCACTGGGGCGGGCCCGGCGCTCCCATTTTCGCCTATCTCGGCGCCGAAGCACCCTTGACCCACAATTTCTCGGCAGCCGGAAGTTTCATCATTGACATCGCGCCAAGCTTCAATGCGCTCTTGGTGTACATTGAGGTACTTAATTACTCCATCCTTAATTCCTTTTTTACTTGACCCAAACTCTATAAATACTCCACGAACTCATGGGAACGGATAGTTGAATATGTTTAGTGATCAGCAAGGAATTTTTTGATAGTTATGATGATTCGTGTTAATTAATGTGCATGTGACGAAATGGGTTTTTTTTTTTATGTTTGATTAATCAGCATCGATATTATGGAGACTCGATCCCGTTCGGATCGTGGGAAGAAGTGTTAAGAAACTCGAGCACGCTTGGCTACATGAACTCTCAACAAGCTATCGCGGACTACGCGGAGATCATCCTTCACATAAAGGAGCGGTTCAATGCCAGCGATTCACCTGTGATAGTTGTGGGAGGATCCTACGGAGGAAGTACGTAAACCAGAGATAATACGTTACCTAGAATGGAAATTTTTTGAACTCCTTTGTTCTTAATCGGAAGTTTGAGGACTAGAATGAAACTTTTTTTGCTCCCTAAATTCTCCGAATATAATACGTTACTGTGATTTTTCAGTGCTGGCGACATGGTTCCGATTGAAGTACCCGCACCTAGCGATTGGAGCATTGGCTTCATCGGCCCCAATCCTTTACTTCGACGACATTACCCCACATGATGCATATGTCAATGCTGTCACCAAAGATTTTAGAGTAATGCTCTCTAACATTAGTTAATTCCCTCAATTATAGATAGCTTACAATATACTTATTAATTTTTATGTACATATTGTATATGGTGAGTACAGGATGCTAGCGAGACGTGCTACCAGACAATAAAGAAGTCGTGGGCAGAAATAGACGAAATAGCTTCCAAACCAGATGGTCTCTCTACTCTCGCCCAAAGGTTCAAGACCTGCGCGTAAGTTATCGTTAATAACATTGTTTGTAAATAGTATAAGATTCGTAATTAAATCTTTTCAAACAACTTGAATTATTGGGATCGACTGGTTTTTAAGATGGTTTTTTTTATAATGTGGTTTTTAAGATGGTATTAGAGCTTTTGATGATCGAGCGATCTTGTTCGAATCGAGATGACCTTTATTAAACACCTGATATTCAGATTTATTATACAAACTTTATGGACATGAATCAATTTTCATACGAAATGACATGTTAGTAAATGGTATATCTACGACTATAGCTCTCCTAAACTACTTTGTCACGTTGAAAACATGCATGATTTAGGCCATTGAAGGATTCGACATCTCTGACGGACCAATTGGAAGGGCTCTACGCTTCAGCAGCCCAATATAACGCACCACCAAGTTATCCAGTGACACAGGTATGCACCGCAATAGATGGATCTGGGCCCAACAATGATACTCTTGGGCCCATATTTGCTGGCGTCGTTGCTTACTACGGAGATATGCCTTGTTACATCAACGAACCTACTAATAATAAGCCCTCTGAAACCTACGGTGGATGGGATTGGCAGGTATTCAATCTGGGCTTCTTTTTGTTCTCGGCCTTTTCTTTTATTTGGGTTCAAATGGTTTAGTTGGGCTAAGCGGAGACCATTCAGGTGAAAAATGTCTTTCACTGACTCAGCCCAATGGCTTTCATGTAGACGTGCAGCGAGATGGTGATACCGATCGGGTATGGGAATGACACGATGTTTGGATCGGAAGAAGCTTTCAACCTCACCAAATTCTCAAATGAATGCAGAGAAAAATACGGCGTCGCACCTCGACCTCATTGGGTCACCACCTACTATGGTGGACATGTACATTCTCGATTATCTTTCCCCTCCAATCTTTTTGTTAAGAGAGTATTAGGTTTCTTAATTATTTGAATGAATTTCTTAATGGTGGTATTTAAAATGAGAGGGTTGTAATTAATAAGTCACAACAATCGATAAGAATTTAACTCGGATCGTAGATGTGGGCGGAAGTTGATAGTCTACTATCCTACCACTTTTCAATGTCTGATAATTATATGATCCCCCAATCATTTTATTAAATAAATCAAATGTTGTAGATGAGGAGAAAGCGTTTTCAGTCAGTGATATACTACGAATAATTACACCGTTCATTCTTAACCTTGACAAAATTGGTTATCTGATTTTGCAGAGCATAAAAATGGTTCTCAAGAGATTCGGAAGCAACATTATTTTTTCAAATGGTCTGAAAGATCCCTATAGCAGGGGAGGGTAAGCTACTATTTCACACACTCTGTAGCTCTTTCTTTTAGGGATAATGAGTGCCCAGTTGTTTTCATCTATTCAAACAAATTCGATGCACAAATTTTACAGGGTGCTAGAGAATATATCGGACTCTATCCACGCCATCTATACAGCTAACGGTATGTTCTAATTGTGTATGTTTTACTTGTTCTTTTCTTTTTGTTTCTCTTGAAGCTCATGATGTCTAGTTAACTTGCAGGGTCACATTGCTTGGATTTACAGGCATCAAATGTTACCGATCCAGAATGGTTGATTGCGCAACGTAAAGAAGAGATCCATATCGTGCATGACTGGCTAACGACTTATTATAAGGATCTTCAGGCCGTTTAGTCTTTTGTATTGTTGGGTGGATTAATGAAACTGAGTATAATGCAATAAATATAGTGGTGACTGACATGCTGTTGTTTCTCACACCTATAAAGAAGGGAACAAGCGTGTTGACTTTCTTGCTAATAGGGGGTACTTTGTTCCCTCTTGGTTGCATCCTTTCCATGTTCCAATCCTGTGATGTATCAGTGAATTTTGTATGATATTAAGAGACTTTCGTGATTGGTTTTGAATGAAGGTTAGAACACCCTATGTTCATGTTTTTTTAATGTAGTGGCAATGGTGGATAAAAGACATACCAAAGTGGATCTTTGGACCCTCTTTGGTTCTGAAGAAAATATAAATACAATAATTAAGTGTTGTTGAGATCTTTTTTTACCTAAACCTCACCAAGATTAATAATCAATATATCTACCACCAAATAACTATTAGATAATTGATTTAGTTATCATTGTTATATAATACATTCTAGTTTCTGCGTAAATAATAAGCAAAATATAACTACATACTTCAGGTCTCAAATTCTTAACTACTCGTCATATATCACCCAAAACCTTCTCTTGTTGAAACTCGCTATAGCTTATATTCATCATAATTAATGAATTCTTTGAAAATAATACCTCGGGTTTTGAACGTCAACTACATTATTGTGTGTATATTTGATGTGAAAATAGACTAGATGTTGTCTAAAACTAGATAGTAAGGTTGTCAACCCCCGGGTTGACCCGGACCCGGTCGAGCTAGTGGGTCAAGGGTTAATGGGTCGACCGTTTTAGCCCGGTTTGGCCCGAAAATATGGAAAGAGTCATTATATTGTACTTATCCTCATAAATTATATCAAATCCTATCTAACATATGAGTTATAACATATAATATTACACCAAAATAACATATCGTACTTAGATCCAGCAGATAGTGAAAATTCACACACACTTATATAACATAAATATTCAAATGTTCAACTTAGGATTTCAAAAATTGAGTTAGGCGAAAAGAAAAATCGGAAAATAGGCGTATTTCGCAAATCAAAGAAAAAAATGAAACAATTTGACCTCCAACCCGGTACCTTGTAGCGGTCAACCCGGCGGGTGCGTGCGGCCCGTTTTTCTCACCGGGTCAGGGTCAAATTGGATCGACCCGCGGGTTGACAACCTTGCTAGATAGAATTTTTGAGTTTTTTTAGAATCATGGTCGTTAAAAGAAGTAACTTAGCATTGCTGCTACCTAAACTTCAACTGCAAGTGTTAAAAAAGACATTTGCAATGGTCACGTAACAAACACTCTTTGATATTTAATGGGTGACAAAATCATAAATCATTATTTGATAGGATATATTGAGATTGATAGCATATGAATGCATTTAAAAAAAAAATTCGAAATATTGAAACCAACAACCAACGAAGATAAATACATTTTATGTTAGCTATAATCATAAAATAAAAAAGATGGACTTAAAATTTGAAAAAACACTAAATGCCCAAAGCGCAGGTTTAAGCTAGTACCAATCAAAGAGATCAAAAGGGTACTGGTCATTTATAAAGGCAATTAAGAAGCCAGCAAGGCATGCAGTTAGCAACTAGATCATAAAAAAAAACTAATGGGCTGAAATCCCAAAAGACAAGAAAATCGCCTTTCCTTCCAAAATGGTCCTTCGATCCCAAGCCAAAAAATTTCAATACTTGCAAGCAATTACAAATACATTTCGTCACTCCTTACTAATTAAATCCTTATCATAATTGGTATTCTCGGCTTGCCGTTATTCTTTGTGTTTGATAAATGAGTACCAATTAAGCTTAAAAGAAGACCAAATTTATTTTGTCACCTCTAACTTGCAGTGGTGTCTTGTCTTTCTCTTCCTATTTGTTCCATCCCCATTGATAATGGCACATATAGTGGAGCACTACTACATAAGATAAGAAGACAATAACCATATAATGTGGGTAGGTTCTGTTGGTTCAATTAGGATCACAAATGAGTTCCATGTAGTCCTTGTAGTCCACTACTTAGGGGAGCATACTTGTTGAACTTCTGATCGATATCGCTTTTTTCTCACTAGTATTTAGACGGCTCTATCCAAAAAAACGAGATTTAACTATCTATTTTCGATATATTTCACTTTTACATTTGATTGCCCATGAAAAAAATTCAAGAAACAAATCATTATCTAGCAGTGCAACGAACTAGCGTAGTATATATCTTTCTAAGGCAAATGAAGATAACCAAATAGAGCCAAATACCGAAGCAAGGAATCATTAAAATTACTGAAAGTGGTTCAAAGCCAACCGATGGAATGAGTTTCCTTTTCAGAAGAAAAAAACAGAGCAAGAAGAAAGAAAGAAAGAGAAGCATCCTTGCTAGCTAAGGGTCGATCAAACAAACAAATAATGTGCCAACTTCTCCAAGTTGTTGTGCACGAAATATAACTAAGGTGAATATTATCACTCTCAAAGTCTGCAAGGAACAATAATCATAATTGCAACAATAATTGAAAATGTTGCATAAAATAGATCAATAACACCACTTTTTCTAATATTAATTAAAGTTTAGTGTGATAAAATTAGAAATTTAACCATTAGAATATGTCACATTAATCTCTTTTAGTATATGCAACGCTTCTAGATATCATGTTGTTTATACATTTAAGCAACATTGCGTTTTCAATCGTGAGTAGCAATTACGCTTCAACAAGATCATTTCAAATGGTCGTGGCAGTGTAGATCGACGATTGCAAGTATGATTTCGCTCCTCCATCTGGCTCCATTGATCAAGATCAAGTTCATCCCTTGACATTTGAATTCCATGGTTGATTAGGTTGCTTGCCAAGCCAGGATGAACACATTACTACCAGTGGACTGGGTTGTTATTTGTGATATCATTGCTCTTGTTTCCCTTGTTTGGGGTCGAAATAGTAGGATTCATATTTGTAAAAAAAAAAAGCAAAAGGTTGCAAATGATGGTCGAAGAAGGCCACCACAATTAGGGATGGCAATGGGTCGGGTTGGAGCGGGTTTTGCCAAACCCAAACCCAAACTCATGGGTTTATCCGCCAAAAAAACCCGGGGTAAAACCCGTTGGGTTTGAAAAACTCAAACCCAACCCAACCCGCTGAGTATCCGTGGGTTTTTGTGGTAAAAATTTACAATAACAAGTTTCTTTCAAAATAAAAGTTTTAACATCAATTTTCTCATACAAATTAATCATACAAAAAACACCAATCTAGAGCATACAAACAAACCGCAAATGGTCAATACAAATTGTTCGAAATTAAAGATAAACATATATAAACAATAAAATTAATTGAAAGCCTCTTCCTCGTCAACTAAGTTTCTTCACTCTCCACTTCATAATATCAACTTCATTTTAAACAATTAGAAAGAACAAATTATACATGTCTCCACAAACATATAGAATATTAGTTGTTTAAGGAAGATATATTATTTAGAATATTAAATATACCGGGAAAGTAATTATATGTGTGTGGGCGGGTACCCATGGGGCGGGTTTACCTAAACCCAAACCCAACCCAACCCGGTGAATAGTGTAGCTGGTTTAAACCCGAACCCGGCCCAAAACCCGTCAACACGAGTTTTACCCACGTTGACCGGGTTGGGTCGGGTGGATACCCTTGGGTTCGGGTTTTGTTGCCATCCCTAACCACAATAAAAACTCAAACCCATTGTTGCCTAAGTGCCTCTCCCATTTACAAACACATTTGTTGGTCAAAAGAAAAGTCATATCTCTCTTTCAACTAGCACCTTATTGCGATATATATACATCTCCCACAAGTATTGAGGAAAATATCAGAAAACAGCTTACTAATTAGACGCAAGTCATCCCCATGGCCAAATTCCGGTTCCATATCCTCTACTTCTTCCTCTTCTTCCTAGCAGCGGCTTTGCCGGCTACGACGTCGTCGTTTGAGGTCCCCAGGCTGACCATGTACGACCCACGGTACGTATCCCGCCACGATCTCGCCGGCGGCCAGACTCTGACCTTAACGGCGGCCATGGAAGATTTCGAGTCCCATTTCTACAACCAAACGCTGGACCACTTCAACTACCGCCCGGAGAGCTACGTCACTTTCCGGCAGCGATACGTCGTCAACTCCAAGCACTGGGCCGGGCCCGGCGCTCCCATTTTCGTCTATCTCGGCGCCGAAGCACCCTTGACCCACAATTTCTCGGGATACAAAAGTTTCCTCACTGACATCGCACCAAGCTTCAATGCGCTCTTGCTGTACATTGAGGTACTTAAATTACTCCCCTCGATCTTTTATTAACTTCTTCCATTTTATGATGTGGCCTCCGTACCATGATATATCTCTCACTATATATCCAAACTCTTACAGATATTCGACGAATTCATAAGAATGAATGGTTTTATCTGTTTGGTGGTCCACAATTGATAAATTCCAAAGGTTCGATTAAATATTTTTCTTGGTGGTTAATGTATCAGCATCGATACTATGGGGAATCCATTCCATACGGATCGAGGGAAGAAGCGTTCAGGAATTCGAGCACACTTGGGTATATGAGCTCTCAGCAAGCTATTGCGGACTACGCAGAGATCATCCTTAACGTAAAGGAGCAGTTCAACACCGACAATTCACCGGTGATCGTTGTCGGAGGATCCTACGGAGGAAGTACGTAAACAAAACAATAATACATTAAATTGTGCGCGTATGGACTTCTTTGTTCCTTATAAGAAGTTGAAGAGTTAGAATGAATTTTTATTTATTTATTTATTTATTTATTTATTTATTTATTTATTATTATTATTATTATTATTGTGTTGATTGGGCTTTGGTAAGTGCTGGCAACGTGGTTCCGATTGAAGTACCCGCATCTAGCTATTGGAGCATTGACTTCATCGGCTCCAATTCTTTACTTCGACGATATTACTCCACAGGATGCATATTACAATGTCGTCACCAAAGATTTCAGGGTATAATACTCTTTCAATCATAAAATTACTCTTTCTATTGTAGCACACTCTTATAACTATTTAGGTGTTTACTTGCATGTACGCCGAGTAACAGGAGGCTAGCGAGACGTGCTATCAGACAATAAAGAAATCGTGGGTAGAAATAGACGAAACCGCTTCTAAACTAGATGGTCTTTCTACTCTTGGTAAAAAATTCAGGACTTGCGCGTAAGTTACTACTGATTAATCTTACTAGTTCCGATTCTAATTTGCATCTAGAATAAACCCATCGTGTTTAGAGGTAAAATAATTAGCATGTCCTAATTAAGCATACACAAAGCCTTATAGAATCTTATAACGTTGAAAATGACCGTAAAATGCATGGTTTTAGGCCGTTGAAGAATTCGACATATCTGACGAACAGTTTGGGCGGGCTGTACGCTAGAGCGGCCCAATATAATGCGCCACCAAATTATCCAGTGACCCAGATATGCACCGCAATAGATGGATCCGGGCCCGATAAAAGTACTCTCGACCGAATATTTGCTGGGGTCGTTGCTTATTACGGGGAGAAGCCTTGTTATATCAACGAACCAGCTCAGCCCTCTGAAACCGACGTCGGATGGGAATGGCAGGTATTCTGTTTGGGCTTTTTCTTGTTATGGACTTGTTTTTTTATCTGGACTCGGACGGTTTAGTTGGGCTAAGTGGAGACCACCCAGGTTAAAAAAGGCCTTCACTGACTCAGCCCAATGGTTTTTCTTGTAGACGTGCAGCGAGTTGGTGATACCAATCGGGTTTGGGAATGACACGATGTTTTGGTCGGAAGATGCTTTCAACCTCACCGGATTCTCACATGACTGTAAAGAAAAATACGGCGTCGCACCGCGACCTCATTGGGTCACCACCTACTATGGCGGACATGTATATTCCCATCTTCCCCTAAATCTCCTTGCGAAGGGAGTTGAGGTTTCTTGATTCTTGGATGACTTTTTTATAATCTAGACGAAATCACCTAATTTTGCAGAGCATAAAAAGGGTGCTTAAGAGATTCGGAAGTAACATCATCTTTTCCAATGGTCTGAAAGATCCCTACAGTAGAGGAGGGTAAGCTAATTCTTTTAACAATAACGAGAGCTCGACTATTTTCATCGTTACAGGAAACCAAATCGATTCACAAATTTTTCAGGGTGCTAGAAAACATATCGGATACCATTCATGTCGTTTATACAACAAACGGTATGTCATATTCAACTAGTAGAATTGGCATTCCATGCTTTCTTTTTTCATTTTTTTTCGTGTTGAATCTCATGATGTTTTGTTAATTTGCAGGGTCGCATTGCTTGGACTTGTACGGATCAAGGGTAACTGATCCAAAATGGTTGACTGCTCAACGTGAAGAAGAGATCGACATTATGCATGGATGGCTTACAACTTACTATAAGGATCTTCAGGTGGATTAATGAAATTGATTTCAAGAACTACTGTTAGCTAGAGGTGATTATATTTCAATGGTTCACCCCAATGTACTTAGAGACACTCCAGAAAGAGAAGTACACAAGAACCATACAGCACGTTACACAAACCACCTATCTATATGCATGACTACTACTAAACTTGGACAACAGACAATACAACGATTTATATACTTCAAAAAACAGCAGGACTCAGAGTCTGATCAGGACACCAAACAGTCTCCTGATCAGGACATCCTGACACCGTCCAGATCGGGTCGTCATCAATCCAACGATCATAAGCGAACAACTCATTGACATATTCATACAACACACTAAAAGCATTTACGTGGGAATATGCTTAACACGTCGCTTATGACTATGCTTTAACGTGTGTTGTGAATATTCATAACACGTGTAATGTTCTTACAGAGCACATATGTTGGAATTTGGTCCGGTTGCATGAAAATGGTTGAACCACTAATGCATCGGTTGTGTTGCCTGTTTAGTAATTACAGTTTTTTTATTAAAGCAACACGTCCCTCCAATTCCATTTGCATGAAACAATGCAATGCTTGGAATTGCAACTTGAATTCCCAGAGACACGTTGCATGGATAATGGCAGTTATGGAGCAAAGTTTATCCATATTCTTGTCAAATAATTGCAACGTTTTATATGAAGCAAAGCAATGCTTCGTCCCCAAGCATTATATCCGTTTGGACTCTATAAATAGAGGTGGTCGGATGAGAGAAAAATACACCAAAAAAATTCTTTCTTCTTCCTACTAAAAAGTTCTAAGTATGCTTTAGGTACTTAAGCCTGGAACCTAAAGTGGTGATAGTTTTATCCTCGGGAGAAATTTCCTGTAACCCTAGGCTTGTTGAGGGTGGAAATATTCTTTTCGGAAAGTGAACGTAGTTCACGACTCTATCATAATCCTAGTCACCCGGTCTCGGGCTATCGTACGTATACCCTCGTCCTTAAAAGTCCCAACATTCGAAAAGAATATTTCTCCGGTACGATGACTCGAACCGCTCTTTACAAGAAACTAAATCTGGTCTATGGAATTATGAGAATGTTCGATGATGGGTTTTTCATCGATGGCAGTAGAAGATGGGTTTTCTTCGTACTTATCTCATGGTGTATTCCATATCCGGAAGGTAACTTGGAAGAGGGATGATTCGAAGATGAGGAAGAAGGAGAATGATTCGTAAAATGGAGAAATAGAAGAATGAAAATTGCCTTTGGGTAGGTCACATACTCAATGGTTAATTAGTCTAATTCTCTATTCGACATTTACGAAGTTCTAGATAAACTTGGATTTGTCTAGTGGTTTGGTGGTGTGGTTTTGTCTAATGGTTTATGTTATTTTAAACCAAGGAGACAAAATTGTATATACAATGTTTGATGATTCTGGTAATAGAGTCGTTGTGTTTGTATGTAGATGACATATTTATCTTTGGGACCAATCAAAGATACGTGATTTTGTCAAGTGGTTTATGTTATTTTAAACCAAAGAGACAAAATGTGTACACAATTTATGATGATTCTGGTAATGAAGTCATCGTACATTTGTATGTATAAGATATGCTTATCTTTGGAGCCAATAAAAGATAAGTGAACTTTGATAAAAAGTTGTTATTTCAATTCTCCATGTAGGACATGGGGGAGGCAAATGCAATTCTGTGTATTGAATCAAGCGGAACGACAAGAAATAGTCCTTCTCTCAATTTTTCTGCATGAGAAGGTACTTGCATAAATTCCATGTCAAATTGGGGATTCGATGTATGCATGACTTACATGATACTAGATATTGCATATGCAATAGAACAATTAAGTTGGTACGTGATGAATCCTAGTTCTCATCATTTGAAAATAAAATGAGGCGTGTACTAGGATATGCCAAATGCACACTGTATTGACTTATAGTGGCTTTCCATCAATTTTGGAAGGATTTGTTGATGTTTGGTGGATTTCTCATGTTAAAGGTGATACTTCAACATTGAGATGAGTCCTCTTGCTTGGGAGAGGTGCCATATTTTGGGCCTCTAGAAAGCAAACTTGCATCACTAAGTTTCACTATGGAATCAAAGTTTGTGTGGTCTTGGTTTCTCTTAGAGAAGAGACATAATTGTTGAGAGGTTTGGTTTATGACATATATTTATGGCCTAAACCAATCTCACCTATTACTATCTTTTGTGATAGTAATGCTAGTTTGGCTAAGGCATATAGTCAAGTGAAAATGACAAGTATGGTCATGTGGGAGTAAGAAACGGTAAAATCTGTGAACTGATAATTCATAGAGTTGTGTCTAGACAGTAAGACCAGACTTGAAATAATTTGGTTGATCATTTGACGAAGTGGTTAACTAGTGACTTGGTGATCAAGTCTGTGAAAGGGATGGTTTAAAGTCCATATAATTTCTGGTAATGGGACACCCAATTCCCCTCTAATACAACGTTAGAGGCTGAATTCAATGTGGAAAGCTTATTATCAGAAATTGGAAGCACGAAATTTGTCATCCCGAGGTATGTGCTTGTTATCCTGCATGAGAGAAGAGGATGAAGTTCAAAACTTCTTAATTGAATCTTTGAAAAAGTGTATTATGCGGGTACATGAATAAGAGATTCAACCTATGTAAGCATGAAGTGTAGCCGCTTCAAGAAACCCGGACTTTGGTTTCGTGTGCGCTTATGAGAAGGATTGGACACATGGCGGATAATAGTGTCAAGGCGCTTAGAAGTTTTGAAAACTTAAGTGTATATTATCTTCGAATATTCATATGAGTCAATGGGTTCAATCGTTACCGACACCCTTTGTATTCGAGTATTCGTCAAGTGTAATATACTAAGGTGAAAATTCAATCGTCACGATATTTTCATTTATGCTTAAGTTTTGTTGGAAGAATGTTGTGATTTTAGTGAATTTGTAGAATACACTAAAATGGGGGAGGATTGTTGGAATTTGGTCCGGTTGCATGAAAATGGTTGAACCACTAATGCATCGGTTGTGTTGCCTGTTTAGTAATTACAGTTTTTTTATTAAAGCAACACGTCCCTCCAATTCCATTTGCATGAAACAATGCAATGCTTGGAATTGCAACTTGAATTCCCAGAGACACGTTGCATGGATAATGGCAGTTATGGAGCAAAGTTTATCCATATTCTTGTCAAATAATTGCAACGTTTTATATGAAGCAAAGCAATGCTTCGTCCCCAAGCATTATATCCGTTTGGACTCTATAAATAGAGGTGGTCGGATGAGAGAAAAATACACCAAAAAAATTCTTTCTTCTTCCTACTAAAAAGTTCTAAGTATGCTTTAGGTACTTAAGCCTGGAACCTAAAGTGGTGATAGTTTTATCCTCGGGAGAAATTTCCTGTAACCCTAGGCTTGTTGAGGGTGGAAATATTCTTTTCGAAAAGTGAACGTAGTTCACGACTCTATCATAATCCTAGTCACCCGGTCTCGGGCTATCGTACGTATACCCTCGTCCTTAAAAGTCCCAACAACATATTCATCAACCCTTTAGTTGTCTTTAATTTTGCACTAAAATGACGTGACCGAATCATCATACCATTTGATCATTGCGCTGTCCAGGAACCTGGTGACAGCATTTGTCTTTTAATTTTCCTTCTCCTCTTCATTTCCCCACCACAGACAATGGGAATAAGAAACCGGAATCAATCATCACCATCATATTCATTTTGATGGTGCACTGATACGTCATGGATTTGGATAGCTCCCTTTTCTTAGCGGGAGTAGACCAGTTTCTCCTTTCTTGACAAGAATGGCCAGAGATTTCTTATTTTCTGAAATATTGCTTGCCTTCTATTCCGTTCATTCCTACCTTAAATACATGAATTAGAAAGACCCTATCTATGTGGAACCAACTCCACGTTTTGCTCTACTTCAACGACACTTCCTCCACTAACTCTAACAACTTGCACGTAATCACGGTAGCAACTCTTGGGTTGGGCTGCTTGTGCCTAGTGATGGTTGGGCCTATGAATAGTCGTATCATGCACGTCCTATATATAATGCACATATTTTCACGATTTCACCATTACATATAGCATGTAGCGTAAAATTACGAAAAATGTACGTTACTGTACGTACGCGATCTAATGGTTGAGATCGGGAAGATCCTTGATTCAAACTGATATTACATTACGCAGCACACAATTAGCTAGCTATCCATCACTCTTCATGATTATTCGGGCGAGGCAATCCATTATAGCTAGTGATCACCATGGAACAAAAACACACGTATAGGGCAAAATTTGGTTGCTAGATATGTATTACTAGCTAGCTTCATATAGACGCATCACGCATGCATGCACAAACACTATATAACCTAATCTTGGTAACTATTTCAACTGCACTAGATCTGTGTAGTACTTCGAAAGCCACCTCCCGATAATTTCCAGCTCAGTCTTGCGCTGCTTGATTAACCAATCGGGGTCACTTGGCCTTGATGTCAGTATATCCAGACTATGAGATCCTGAAATACGTGCAAGAACACAAAAATTCAATCTATTAATTTATGGAAGTTTATTGGTACAAGTTGTAACACAAAAAAGCAGGCATGATTTTCATTATCTAATTAGATATAAGTAGAGAATTGATGGTTACATTAAGATAATCGCGATCCATAGCAATCGCATAATGGTTTGACGATGGAGTTAGGTTGAAACTAGAAGGGGCGCTGTAGCTGTACTCAATTTTGAAATATAGATAAAGTTACATGTAAAATTTGCACAAATTTAGTAATTAGAACAGTCAGGTGAGGTTTTAGCCCCCGCCTCCCACAATTACGACAATTTAAGTCAGCCCCACATTCGTTCGAATTTCTGGTTTCGCCACTGTAATTAGGGGTGGCTGTACGGTCCGGTCGGGTTAAATTGGCTCAAATTGATCCGGTCCAGTCCGGTCTTTTCGAAAATATAAGGACTAAAGATTGGATTGGATACAGTCCGGTTTTGATCCGGTCCGGTCCCAATTCGGTCTTGATTTTATATTGAGTTTGTGGGGATTTGAGTGGTCTAAGGCCTGAAAAGGTGAGGAGTTGGTAAAGTTTTGTACTAAGTGCAAAGGTTTGTGACCGTTTATGCTAATTACCCTTAAGTTTTGGGTGTTGAGCTCTCTTATCCGGCTTATCCAGTTTTTTATCCGGTCCCGAACGGTTTTTTACCTCAAATCTAAGCCCAAACATTGGATTGGATTGTTTACTATCCGGTCCCGATCCGGGTTATACGGTCCGGTTACGGGTAAAATCAAAAAACCCGGACCAAATAGCCAGCCCTAACTGTAATGGTTGATACATGATTGTGTGATTGCAGTCTTTTTTCTATTCTCTTTCATTTTCTTATTACTAATAATATTCACCTTTATAATAAAAATAGGGTTGTGTGATTGATTTATGAGATGCGTAAAAGAATGATTTTGATATGTTTACGAGATTGAGTAAAAAAAAATCATATAAACAAATAAAAAAATAGAAGCTAATTATTTACATGAATGCGCCATCCTTAATTTATATAGGTTGGTGTGGGATGGGGAGCGCAGAAGCAGGGTTTTGGTTCCACTTTTTTCAGACATGTATGTCTTCATTGTCATATAACTTTGCATCCACTGACCAAAATTGTGTGCATGCATCCACCACTTAATTAATCAACTTAATCAATAAACAAATGGATAATTAATTAGTATGTAAAACGTGGTAATGTGTACCATTAACGGTAGACAATGCGATAATGCTATCTGATATGTCCTTCAACACCCTGTGAAACATTATTGGTGGCCAAAATCAACATCATCATCAATTCATCATCAATTCATCATCATTATCAAATACTCCAAAAAAATTGTTCAAAGAAGAGAAGGATATAGCCCACGAAGATTCATCGTGCCCTATTCGGGGAAAAAATTGTAAATTACGTACCCGCCGCTGCTGTAAGGATCTCTCATCCCATTTGAGAAGATGATGTTGCTAGCAAATCTACGCAGAGCCAGCTTCAAGTCCTGCTCAACGGGTAACATATGCTTGATCAATATATGTAACGAAGAATTTACGAATAACGTTACATCATGTAGTGACGATTATTTAACGTACGTGGCCTCCATAAAAGGTGGTGACCCAGTGAGGCTGTGGAAGGATTCCAAATCGGCTCTCGCAATTCTTGGTGAAGCTGTTGATGTTGAAAGGCTCCGGCGGGAACATCGTGTCGCTATCGTGCCCTATTCGGAATACTAGCTCGCTGCACGTCTGTGTCATCGACCATATATATATAAGTTCACTAAACCATTCGATTTGTTTACTTTTAGCAACCGTTTCTTGGTCGCAAAAGATCCTTTTTTTTTTATAGTGAATTCGCTTCAGTAACATTAATACAGTTATATATATACCTGCCATTTCCATGCACTGTCTGAAGCCGTAGGAGGAGAGGAGTCGTAGACATCGTAGCAGGAGCTGTCTCCCTTGTAAGCAACCACGCCGGCGAGTATCTGCCCCAGAACGTCGCCGTCCGGGGCTCCGTCGATGGCACGGCAGACTATGCTGACGGGATACTCCGGCGGCTCGTTGTACTGCGCCGCCTCCGCGTACATGGAGTCCAAGTAATCCTTCAAATCGAATGTCCTTCTCAAAGGACTGCCACACATGCACATATAAAATAACACGTACGAGAAGAGATAAATATTTAACAACTACATAAACGAACTAATGGATAATTTTACGTTTTTTCTCTCTCCAAATGTCTTGTAATGTTGATAGACATGTGGTTCGTCATTGATTGGTTTAGTCATATAAACATATAAACCACTTAATTGTGGCATAATGTAATAACGTGTACGAGTACGAACTCTTAGTATCGGGTCCAAATTGTACAATAAGGTGGATTTGCACTCCAAATGTCTTATAATGTTGATAGGCATGTGATTCATTGATTGGTTTAGTCATATAAAGTAATTAAACATGTTACTTTTACCGGCAAGTTTTGAATTTCTTGCCGAGGAGTGAAAGGCCGTCGGGCTTGGAAGCCACTCTTTCGATTTCAACCCACGACCTGCGAATCGTCTCGTAGCAGCTCTTGCTATCTTCCTGCATGGGACGACGACATCACTAGGACGTTACGTTACATATATATCGAAAGTGCGCGTGTGAGACCGATATTATAACTGATTTGGTGTTTGAACGATTCGATGTTACTTTGAAATCCTTTGTGACGACGGAGTAGTAGCCATCTCCAGGCGCGACTCCATCGAAATAGAGAATTGGAGCCGACGAAGCCAGCGCTCCAATCGCTACGTGTGGGTACTTCAGCCTGAACCAGGACGCCAGCACTGCAGGATTGTTGTGTCCCCAGTCCCACCTTATCAGATCTATCGAGCGTATCATAGAATTTTCCAATAAAATAATATCCTATATATGTAAGAAACTTACTTCCACCGTAGGATCCTCCAACGACGATGACGGGGGAGTTCTTGGCCGAGTAAGTCTGCTTGACGTGGAGGATGATGGCGGCATAATCCGCAATCGCCTGAGCAGAGTTCAAGTAGCCGAGGGAAGTGGCGTTTCTCGAAGCTTTCTCCCACGACCCAAACGGGACGGACTCCCCGTAGTACCGATGCTTTTTACGTGGATGGCAGATTAGTAACACGTTCATGACATACAAATATCGGAGAAATTTTAAAAATCATAATAACTACTCTTAACGTTAATACGTAAATTATCTAACTTCTATCCCTCTGCGCGATGAAGAATATAACTCGCGCGGTGAACAAAAATAAACCGTTTAATTTTGTACCTCGATATATAAGAGGAGGGCCTTGAAATGGGGAGCATTCTCAGTGAGGAAGCCAATATCGGTCCAGGCGTAGTCGATCCTGTCTTCGGGCCCAAAGTAGACCAAAATGGGAGCGTTGGTATCGGCGCCACCCCAGTGTTTGACGTTGACGATGTACCTCTGCCGGAAAGTGGTGTAACTTTCCGGCTTGTAGTTGAAGTGGTCAAGCGTCTGGTTGTAGTAAAACGTCACGAAATCACCACTCTCGTCATCGTGGGCGGCGGAGGCAGCGAGCTGCCTTGCTTGCTTTGGGCTATTTGGTCTGTGGATGCCAAGTCCGGCGAACTTGGCTTGTGTTGGAGGGAAGTGAAGCGTTAGGAAGAGGAGTGATAATGAAAGGATTAATAGCGTTGGTTGGCTGAGAGTTTTCATACTAAGGGAATGGAAGTTTTGTGTGTTGGGAATTAGGATGTTTTGTTATTTTATTTGTGGCGATGATTCACTGTCCTGGGCTCAGGCCTATTTATAGTACTTGATCAACGTGCTGGGCCCATTAGGTTGGAATTTTGATGAGGGAGGAATAGAAACGTGGAGGGCCCATGTGCATGAAACAACAAGGAAAAGGCCAAAAAGGGGGAAGAAAGAAAAGCAAACAACACTAACACCCCCCAGTTGACTCGTTGACTTGAATGGGGAGGGACAGACCCACAAATGAGGATTGCACTAAGTTCGATTTCTAGGTAATCCAAAACAAAATTCAGCGGATGTACCGTCGAAATTATTTGGCAGAATATTGATCCTGAAATTTTAACCTCGAACCAAACTCAGCTAGTTTTTGGGTAGGTATATTGAGTAAAAATGTCCTCCAAACACTCAAATTCGTATATTATCAAAATTCTTGGTACAACTATATTGTCATAAATGCTAATACATAAATAAGTTTTACCCACATCCAATTTTAAACATGTCATCACTGAGTATTTTTCATCTTTGACTCGATCGACCATTACTGTTTTGGTTTTGAATTTAATATTTTGTGAAAATTTTTCAGTGGCAATTCGACCCATCCATGGTGGGAGTGAGAGGGAGATAACATGGTCTTCATCTAAACTAAAGTTTGTTTGTTAAACTTACTTGGTTGATTTGTCACTTTTGACTAGTTTGAGTGTTGAATCTGGGTGTGTCATTTTGATATATATAATTCCTACACATAGGTTTTATTTAAAATCATTATTTGGACTCTTAGTTTTTAGCTAGGTATAGGTCTTACTGATGTGTAATCGTCAAATTCATATTTTTATACTATTTTGTTAATATTTCCCAAATCTAATATAAGCCAAATTCTTTAAAAGAAAAGAACAAAATTGAAACTCCCGATTAGCTAAATTTTTCAATCATTCACTAATTCTTCTACTCACACTGTATTTTTCAAATCCTAACATCCAAATTAGACCAACCCCTTATTCGAGAAAAATAATCCCCTTCTGATTATTATCATGAATTAGGTCTATAGACACTAATTGGATATAGAACGGACCTCAGTTTAATTATACGCTCCATTAGAAAAGGAGAAGTCTTTTTTGATCATTAATTGACGGCAATATATATTGGGATAACTTTAGCTGTAGTGTAAGGTGAGTCATGGAGCTACTCCTCATATAGAGTGTAAACTAATGGCCATATGAAGCGCTCGTGAAGGCCTACGGGTCGCCAAACAAGACCTTCAAGGATAAAGACACATCTTCAAAGCAAAACAAACAAACAAACAACAAAAAATGTCGCTAGAGCTGAGAACTATTATTGGCCACCATTATTAATTCGAATGGACACCACTCAATTACAGATCGTAATGATGTTTTTACCCTCGATGGACACTTTGGCCATTAGGACTCCGCACTTATCCAAAAATATGCCTTGCTCTCGTCACTCTTTTCTCTTCTAAATTCTAATCCTTCGATATCCCTTTAATTAGATCTTTCTCTTGGCATCTCATAGGGTAGAGAAGAACTGCGATATCCCTTGTCTTTTGGAATGACCATCTTGTCTTGAAAGGAGCAGTCAGCAGAGAAAAGGAGAAAAAAATGAATAGCTTGAATTTTTGCTTTACAAAGGAGTTTAATTTGTTGTCATGGTAATGCACTATCTGAAAATCAAAACGAAAGGCAAGAAAGGGTACATGGCTCTGAAGGTTGACATGGAAAAGACTTATGATAGAGTTGAATGGCCCTTTCTACTTGCGGTTTTGGAGAAGATGAGATTTAGTTCTAAGTGGCGAGGATGGGTTCTGGAATGCCTCAAATCCACTTCGTTTTCAGTTATGATGAATGGCACGCCGGCAGGCTACTTCACCCCGTCAAGGGGGCTGCGGCAGGGAGATCCTCTCTCTCCACTTCTTTTTGTGCTTTGCACTGAAGGATTTGCGGCACTCCTTAATAAGGCAATTGCGGAAAGAAAACTTCAAGGGGTGAAAGTAGCCCCTCGGGCACCTAGGATTACCCACCTGTTCTTTGCGGATGATTCATATCTATTCCTCCGTGGGTCCCTACAGGAATGTGAGAATCTGATTGAAGTGTTGAATGAATATGAGGAACTTAGTGGTCAAAGGGTGAATTTGGACAAGTCTGCGGTTTGCTTTAGTAAAAACATTACTGTGCCCGACCAGGAGTTTCTGGCTCAGATCTTGGGGGTGGGAGCGGTTGGTGTCCATGACAAATACCTAGGACTACCTTCTCTGATAGCCCGATCTAAAATGGCTACTTTTCGATACCTCGAAGAAAAACTCCTTGAGCGGCTGCAGGGGTGGAAGCAAAGGACATTGTCATGGGCTGCCAAGGAGGTCTTGATTAAATCAGTTGCATTGGCGCTTCCGTTACATGTCATGTCCTGTTTCAAACTTCCCCTTTCCCTGTGTAGGCTCTTGGATAAACACGTGGCACGGTTTTGGTGGAATGTGGTGGAGGGCCATTCTAAAATTCGTTGGTTATCGTGAAGGAATATGTGCCGAAGCAAGCACGATGGGGGAATGGGGTTCCGTCGGTTTGAGCTGTTCAATCAGGCCTTGTTAGCCAAGATTGGGTGGCAGATCATTACCGAACCCCAATCCCTGCTAGCTCAAGTCTATAAGGGTAAGTACTTCCCTACTGGTACGTTCCTTACGGCTACTGCAAGATCCCGGCCATCTTGGGGCTGGCAGAGTATTCTGTATGGCAGGCAATTGCTGGAGCAAGGGTTAAGATGGCAAATAGGTAATGGGCGGAAGGCATCCCTTCTCTCTTCGAATTGGATTCCTCAGCTTCACCCCTCCCCCGGTACAATCCCCTGGTACTCCCGGATGGGAACGACCTTCGAGTGGAGGAAGTTCTTTGTCCTGGGGAGGGACGTTGGAATGATTCGAAGCTCAGTCAATGGTTTGATCCCCCTACCTGTCGTGCCATAAAGACTATCCCGCTTCCGAGGCATTGCATTGAGGATCGTCTTGTCTGGCAGAACTCTGCGGATGGAATTTTCTCGGTTAAATCGGCCTATCACCTTGCCGTCCGGTTGGATCAGCAAAGCAGTCGTTGTAAAGATACAGTTAGTTGGATGGATAAACCCAATTGGATCCGGGTTTGGGAGGCCAACATACCGCCCAAACTTAAGGTGTTTGTCTGGCAAGTCTTAAATCGGATTCTCCCCACAACTGAGGCGCTTAGAAATAAGGATGTGGTGGTCCATCCTAGGTGCCCTGTCTGTTGGGAGGCAGAGGAAACCATGGAACATTTATTTCTGGATTGCCCGGTGGCTAGGGCGCTTTGGGATTATTCTGGCCTGGAATACCTGGGTCAGGGCCTGCCTCGCCATACTTTTCCGCTTTTTCTGAAACGACTGTTAGCTCTCATTCGACAACCGGAGTTGGTTATGATGGTGGTTGCTGTCCTATGGAGGATCTGGCGCTCTCGGAATTGGGTTGTTTTCAAAGGCAAGCAATTCGTGATCCCGGCCTTGTTGCGCCAGTTAAATCAACAGGTGGATGAGTGGTTGCGTGTGCCGATTGAGAAGGAAAACCCTGCTTGTGTTCCTAGGACTCCTATTATTTTCACAGGGGGTGGTAGTCAGGTTATATGCAGTTGGGATGGGGCGACTCGGCAGGGATCCCACTCGGCGGGAGGAGTGGTGATAATGACTCCATCAAGAGAAATTTTGTTGGCCCGCGGGTTCCAAGTCCAGTGCATTGATGACCCGATAACGGTGGAGGTCCTGGCACTCCGTGAGGCCTTATATTGGTGTCTGGAGATTGGGTTCTATGAGGTTTGCTTTGAAGGCGACGCCAAGGTTGTCATTGATAAGATCATTCGGGCGGAGGTTGGTGACATTCGGATGGGGGCGGTATTGGAAGAGGTGGTATCTTGTTTTGCCTTGCATCCGGGGTTTAGTGTTCGATTTGTAGGTCGTCGTAACAATAGGGTAGCCCACTTGGTGGCTAGAAAGGCCCTTTCATTGTCTTCGACTGCGAGTCGTTTGTTTGATTTTCAGACCTGGCTGTTTTCCAGGGTGTAACTATCTTTTTGGTGATTCAATATATATGAATATCTTTTGTAAAAAAAAAAAAATTTGTTGTCATGCTATCAGGTTGTTTAATCTTGATCGTAGCTATATATCCCGATGCTGTTTACAAAGGTTGGAACATAATTTGTTCTCAACAAAAGGGATGAAATGCCTCTCATTGTATAGCAAAACCTAGCTAACATATTATTTTCCTCTTTATGAGAGAGAGAGGACGAGCAAGAAAGTTTTTGATTTCATAGAAATTTATAGCTGGAACCTACACTGAACTAATCGGGTGATTTTGTATAATTGATATCTATCATGAAATTTAAAAACAAGTTTGGATTTATCAACGGTAGGATCCAAGAACTAGAATCAACAAATCTCAATGTTTTGCATAGACTCACTGCAACAAGATCGATGGTCAAGAGTTGTTATAATTGTGTGTCGCCTAAATCACTCAATAATTTTTTTCTCTCACTCAAGAACCGAGAGAAACTTAAATCATTCCCCGTGGTATATCTGATCGCGTTTAACACCCGGTCTACTAAAAATATCATGCTAATGACAAAACCTTAATTCTCTACCAAAATAATATGGTAAATATATCTCACTAAATGAAAAAAATAGAAAGAGTTAGTAATTATTTTTATATGCATATCCAAATTAACATTTATACCTCCAATTGCAATTCAAACCATTCATTTACATTCCAAAAATACTTTCACAACTTGCACCCAAAAAAAAAAACTTTCACAACTTCATAATTAGACCACCAAAACATATTTTTCTTTTTTTTCCCCCCTTCATACTCCTTCCAAAATTAAAATTTCCCGTAAATAAAAATTCAATTTTCCATTTACCCTTCTTCACTCCCTCCCCCTATATAAACCGTTCTTTTGGTCTCACATTTTCCCCACAATTACCAATCCAAAACAAAACAATGGCTAGAAGGAGGCTGAGGCTCGCGTGGATCCCAAACGAAGCCGCCAGAAGAGCCACGATGAGAAAGCGCCGCCAAAGCCTGGTCAAGAAAGTGAAAGAGCTCTCCGTCCTCTGCGGCGTCCCAGCTTTCATCGTCGTTTACTGTCCGGACGAACCGGAACCAACGGTCTGGCCACCCGAGAGGGAAGAGGCCGAAAAGCTGCTGGCCCGGTTCCTAGCCGCGCCGCCGTTCGAGCAGACCAAGAGAACGACCAACCAAGAAACCTACCTCGTGGACCAGGTGGGCAAGCTCCAAGAAGCCCGGGGGAACCAGGAGAAGGTCCTGAACCAGCTCGAGCTCGCCTACCTTATGGACCAGGTTTTTTCTGAAATAAACGTGACCATTTTTCGATTTAATTGCTATTTGATTATTTATTTTCTCTGTTTTAATTAATTAACGATACGTTTGATTCTTGGAATTGATATCTTAACCAGGTTCACTACACAAGGAGGGGGCTGGGCGGGTTGGACCTACATGGGTTGAACCGGCTGTCGGTTCTGCTGGAGGAGAGGCTGATTGAGATCAGGAAGAAGGCTGAGTTCTTTGAAGTTGAACTGAATGGATCGTCGTCACTAGGGAGAAATAATGTAACCAACGTTAACAATGACAACGTTGTTGTTCCCGAAAACATTAATGATTTGTTGTGGCAGGAGGACTTCATGAATAACATTATCAATCAGGATGGTGGCGGCGACGACGGCAATGGCAATTAACGGTGGACGGCGGAGTGGTAGTAGTTTGAATTTCATATTTATTAGAGTTTCTTTTCAATGGTGGTGGGTGGGTGACATGGTTTTTTTTCTTTTCTGTTTCATCGTTGTAGTGATGAACACAGTTATTTCAGTTGTGTAAGGTCGTTTAATTCTGGTCTGATCAATAAAAAGGGAAACAACCTCTTAATTTCATGCATATTAGCATTATGTACCCAAAAAGAAAAAACGCTAGCTAGCGTGTGCATGGAAGAGTAGATCGAGCAGTGTGATGACAAACAAAGAATAAATTATTTAAATAAAATTATCGCTAAAATGATTTAGATGATCGTTCAAACTGAGATTTCGATTTTTATCTAACACAAGATAACAAAAGCAATTGTACTTGCTATACGTTGTCATATTACATGAACTCTATATACTCAAATGTCAAGCATGTATGATCTGATTTGAAACTCGTTTGATGTATATGGATTGTGAATCATATTCGATCGAGTAATCATCCATATGTATCCCTAACATATTCGATTTAAAAATTGTTTGGTGCATGAACTATGGAATTGTATCGATAATCAACTCAGCAAGACAGGTGTTAGGAGGAATTTATATTAGACGTAGAATGAAAAATTATTATCGCGGTATGTTGCAATATATCGTGATAAAATCGTATCGATTTGATAATTTGTGTGTGGTTTAACCGATACAGTGCAACTGACCGTCAGTGTAGCATGACCAGAAACCCTGCATACATCCCTTGAAAGGAAAGGCAATATTCCCCCCTTCCTCCCCGAGATAAACACACCCTCCGGCTAAAGTCATATGCCCGATACGCGCCAACGGATATATCTTAACAACTGTATTAATGATCTAATATAGGAAACAGAATTAAAATATGAATCTACCACTTTTTTTCTCTTGATATTCATGCTTCTCCAGCTCTCAGACAACTGTCTTTTTCTGTTCAGATTATATTTGTATCACGTAAGTATCACGTCACTTTACGTCAACTCTCTAACGACCACTACTATATATAATAATATAATAATAGTACCATAGCATAAGTTTTTCAAAAATTCGCATCACATGGTTATAAATTATAATCACATGCATGATGTAAAGATGATAAGCATGAAGAATTTTTTTTGTCCACATGCCCCAAAGAGGAAATGGGAATATTTTTACCTTTACCATAGAAGCATAGTAACCAAAATGGAATTCAAGCATGCCCTCATTAACACATCTCCATTATCACATCCAAACCCAAATCCTCTAACTCTCCAATATAGATAATAAAAAAAAACAAAATTCGTTATTTTCTTTTTTCCTATTACGTCCATGCATGCACTCAAAACACCCTCCACTTCCTCCCCTATATAAAACCCTCACCCCAAAACCTCCCTTCCACTACACAACAAAAAAAAAAAAAAAAAGAAGGAAGAAAAAATGGCGAGGAAGAAGGTGACCGTCGCCTGGATAACCAACGCCGCCGCCAGGAAAGCCTGCATGAAGAAGCGCCGCCTCAGCCTGATGAAGAAAGTCCACGAGCTCTCCACCCTCTGCGGCGTCCAAACTTTCTGCATCGTCCGCAGCCCCGACGACGACGAGCAACTCGCCCCCGTGGTCTTCCCTCCCGACGGCGACGGAGCAGCCAGCCGGGTGCTGACGAGGTTCCTCGCCATGCCGGCGTACGAGCGGACCAAGAGGACGACAAGCCAAGAGAGCTACCTCGAGAACCAGATCGAAAAGCTCGAAAGTCGACAGAAGCACGTCTTGGAGCGGGTGAACAAGCTGGAGCTGGCGTATCTTATGGACGAGGTTTTCTACGGGGAAGGGGTTGGTGGGCTTGGGCTTGATGGGCTGGATCGCTTGTCGTTGTTGCTGAAGGAGAAGCTGAGGGAGATTAGGGAGAAGGCTGAGTTCTACGGCGGGGAAGGCGAACGAGGTAAGAGGGAACAGCAGGGTCCCAAGAAGAAGGCTAGAAGAGGAGATCGTCAGGGAGGAGTGGAGGGAAACGGTGTCGTTGCGGCTCAAAGTTCTGTTGCGAATAATTATGTGCCGCCGGTGGTGTCGGGCGGCGACGGTGGCGGCGATTTGTACGACGTGGTTGCGGGGTTTCTTGGGGACTTTGGCGGCGATTTCCAGATCCAGTCAGGTGATGATGAGAGCATTAATGGTAATATGTGGCCGTTTGATGGTGTTTTCCCTCCGATGGAGTAGTAGTTTGTTTCAATTTCTAGTTATGGTTTTGTTAACTTGGAGTGGGTTTGTTGTGGTTTGGTTAATTTTTGTTTGTGCTTTAATACAGTCATTAGTAATGGAGTGTGAGTTAACAGAGTTGTTGGATTTATGATCTTTATGATGTTGGGGTTTTTTTTATTTCCCAATTTCAGCGTAAGTTTATCGATAAAAATGGATATTGTTAGATTCATAAACAAAGAAAAAAAAATTGATGTTATATATTGAATTACGAATTAAATTCATCCAATAAGTGTACTAAATACGTTCATTTCAATTCCGTAAAATATACATACGGAATTGAAAATGGATGATCCGTGTATTTTAAGGGATTGAGATTCCATTTTGTGATCTAATTTATGGTAGCACAATGCAAATTCAAATTCACTTCCAACAATTTTTTAAGCTAAATTCTTTTTTTTTGTTATCATGTTTCCATAAATTGTGTTTCTGTTATTGGATTGACAATTAAATTCATTGAATACATGTATTGTACATATTATACATCTTATATACATACTTAGTACGCGAGATACCGAGCAGATAAGAAAAATTAGACGGTCAAATAAAAATTAGAGAACAACTTGAACTTTTAAATGCATAAAATAGTATTAAAATGGATAATTCAATGTACTTGAATCCATTCTATGGAAAACAAAATACAAATTCGGAATTCGCTTCCTACAATTTTGAAACTTGAATTGTTTTCTCGACTTATCGTATCTCCATAAAATTTGCTCATATACTATATTAATCTATTTTGATGAGCAACGTCATCTACAGTATCATTTATAGTGGAAACATAAAACTGCACCCTCAATTTAAAATTCTCTGTCCATAAAGTGATTTGCGGGGAGCTTATGTGGCAGGGTATTTAGCGGGCATTTTTATCTCTCCCCTTTTGGAATCACCAACGACTTTCCAGTTTTCTTTTTCTTTCGCCATCAAATTGCAGCCCCCTCTTGGCCTTTGTTACTTGTTATATAGTATCGATAATCTTCATTTGGTTATCCAACATGACGTTTTTTGCTCTAACTCTTTTTTTTTTCCTTTCCCCCTCTCTTTCTTATTGTTTGTGGCTAGCTAGCTACAACCTCCTTCTACCCTTTTGCTTGTTCCGTTCACTCCATATTACTGTCCATCCAATTCGCTAGCTAGCTAAGTCGAATCTTTTCAGATTTTCTCTTCACTAGATAGCTGATCTTGCAAAGTATTTTCCTGCATCCTTTAGGCATCAAACACTTTTCGACAACGAATAAGCCAACCTGAGAGTGGCTACATCGATTAAATTACGAATTAATATGTGAAATCAAACTGATCATGAATAGAGATGACTGGCCCCTCGCATGTTACTCAGGCTCACACTGTATTCCTTACTACAACTTACACATAGTCTTGCGTCATTCTTCAAGTAGAAAACCCATATATAAGAGATTCACTGATCTTAACAATCTATCTCATCCACCAAACAAACTTTCATCTCATTTTCTCAATTCTCAATTCATTGATCTTGAATGACAAAATTTTCAATTAGAGAGGGAGACAACAAATCATGACATTAAGATGAGATATACCTTCTTTTTTCTTGCTTTATTACAGTGTTGAAGTGAGATAAGAAAAATTACTTATGAGTTTGATCCTTTTTAGTCTTATATAAAAGCTTAGTGGCCAATGTGAATACAAAAGTTCGATGACCAGATATTTACTGAATCGCTATTCGTCGCTCTAAAATTAAAAAAAAATCGCCCTAAAATACACTTAATTGACACATTTACCCCTAACATCAATTCTAACCTAAACCGGGGAAAATGTCGTCGCCGGCCACCCAAGTATTGCTCTCGTTCGGTCCCTGCTGCCAACAAAGGAGGATGACGAAGAAGGTCATTAGTCGCCGCCGGAGTCGCTCCCCGCCACCGCGGATATTTGTCGTTGCTGTCGACCAGGAGGAGGGCGAAGAAGAAGGAAGGAGAGAGCGATTTATCTAAAACAGAGAATGATGCAGCTGGGAACGTGAAAGTGGAGTCGGGGAAACTTGGCCGGAAAATTTAGCGAAGTGATGGCTTGGGATTCCCAGACACTGGCGAGAGAATCGGTCAATGAATAAGAGATATTGAGAGAATCAATTATGCACAATTAAGATGGGAATTGTAGTTGGTTAAGGAAATGACAAGGAATGGAGGTCGGAGCAGATGTCTCGACAAGAAGAGGGCAACCAAAGAGAGAAATTGAACTCAGGACCAACGATTTCTAAATGGGTTTATTCACCTGCACGGATCGCCGCCTGAAGGAAGAAAAAGACGCAGCACAGCAGAGGATTGCATTTTTTGTGTTTTTTTTTATTGGTCGGCGTCGGACAGGTTGAAATCCCGTCGCCGGCGAGCTGGGACGAGTACCTGACCAGCTGACCTGTCGCTTGCAGTCGCTGACGGATTATGAAACAAAACTTAAACAAAGGACATTAGAGTTATTTTAACAAAAGTTAGGGCGACAAATAAGATATTTTAGGGCGACGAATAGCAATGCCGGATAGTTAACCATTTTTTTTTTTTTTTTTCCTGCATTTGAGTTAAGTCCTTTCACTTTTTTTTCCTTACACTTTACCTGTCTCAGGTCAAACCCCTGTCACCACCGTTAGGCCTTCTGTTTAGTGTTATCTTCTACTCGTCCTCAGCCGCTTCGCCCTCAACCTTCCGTCAGCCCCTCCTCCGTCGACCTAGCTCTACCCTCCACCGTTTCTTTTACCAGCTTCCCGATTTGATTAGGACGACGTTGATCCGGCTATCGACGCCAAGCTGCCTGAATCCTCGTGAGCTGTCGACGGGTAGCGACTCGATCGCCACTGACCGCGAGCTGAATCAGAGGCAGGGTAGGACGTCTTACTGATTCTTTGTTAGTTTGTGGGCAAAGATCAAATCTTTGAATTTCTTTCAGTTCCTTTGAATCGCGAATTTAAGTAGATCATTCTTCTGCTCTCTGAAATTTTGGCATAATTAGGATTTGCTCAGCGGTTTTGATGGCGTAGTTGGGGTTTGCTAATTAAGCGGCTCTAATAGATTTGAATGTCGAAAGATGTGTACTAGACATAATCATGGAGAATGCTGGCATTGGTATCTGTTAGGCATTAGTGTGACTACTGATTCTGGTTGGTAATTAGCTGATGATTATATCAGAATGGATCTCTGGGGATGGCACCTAGCACATTAGTTGGTTCTGCCTCTTTCGAGTTTCGGCGCATAACTTCCTGATATTGCTTACTAGGGAATATGTGCTAATTTGAAGTTGTTGGTTCTTTGCTGTTTCATGTTCAAGGAAGGACCTTAATAATTTTTACTTGTCAACCCCAGTTGACCATTCATTTTGTGATGTCTTCTTCAGTATTTTGTTGGTGAGGGGTGTTATTGAGTCCTTGGAATATAGTGAAACCGTGAGTTAGTTGTTGCACCAGTTCACAGTTCTTCATGTGATAGTATTAGTCCCTTTCATATTGTACATTCTGGTTCGAAATGGTATACTTCGGATCAAAGTATCAGATGTTTTTCTCCCTCCAGTTTCCTGGGTTATGTGATATCTATATTTTAGCTTCCCATTTGTCTTGCCATGATTAAATATTTCTGGCATAGTAAAGAACCTGAAACTGAGAACATGGTTTACGTTTTGACCAGAATTTTCCTGGCATAGGATAAACGCATCCCAAGTGTGAAAACCAGGAGCTTCAAAATCTAATCCAAGAAAATGCTTAGAGCAAATCGGTTCACAAATGTCGCCCGTTCAACCAGAGCTTCATTGTTCTCATGTGAAGTCCAAGAAGCTCGAGCTGAACACCGTATCATCATCGACCTGAGGAGCCGGCCTCAGCTGGCTTCCGTTCGCTTCCTTGACTTCTATCAGGTACTCATACCCCTCTTCCTTAAAGAAAATTATGAAGAATTCCAACTCTCCTTTTTCTGTAATATCTTGCTTTTGGAATTTGTTGTTTGCTTAATGGAGTCCAAAACAATGTGAACTGCAGCTTGGTAACAAAGCAGCTATTGAGAAAGAGCGTGCCAGGATGTAAGTTTTTCAACTTCTTACACTTCACTGGTGCTTTCTCACCACTACAGTGTTGGGTTTCAATTGATACTGGATACCACGTGATTTAGGGCAGTACAGATGAGATGAATAGAGGGTACTTTGCTGATATGTCAGAGTTCAAGAAGCATGGTGGAAAGGTACAAAGGTACTTTGTGGTTGAGTTTTTTGAATGGTTTGGGATGACTGCGTATTATTCAACAGTTTGAATCTTGTCATTGTAGATTGCTCGGGCAAATAAGATAATAATTCCTGCAGAGACGGCAGCTAAGTTTCCAGACTTCGATGTGAACTTCTCTGATGGTAGAGCCTTAAAGCTCCCTACTAGATTCGGTGGGAGTATCACCAAATCTGATGCTTCTGATTTTCCGAATGCGACTCTGCTTTGTCTTTCGTTTAGAGCAAGCTCTCAGGTAAATTGAAAAGTTGGAATATAATTTACATTTTCGACTCTTGAGTGTACTTTTGATTATTCCGCTGCAAATGTGCTAATCATAGCACAAACAATGACAAGGCATGCAATTTGATGGTTCTGTGAAAATGTCTTAAATGAACGTCCTCTCTCTTGATAGGGAATGATCGACTCTTGGACTGTTCCTTTCCTTGATGCATATCGTGATGGCAAAAATATTCAGCTCTATCAGGTACTGAATTTTATTCTATTATTTATTAGTGTTTTTTGTATGGTACTTGGAAGTTGGAACTATAATCTCAGATCATATTATTGTGCTTCAGTTTTGTTTTACAAAATTTATATTCCCCTTTCTATTTGTTGCAGCTAATTTCTTGAAAACTCTGTCTGTCCCTTAATTTCTTGTGCTTCAGTGTATTAGATTAGATTAGATGTACTTCAGTTGGCAAAGAGAACCATCTCAAAAGTCACCTTCCATATCTGATTCCTCTCAGTTTTCGCCATTCTTTTAGCCCCCATAATTTTAGATATGTCTGACGAGAGACTGTTCCTGTAGTAAGCAGTACCCTAGGCAGAGATATCGTTTCATTCATCATTTTGGTTGAATTGGCAACTTGATTGTTGCTCATCAACCTTAACTCGCAGATGGATTAGTCCTTTCAATTGTTGACAAAAATTTAGTAGCAGGAGCTTGTATCTCCATTGATTTATCGTGCTTCAGTCTATTAGATTAGATATCCTAGAAGTAGCTAAGAGAAACAAGATGGTTGTGAGTCTCCTGCAACAAATGGTTGTAGCATCTCTGTCTCATAATAGTCTGTTTCCCTCATTGAGTTTTAGATATAGATGACTACAGACTATTATGTAGCATCTCTGGCCAGAGTAAACTGATGGAGGTTTGACAGTAAACAGTACCTGAGGCCGAGATATCGTTTCAGTCGTCATTTGTTTGGATTGATGATTCGATTGTTGCTCGTCCACATTTGCTTGTTATTGGATTTCTTTTTCTTTTCTCTGCAGAAAGTTCTCTTAGCCTTTATTATTCTAGCCCCTATTATTCAGTTTTAGATATGTCTGACTAGAGACTGTTCGGGAGTGTCCCTGGCCAGATGGAACGAGTGGGGTTTAACAGTACGCTTTACCTGAGTCCAAGATGTTGTTTCAGTCCTCACTTATTTTGGTTTGATGATTTGATTATTGCTCGTCCACAATGGCTCTTTACTGTTTTAAATACTTTTTCTTTGTCTGGAATCTTAACATCTTGGAAACTTGTTTCTCCTTTGATTTATTGTGCTTCACTGTATTTTATTAGACATCCCTGAAGTAGGAAAGAGAAACAATCATGGTTGCAATTCTCTGCTACAAGCCTACAATTGAGACTGAGAACGTTATCAGCATGCATCTCAACCCTCATCTTCTGTCTCTGATTCTCTCAATTGCCCTTGTTAAGTTTGAGACGTGTCTGACTAGAGACTTTTCTGTAGTATCTCTGGCCAGACTGAACTAATGAGGGTTTGACTGTAAACTAAGGTCGAGAGATCATTTCAGTCATCATCCATTGATGATTCTCCCGTCCACATTGTGCTCGTTATTGGATTTATCTTTTTTTTTTCTTCTTCTTTCTTGGCAGAAAATCTGTTATCGCCTTGTAGGATTTATCCTTCATTCCTTTTCTGGTATAGTTGAACAACTGGATTTCTCATTTTTGGTGGCTCTCGTTATGTTTGTATATTTGGGATACAGGGCTTTGGTTCATATACAATTTATGGCTAGGACTTAGGATCCACCCCCTAACTGGCTTACCTGTCAGTCTGTTTTTTCAAGTAAAGTAAGCTCCTTCTTTGATGAATGTTTATGAAGGGGTTCTTCATTTTGCAGGTGTCATTCATAGACTCATGGCTCCTATGTCGGAGTCCAATCAAGCGTCTGCTGCTCCGTACTATGAAGAAATCCACCATTGATGAGAGTCGAGCACTTCAAAAGCAAATTGCTTATTCCTTTGGCGACAATTACTACTTCAGAAAAGAACTCAAGATACTGAACCTTCTCACAGGGTAAGCTTAGTCTTCTCTTGTTTTCTCCCCCAAGTTGTAATATTAGCATTGAACAGAATTAACTCTGATGCCTAAATTCTCTTTTGCAACACTTGGCAGGTACATTTACTTGCTGGACAAATTTGGTAGAATTAGATGGCAGGGATCCGGCTCGGCCACCGAAGAAGAGCTCTCCTCCCTCCTCTCATGCACATCGTTACTCTTACAAGATTGAAGCTTCCTTCCTCTTCACACATTCATCCTCGGCATAGACAAAATTTCGAATAACTGAGATGAGAGCCTCTGCTCGCTTTAGAAGACCAGGTAATAAGCTTTCAGAAACCAAACCAACAATGATCACGATACGATACATGTCCATAAACCGACTATGGTCGAATATGGGTTTCGGTTTCGAAACCGAACCATCTTTCAAGCTCATTATTCGCTGTCCGACCTTTCGTTCTCCTCCCTCCTTCAAGGCCTTTACAGTCCTATGCATCACATGCATGACCTTGTCCTGTTTCTCACAAATGGTTCCAAGCCTCTGATATCCCAGTCTTTGGAGTCTAACTTATGGCCACATATATGTACTACAAGTTCTATAAGGACAAAGGCAGGCTCCTACACTACAGCAAGAATGGCTATGATTCCAGAACTACCCATAAATTAGAATGTGCCAAAATGTGTTGTATTCAATGAAAGAAGATACAAGAAAGATAAAGCCAACTCATCAATCAATGAAAGAAAGGAAAAGGATGAAGCTTTTATAGAAAAATGGTTTGTGACGTAAATGTCAAGATTTGTGAGGAGGAGGTTGGTGACCTAGTTTCCTGATTTTGGTAGAGAAAGAGGGCGAGATTGGGTTCCTTAACAACAAAGCAAGGCCATGTGTTAATGTGTCCCTTCTGGTTTAGGGTTCCTGCTGATTCTCATGGCTGATACCCACAGTTCACAGCGACAGCGGGGATGGACTGATAATTTTCTTGGATGTAATGACACGTTTCAAGTAATTTAATCTTCTGGCTTCTTTTAAAAACTAGCGCAGGGCCCGGCCCGTTGGGCGGGTAAACTAACCATAAGCGGCGCATTTGACAAACGTTGGAATCATAAGTTAAACCTGAATTGAAGTTCATATAAATCAATCAAATATTTCTGGGAATACTATGTTCACCATTGAAGTGCCTTCCTCTCCATTCTCATTGCCACTCAAAATCTTCAATCCTTGCCTTGTAGTAACTCTTGACAATGCAACATATAGCTGACCATGACTAAAAACTTGTCTTTGAAGACATAAACCAACATTGGCTAGTGTTTGACCCTGACTTTTGTTAATAGTCATGGCAAAACAAAGAGCCACAGGGTATTGCCTTCTAATGAGGGTGAAATTAAGACTCTTGTAATGGGTTGATAATGTCAATCTGGGAAGGAAGACGCGATCACCGATGTTGGTACCTGTCAAAATCTCCACCTCAATGAACCATTTACCCAAAGTCTTCACAACCATTCTAGTACCATTACAAAGGCCAACAGTTTGATCCATATTCCGTAATAGAATGACTGGACACCCAACTTTTAGTTCCAACTGATGGTCTGGAAAGTTTCCAATCCGGAGGTTGTTCAAAAACTCGGTTGAATAATCAGCATCCACAACTCCCTCCTTCCCAGGGTCCATCTCAATAGAATCTGCGCTGTAATATGCCACTACATCTCCTGGGAATTGACTTAGAATATACTCATTCACTGCAGAAACCATATCATGGTGTGGAGCCAAGATAGCTCGATTGACTAAATAATTATGATCTCCTGCATGACTACTAAGATCACTGTATATAGAGGCGACAATATCAATGACAGGATCACTCTGTCGAGGAATTACTAATTCCTGAGGTATGCGAATCAAAGACTCACCAAACACATCTGAATCTACTCCGTCTCCTACTTGCAAGAGCCAGTTCTGGAAAGTAGTTATCTCAACAGTTTCCTCCGGAGAGCAATTAGATCGTGCTAGCCGCATATTTTCAACTAACTTAATTACCCTCAAATGGGGCCACAGGTAAGACCTCTTTATAGATGAGTTCACAATATCACCTCGTGAAGCTTTCAATACTATAGGCAAAGTTTGCCGGAAATCTCCTCCAAAAACAACTGTAAGACCTCCAAATGGCTTGCCTTGACTGTTTTCATACCGAAACCGCAAAATATCCCGCAATGATTTATCTACAGCTTCCACTGCATGCTTGTGTGACATAACAACTTCATCCCAAATAATCAATGAAGCACGCTGAATGAGCTCTGCTAATTCACTACCCTGGTCAATATGACATGTCGATCTACCATCAAGGTCTACTGGAATGTGAAATCGAGAATGAGCCGTTCGACCCCCATCCATTAAAAGGGCTGCAATCCCAGAAGAAGCTACACATAGAACAATCTTATTTTCCGATCGCAATTTCAAGCAAATGACTTTCCATAAGAAGGTCTTTCCTGTCCCACCACATCCATCAATAAAGAATGCATTTCCCTTATCTGCATACACCGATTCAGTAATTTCATCAAAAGCTTTTTTTTGTTGGGCATTGAGCTTGGAAATCATACCTTCAAATTGCTCAAGAAGACTTGCAACATTGTAATTAAGTTCTGCAGTGATCAATCGATTAGATGAAGATGACATGTTACCAGTATCAATAACTGGTAATCCAGGAAAATCAGATAGAGTTTTGCAATTTCTTGCAAGCAATTTATCTATCTCCAGCAAACAACATTCCTGTAACTGAAGATCAGACATTTCTAAAGTAGGCATATTTAGTTCCTTCCGACGGGCATACAAAATATCATCAGATAACAGTGCCCAATTCCGCTCCCATAGTTTCCCAATGTCTGAAACTTGACAGAGGCTGATGATAGTAACAAATAAAGTTCTAAGCTTTTTACCGGATGCCCAAAGAGCCGCTTCGGACAAACAGTCATTCCATTCATTATCTTCTGCCAACAGACCATGCGCATAACATGCTTCCTTAAAAGATTTATGCAAAACTCCATTCACTGTCCTGATGTCCTCAAAACTTTGAGCACCACGAACAATATGTAGAAGCATACGCAGATAGAACCTATCATTTGTAGGCGAAGGATGACAATAATACAACCGCCCAATACTGAACATGGATTTCCTCTTGTGCCACGCCTGCTTTGTTTTATCCCAAACATAATGTTGCGGAAATTCTACAAATGTATATTTCCTTGCTTCTGGAAATAACTTATTCATTTTCATCCATTCCAACAGCATAGAGGTTTGAGCACGCTTAGACTGGAGCACACCTTGAGGATTTGAATGCTGCCTTGAGACAACTACATTCTGCCCAGGAAGATGATAAGACATGCGCAACACTGATGGGTACTGTGAGTAGACATCAAACTTGAACAACCTCCAGCATGCTTCACCAGATGTGATATACCGACAATCAAGATATGCTTTTATCTCATCAACCCGTGGTGTGGGATTTGAACTTGATGCACCAGATTCAATTCCAGTATTAGTTTCATTGTCAACTAATGAAGCTTTTGCTCGATCTTGTGGTTTGTTGATATACTTGAACAAATATTTGATTGCCCTACCATGTCAAACAAAAATTGGACACAACAAAACTAATGAGTAGTCATGCAACAACCAAACTGATACGTTTAAACCAATAAAAAAAACACACCAAAAGCTACCAAAGTTGGCACTTTCCATGGAAGGGAATAAAAAAGTAGTGTCGAGCATAAATATTATATGTGATATGAAAAACATACCTGGATTTATTGCAAAACTCAACATTTATATGTGCATCAAATCGCAATAATAAATAGCGATTGTACGGCACGACAAAACGATTGTCCAATGACACAGAGTTAACTGTAAAAGATATTCCACTGTCACGTCGTCGATATTTGGCAAACCCATTATCATCAATCGTCGTTTGCTCACAAAACGGCTTTGGAAAATGTTTAGTACACACACCACCTTCTGTGCAAGGAGCATTACGGCCCAAAAGACCACATGGACCATGCAGCATAAAAGCAGTTACAGCCCTATAGCCTTCTGGATCAATATCAGAGTTTGGAATTTCTGCGGATATGACGGAATCAATGGCCGTCGGCCCAGTTAGTTTACATTCCGAAGCTAGGAAGACCAGCAAATGAGCATGGGGAAGGCCACGCTTTTGAAACTCAATTGCCAGCACAACTGCAAACAAATACAATATGTATTAAGTTGGAGCCTGTCAAAACCTTATTATGTAAAGGACAACCTACATAAAATAATTCAAACATATGAAACAAAAGTATTGCTCAAAACTAAAATAACACTTATGGAGCATGTACGACTTACATCCAGTGGTAGTCCCAAATATTTTCTTATCTCTTATCTCAAACATTAATTGCTGCAGTTTAAGCTTGAAGACCCGAGCAATAATATCAGATCTATTGACATCTTTCCGACCATCTGCGGTTACCAAATCAACCATAAACTGGATTTCCGGCCAATTTGCATTACAGGTGAAGGTAATAAATAAATCTGGGTAGCCCAACCACCTACAAATAGCCATAGCATCCTGGAAGTTTTCATACTTGTACCGTGGACTTCCTGTGTGGGAAGCAGCCAAAATAACATGTTTTCCAGTCATTTCTAAATCAGAATCACCACGGAGGAATGCATCCACTAACCCACTCAGATAATGGGAACGAAGTTTTGTTTGGTTATTTCGGATCCAATCAAGCCATTGTGCCTCTACTAATGCATACGCATTCACAACATACTGCTGGAATAATTTCCCAGATAATAAAACCGAATTTGACTCCTGAAATCTACTCTGTAGGCGGTATGCATAATAATCACACTGGGACAGTGTCTTGTCATTCCAAAGATTATCATCATCATCATCATCACAGCTTATGTCCGGATGCCATCCATCCTCTCCATAAGGAAATAAAATTGGGTATTGTAAAGCCATTAATGATGGATGATAATAATTAATTCTCTCCAATTCAGAACTCTTATACTGAACAATAATATCTGGCTCAAATGTATCTTGCCCTGTTTCATCAACAATCAAGGCTGCTATGTCATTCCCCGTCGGTAAATCATATTCTCTCCCATCATGAGCACGCTTGGCAATTAATTTGATCTTCACCTCTTTCACATTGCCTTCCTGTATCTTTTGCCTAGCCATCCGAAAGGTTTGAACCAGAACATTATTCCTATCAAACATTTCTTGCAAGCGTTCAACAATATCTGGTCGCAATGAACTGGAGGCATCATCAACTGGAAATAGATGCATACGACTCTGTAGTTCAGAACTTGAGTCATGAATGTATAATTGGGCAAACCTCGGTGGCTGACCGTCTGCAGGTAATAAGCTGCCTATAGAGTGATAAATTTGTCCTCCTATAGAGTACACATAGACCCCTCGACCATCATTTATACCACGATCCACTTTCCCGCCCAGGGAGATAAAGCAAAACACAGCATTGTATCTACGAATGGCTTCCCGGAAATGACGGCTCATAGGTGTAGAAGAATGTAACAATTCATTCAAAAACTCTGGTGGAGCACGTCTAGGGGGTAGTTTTACCTTTCCAGCCTTACAACACAATGAGAAAGTGGGATTAACACGACTCCTAGTAGGAACCGTACTTTCTTGCACCCACATAATTGCTGCACAGTATTGACAAATGCTTGTAGGCTCGCCGAGACTAAAAAATTCCACAACAGGATATCCTACAATCAAAGTAGTCACATAAGATCACTCACACATGATGCATACATATTTACAATATACAAATATAAAATATGATGCCACAAACCATGGGAACGGGAGAACCCCCTCGGTACAGCATTAACCATCCGCCTTTTGTACAAATGAATCGCTCGCATTAAACGTGCCCTTTTTGTCCGAAGGTTGGAGATACATGAACTATAATCTGTGGTAACAAAGTTAATTATGCATGAACTAAATCCATTAGTACGACGTGGAATCCTGCTCCGCGATATATACAACGCAATGCACATATGGACTATGGTATGCATAATAAAAGCGTTTAAAAGATGCTAAGCTTACCATGTGGAATATATTGAACAGTACGTCGCAAGCGCGCGTTCAAGATCTCCCGTCGTCGTTTTCGATAGAATTTAGCTATCAAGCGATCAATATGCTCAACTTGTGATTGAAGGGTGAGTATTTCTGCAATTGAAATATACAAATCAAATTATTTTGCTTTTGTGCCAAAGTAAACTTTAATTAAATGTACCAAAAAATAAATCGCGGAACTACGTTGCTTAAGACGATCCCTTTCAGCAGCGGTTTGTTTATTGGAAGGAGGTTTCGGCGGGTTGAATATAGCTCGCATGAACCCTGCAAAATACGACAGAATTAAGTCAGCAAGTATATGTGGTGTCCATTTTGAATACGTACAATACCAGCGGAACATGAAAAAAACCAAAGAAATCAACTTACATTTGCCCTTTGAATTGCGACGGTTGGGAGCACTGGTTTGCACTGAAGAGGTTCCACCAGTTTGTTGATTTCCGGACATTATCTTGATTGCAATCACACTTAATCATGAACCAGCAAGCGCTAATTGATCAAAAATAAAGGTTTACTTAGGCCACCACGACAGGCTGTAGAAGCTCTCTCCTCCCACGCATCTCCAATCCCTCCCCTCTTGACACACACCCTTCACACTTACAGCTGGGGAGGAGTTGGGGAATTCAATTGGAGGAGTAGCAACTCCCTCCGCCCACGCGTCCCTCACAATTGCATATGTAGTATTGAAGTGCAGGGCTTGAGATCGAAAGCGATATGGAGATGTAGTATTGAACTGCAGAGCTTGAGACCGAAAGCGATATGGAGAAAGAAGTAAACACGGCATGGACTGCCACAACAGCTGACTATGGGTTCCGAGAGATTTCGATGGAATCATTTCACCAGCAGTCTTTGGGCCTACTACGTCAGGGGGGAATAGTTTGGGCCGGATACTTCAGGGGGCAACAGCCCGGCCCGACTATATAATAAACTGCCCAGGTCCACCCGCAGAAAGTGTTGGAGGTGAAACGCACAGCTTTATTTAAGTGTGAAATGCCTATAGTGCCCTTCCGACAAACCCTCTGCTGGCTGGAAATTTGAATCCCTGCAAACTAAACACTTGTTTTGGCTTCATATATCTTATAGAAGTGGAAAATGCCAAAAAAAAATTAATGGGTACATTGGGTCCTGCAAAAAGAAGCTGATTTTGTGCTTAGTGGCGAAGTTGGAGGATCTTTTTAGCCGTCCTTTGTTTTTCTCCAACAATTCCTTTTAAGCAGATTTCGCTGCGATCCACGGTGGCGCTTGCGGTGGCGAACTGGTAGTGGCGGTGGTTGCACTAATGAAATCTACTATTTACCCTCTTTTGTTAGCTGGGTAGGGTCGTTGATGCTTCTTTCTGTAGCTATCTTTCACTTCTTTCTTTGCATTTGATGGATGCAAAAGGAATTCACAATGAAACATTCCACGACTATGGTTGATGATGTGACCCAAACCGGTCACAGCTGTTGGGGAAAAATGCATGTTGATGGTATTTTGGAGGTGGTCACATGATAGGATGATCCACACATACGAATTGAGCATATGCAAAACATATTACAAATAGGATAGAGACAGGGAACGGCAAACGCAACTCAAGATACTGAATAGAATCATCGTAGAGGAACTAGAACGCATCATTATCCCAAAACCGTACAATGAATTTCTCTTAAAGCAGTCGAATCTACGACAAAAAGATCATATATGAATAGAAATAGTAACAAGACGACTTATGTCAATCCAGCTTCTCATCATAATAATTATACTCACACCATTTCTAACGAATAATTCATCGTTAACGATACATACATGAAAGATATCTAAAAAAAATTCAAGTGCTCATCAAACACACGAAGTTCAAAGGACCTAATTGTATAAGTAGGAAAGTTAAATGACCACAAGAGCAATACATAATAAGTTCAGAAATAAACGCGTTATCCAGTATCGGGGAAAAATGAAAATGGCGGAAATAATTGCGGAAATATCCTCTGCTTATCGCCCTCCTCTGCTAAAGTTCCAAGCTTTTTCCCGTCTCTCTCTCTCTCTCCCTCTCTTCCCAACTTTCTCCCTCTGTTTCCTTCTGGTTCGCTGTTCCTTACCCGCCGTATTTTATTTATTCATTTTTCATTCTCCATTTTGGCTGCCTGACCGTTGCGGTGACCAAACAAACCGTATTCCTTCCTTGTTCTTTTCTTCTTCGTCGCCTTCTTTTCCCCCTCTCAGTAGCCAGAGAGAAACAGAATAGACTCTGTTACAGAGATTATCCGTTACAGAGACCTGACAAAGAGAACAATAATAATACTAATATGTCGGCGTCGGTCTTTCCGGCGGTTGTCGTGTTAGTCTCCGCCCTGCTGGTTCAGTCAGCGCTGACGGTGGTCGGAGTAACTGGCGGCGATGGTGATTATTTCCCGGCGGCGTTGAGTCTGGAGCGGGGAATTCCGCAGCCGAGTCGTAGAGTGGGTCTGGGTCAGCTGAGTGCGCGGGACAGTGTCCGACATCGGAGAATGTTGCAGTCTACCTCCGGTGGCGTCGTCGATTTCCCTGTTCAGGGGACCTTCGATCCTTTCCTCGTTGGGTAAATAAAATCGATCATCAGAAAGCTTTATTTCTTCCTGTTAATTTGGGATTTGCCAATCGCGTGATTTTTGGGGAGTTTGATAAGTTTAAGCTTCTTGGTATGATATGCTTGAATTTGCTTGTTATAGCTTTCCATTTTTGGAATTAGATCGATTAATTGACTTCGAGTTCCTGTTTTCCCGCTACCAAAGTTTCCTTCTTTAGAATTCCGAGTAACTACCCCTCTTATTTTGTTCAATGGGTACATCTGTAAAAGGGGTCCTGAGTGGCCTGGGAATAATCTTCATTTGGTGGCGCTCTTCACTCTGGCTTTTCCTTTTCCTTTTTGTTCATGTGATGGAACATATTCCATTGATATTCTCGCTTATTCCAGGCTGTATTACACGAGATTGCAATTGGGTTCTCCACCAAAGGACTTCTATGTACAGATAGATACAGGCAGTGATGTTCTGTGGGTGAGCTGCAACAATTGCGATGGTTGCCCTGTTTCAAGTGGCCTTCAGGTGATCTTGATTTTCATTTATTGTCTAGGTTTGGAGTCTTTTTGTTACCATAAGTTCTCCACTTTATTTGAAAACCATTGGTGTATTGATCTTATCTATTTGTATGGCAGATTCCAATGAATTTCTATGACTCTGGTAGCTCATCAACTGCTTCGTTGATATCTTGTTCGGACCAACGATGTGTCGTAGGACTGGAAGCTGCAGATTCCGGGTGCTTACAGAACAAGAATCAATGTGGTTACACTTTCCAATATGGCGATGGCAGTGGCACATCAGGGTATTATGTAGCAGACATGTTACATCTTGATACGATTGTTGGGGGTTCCGTGACTACTAACTCAACCGTTCCTATAGTATTTGGGTGAGCTAAAGCTTAACTTCCCTCTAGACTAGTCTTTCCAGTTTGTGTGTGTAGTGGAATGTGCTAGCATTGGCCAGCTTATGGATCGATAAGTGGTTCTATTGAGCAGGTGTAGCACTTTGCAAACTGGGGACTTGAAAAAGCCAGATAGAGCAGTTGATGGGATCTTTGGTTTTGGACAGCAAGGGATGTCTGTGATCTCCCAACTTGCTTCACAAGGAGTAGCACCAAGAGTGTTCTCTCACTGTTTGAAAGGTGATGATGCAGGTGGGGGCATATTGGTTCTTGGAGAAATCGTGGAACCTAATATTGTCTATACTCCACTTGTCGCTTCACAGTAAGTTTTTGCTCTTCTAGTTTCATGTCTCAAAATGTGTTGTTCCACTGGTGAATGTCAAATCCCTTTTCTCGAGCTTTGTTCTTCAGTATATGGAGAATTTGTAGGTATGGTCATGACAGTTTGCTTGAATATGTTTCCAAGTTGAAGATTTGGGCTGTAAAATATGGATAGCTTGTCAATAGGTTCATAAGAATGAAGCTTGAACCCTGTTACATTAGGTTAGTTGGAATTTGTATATGTATAGATTAGTCATGTGTAATTAGCCGGAAGATGTAGGCTTGTGAAGTGATCCTTTTGATCAACTGCTTAGATGATGATGGGCTTCCCAGCTGCCATCTTGCTTGTACTCTCTTGCAGCTTACTTCTTCAATTTCAGCGAGTCTGGTTGGCATCATGCTTACTAACTACTAAGAGTCCATTGTCCCTACTCCACTGGTGCCTGACTATCAAATATTTAGGACTTCAAATCGTTCTTTGATTTGACAGTTGTTTTGTGTTAGTTTCCCCTAAAATGCTATGCATTTCTTAGTGCAGAATATCTAGTTACAGCAGCTTTAACTGACTGGTATATCTGAATTTCCAGGCCTCACTACAATGTGAATCTGCAGAGCATATCTGTGGGCGGCCAAACTTTATCGATCGATCCATCTGTTTTTGGCACATCAGACAATAAAGGCACTATAGTTGATTCCGGGACAACCTTGGCGTACCTTGCAGATGCAGCCTACGATCCTTTTATTAGTGCCGTAGGTTCCCAAAATCGATACTTTATAAGTGACATTGGCAAGAACAATTATTCTTCAATTGGAAATTCACTCTGTAGGACTCTTCTCATGCAGATAAATAGTGATGTTTCACAGACTGTGCGGCCAGTTGTTTCAAAGGGGCAACAGTGTTACTTGATAACCACAAGGTTCACTTCCTAAATCTAGGCCTCCTTTATTTCTGAGTTGATTGTGTTGACTTTAACCATAGGCCTAACCTAGAATCAATTGTTTTGATTGTGCTTTTTAGTGTCAACGACCTCTTTCCTCAAGTTAGTTTACACTTCTCTGGTGGTGCATCCATGCTTTTGAATCCTCAAGACTACCTTGTGCAGCAAAATTCTGTTGTGAGTATTGAGCTTATTGTACTTGTTTCGGTTCAATCTACCTTGGAAGCTTTTAACAATATTTACTTCACTTTGCATGATAGAATGGTGCTTCGGTGTGGTGCATTGGTTTCCAGAAAATGCAAGGTCAATCAATAACAATCTTAGGAGGTATTAACCTGATAAACGATTCTTTAATGGTCCTTAGTTCTAATAAGTGATACCTACCACCATACGAGATGATAAATGGTTTCACTCTTTATCTCTCTTTCCTTTGCAGATCTCATTCTGAAAGACAAAATCTTTGTTTATGACCTAGCCAATCAACGGATTGGATGGGCTAATTATGACTGTAAGTTGAACTTACTTGCTTAAACTAGCTTTGAGTAATGTCTCAATATTAAGTTCTCATCTAGTAACTTCTAAATTCTTAACCCGTTTATCAACCGCACCAGGTTCAACGTCGGTAAATGTATCTACAACCGAAAACACAGGCAGAACAGAATTCGTGGACCCAGGGCAGCTGGGCAACAGCGGTTCACAGCAAAATGCACGTCTAGACAGACTTATACTACCAACTGTGATGATCGGTTTACTTCATTTGCTCTTGCTTGGAAGCTGCCTGTTCTTGTAGCACATACCCTGGTAACATGTTAGTATTCTTTCTTCCACTCATCATCGCTCAGGCCGGTCTTATATTTAGTGTGGACCGGCTGCAGTAAGCCCTCACTGATTGATTTGTCTTGGCAATGGCTACATCTAAACTGCTGGGATGGAAAACTGGAAATATATGTATAGGTCTTTTCTTCAGTTTCCCTCTTGTTTAAAGATCTTGTTCTGTTATCTTTGTAAATTTGGTATTCAATACGTACAGAGTAGGTCAGTAGGCCCATGATTTACTATACATCAGGTGAGTTTGATGTATCCATTCCACTCAATTTGAAACCGTTGGATTGATCCATTCATATGTATCCCACAGTTTCATGATTTCATCTCAACGTAATCACCATGATAGTGCCAACAACCTAGCTTTCAATAGCTTCCAGATTATAATAGGGCCCGGAGGGCGACACTTCCTTTGACAATATCCTCAAGAACAAGCGTGCTTTGTCAACGGTTTAGGTGAATGGTTTTTGCTTTGCTGACTGCACTAGGTCTCAGCAGGCAAGTTAAAGGTCCTCCCCCTCTTTACATATTCCACCCAGGTGTTGCTTCAAGAACAGGCGACTTCCAGACATGAACTAACACACGAATCAGGCAACAGTTTGCTATACCGCGTATTCTGCTGTTGTTGTCTTGTACAGCTGCTCAGGATCGATGAATTTTGTTACATTGACAGACATTGAACGCGGTAAGATCGATACCCTGATTAAGACTGAGTTGGAACTTATTTAGTACCTTTGAACCACTAGCTAAATGAAAGAGCAACATTTTGGTGCAATTTAGAGGGCAGTTATAAAGCTTGAGGCTTTAGCTCAGCTAGTATCAAGATGCAAACATTCGATGTGGGGGGAAAGGAAAATCCTCGCCGCGGAATTCCCCCGTTCAAGCCTCAACGCCGGCGGGAAGCTAACCCACCACCGCCGGGAATCTCCATATTACACGTAGACAAGAACAAAACAAATGATGGGCCCCTCTTCCCCTCCTCCTCCAACTCAATCGGCTGATCTGTTCAAGATAACTAGCCGTTAGCCCGCTCCTTCCCTGCATCGAAGAAAAAACCCTTTAAATGCTTCATTAGCTCCTCCCCCTGACAACTGTGTCTCTCCCCCGAAAAAACAATAATTCAAATAACGAAAATTCAAATGCAAAGATTCCCAATCTCCCATCTCTCTCTCCCTTCCTGCCTTCCACTCCTTCACTTCACGTGGTCCATCATATTCATCAGAGACCAGAGCGCAGCCACTTAACACCACCACCACCAACAGTACAAAAACCCAAACTTTTCTTTCCCCCTCACACTTGCCCTGTTCCATTCAATAACCCACCATAAACCCACCTCCTCCTCCTCCTCTCTACTTCCTCCCACCTTTCTTCTTAAATCTCACATCCATGGTGGTAGCTGGGGGGATCAACAACAAGCACTTACCCACCACTAAGAAGAAGGAGAAATGGAAGTTCCCCTTCTTCTTGCTCTTCTTCATCCGCCTTTTTCTGATTCAATCCGTATTGGGTCAGGACTGGGACGGCGTGGTGGTAACTCAAGCTGATTTCCAGGTGCTACAAGCTTTCAAGCAGGAGCTGATTGACCCAAGGGGGTTTTTGAGGAGCTGGAACGATTCCGGCTATGGAGCTTGCTCGGGGGGTTGGGCTGGGATCAAATGTGCGCAGGGGCAAGTCATTGTGATCCAGCTTCCGTGGAAAGGGTTAGGTGGGAAGCTCACTGACAAGATTGGGCAGCTGCAAGCGCTAAGAAAGCTTAGCCTTCACGACAATGTCGTCACTGGGACAATTCCTCAAACACTTGGCGTGCTCCCTGACCTGAGAGGGCTCCAGCTGTTCAACAACAGGTTCTCTGGCTCTATCCCTCCCACTTTAGGTTCTTGCCCACTGCTTCAAAACCTAGACCTGGGTAATAACTCGCTCGCTGGTAGAATCCCAGATAGGTTAGCCAATGCGACCAAGTTGTTTAGAATCAATTTGAGTTACAACTCGTTGTCAGGTCCAATCCCAGCTAGCTTAACCCACTCCCCTTCCCTCGTTTACCTTGATCTTCAGCACAATAACCTCTCTGGTTCGATTCCTGACTCTTGGGGTTCCAGTTTTAGCCCAAAGAACGGAACTTTTCCCCCACCCGTGCTTCAGTACTTAGCCATTGCCCACAACTCCCTCTCTGGACCCATCCCACTTACCATTTCAAATCTTTCCTCGCTCCAAGTTCTGGACTTTGAGAGCAATTTACTTGATGGGCAAATCCCAGAAGGAATCGTTAATCTGAAGAACCTTTCTGTCCTCAACTTTAGGAGAAATCAGTTAGATGGTCCAATCCCTGAGACAATAGGAGGGATCCCCACATTAACTAGGCTAGATTTGTCTGAGAATAAGTTGAGTGGAGAAATCCCACTTTCACTTGCAAACTTATCAAGGCTTAGCTCATTCAACGTCTCCTATAACAATCTATCTGGCCCTGTACCCACTGAACTCTCTAGCAAGTTCAACTCAACTTCCTTTGTGGGCAACATTCAGTTGTGTGGTTATTCTGGAGCAACTCCATGCCCATCTCCACCTTCACAGACTGTCCCAACTCAACCACCAGAAAAGAAGAAGAAGCTGAGTACCAAAGACATTATCCTGATTGCAGCTGGGGCACTTCTCATTGTGCTGCTGATACTCGTGTGTGTACTCCTCTGTTGCTTGGCGAGGAAGAGAACAGCAGCAAAGGCCAAAGAAGGCCAACCATCGACGACATCAAGAGCTGCTGCTGGCGTGGCTGGAGGCGAAAAGGGTGCCCCTCCAACTGCTGCTGAAGTCGAGGCAGGAGGAGAAGCTGGAGGAAAACTAGTTCATTTCGATGGGCCGATGATGTTCACTGCTGATGACCTTCTCTGTGCTACTGCTGAAATCATGGGGAAGAGCACTTATGGAACTGTTTATAAGGCCACATTGGAAGATGGGAGTCAAGTTGCTGTGAAGAGGTTGAGAGAAAAGATTGCCAAAGGTCAAAGGGAGTTCGAAGCTGAAGTCAATGTGCTTGGCAAGATCAGGCACCCTAACCTTCTTGCACTCAGGGCTTACTATTTAGGGCCAAAGGGGGAAAAGCTTCTTGTGTTTGATTACATGTCAAAGGGAAGTCTGGCAACTTTCCTCCATGGTAAGAACCTTTACAAACACAGTTCACATATTCGAAATCACATCAAAGCTCATATCTTTCCATTGTCTAATAATGCAGCTAGAGGACCCGAGACCCCAATCGATTGGCCAACTCGAATGGAAATAGCTCAAGGCATGACTAGGGGACTGATCTATCTACACAACAACGAGAACATCATCCATGGCAACCTCACATCAAGCAACGTGCTCCTCGACGAGAGGAACGAATCCAAAATCGCAGACTACGGTCTGTCTCGGCTAATGACAGCAGCAGCAAACACCAACGTGATTGCAACAGCTGGTGCATTGGGCTACAGAGCACCCGAGCTTTCCAAGCTCAAGAAAGCCAACACCAAGACTGATGTTTACAGCCTCGGAGTGATCATCCTGGAGCTTCTGACTGGGAAGTCACCAGGCGAGGCGATGAATGGAGTGGATTTGCCACAATGGGTTGCCTCCATTGTCAAAGAAGAGTGGACCAATGAAGTGTTTGATGTGGAGTTGATGAAGGATTCTACTGAGATTGGTGACGAACTGCTCAATACGTTGAAGCTGGCTCTGCATTGTGTTGATCCTACGCCTTCTGCAAGGCCGGAAGTTCAGCAAGTGCTTCAGCAGCTGGAAGAGATTAGGCCGGTGGCTGGTGGTCGTAGTTCAGGAGCGTCTGGTGATGATAGAGCTGCAGTTCCTTCATCGAGTGAGTAGAGGATGATGGGTGGTGGGGAAGAGTGACTTAGTGAGTGAGTGAGTGATTATTAGGAAAGTCCAATTCTTTCATTCTTGTTGGTTTCCTAGCTGGGGTTTTGACTTTTGATTTAGTTAGTATTTCTGTAAATACCACGTTTGGTTTGAGCTTTTAGTTCGAGGATGTCTAGTCGTTTGCTTTTTTCAAGCTTTCCCATTAATAATTTTGGGTTCTGGGTCTGATTTCTTTCAGCATATGGGGAGTGCGTGATTTCTACAGTTGTAAAATTGAGTGCTATTGAAGGCATGGCCATTGTTGTCAAGCACTACTACTCGATGACATGTTGAGTTCAACTTGTGAGTTAAGTCATTTTGATCTCATGAGTTGGCTCGACATTGTGGCTAACAAGCACAACTCGACTAACATCTTTTGAGTGAATCGGTCTATATCTTATGAGTAGGCTTGTTGAAAATTCGGGATCAATCAATGATGGAAAATTTTGTTATGATTCTTTTTTTCATCGTAACATTTAACACATGTATCTGTTGTTGTTGAAGGCTGTGCTGTGAAGGTTGGGTCTAATCCGAATCCAGATCGGAGAAGGAAAAGAAGTGCTGAGCGTCTATTTTTAAGTAGTCTTAACAATAAAGGTCAAAACTGCGTCGTTTGCTGTTTTATTGTTTTAGTCCTTTGAGTTTTTGTTTTATGCCAGTAGGGTCATTTAGCCGTTGTGGCTGTTAGCAGAAGCAGGGTAATTGGTTCTACTTTTCTGGGATCGTGGGGATTGCATTGTTGAGACGAAGCCGAGGTTAATGGCTTCTGTTAGAGAGTCCTGTATTTATATTTCTTCTCCATCAATGAATAAGATGTCAGTTTGCAATACATCTTTGTGATAACAAAGTGGTATCAGAGCTTGTTTGCGAGCTGTAACCAAGGAGAGTTGTGTGATTCGTGAGCGCAAAAGAAAGTAATCGAGTGATTATCTGGGTTGGGAAACACGAGTGAACAATTGCAGCGAGGAAACTTTGTTTGGTGAGTGAAATCATGAGTGAAAGCAGTTTTGCGTAGGTCTGCATACCCAAATTTGATGGGGATTTCGACCACTGGAGCCTGCTAATGGAGAATCTACTGCGATCCAAAGAGTATTGGACAGTGGTTCAAGATGGAATAAGGGAGCCTGCACAAGGAGAACAGCTGACTGAGGCTCAACAAAAGGGGCTGGATGAGAGGAGACTGAAGGACCTCAAAGCGAAGAACTATCTCTTTAGTTCTATTGACAAGAGTATACTGAAGAATATCACACAGAAGGCAACAGCGAAGGAACTATGGGATTCCATGAAGACAAGGTACCAGGGCAGTGAAAGGGTGAAGAAATCACAGCTTCAGAGTCTTAGAAGAAGCTTTGAATTACTACAAATGAAGGAGGGAGAGTATGTTGCAGACTACTTTGGCAGAGTGATGACAGTGGCTAATTCCATGAGGAATTGTGGAGAGGAGATGCCAGATGTGAAGATTGTGGAGAAGGTATTAAGAACTCTGTCCACCAAATTTAATTATGTTGTTTGCTCGATTGAAGAGTCTAAGGATATAGAAGAACTCAGTGTTGAAGCCCTGCAAAGTTCTTTACTAGTTCATGAGCAAAAGTTTACCAGGCCTCCAGTAGAGGAAGAACATGCATTAAAAATGACATTTGAATATGGAGGCAGAGGTGGAAGAGGTACTGGGAGAGGCATGTTTCAAGGTAGAGGAAGGGGGAGAGGAAGAGGGATGAATCGTGACTTGGTGGAATGCTTTAAATGTCATAAACTGGGCCATTTCAAAGCAGATTGTCCTGAGTGGTATGGCAACCAGCAAGCATACTACACAAGCCATGGTTCTCGTCCCAATGATTCCAATAATTCCTACCCTGATATGACTGAAGATGTGCTGCTGATGGCATTTGTGGAACAACAGCAGGAGAAGGTGCAGGAAAAGGTTGTGCAGAACTCCATGGCACACCTGAATACACAGCCTGATGAAAGGAAGGACACCTGGTGGTTTCTGGATTCTGGATGCAGCAATCATATGTGTGGTGAGAAGCAGTGGTTCATCACAATGGAAGCCAGCAGTGATTGTAATGTGAAGCTAGGGAATGGAACTAAGATGGCAGTGGCTGGTACAGGCACAGTGAGATTGATAGTTGATGGAGTCTCATTATCCATCAGAGATGTGTTCTATGTCCCAGGTCTTACAACAAACCTACTCAGTGTAGGACAACTACAGGAAAGGCAGCTGAGCTTTGTGATTAAAGGTGGACTCTGCAAGATTTATCATGAGGAGAAGGGCCTTCTACTGCAAACAAAAATGAAAACCAACAGGATGTTTGTTCTGCACTCTCAAAAGCAGTCAAACTACTCTAAAGGGGATCATTTGTGTCTGCAGAAGGAAGCCAGTATCAATACACTGGATCTTTGGCATAGAAGATTTGGTCACCTCAATTGCCAAAGTCTAATGCAAATGCAGAAGAAGAATGATGTGCAAGGGTTACCACAACTGCAAGGAAACCTGGGAATCTGTTCCACCTGCCAGATTGGGAAGCAACACAGAGGAAGTTTTCCAAAGAAAAGTACATGGAGAGCCACCAAGAAGCTTCAATTGATCCACGCTGACCTATGTGGACCAATCACCCCAGCCTCGAATGGAGGCAAGAGGTATATTCTGACAATCACTGATGATTTCAGCAGGAAATTGTGGGTATATTTCTTAGAAGCAAAATCAGAAACTTTGAATTGCTTTAAGAAATACAAGGCTCAAGTAGAGAAGGAGACAGGAGAATCCATTATCTGCCTCAGAACAGATAGAGGAGGAGAGTTCCTCTTGAATGAGTTTAAAGAACTTTGTGAAGCTGCTGGGATAAGAAGGCAGATAACTGCTGCATTGACTCCCCAACAAAATGGGGTTGCAGAGAGAAGAAATAGGACCATAATGAATATGGTCAGGTGTTCTCTAGCTGACATGAAGGTTCCTGTTGTGTTCTGGCCAGAAGCAGTGGCATGGACTGGTCATGTACTGAACAGAAGTCCAACCTCAGCCAATTCTGGAAAAACACCACAAGAACTTTGGACAGGTAAACCCCCAGCTGTTGGCCACTTTAAGATTTTTGGATGCGTGGCATATGTGCATGTGAATGATCATTTGAGGAAAAAGCTCGATGACAAGAGTATGCAGTGCTATTTCATAGGCCTGTCTATTGAATCTAAGGCCTATAAACTGTATAATCCTGTCACCAAGAAGGTACTCATCAGCAGAGATGTGGTTTTTGATGAGACCAAGGGCTGGAACTGGGATTCTGAAACACAACCAGAGCTGACCAAGATTGTGTGGGATGGAAGTGATGAGCCATGGTATGATTCTGAAGGAGAAGAAGAAGAATCTGGCACTCCAGATGCACCAGAACCAGTCACTCCCATCACACCAGCAACTCCACCACCAGCTGCAGCACATCAGGATGAAGGGGAGGAAGAAGAAGATGATGCAGCTAATCCTGATGTGCTTGGACTTCCTAGTGGAGGTTTAGGCCCTAGGGTCAGACATCCACCTCAGCATCTGTCAATCTATGACTGTACCTACTTTGCAGGATTAGATTGTCTGGCAATGGTGACTATCAGTGATGATCCCACTACGTTTGAAGAAGCTGTGCAGGATGAGAAATGGAGGAATGCTATGAAACAAGAGATGGTCAGTATTGAAAGGAATGACACATGGATACTGGTGGAACTTCCTGCAGGAGTGACTCCAATTGGAGTCAAATGGATCTTTAAAACCAAGCTGAATGAAGATGGAACTGTGGATAAGTTTAAAGCTAGACTGGTGGCAAAGGGATATGCTCAGAAGCAAGGCATAGACTACACTGAAGTCTTTGCACCAGTTGCCAGATGGGACACCATCAGAACTCTGATTGCTTTGGCTGCATACCATGGATTTCCAGTATATCAGCTCGATGTAAAAAGTGCATTCTTGCATGGTGAGCTGACAGAAGAGGTGTATGTCATGCAGCCTCAAGGCTTTGAAGTTCCTGGGGAAGAGCAGAAGGTATACAAGCTTAAGAAGGCTCTTTATGGACTGAAACAAGCTCCAAGAGCTTGGTACAGCAGGATCGAGGCTTACTTCCTTAAAACTGGATTTAAGAGGAGTGATTATGAACACACTTTGTTCATAAAAAGGGCTGGAAGTGACATACTACTGGTCAGTCTCTATGTTGATGACCTTATGTATGCAAGCAACAGTTCTAAACTCATAGAAGACTTCAAGAAATCTATGGAGTCAGAGTTTGAAATGACTGACTTGGGAAGGATGAAGTACTTCCTGGGAGTTGAAGTACATCAGAGTAATGCAGGAATTTTCATTAACCAGCAGAAGTATGTGAAGGAAGTTCTGGACAAGTTTGGTCTCTCAAGCTGCAATTTTGCAAAAAATCCCATTGCTCCTGGAGATAAGTTGACCAAAGCAGGAGATGGGATTCAAGTTGATGCTACAGAGTATAAGAGGCTGATTGGGAGCCTGCTCTACACCTGTGCTACCAGACCAGACATCATGTATGTTGTATGCATGTTGAGCAGGTTCATGGAAGCTCCCACCAGGCAACACATGTTTGCAGCAAAAAGGGTTCTGAGATACTTAAAAGGGACAAGCACTCATGGCATCTGGTATAAGAGGAAAGATAAGAATGACAAGCTTCTTGGCTATACAGACAGTGACTATGCAGGGGACCTGGATGATCGAAAATCTACCAGTGGTTATGTGTTCTTTATTGCATGAGGAGCCATATCCTGGGCTTCAAAGAAGCAACCAGTTGTCACCCTGTCTACAACAGAAGCTGAGTTTGTTGCTGGTTCTTACTGTGCTGCACAGTGTGTATGGTTGAGAAAGATACTCGCACAAATGGGATGGGAAGACAGTGTGTCTACTGCTACCAAGGTTCTTTGTGAAAGTAGTTCAGCCATTAAACTGTCCAAGAATCCTGTCTTTCATGGTAGGAGTAAGCACATTGATGTGCGTTTTCATTTCCTAAGGGATTTGGCTAAGGAGGAGGTGATCGAGATGGAGCATTGCAGGAGCCATGAAAAAGTGGCTGATATTATGACCAAAGCCCTCAATCTGGATGCATTTCAGAATTTGAGGTACCAACTGGGAGTGTGTGCAGAAGAGGAATTCAAGCTGGGAGAATGAACAATGATGATGCTGTGAACTGAAGTCAGAAGAATTGTCAGAAGGGGACTTCAGTTCAGGGGAGGAAGATGTTGCTGTTGAAGGCTGTGATGTGAAGGTTGGGTCTAATCCGAATCCAGATCGGAGAAGGAAAAGAAGTGCTGAGCGTCTGTTTTTAAGTAGTCTTAACAATAAAGGTCAAAACTGCGTCGTTTGATGTTTTATTGTTTTAGTCCTTTGAGTTTTTGTTTTATGCCAGTAGGGTCATTTAGCCGTTGTGGCTGTTAGCAGAAGCAGGGTAATTGGTTCTACTTGGGATCGTGGGGATTGGATTGTTGAGACGAAGCCGAGGTTAATGGCTTCTGTTAGAGAGTCCTGTATTTATATTTCTTCTCCATCAATGAATAAGATGTCAGTTTGCAATACATCTTTGTGATAACAGTATCATCGTGACATAAATATTAGAATATTTCATTTACAAATTATTTGAGTTTGATTTAGGGGTTCAACTATTTAGAATGAAAATGAATTGAGCTCGAACCGAGCTTACGAGTTGATCGAGGATTCGGACTCGTGAATTCAATAATGAGACGAACTCGAATGGAGCTCGAATCAAACACGAGCTATGATTTTAATAGTAACGAGCCGAACTCAAACTAAGTAAACCTCGACTCTAACTTATTTATTAACTCTTATACTAAGTGGCTAAATGTCTAACCCTAAGTAGTAGTACCACCCCAAAAAAAGGAAGAAGAAAAAATTACTTGGTTCTTAAATATAAATTTCCTAGACAGAACAGGAAAAAAGAGTTCCAGTTGTAAACGAAGTCTTTTTTTCTTCCTTTATCTATATTCCTATTTAATTCCGAAACTCGGGATTATTAATACGTGCTCATTAAGAAGGCGAAATCCTTGCTGCCGCGACTACACGACACACTCTCTCGAGTCTCGGCACTACCTGTATACGTTCGTAGCATTGACACCGATGGCGGCGGCGGCGGCGGGAGCTGGGATATTCGAGCCACCGACGGCGGCTCTATACGTCGGCGACGTCGAGGCACAAGTCACGGAAGCGCAGCTGATCGACATATTTTCAGGCTTCCATGGCTACCTCTCGGCTTCTCTGGTCCGTAATAGCAGCTCCCTCACCAACAATGGAGGTCCTCGCTGCTATGCCTACGTCAATTTCTCTACTCTTGAACAAGGTTTGTATGTTTCTCCTAGCGCTTGATCCGAGATTTTGAACGTGTAATAGTCATGTTTCTTCAACCCTAGGTTATAAAAACGAGATAGTACTTCAAAGCATGGTAGAAAACTTTATGAATGAATAGTAGTAAAATTTGATATATGAAATACTAATGATCGATTTATTAACGGACTTATTCAAAAGTTATGGTATTGGAAATTAGTATATGATGATTTTCCATTGAACAAAACTGTGGTAATGGCAAACATGAGACTGAGTGATGTGTAATTGCTAGTATTCAACTAATCATGTACATTTGTATGGTGCTGGACGACTAAATTCGTGAATATGAGTCGAATAATTTTTCTAGCGTCAATCTTTTTGTAATTGTTAGTGGTCTTGATATCATATTAGTTAGATGACACAACACTGGTTAAATTGCGTATCAGCTACAATGCGTAGCATTTGTTTGGCACTAAGTCATTGACTATGGCGACCATGAGAGAAAATAATCGTCGAAAATTCTTATTGTTTCGGATACTCGTGAAATCATCATATTTTAATAATCAAATCGATATGATTCTAGTAAAACAAAAACAAAATTAATGATAAATCACTAAATCAATATCTTTCATGCTATGTTTATTGTTTTGATGAGCTAAGCCTTGTTTGATTTTTATCATTTGGGCCTCCATCCCATCCTTCTGGGCCTTACGCACTTGTTTGTCTCCTCTCTTGCAGCAAGGCAGGCCATGGAAGCAACTAATCACAGAGTTGTCAATGGAAAAGCAATTAGAGTGATGGAGGCCCAATCCAACGCCGAAACACGAACCAGTGGGATTGGCAACATTTTTGTCAAGGTAAATTCATTTACATAATAATTGGCACTTTATTTTCCAATAACTATATCTTATGATGATAACAATAATTCCATTGATATATAATTAATTATCAAAATTCTCTCTTAAACCTACAGAATCTACACGATTCCATTGACAATGCAAAGCTGGAGGAAATATTCTCCAAGTACGGGAGGATCCTGTCCTGCAAAGTGACCGTCTCTGAAGATGGCAACAGCAAAGGCTATGGCTTTGTTCAGTTCGAGTCACCAGAATCTGCCTCCCTTGCAATTGAATCCGCCGATGGCTCCATCGTCGAAGGCAAAAAATTGTACGTCTGAATTTAAAGTCTTCTGCATCGCTCAATTCCTCATTGCTTGTGATAATCTTATTCTCCTTACATATTTCCATTTCGGTTTACTCAGATCCGTGAGTAAGTTCATGAGAAAGGAAGAGCGATTCAATCCGGAGAATCCCGAGGAGTACCGCAACCTTTACTTCAAGAACTTGGACGACAATGTGAGCGAGGAGATCTTGCGAGAGAGATTCTCAAAATTCGGGGAGATCACCAGTCTCCTCGTCTCCAAAGATGAGGATGGTAGATCCAAAGGGTTTGGCTTTGTCAATTTTAAGGAAACAGCCGCGGCACAACAAGCGCAACGGTCCATGAACATGATCCAATTTGGTAATATTACGTCAATCAAAACCATTTAAATTTCTCACTCTCCCGTCCATCAAAATACTCTAGTAATTTAACGTGAATTGTATACATACTATAACACCATATTTTCATCGTGCTAGGTTCTAAGGTGTTGTACGTAGCAAGGGCTCAAAAGAAGAGTGAGCGACAACAGTCACTGCGACAGCAATCTGAGCAGCGAAGTGAGTGGTTACAGAAATACAAGGTATGCATTATTCTCATGTTCAATATATGGAGAGAAAAATTAACAACATGTCATTCTAATACGTGAATTGTCCGTTCTCATAGACTTTGTCGGATATTCATTCGGGTCCCTTTTCATACAAGAAAATACCTTTCGAATCCTAAACATGTATAGATTGAAAAAAACTTTTAATTTGTTTATATGGAAAAATCTAACTACATGTCATTCTAATGTAAATTGTCCGTTCTCATAGACTTGTCAGATATTCATTCGGGTCTCTTTTCATACAAGAAAATACCTTTCGAACACTAAACATGTCTAGATTGAAAAAAGTTTTAATCTGTTTATATCGCCAAAACTTTTTACAGAACTGCAACTTGTACGTGAAGAACATCAACGACGGTGTGGACGATGCCCAACTGCGCGACCACTTCAGCAAAATCGGCAGTGTCGTCGCAACCAGAATCATGAGAACGGAGAACGGCGTAAGCAAAGGCTTTGGGTTCGTCTGTCTGTCCACCGTCGATGAAGCCGCCAAATCTGTCACCCTTCTCAACGGTAAATTAAGAAATAAACCTGATCACATGTTCAGTTGTTCACCCATTTCCTCACATTTTTTTTCACGTCAAACTAAAATCATACGCTGTCACGTTTGCCAGGGAGTCTGTTCCATGGGAAGCCTCTGTACGTCGCCATAGCCCAAACCAAAGAAGAAAGGAGACGGTTCCTTGAAGCCGTCCACGCCAAAAGAAACGCTGCAGCTCCCCCGTTCCCCATTCCACCATTCGCCTTTCCTCCTTTCCTTCCGCCGCCGCCGCCGTTTCTCCATCAACCACCGTTCCCATTCCCTCCCCGGTTCCCTCCAATGCCGGGCTTCACCTTCCCTCCGCCTCTGGTAAGCAACAACTGACATGTCCTCTGTTTCAGCTTTTCGCGCAACGGTCTATAGCGTAATGTCGTGGTGGTGTTGGTGGTGTTCGCTGTTTTCAGCTACCAAATCACATTGCCAACTGCATGGGCCGTCCTCCATTGCCATTCCGTCGACAAGGCCGCTTCGGTAACGCCGGTGCGATGTTCCGGAGACCGGGTTTTGCACCGATGGCTGCAAACCGGGTGCTACCACCACAGGGAAAGCCAGATGAAAAGAGCAGGAGGGACTCTAATCTGAGCGAAGAAGAAGATTGGAGCAGCCATCTTGCTGCTGCAACGCCACAACGACGAGAAGAAATGATTTGGGATCGTCTCTTACCCTTGGTTCAGAAGCTCAAGGTACAAAATTTGTTCTAACCAAAATGCAGAGCTTGATAAAATATCAACGGATCAGCAGAGACTAACTTATGCCATATGATTTTGGGTATACGGTTGTATGCAGGGCGAACTAGCGCCTCGAATTACTCGGATTCTGATGGAGTTGGACCATGCAGAGCAGCTGGTGCTGCTCGAATCTGCAGAATCGCTGGCTGCTAAAGTCGAGGAAGCAGAGAACACTATCAACCAGACAAGCAACAACTAGCTAGTAACTGTTGCAGTTTTGAAGCTTTGCAAGAGCATTAGACATTCAGTAGTCGTCGGCTATATATTTAACTGCTGTTTTGGACCTTTACAAGCATTGCATAATAGATGGGATAATATCATATATATCTATAAGATTTAAGGATCCCTTTCCTTTCAGAAACTGCTTAGAACTTCGACTGTTTCCCTTCTAGCAAAAATATATACTTAGTAGAGTTATGATAATTGGAACTGTTCAGGTCAGCCTATCATACTCACAAAAGTAGTCAAAATGAGAGAGCTTTTCCTATGTAATTACGAGCTCCCCTAGCCATCTACAACCTCAGCGAACTAGCAGTAGAACATGACGTTCTTCACGTTGTCCTTGATCTTCGGAAGCGGCTGGACTTCTCTCGGCATCCCAGTTGCGCTCCTTTCGCCTGATGAACTGCCATCAGAAGCATTTCCTTCTATGTAGTACCGAGCGCGAAATGCTGTCAGATGGGCATAATAGGCAGGCGGCACTGCAATGGTGAAGTGAACGGAGAAGCTCTTAGTCATGTAAGTGGGGGGTAATAACAGACAAGCCTACTTGCAATGTTAAGAAATTCGGTCACCAAGCGCTAACAGTTTGAAGATAAATTACTTACCAACAGAGACAGAGCGAGTGCACCTAGCATATCTGGAAAAAACACATGAGAAAGACATGAGTTTATATACAATCAACAGAGTTGTAATTACAAGGATAACATAAAGAGGAGTTAGAAGACTTCTAGGTCTGAAGCTGCTTACGTGTAGCATAGGTTGTTCGTCAGAACTTGCAGTCCATCAGCGGTGAACCCATTCTCGTCGAACAGAACATGGTAGTGAGAAGGTTTGCTAGTTCCCTGCAGCAGCGGTAATAGAGGAAATCAGCATCTCCTCAAAGGTACCAAAGCGAGATTGGAGTAGGAAGTTTGACGTGGGTGGGGTATAGAACACATGTATATACCTGAATTCCAGCATGGCTATTAAGGTAGAAGTCGAATTCAGTTGGGTGGCAGATTTTAGTATCAACCACGGTGCCTGTACAGGTAATAAAAAAATCAAGTTACCTAACATGAACAAAAGGAAACCGAACAGATTACAGAACGTTATATTGAGATAACTGATCAGAAACCTGGAAGAATGTTGCCACTCCTGTCTGTCATGCTACGATTCTGATGATCTTCCGGGAAGAAACGAGTGTGGTGCCTCTTTTGCACCACCACAAAGGTGATCCGAGGAAGATAGCCTTGCTCCAATGACATACAAGCCTGGGGGAAAAGAGAGACCATAGCTTAGACATAAACTTGCATCAGCATCAACATCTTTGACCTTGAAGAAGTTTACATAATTGAAAATATGTGACACATTACCTTTCGTATGGCATCCACCTCATGTAGCAAAACCTGGCTGAATTGGCCCTCACTGACACCATCTCTGCAATTTTTTCAAATAAAAGTCAGTTTAGTTTAGCAATTCTGGAAAAATGGAAAATGAAAAATAAGTACAATGGCAGAGCATGCCACAATCATATAAGTCTTACCTGTAGAATAAGATCCTATCAGGTTTAACTCCAGTTGATCTTCTAAAAGCTATGAGAAGTTCTCTGCAAAGAAGCAAATATCGAACAGGATGAGAAACCAAGACAATTATCAATCACAAAGTAGTTGTACATTTAAATTCTTAGTTGCAAACCTGATCATTCCACCATGAACCACACCCCTGGTTGGATCTTCATAGGTCTTGTAAAGGTCCAAGATGATTTCCTCTCGACTAGTTTGTGCAGAAACTAGTCCCCTGTACTTGGTTACCTCTGGCCAATCCATTGAAGCGACAACCTGAAAACGAATGGTTTAGTTGTTCAGTAAAAAGACAGAACACGGCTTTTACGATGGGAAGTGACCTGGGCTTACAGCAGCAATAGATGGGGTTGAATCCTCTCCAGGCTGTGCGTGTGTAACATCAGCACCAAAAACAATGGTTGGACGATCAGTGAGAAGAGGAATCCTCCTTTGGACTGCATCATTCAGCACAGTGTTCCGCCCACCAACCTAGTAGGACAACCATCATTCAGCACAGCATTATCAATTGTTATACAAAAATTTAGTTCAAATCAATAGAAAAAGCAAAACAAACCAACCTTAACATTGATCTTCAATGACACATTCTCCATATATTGCTTGGAAAATTTTGAGGCTTGCTTGGGCTGACAGCACTGCGTCACAATCCCCAGCTCTGTTTCACAGATTCGCTTGATTGTACCTAGAAAGAGACAAAAGGACAAAGGAGAATTTTTCAGGTCATCTCACAACCAAGTGCTCTACGAAAACATAAATTTCAGGTTATATACAAACCATAGGAGCCGGAAAAATCAGGCAGAATAATAATTAGCAACTGAAGTTCTTTGCCCTGTTGAGTGGCCTGATAGTGAACATCTGAAAGAGCTTTCTCGATATGCTGGGGCCTTTCTGATCGAATAGGAACTAGAGGATTTTTGTTAAAAACCTGTAAATTAAAGAACAAAAGAGAGAAAGCGGAAGAGAAAAACAAGTAAATCAACTGGCCATAACCTATTCAAACCATACAGCACAATCGAGTGTTCAACTTATACCATCCCCTTGCTGATGCACATGTCAATCAATTGTCCACAAAAGTCAATTGGGAAATCATTGTTGAAAGAAGAGAAGTTCAGACAAGTCCAGTAGTCTACTGTTCCACCATTGACCATTTTCTGTAAAATGAACAATATGTTATATGCGGGCATTTCTGACAATGTCTTCATACTACACCAATGAAATAGCAATTTCAACAAACAGCAGATATTTCGATTGAAAAATCTTGATTGCCAGCATCCATGAGCCTGTGACAGATGCAACAAAGTACATACTGATACATCCACTCACAATCCGCATTAGTGAGATAACGTATACTGAATAAATATCTGTATCTTAGGAAGGAACAAACGAAAATCCCTGTGGAATCAAGCTAAGCCTACTGCTCACCTTGTTAATCATGTTCCATTGACCCATCTGAGGACTCACGCTTGCTTCTCTCCCAGAACCATGATACTTAAGCTGGAAAGAACCAGAAGCATATAGTTAACATCAATTCCAGGCCATAGGCAAAGAAGAGATTAACAAAAATAAAATCAACACCAACCATTGGAGGATTAAGGACTCTAGCCTCAATTAGCTCAGGCTGTGGCTTAACTTGAATGCCAAACTGCTGTACAATCTCACTGTCCTTGAAGCTTTTCTCAGCCACAACCTAAAGAAGACGTTAGTCAGCAAGAGATTCACTCCCAAGCAACACGCTTATGTATATGCATTATTACTGTCCTAAAAAATTTACCTTCGCAATGTTCCTTTCCCTTTCATGTGGACGTTGACAGGTCGCCCTTAACAAAGCAGTAACTTGTCGCTCATTGAGCTTCTTTGTATACCTTTGACCTTCAACAATCTTGCACAGCTGTAGCAAAATAACAAAGGTTTTCAGGTTACTATCAAAAGTAAAGACACTGTTCCCCTCCAAACTCTAGTACTACAAGATGAATACCTCGATTGGGAGGTAAAAAAGCTTGGGTGCATGACCAGCTTGAAGAGCAGGCAAAGAAGGATATTGGAGACGAATTTTGTATTTTTGTTGAAAATATTGAGCTACAGAGATCGTAGTATTCTGCTCATCAAGAAGAAACCTGCAAATAACAAAAACAAAGAAATTAGCACAGATTAGTAACTCCCATATATGTCCCACATACATACTAACTATAGTTGCAAAGTACATATTCAATGCATATCAAAGAAGAAACTGCTCACATTGTGTGGCTTGCCGGCTTGCTAGAGATGCCAGTGATCTTGTAGGTTTTGGTAAACTCCCCATTGTTCATTTGTACCTTAACACCTCTCATGGCCTTTTTCAGCTGTGCAATTCAAAGGGGAAAATGTGACAAAGCAGTCAAATGAAAACTATAATCCAACGTGAAGCAAAAAACACAGGCCATAGCCTAAAAATCCTATATCACTAGTATAAAACAAAATCCTTCAATGAACATAACCGTATGTTCCTTCCACCTCTGATACTAATTTATGTCCATTTAAATTCCAAAATAATATCGTAACACAGTATTTAGTAAAGTGGCAATTCCATCATACACTTCCCAATGGAACCAATTGACCCTTTCAGGACCCAGAAAATGGAATTCGACAAATGAGTGTGGACAGATTACTAGAATGGATGTAACTACCTTGATACAATCTTGTTCAGATAGAGGCTTGGATGGGTTCTGAATCCGGAAGTTCTTGGAAATGAAATCCATGACAGGAACTGGCTCATAGAAAGATCTGGCAGAAACATCTACAATAAAACAATCACACAAGTCAATTCGCTGAGATAACATAAAATGTTTAACAATGTAAGAGCAACAGACCAAAATTAGAACCAAAAGCTAGATACCAATATTAAGGGACAGTCCCATCTGGGTTGGCCTCAGACTTTGGTAATATCCTCTCCAGTACTCCACACCATCCCCCAGGGTGCCTTTTGGCCCAAGTGAAGTGGAGCACAATGATCTCCCAACCACAGTATAGCTACATTACAAGCATTTTGAATCAGTTATACTGTCCACTTAGACACACAGCTTAACCCACTTGTAAGTTTACAGAAACAAGTCGATAAGACAGAGAATAAAACATCAGTTATCTCTAGAGAATAGGCAAGTGAGCAGAGAGTACTGTGCGGAAGGGTTGTGTCTTAGAACCACATCCAGAACTTGAATGGTCTCCTGTGGTATATCCCGCTGCCTGCCATCTAAGAACCGTCGCAGATGGTCAATATCAGGTCGGGAAGCAAACTTGATTGCCACCTTAAACACTCTTTCCCTCCTGGAAAAAATCACAAAGCACAAACAGCAATGCCATATAGAGAATCATTCATTTAACAGCAAGGAAGATAAACAAACAACCCAATAAGTACTCATCCAAACAGGAAGCAGCATTTTACCTAGGGGCAGCAGAAGTCGACCCAGCTTGGTTATCAGACTCCAACTTCACCTCGAACTCTCTCGACTCAAATGGCAGAGCCCCAGCAGTGAACAGACTTTTCCTACCATCATAGGCCACCATTTTGTTCCCCAAATGAGATTGACGGTATAACTTGTCCAGTGTAGAAATGACATCTCTGTTGACCTTCTTCGAAGTAACCTCCGGGGTAATAGTGACCTAAAACCAAGCACATTCGTGAATTAATCATCCGCACAATAGCATATTCAAGCATATAAATCCAGATCCCCCCTCAATGCACAACCCTAGGAGTTTTTTTTTACAGCCGGCTCTTCTTCGCAATCCTCATGAGATTGGGGAAACAGTAAGGAAGAGTAAGACAGAATCATAACACAGCAAATGTGTGAGCCACCACACCGTGTTAGACTGTTAGGTAGGTGGTCCAGCACCAGTCACCAGAATGTCAGTTTTGAAACCCTAGCAATTAAGAACGTATTCTAACCCCACCCTTCATCGTCAGCAAACGAAAGAATACGCAGAATGCACATGAAACACAGAGAGCAAACGCGTTTGAAATTTCTTTTTTACAAAAATAATCAAAAACGAAACAACCAAGAGGACGAAACTTACGTCGTAATGGCGGAGATCGGTGTCCTGAATCTTGACGAGGAAATGATTCGCACGAACCATACACTTCCTCCCCACAGTCCCGTACCCGGGCCTCCTCGGCAGAGCGATGGCCTTCGAGGACACCGGCGCCGCAGCTCTGGACGCCGTTGACTCGGAGACAACAAGTTTACCCTGAACATCCGCAGCCAGCTGCTGTACGGAAGACGAACTCGACGCCGACGCCGACGCCGCCGGAGGAGGAGCAGCCGCAACTCCTTGCGGTCGAGCTGACGGTTGCGCGCTGGCAGGCGGCGGAGCAGGGCGGGAAGAGGAAGGATTCCCCAGGGCAGGGAAAGCAGAGGCAGGGGAAGGTGCCTGAGCGCCGATCGAACCAAAAACTTGAACCGGCGGCGGAATGGCGGCGCTATCTCCGCCTCCCCGTCCCCGACCGCCGCGACCACGGCCGCCACCGCCAGACTGTGCAGGGGACGGCGGCTGCTGATCGCGGCCGGTATCCGGACGCCGGCCACCACCGCGACGCGACATTGTCGTAACTGGTATAGCAGAGAGTGGGTGCGGGTGGTTCAGGAAGCGTCTCCGAGGAGGAGTTTGCAGGAAGGGGAAATAGGAATATGGAAAGTTCGAAAGAAAGAGAGAGAGAAAAGGGGAGCAAGAAGGATTTTTGGGAACGGGCGCGGTTACTGTGTGATGAGAGTGGAGTGAGGTGTGGGGGAGGTTAGAGGCAGAGTGTGTGTATTTATGTTAAGAGAATATTATCCTGGCGAAGTAAGAAGGGAAGGAAAAGCGTAAAAGACCATTTAGCCCACACTGTGGAATTGCAAAATAAAAATTCGGAAATTAAATTGATTTACTTGAGACTTGAGAGATAAGTAGATAACTATCTCTTCGTTAATGTACCGGTAAGTCATCACATTATTTTGTTTGGCATCGAAGCTACTTACAAATTATGTTCAGTACCAATTAGTCCATTTACTATTAATGGGCCACTATTAAATCGATGTCATTAATGTATTGTGAGATACCACTCGGTAAAGCGGTAACCAAATTATTTCTCGACTAGTTCGTAAATATTTTTATTCACCGTTGTAACACCAAAGTGAGAGAAATGGACAAGATCAGAAATATAGCTCGATTACAAATTTGGATAAAGTGAGTTAGCGTTTATGATAACTAACGGCAAATTGCAAGGGTCCAATTATTATTACAAGGCAAAACTTGAGCAAGATCACGAGCACGGAGGAGGTTGGAGTGAAGTAAAAATCTAGAACATGAATCCTTGTTGTGAAAGACTTCTAGTGGTAATTTTTTCATGGTAAAAACACTCCTCTTGGACTACGAATGTAGTGGTGGAAAACAAAAGTAACCTCGCCTTTTTCTTTAAAGATGGCGACAAATGTATTGAAGCGTACAGAAAATGTAACAAGAATATCGATGTACAATTTACCGTTTCCACCCATTTGGGTTAGGTCAGTAAGAATTTCTAACCTGAGGGACTAAATCCTAACAATATTTCTAGATAAAGGGCTGATTAGTCATCTCAGGCAAAAACAGAGGACCAGCTGGAAATGACGTGGGCCGATTTCGCAGGGCCAGGACGTCAGGCGAGGCGCATGTCAGAGTAGGGACGGCGCGTGGCTCTATGCGTGGGCGACGGTTTCGCCTTCAGGACGATCATGCCCTTGCACAATCGTCTTAATACCCAAACTACCCTCACAAAGAAACTGGAGAAACGGGAACAGCCAATGGGGTGGAAGGAAGAGAAAATTTGGACCTTTGTGGAATTTCTCGGGCTTGGGGCTGGTAGTAGGGTAGGTGGCCCACGGGGATTGAGGAGGAAGGCGAAGAGTTAGTTTTTTTTTTTAACCGATAAAAGCAATCATTATTTTATTTCATGGGCGAATTATTAATTAACTGGTTTTACCACGTGGCATATCCGTACCCGGCTGGATGATAACTATTGATTAATTAACCAAACTGAATCATTATCGGGACCAATTACGTAATTAATTACCATTTGTTCCAAAAAAAACACGGCATTGTTAGTTTCTTAAGCTTGTTAAATTCCATGGACGTTGTGTGGGGGCATATACGACAGCGTTCTCGACAACTTCAATTGTTGTTTAAGTTTGTCATCAATTGTTTAAAATATAGTTAGATTGGAGGAGAAGTCGCTTTTTTTTAATAAGGGAAAACTTGCTTGGAAGGGCCAAGCAGAATCAGCTGGCTAGGAAAGGAAGCAATGGGCGAAAGAAGGAACTTGGAAAGGACGAAGAAGAAAGTAACTGATTAGTGAAGAAGTAATGTCGAGAAAGGAAGGAATGCCAAAATAAAGTGATAAATGGGCTTAATGGCTAACTTTAGCTCCAAGATGGTACTACGAACTACTCTCAGACAAAAAAAAAAATGGTATTGCCTCATGTCGAATACTTTAAATCAGTGTTATCAAAGCCGAGTCGTTCGGTCCGACCGGTAAAACCGCCACCTGATCACAAAACCGGCTCGGAACAGTCTAAAAGTTGCTCCGGTTTTATGTAGCGGTTGACGAGCGGCCGAGACGGTTAACCATTCGAGCCGATCGAGCCGCTCGTCCGGTTTTTTCCATTCAGCCGTTAAATTTAATTAAAAAAATTGCAGAAAATTAAAAATTGAAATAAACCCAAAACGTCGAGCTCTAAAACTGAATCCTTATTTCCATTTCACAATTTCGAAGGAAAGAGATGAGCTCTGATTAAGAAAATGTCCACTATCTATATTGATAACGTTTATTAAGTATCGATTTTCTAACGATTTTTAAACGGTCTAATGCCGGTTGGACCACTAAAGTGCGAGTCGTTCGAATTATCGGCTCGTGCTCCTGTTCGGTTCTGACAACATTGCTTTCAATGATGATAAAGTGGATAAAACATATGGATCCATGTGGGACATAATGGAAAATTCATATCAAGCTCTTCTTTGTGTATTATAAATACGATAAAAAATAACGTTTATGACACGGTGATTAAATTATATCAATTCGCTCGATAATACTTGATTTAATCGATATAATAGTTAAGTAATGTTCAACATTATCATGATGAATGATGTGTCAACGCCATAGCAGCTTAATTACCCTATTCAAGTGGATTACAAAGTTAATATTCACGTTAAAGTTTGCTTAACTTATCTGATTCTTCCTCTTCAGTGCCATAGTTCATGGAGATTGAAAGTTGCAGCTTCGCCATCTTGTTCCGCCCGCAGCTAAACCCTCCTCCAGCGCATAGGGGAAGGTAGGTCCGATTAACAATGCCCGAAAAGAGAACAAGAGAATGTTGATTTTGATGGATGGGCCTGAAGTTGAACCCAATGAAGTGACCGGCGAGCTCACCCAGATTAGACAAAGGCCCAACTGTGGACTCTTTTTTTCTTTTTTGTCGAAAGATAACTCGTATTACTGAGACAAAAGAGTTACACTAGATTCACCTAACCGCGCGCAGCCTTGACGAAAAATCAAAACCTACCAGACTAGGAAACAATGAGAGGGTTTTTCTGACCACCAAATGGGCCACCCTATTCTCAAACTGTCCTACAAAGCAGATAGAAAATCAATGCAGACATCAGAGCAACATATGAATCTCCTCAAAGATCGCCCCGCCACGAAGATCTTGGCCCAACCGCCGACTCTTCCTTTTATGTACCGTAGATCTGTCATAACTCATAACTCATTAAGAACTATTTAGGCTAAATTGGAAGTTTGGTCACTTGAATTACTAGAAAAGTCCACGTTTGTCACTATAATTATTTTATTTCATCCATAGTCACTCAAATTAGTTACACAATCCAAGTTCGGTCACTCCCATTAACCTCCATTAGACTCCATTAACGAAGACCATCAAGTGATGGCGTTCCTAACTTAATGTTGAGTCACTTAATTTTAACCCAAAAAATAAAAATAAAAACCGATATGCCACCTCAGCAAACCTGCCATGTCATTAAATCTAACCCATCATACTGAACCCAATAACCCAACCATTTTAGTTACCCCCTCCTCCATTTTCTTCCTCACCAAGAATCGTCGCCGCCACATAATCATCCTCCATCCCTCCCCACTGCATTCTTCCCCCTCCCCTCCACTCCTCATTTTCGCCAGCTCCCCCACTCACCGTTACCTCCCAACGAGTCCCCAACCACCTCCTCCGTCAGCTCAATATCATACGCGCCACCGTCAACCACCTCACCCGCCACCAGCCTCCTCCTCCACGCCCACCACCACCGACGACTCCGAGGCGACAATCCATCCCGCCGGATCTGCTCCTCTACGCTAGCCTCCCCCAAAATCGCCTCTGCATGTAGACTTTCTATAGCATCTCTTAATTCATTCATAAAGGAACACAAGGACATCATCCATTGAGGCTCATTATTCCAACAAGGTTATTCTGCTTACTGCATAAGTTGTTAGTCAGTGGCGGATCCAGAACACAGAAGAGCACTGGACCACATTTTATTGGAAAATTAGAACCGTAAAAAAATATAATGATTATAGTTTTTTGCACTGTAAATTGTACACGACTGTATTTTAATTTAGGGAATGCAACAATAATGGAGTTTACATCCATACCAATAGTATACACTGTTTCAAATAAAATACTTGAGCAATCGGCGAGAAATTCATCGCTCATTTTGTTGAGCAAATCAGTTCTCACATGTTTCATTGTTGAAAAGGTTCACTTCGTAGTAGCTGTTGAAACAAGCAGCATCAACACTAGATAAATCAATCGACTAATCAATTTGCATTGTTTTTCTAGCCCTGCACACCAGCTGCTCTAGTAAATTTTGAAGGGAACAAACCTCATATTTCTTTTAGTCTTTTACGTTTTAAACTTTGTAGAGTTTTAGGTTTCATTGTTTTTTTTAGACACATAATCTTTGGGGCTAAAATTTCTAGGCTAAATTGAGAGTAGTGATTTGAATATGTTCAACAATATAATTTTTCTAGTTAAACCCAATCTTATCATAAAATAACACTGGGTCGAATATCTAAAATCGAAAATTTCATAAGGACTATACTAACTACGGATCCGGATGAGGGCTAGGCCGGGGCCGGGGTGGCCGGATAAAGTTAATCTGCTAACTTGAAAATTCGTTAGCAGATACTAACTGATATCCAAAATACATGAACTAGTATCCAAGTACTAAAGTATATAGAGAGCACAGACTAGTATTCAAAATTTAATAACTAATATCCATCATGAATCAACTATTATCCCAAATTCACAAACTAATATCTAGACAACACAAAATAGTATTCATACAACACATAATTAGTATCCAGATAACACATAAGAGTATCCAAATAACACATAAGAGTATCCATATTGAATACTAGTTGGTTGATTGTGGATATTAGTTGGTATCTGCTATCTGGATACTAGTTTGTGATGTTTTGAATACTACTCTGTGCTATCTAGATACTCAGCAGACTTGAATATTAGTTCATACATTTTGGATATTAGTTAGTATATACTAACGAATATTCAAGTTAGCAGAATAGGTCACCCCTGGATCCGCCAGTGTTGTTAGTATATACTAACTAATATCCAAAATGTATAAACTAGTATCCAAGTCTGTTGATTTTACCTACTAATATCCACAATCAAACCAACTAGTATTCAGCCAATCAATTACCAACTAATATTCACAATCATTAGTTGCACTGATCTATACGTTGAAAGAAATATCTTTCAATATATAACCATTACACAATTATTCATAAAATTAATCACCTATTCTATAAGAAATTTGTTCTTGATTCAAGTCAAAGTTGAAAAAAATTCTTGCAGTGTTTTTGGGTTGCAACTAGTACACTTGTTTAGAGTTTGCATGAAGTATGGATATATTGGGTTTCATTGCACTTTGTTTTAGTGTTACACATTTCATAAGAAATTACTAGTCTGTAGTGATAAATTGATAATACAAAAATCTTTTGGAAAATTGCAAACTACTTTTTGCTTTTGGATGCTGGTAAAAAAAAATTCAGAGTCTCTTTTACACACACTATGCGAAGCTAATGCTACTGCAGATGCAGTGGCAAAAATTGGGCCTGAATTTGGATATGGATAACGAATTCGGCCATCACCTGCTACGTTCTCCAACCAGGCACGTCCAGAAAATCACCATATATCTCTGGACCCATGCCAGTCCTTGCCAAATTGGGTAGCCCCAAGACCCATGTGTAATATAGAGAGAAAGCCCAAAATTCATCATTCTTCTGGCCCAGATCCATATAAACTCAATAGTCAATAGTAGTACACCAAATCTTAAAAGATAAGTACAACACCTACTAAAATTATGGGTGATGTATATTTTTTATAAAAAATTTTATAGATTTTTTTATATCATCCAAACATATTAAAATGCTATTAATTACTCAAATATTTTGCAACGCATGAAAATATTTGTCATATTTACGTTGTCAATAATTTTGTTAACTCTTTTCTTAGTTTAAATACTAAAATTTGGAATGTTGACCTTAATGTGTCTCTTTCAAGTCAGTATCATGTTGCCAAGTCAATATTATTAACAAAATTGTTAACTGAAAGTAACATTTGGCTAATTTTTAGTATTTCGATAGGTTTGGTTAATAAAAAAGAATTCGAAAAGGTTCGTTAATAAATAGTTATTACTCTAAAATTATCAAGGAGACAATTCATTGATTCAGCTCTGTAGAGTGTAGACCCTCTAGTTATGGTCATTTGGATGAGTTAATTGTCAATGTGGTATTTGTAGAGTCAAATACCTCATTTATTGTTCATGTGGTATTTCAGTGGTAACTGAAATAAAGTATCTTGTTTGGTTGAACCATGTAAATGTGGTATTTGACATGTGATATTTGGTAAAAGTATAATGGTAAAAATAGTTATTTCCAAAAAAAACACACACACATGGGTATGAGTTATTTTAAATAACTCGTTTTTACAAATAACTCATGGTACAAAGAACTAATTCCAGTAAAATGGTGTCAAACGAGTTATTCGTGTCCAAATCTTAACATATATTATGGCCGTTGTGGAGAAAGTTTTTGTCACGTAAGACAAAGAAAGCGCCACAATTTTCCATGTCATTTACGATTTTAAGATTTAAGTTATTAATTACATTAAAATAAAACTAAATAAACATGTGTATCAATCATCATGACCACAATTTGAACCATGACCTATGAGCTCAAACTATCATCATTTCAAGTGTTCAACTAGTAACTCAGTATGAATTATTTGAACTCAAATAACTCACAAACAACTCATACAAATACTCCATCCAACCGGCTCTAATTTCATGTTCATACCCTCATATTGACAGGATAACCTATATAATAGAGTTTAGAGCAAGGACATCATTTCAGTCTCAACTTCACCTCATAATTAATAACGAAGTCAAAAGCGTTGAATCATTATATTGCCGTTTTCTTTCACCAAAAATCATCACTTTCAAATTTACTATACATTCTTAATCATGATATAAACGTTGAAGTCCATCATCGACCATATATGAACAACTCCTTCAGGGGCCACTCTACAACCTGAATCAAGATACAAAAAGATAAATTTTCTTTTATTTTTGGTAAGTAAACACGTACGAACCATGAACAGTTAAAGTTGGCAGCTAAACACGTGGTAATTGGACTCGCCGTATTATTTGAAAACGATAGTAAAGGAGGGTTTACTGCTTTTGATATAACAACAATAACATAGAATTGCTATACAATTTGACCACCGCTTCTACTTCATTGCTGCTACTTAAAAACGAACCGACTTCCCACATCGCGATCGACCGGTGACAAATTGTCCACTTCCATTAATTAGTTCGCTACCTGTTTTCCACTTCTCGCCGGCCCTTTTAATTTTTTTTGGATGATAACAACAGCACTACGACTGTCCATCGTTCCCCCGTTTTCAAACTGAGTTGTCGACTTTTTATGGCTTATCTATGGGCAATTTTCAACTTGCACGCACATATCAGAAATCTGAAATTATTCAGTTTTAACTTTTAAGAAAATGGTGTTGAAATTGGCAAACTCGAGAAGCCGCATGCAGTTTCTAAATCACCAGAAACTTCAATGACATGTTTTTTGGATAGGCATGAGTCATGACCGGACTGTGGTGGTATAAGTACCGTTGTGTCGTAAATCTCAGAGTAAAGTTATTTGGATTGGGTTCCTGAATGTCATGGCAGGAACTATTTAGTTATGATAACTCGAATTGTTAGAAGATGTTCAATTACAAATCTTTTATTATTTACTAAAATTTGATTTACAATGAAATTGCTTTGAATTTGTCAAAAAAAAAAAATGAAATTGCTTTGAATTTCGAGTAAGAGTAAAAGGACCTCATAGTAAATCATCTCATCCAACATACTAAAGCTTCTCATATATATATATATATATATATATATATGGTGGCTACTTCGGTGCACCCACAAAAATGAGTGCATTCAATGCACCCAACTCTAAAAGTAGCCTTAAGACAACAAATTTTGGATTTTAATTGGTAACATTAGTCTGAAATGATGATAGAATATATGATCACAACTAATTAATCTATTAACCTAACCCCTAAGCCTTCAATTTTGAACACAAACCCAAATCCGGGGTACCGTATACCTTGAGTATGAAAACGCTATCTAGACCTCGAATTAGCAGGATTTTTGGGCATGATACTATACCCTAACCCTTAATGAGTGAACCCTAGGTCCTAATTATCTAAATCATAAACTATAAACCCTAAGATGGTGCATTGATTTTTTGCCTATATTTAGATGAATCATAACCGTCGATTATTGTTTCTAATTAAATTATCTTGGAGTATAAGATTTAGAGAATTAAGACTTAGATTTTGATCTTTATGGGTTATATTATAGTATCATGTCCGAAAGATCAGTCAATTCAAGCTCTAGATTGCGTTTTCTTACTTAAGGTGTGCGGTACCCCGGATTTCACCTTGGGTACCGTAGAACTCCCCATATATATCTTCACCTTGACTCCGATGTATCTCAGTCATCCAGGACTCCACTCAAGTTCAAGTATGACTACGCCTAATCGAAGTCGTTTTTCCTTCCTCGGCTGGCTTTAGTATCTCCGTATCGCCGACCACTATGTATTCAGTCTTGATTATATTTAATTATTAATGGGTCATGTATACTTTTTTTAAAAACATATATTGAAGAATTCAATTACATAATTTCAAAACCGAAAACCTTATACCATGTCGAAATATTATTCCTCGATATTGTAGAATGCACCATATGATATAAAAAAAAATGAATATAAATTACTCAAAAAGAAGAAAAAGATGGATGGGAAATCAATCAATTATGAAAGAAAACGAACCACAACAACTCTGGTTGACTTAAACAAACCGAGCTTAATTAGAGGGCACCTAATACTTTCAACGGGATATGTTTCCACCACAAATGCATACGGCTCACCGAACCAAACAAAAAAAAAAAACCCCCACCAAAAATATATGCTAGCTAGCTATTTGGTGGATGTGTATATTTAGGGACCAAAGATCACCTTTTCGAAAAAATACAAATATTAGGTGAATAATGTAAACGGAGACCCACCACCAATCACCATCGCAAACCACTACTAATTACCACACAAATTGTGCAAAACCACCAAAACGACACATTAATAGATAATCATACCGACACCTTTGCACCCATTACCCAAAAAAATGGCGGTGAGATAGACGCACAAAGCATCCACACCACCACAACCATTATCCATAAATACAAGCATCCATGTCCAACATTGGAGAGTATTAACACAAAAATTACCAACCAACCTCCAAATCCACATTCCTCACTCTCCACATAACAACTTTCCTTCCTTTAGCATCACGAAAAAGAAAGATATGAAGGTGAAAGTAGAGTCCACCACCACTCTCAAACCAACTTACGAATCCACCACACGTTCTCCTCCTCCTTCAACCCAAATCCCACTCAGCGTCTTCGACAAGGTCACCTACGCCACCCACATCGCCGTCATCTACGCCTACCGTCCACCCACGCCGTCAAACTCCAAGATCAAGCTCGGCCTCCAGAAGGCTCTAGCCGAGTACCGCGAGTGGGCAGGACGGCTAGGGCACGACGAGAACGGAAACCCCGTCATCCTCCTCAACGATTACGGCGTCAAGCTCGTCGAAGCCAGCACCGACACTCGTCTCGATGAGGTCATGCCCTTGAAGCCATCTCCTCTCGTTCTCAGCCTCCACCCTGCCTTAAACGACGTCGTGGAGCTCGTCCAGGTCCAGCTCACGAGGTTCAGCTGCGGCTCCCTCGTGGTCGGATTCACCGCTCATCATCTTGTCGCGGACGGTCATTCCACCAGCAACTTCCTCGTTGCATGGGGAAGAGCGTCTCGCGGGCTCGACGTGGGCCCACGACCTTTCCATGACCGTACCATCTTCACTCCTCGAAATCCCCCCATGTTCGAGTACGAACACAGAGGAGTGGAGTACTACGGTCATGATCATCGTTCTCGTTGCAGAACGATCTGCAACGAGAACGATCATGATTCTCTCGTGGACGATATCGTCATCCACAAGGTTCATTTCACGCTGGATTTTTTATCCAGGCTGAAAACGAGGTGCGCGACCAGCAACAACAAGGCGTACAGCACGTTCGTGTCGCTGGTGGCGCACCTCTGGAGGGCGGTGACCAAGGCTCGGGGCCTGGGCGGGTTCGAGACGACCCGGATCCGGATCTCGGTCGACGGTCGGGCCAGGATGGTCAACCCTAGGGTTCCCAACGAGTACTTCGGCAACTTGGTGCTGTGGGCGTTTCCCACGTCGCGGGTGAAGGATTTGCTGAGGGAGCCGCTGCCCTACGCGGCGAAGCTGATACACGACGCCGTGGCGGGGGTCAACGACGGGTACTTCAAGTCGTTCGTTGACTTCGCGAGTCATAGGGTTGACGAGGAAGGGTTGACCCCCACGGCGGAGATGAACAAGGCCGTGCTGTCCCCGGATCTGGAGGTGGACAGCTGGCTGAGGTTCCCTTTTTATGACCTGGATTTCGGCGGCGGGTGTCCGTACGTGTTCATGCCGTCGTTTTTTCCGACGGAAGGGATGATGTTCCTGCTGCCGTCGTTCATCGGCGACGGGAGCGTTGACGCGTTCGTGCCGCTTTTCAGGGATAGTTTGGACACGTTTAAGGAGGTCTGCTACTTGCTGGAATAAAGGTCAATTGAATTAATTACCACGCGGGCGGAAGGTCGACGTGTTTTATTCCGCGCCATGCATATTTTGTCGTTGTGTTTTTGTCGTCATGTGGTCTTTTTTCGGACATGTTTCTATACGTCTATATATATATATATACTTGTATGTAATTTTTGTTTTCATTATGTTAGCTGTGGTGGGAGAAATTAGAGCCGACTGTAGCATGGGAACAGAATGAAAATACGCGCATTCAAGTTGTTACTTACATGAGTGATATATAGAAGGTCTCTTTTCAATTCGATTGAAGAGACCATTGCAATACTGTAGTGTGGAGAAAAGGTGGTGATGATTAGAGAACATTACAGAAGAAACTTGTATTAGGTATGGATTGTGTTTTATATTTGCATATGGTGCACCATTATTTTTTTTTTGTTTTTGATAATGGTGAAAAAATTAATAAAATTAATGGTGGTGCACCAATAATTTTTTATATATATATTTTGAAACGAAAATGTCAGTATTTGTTAGTATGCAGCATAAGATTTATAGTTGAACTTCTCCCAACAACTTGAGTAATTGAGACCGACGGTTTCTTGATATGGTATCAGAGCCTTTTGTGATCGAGAGATCTTATTTTTGAATTTTGATGACACCAGTTTATAAAGTATTATACAATTTGATGTTTGTGCAAATTTCAAACTCGTGTAAGGATTTGAGTTTAATAAAAATATATGATTGGAGTGGACATTGGTGGTACTATGGGAGAGAGTCGGTCAATTGGAAGAAATAACTAGGAAAAGTCTTATTTAGAGCTCTCAACAAATTTTCATAGAAGTAGGAATAACTTAGTGGGGTCATTTGGATGCAGGTTTTGGGTGTGGGATTTGGGCACAATCCCACATAGTGCAGGATTTTAATCAAAATCACTCATTTGGAAAGCCTTAATACGATGAGAGATTTTAAACATTAGGGATTTCAGAAACCCACAATTGTAGGATTGTGAAATAGCTGATGGCCATCAGCTATTTTGAAATCCCACAATATTTGGTCATTTTGTTCCGTAAATGCCCATGCTCTTTTTGTGCTAATCCAACTTTACCCTCCTCATTCTATTAACCTATCCATCAACCCATTTGCCTGTCGTCACTCTCAACAGAAGACAGGAAGCTCAACGAGCTTGTGGCAGCTGAAGCGACCACATCGGCGGCAACGAAGCAGCAGTCCGACGATCGAGTAGCAGAGGCGGTGGGTCTGCTAGCTCAACTCGTTTCAGGTTAGTTGCTCTTCTTCGGGTTACAATCTGGATATTTAGGGTTCTGTTCTTGCGTGCTGTCGGCTTGGGTTTGTGGGTTCTGCTTGGGTTTTTGCGTGCTGTCGGCTTCTTCTCCCATCAATTTGTACTGCTGGTTTGTGGGTTACCTGTGTAGAACCCATACCCTCGTCGGAGCCATGTTGGGACGGGAAAGTAACGGAATACACCCAAATTTATAAATGGGCTTTCAATTACGATCAGTTCTATTTGGCTGGGATGGGCAAAGAAAGCATGTTCATATATTTGTGCGCAGGTTGTTGTCTTGCTGACCATACCCATTAATTCATCCAAACCTACAATGAGCCAAATAATCTGATCAAACAAATAAACCATTTCATTTACCCTTTCTCTTCTTTGAATTAATTTGTTGTTGTTTGATTCCATTTCATTTACCATTTCATTTGCATGTTGGCTTTGGAGATGACGAATGTAGAACGGCGCCCTACCGACGATGAACCTGTGACCGACGAACGGCGGCAGCTGCTGTCCTCCAGAGCGCAGTGAAGGAAAGAATCGACAATGGTGAGAAGAAACCCTAGTTGTGATCGAGAAAGAAGAAATAGCAGCAGTGAACGGCCAAATTTGGGCCCTTGTACAAATAAATAGGGAAGGTTAATTATGTAATCTTGCATTCTCATTTTATAAATGCCACGTATGTTCCCAAATGTGTGATTTGCCTAAAATTCCACACCAAATTCCACAAATTAAAAACCTGGGTTTTTTAATCAGTCATTTGAGCCAAAATCCCACAAATTAAAAACCTGCATCCAAATGACCCCAGTATAGTTTTAATTTTTAGAATTATTCACAAATCAAATATGTTCGTTTGAACTGTGTTTATAAGAGACTTGAGTCATATCTTAAGATTGTTGTGCAAAGGAATCAAGTCAAAGTGTATTAAGCATGTGTTGGATTTGGCTCTTCGCGTGGCTGGGAGGCGGGACTAACCAGAATACACCATATGGACTTATATATATCGAGAATACACGATTTTATAATAAGTTTCAGAAGAAAGCAGAAGACTTCGTAGTCTTATTTAATTTCTCCCCCAGATAGCTCTAATTAAAGGTTCCTTTTTCCCCCGTTGAATTGTTCCTTATTTCTCCCCCAGATATCTCGAAGGTTCCTTATTTTATATATACTAGGTAGATTATGTACCGCACTTCATTGTCGCTTTTCATAGAATTAGAAGTATTGTTTGCTAACCTGTATTTGATTTTTGACTGTGTTTGGTAGTCGTATAATATAAACTCCTAACGAAATATAACTTGATAGGTGATTTTAGCTATATGTAATGATTTAACCACGACTGAACTACAATTTTAGGATAAAATGTCCTCAGTCTATCTTTACTGGTACGACTTTCGGTATGGTTTTACAATTTTTGGTATTTTCTCAATACACATCAAGGCTCGGGTTGGAGCAACGTGTAAAGCCTGATTTAACTACGAATGAACTATGATTTTAGCACAAAATATCATAATGCTAACTTTATGGGTACGAACTTCGGTGTGGTTTACAATTTTTGGATTTTCTATGTACATCGAGGCTCGGGTTGGAGCAACATTTCAAGCCTGATTTTAACCATGGTTAAACTACGATTTTAGCACAAAGTACTCTAATGCTAACTTTTTCGGTATGATCTAAGGAATGGTTTTACAATTTTTGGTTTTCTGAACATAAATTGATGCTCGGGTAGGAGCAACTGGTCAAGTCTGATTTAACCATAGTTGACTTACAGTTTTAGCACAAAATACCTTAATTCTAACTTTTTTGGTATGACATTCAGTATGGTTGTACCATTTTAGGTTTTTTCTGAATATAAATCGAGGCTTGGGTTGGAGCAATGTGTCTAGCCTGATTTAACCATGGTTGAACTACGATCGTACCGTAATGCTAGTCCAATAGAAAAACTACTAACGGAATCTAAATCGGTAGGTGATTTTAGCTGTATGAAATGATTTAACTGTGACTGAAGTACGATTTTAGCACAAAATGACATAATGCTAATTTTTTTGGTACGACCTTGGGTATGATTTTACAATTTTTCTATTTTTTTTATGAAAATGCATCGAGTCTCGGGTTGGAGCAACGTGTCTAGCCTGATTTAACCACTATTTTAGCACAAAACACCTTAATGTTAACTTTACCTGTACGACCTTTATTATGATTTTACAATTTTTTTTCTTTTCTCAACATAAATCGGGGCCCGGGTTTGAACAACGTGTCAAGCCTAATTTTAATTTTTAACCATGATTGAATTACGATTTTAGTACAAAATACTCTAATACTAACTTTTCCGATAAGATTTAGATTACTTTTGATAAAACTCTAAAACATGGCCAACTCTCATCATCAATTAGCCAAAACTAAGAAGAAGAAATAATAATTATCACTGATTATAATATATCCATAAACATAAAAATTCTAAAATCCCCAAACCTCCCTTAGACCGCCGACTTCCCCAAACCTAAACATATTTTATGTAAAAATCCCACCGGAAATGCCATGCTACGGTGATAAGTCCCGCAGGTCATTAAAAAAAGAATGACAGTGGTGCAAAATATAAAAGCTCTTAAACAACAGTGTGATAATCACACTGTAGCTTTAATTATATTTAGGACAGTAACACAGCATTGCTTCAAATAAGATTGACAAAATTATGTTATTACTAAACTGATCAGTGGCACTTATAAATTAAAAGAAAATAACCGACAACATGCCAGTCTAGCTAGTTCTAGTCACACATATCTAATATCCTATAGGCATGTCAACTTTTTGGTCGACTGTTTGGTCGATAAAGATCATTCCCGACCCGATTGCTTGGTATATATCCATCAGACTTAATTATTTGATCGTCATTCGTAATTTTTCCATTTTTAGCTTCGTAAGAAGTTTTACCGTCGTCTATTTGATTGTGGAATAAGAGGCAACGATACTTGCACTCATTTTATCACACACACACACACAAAAAAAACAAACAAATCTTTTCAATCTTATGATTCGTGTTTCTTCCCAAACATATAATACGGACATGACCAGCAGAACATGGAAAAGAGTCGACAACCGTATATAAATATATGCTTAATTATCAGCTTATGTATAGCTAGGTAGTTTCCAACTTTCCATATAATATATATAATGCAAGGGAAATGACAGAGCTTATATATAATTTCAAACTAACCACTACATTTTTTTCTATTGAGTACTACAACCCACGATCTAACCACTAGCTTAATTTATAGTAAACGTATATATGTGTACTATTATGAGCTCGCTAGCTAGCAAGTACTATTATTATCCTCATCACTCTCTCTCTCTCTCTCTTTCTCTCCGTATAATACCTCCTCACCAAACACGTATACGTACCCTAAACAAACCCTAAACAATAATATCATCATAGAAACACCGCTTGAACGCCTCCATATGGTCAACCCTCAGGCAAATGGCGAGCACGATGGAACCATCCCCATCCTGACTTTGCAACAGCATCGTGTCGCCGTCGAACTCATGGGTCGAACCCATGTACACCTCCTTCCCGAACCCGAAATCCAGCCCTAGCAACGGCAGCCTCAGCCAGCTGATCACACCCAGGTTCGGCATCCCGAAGAACGGCCCCTCGTCGTCGTCCTCCTCCTCGCCATCGTGGAAGTCCTGGTATCAGAAGGGATATTACAAGTTATCGTCAAGACTCAAACCAGCGACAATGAATGTCAAAGTGAATCGACAAAATCTAAAGAAAATTATCATCGTCATCATCCAGTTTAGTTTAATGTCGATGTTCAGTTTCAGACTTTAATTTGAGTTGTTAAAGTGACTCAAACCCAAACGTCTAGGGTTTCAATTTCACAACTCATCATCTTTGTCGTTACCTGGAACTCGGTCAAGTCTGGTTGGTTCTTCAGGTAGTCGATGGCCGAGGTCAGGAACTCGCCGTCGGCCTTCTCCACTGCCCTCCTTATCTTCCCGGCCGCGTAACCTAGAGGTTTTGTGATTAGGTCGGCGGAACGGCTCACGGCCTTGATGTCGAGCACCGCGTTGCCGAAGTAGGCGTTGGGTAGAGGAGGGTTCATGCGCCGGCGTGAGTCGACGCAGACGCCGACGGAGGTGAGTTGTTCGGGTTTGAGTTTTCTGGCCTTGCATGCGCACCTCCAGATGTGGGCGGTTAGGGTTTCGTAGGTGGAGTATGGGCGGTGGTCGAAGGTGGTCTCGTTGGCCATGTCTTTCAGCATCTGGACTTTGGTCTTGGTCATCTTCAGTTTCGCCACCTTCGTTTCGTAGTGTGGTTTGTTTCCTGCAGAAAAATAATGGGAAAACTTTAGGTTATGTTTGTTCTACTATTTAAATTATGAAACTTAATTTTATGTAGGAAAATTGCAAAACAATATATTTTGTATTCAACTATCATTTGTTCGTAACAACTCAAATGGTTGTGATCTTTTCACGAGATAAAGATATAGATTTTGCAACGTATTAACATAATGAAGAAGAAGAAAAAAAATCCTTGCTTTATCCCTTTTTTCTTTTGATAAGTCGAAAAACCCTTTGTTAGTTGTCACTCATGGTAATACTATATACCTTTGTTATTGGAGCAGCCGGCCTCGGGGAGAAGCGCCGGCGGGCGCTGGAACTCAGCCGGATCAAACCTCGGATGCCTACTCACCGCCGCCGGCTGGCCGGCTCGGAGAACCTTCCGATCGAGAAACGGCACCATCCCGATCCCCTTGCCACGTGCCACCCGGGCCCACTCGTTGAAGAAATGGAGCGCGCTGAGCCCGTCCACGACAGCATGGGAGATGTTGAACCCGAGCCCGATCCCGCCGCACCTGAACTTTGTCACCTGCACCAACAACAGCGGCCACTCGCCGATCGGGCGCGTGTAGTCAACCTCAGGGATCAGCGGCTGGAAATCCGTGCAGCTGGACAGGTCCTCGTCGCCGCCTAGCTCGTCAAGCGACGTCGTCTTAGCTTCCGCCTCGATGAACCGCACCCCTAGCCCGTTGCAGTCCAGGTCGAACCGGCCTCCATGGATTGGTTCGAGCCGGCCCGCCAGCGGGTAGAAGGTGACCAGGGTTCGGGCTAGCGAGTCCTTGAGGTGGTCGAGGAGGTTCGGGTGGGAGGTGGAGGGGGTTGATTTGTAGAAGTAGACCGTCGGGACGTGGGTTATGGCTCCAATCATGTCCCATTCGGAGAGGGACATCCGGCCGGACCAAGTCCGTTCGGCCGGTTTGACCATAATGGAACGGTTTATAGTAATACTAGTAGGAGTAGCCATTGGTTTGGTTTGGTTTGGTTTGGTTTGGTTTCTTTGGGTGGGAGGGAGAGGAGAATTGGGTAGCTAAGAAAGAGATGGATGTGATGTTGTGAAGCTGCGAATGGGAAGTGGGTGTTTGGGGTGTTTGTCTATTTATAACGATGGTTATACGTTAAGAAATTGGGTTGTTGAGTGGCAATATTTTTAATGGACTAATAATGCAATTAAGTCATCTAAACCGAGTAAATTGAATTGAATTGAATTATGAGGAAAATGGAATTGTTGTTTACTAATATAGTCAAGTTTGAGAAATTAATTATTAATTTTGGGGATGGTGGACTGACTGAGGTTAACATATAGGATTTTGGGTTGAGGTCTTTCATTACCTTGAGAAAGGAATTCAAATGCCAGTTTGACTCCTGTCACATGTAAAGTGATAAAGGGCCAAAATTGGCAAGGACAAATAATAATAATAATTAATAGAGATATAACAGGGGGAAAGTTAGGCTTGAGTGGGGTTTTGATTGTATAGTGTGGTTTGTAATTTACATGACATGAATTTTAAGGTTCATAATTTATATTATAAATCAACTTGTATTTATTTTATATAACATAAAACCGTGCATAAAATCTTCCATGGGTTGGTTGTTGTGGAAACTTTGGCTGTGGTCCATTTAGGACTTATAATTTCAAGTAAATACAACAGTTTATGTCCAATTTGGATCCTTTTAACTTTATCAAAACTGGAGGATCCAAGAGATTAAAAGCACCTATACATGTTGGAACATAACCAGCTACCTTATGCCCATGATTTCCGTTTAATGTTGAACTTTTCTGAACAAGAAGTTGATCTAGTGATACTACTACTGGTATTGAACTTAAAGGTTTTATGTTCGAAACTCATGAGTAATACCTTATAATGAAAAATAAACCAATAACACTCTTAACTTTAAAACAAATTCTGAACCTTGATGAAATCAATCTTGGAGATTTCAGACTGTACTAGATTGGAAAATTCAACCCGGTAGAAATTTCAACTTTTAACATTTGATAATTGTATACAAGTGCATCAAATCTCTATATATATTGGCCCTTTGTTCTCTATTACACATAGTGTAGTTCATCCAAACCTTGCTTAATTATAGGTTATGGTTGAGTCAGATGTTCAAAAAATTCAAGTTCGAAATATTTCAACGTGACAACTGAAGAGAGGACTAAGACCTCACTAACTACTTTGTTTATGAAATTTATAACTAAATTTTACAGTACTTCATTAATTCACCTAGAGGTACATATCTAGTCCGGTCAAATTATAATTTATAACATACAATTCAATATTAGCCGTTGATTCGAATGCCATATTAGATTGTTTATTAAATCATAACAGGTGGACAATCTTTCATAATATATAATGTGTAAAACAGAAGTATAACACTCATAACACGACTCAAATTAATCGATCAATTATTCAGTCACCCATTGCACTATTTTGCATAACATAGTGGCGCGAAACCATAATTTAGAGTGAGCAGAGACTAAAAATAACTAATGAAAATAATTTCCCACGGTTGAACCTAAATCCGGCTAATAGCTCATATCCTAAAATTTTTTCTTTTCAAAATACGAATACACAAATTATACTCTTACATAAAAAAATTGAAAGAAAATTGTAGCCTCTTTTGAACTACACGTAGCTCTACCGCAAACTTAACAAATAATTATTGGGGACTTCCTACGGTAACTTTAATATAATTTCCATTATAAAAAAAACCTTAATATAATTTCAATTTATGTAACTTGCATTGGATGTATTTGCACTGTTAAAATAAACTAAAATACTATAGTCATTAGGACCGGATACTTTGGAAATATCGTGCATGTAGAATATTAATTAGGACCTAATTTTACTGAGTAGCTGGTAAAGGCCGCCACTCTGGCTAATTGCCATGCCCATGCATGCACGATATTGCCACATTTTGGTGGAATAAAGCCCAAAAGTATATGCACACGTTGCCTAATTCCGGCCGCCCACAATCACTTAATCATTTATCTCATCCACTTCGGTGGATTAATATATATCTTAATAATGTTAGCTTCACGTTTCTATTTTCAGTGGGATTATTACGGCGTCTACGTATAATTTATAGGATTTACCGTTGCAAAAGGCAGGTATATATATATATACATGCTCCAATGCTATAATATATATGCCGCCGGCCGCCGCCGGGGGCCTTAATTGATTGCCAGTCACGACCATTAATTTTCCGGTGCATGCATATACATGCACTTGAAGCTGCATCAGTACTTGCCTTTAGTCTTTAGTCTTTACTCTGGCCGCCCACGGGCCACGACTATTTGTTCTTATAATTTATCTAGCTACTTCACTTTTCTCTTGCTTTAGTACTACGTTTTTCTAGTGATTATCTCTTGCGAATAGATTCGCCACGTTTTTATTTGGAAGTGCGGTTTGGATATTAAGATACATTAACTACTGTAACAAGTTGAGGGTAACGGGGACACAATGGGTCAATTCTCAAAAGGAATATTCCCGTGGTGTAATTCGGGATGGTGGAAAACGACAAAAGTTAAAAGGGGTAGTTGATATATTATGTTATCCAAGTTGGTAACCTTTTTTTTTGTTTCTTCTTCTTTCTGATCAATTGGTTAGGAGGCTGGCTGATGCCTAATTACTAATTAGAGTACTAAGGTTGGAGTGCATAACCTAGTTTCACATTTCTATGGAAATAATTGAAATTTGATAGGATTATTTTGTGAATACTCTTTGCCATCGTCAACTAATCTTGTAAAATTACAGCAATTCGAATATACATTTAATAATTAACAAGGATTAAAAAATGATAGATCGGCGCGAATCAGTCTGTATTACAATATTCAGTTCTATACCTCCTTCTTAACATGAAGGTCGATAATGTAGATGATCATCGTAAGTTGATGATCAACATGGTGAGTCATGGAAAGTTGTAGCCAGACCATGTTTCTCTCTTAGATTTATATTTATGGGGGAAAACAAGATATGGTCGGTAGCATCCCATTTTCTTCTACCAATATCGATTCTTTTAGGCTAACTAATACCCAATAGAAAGTGTTTATTATTTTAGCGTAGCTAGCCAACTCTTCTTTTTAATCTCCCAAAATTTGAAAAGATCGGCATTGAATTGGGATAAGGCCGGCTACAGAGTTGATATACTCGGTTCTTTCTTTCCCAATTTATTTAGCCAATAATTGAACTGGAGCAAGTGGAATATAATTCTCTCTGTTTGAAATTTAGGTTGGAATGGATCTAATAATCCTTACAGTTGCTATGTAGCACAGCAGCAAGCAGAAAGAAAGATGGAATTTGTATTTCCCCTGCTGCAGCTGGGACAATTTTTTTCCTAGCCTTGCTCTTCGATTGTCTTTGCATGGAATTATTAGTAATAATATGCATGTTTTTATTTTAGATATCTTGCAAGTTTGATTTAGTCTACCGTTTCTGGCAGAAGGTTCTTCCAGAGATGAAACACATGCACGCACTTAATTGAGAGGAAGGTCGTTGCATGTTGTTGTAGAGAAGTTTCCTCAGTATAGATAGATAGCCAGAGCATGGACAAAAATAGATGACATCACTGCTGATGTGCTGATTATTATTATTATTATTTTGTTAAAAGATATTCCGAAATCGAAATGGAACAAAAATTGTATCTAAATGATAGTGTGTAGGGCTGCAAATGAGCCGAGCTGTTCGCGAGCGGCTCGGCGTTCGACTCGAGAAAAGCTCGTTCGAAACTCGACTCGTTAATAGACAAGCCGAACACGAGCTCGCCTTTGTTCAGCTCGTGAAGCTCGCGAGCTAGCTCGACTCGGTGGCTTGTTGAACTAAACTCGTGAGCTGGCTCGTTTAGAGCTCATGATATGTCTTAACATGTGGTTAGAGAGCCAACTCGATTACCAACTTATGGACGAATCAATCTATATCTTATGATTTTAATTCATATGGTTGTTAAATTATATATCTTGCCATATATAAACTTTAACACGTTGAGTATGTGAGAAAATATATCTTAGTTTTATACTTTAAAAAGAAATTATGCATCATAGATTGCTTCGATACTATGAAATAACATGATTTGGAGTAGTTAAAATTTATTAACTAAATGATATATGATATCAACAAAGTATAATATGAGATTAGCTAACAAAATAGATCATATGTATCATGATATACAAAATGAAGTACCAAATAAAATTTAAGGTTTTAATAAACAAGCTAGCTCGAACTCGACTCGGCTCGTTAATAAACGAGATGAGCTCGAAATAGACTCGTTTATTAACGAGCCGAGCTCAATCTAAGTAAAACTCGACTCGGCTCGGCTCATTTGCAGCCCTATAGTGTGTAGATATTACCTACAGTAGAATAAATGGAATGAGGCACAAAATAAAAAATAAACGGGTTGGGTTGGCAAAGATCCAAACGGCGAGTATTAGTAAATGTGGCCCAGTAGAAGAGCTGAAGACGTATATGAGTACCAGCAAAGGGCCTATCCGAAACTGAAAATTATGGGCCAGCCCAGAAAATTTATCCGGCCCGTAGCAAATTGATTAGGTATTCGAGTGTGATCATTCGCGACGAAAAATCTGCCACTGAAAACGGCCGAATGTGCACACACTGGTACTTCATAACGTAAACTTAATATTAGCAATCAACAAGATACATTAACTTGCAAAACATTATTGCAAGCTAAGTTATTAAGATAATTTCACATTACAAACACTTAAAACGATCGTTTATCGACCCACATTTAAAATCATTAGAGAATCCAATCACGACTCACACAATTTTCCCTTTCAACTCATATCACTGAATCGACTTCTCAGACGATTATGTCATCATAAAACAACCGCTCAAACTCGTCCACATGGTCCGATCTGAAACAGATCGCGAGCACAACCGACCCATCTCCATCCTGACTGTGTGACAGAGTAGCGTCGCCGTCGAAATCAAACGTCGTGTCCATATAAACCTCCTTCCCGAACCCGAAATCCAGCCCAAGCAACGGCAGCCTCAGCCAGCTACTCACCACCAGATTCGGCATCCCGTAAAACGGCTCCTCGTGATGCTCACCGTCATCCCTAACGCCGTCAACTTCATGGGAGTCCTGGAACTTGGTCAAGTCCGGCTGGTGCTTCAAGTACTCAACGGCAGAGCTCAAGAACTCGCCGTCCACCTTCTCCACCGCCTCCCTTATCGTCTCCGCCGCGTATCCTAGCGGCTTGTTCACGAGGTCGCCGGAGAGGCTTATCGCCTTTACCCCGAAAACGGCGTCGCCCAAGTAGGCATCGGGCAACGGCGGGTTCAAACGTCGGCGCACGTCCACGTAGACGCCAACGGCGGTGGGTTGGTTGGGTTTGAGTTTTCTTGCTTTGCAAGCACACCTCCATGTGTGTGCGGTTAGGGTTTCGTAGGTGGAGTACGGTCGATTAGGGTTTCCTTTGTTCGCCATTTCCTTCAAGAGCAGTAGTTTCGTTTTGCTTAGCTTCAGTCTCGCCACCGTGATCTCGTCGGACGGGCCTCCGGCTCCGTTACCTGATTCATGCAATTCAGCACAAGCGAAATTTTTAATGAATTGTCGTGAAAACTTGGATAATCGAATGGTCTTATTATTGTTTTTGGAAAATGTTAGAATATGTAATATTCTATTGAGAAATGTATAATACGTTTTTAAGTACTTTACATGCAATTAGTGACTCCAATTCTATCACCTTGGCTACTACCATTGATGTTTTCGATAATAAAAAATTCCTATTATGCTACAAACAAAATTAGTACCTTTACCTTTAACGTTTTGGTAGAAACTCGATTTGTACAAACCGAACTTCTTTATGATACAAACAGATTTTGTGCATTTAACGTTTTGTTACAAACTCAGTTTGTACAAACCGAACTTCTTTATGATACAAACAGATTTTGTACCTTTTACGTTCTAGAACAATTTCAAATTGTATTTATACATTTTTGACAAACTTCTTTATGATACAAAATGAATTTTGTATCTTTGACGTTATGATACAAACTCAATTTGTATCGAAATTAAATAACCGCTTGAGCATTGTAACATTTATTGACATAGAAAGATGCATATATTGGTTTAGCTATCAATTAACAATTAAATAGAGAAGAGGCTACATCAAAGACCGAGTCTAATCCATCCATCATCCTCAATCGATCGTCATAATCTACAATCAGCCACAATTAATCATTCTTGTGCTGGTTGCAACTAACCAATACATGTTACAGACGCCAAGTCATACAGTGCAGCTAGCAAGATGAGATATAATGGACGTCGTTGTTGTAATGTACGCAACATGCAGTCCGTAGATAATCAACTGATTAAACTATGCATTTAAGATTCTAACACGAAATTAGAACAAATACTAGGTATTTATTAGCCAACCTATTCCAACAACCAGGTTTAAGGCGTACGTAGAGCTATTTTTAGCTACGTGAATTAATAATGCATTAATATATAATGAAGTTTCTCGTGGAGGACACCAACTACAAGGACAATCGAAGATTAGTGACTAATGAGGCTCCTTAGCAAATAAGTACAAGATTATAGTATACCTTCCCGGTATCGATATGTACTAATCTACCTTGACCCCGTATATATACTGCACGATAAATAATTATCGCCCTACGTAACAATTAGTTTTGTATCAGAATCTTTACCGGACGAAATAGACTGATATATAATATAGTTTCTCATTTGAGTATAACTCCATATTCAATACTAGTAACGATAAATAACAATGGCTGGATTTCTACCTTGGATATTTTGTTAAACGAGTGAAGTCTGCACAGATTAAAGTTGAAAAAACACAAATAATAAAACAATTTAACCATTATAAAAAAAGTAAGTTTTAGATTTTTCCCTTTTACGTATTAGATTCAGACTGATGTTATCGACGTCAACTTACCATTGTCATCGGTGCAACCTACGTTAGGAAGCATCACCGGCGGGCGCTGGAACTCCGCCGGATCGAAGCTCGGCTGCCTCCCAAGCGGCGGCTCCCCAGCTCTCAAAACCTTCCGGTCATGAAACGGCATCGTACCTATCCCTTCCCCACGGGCCACGCGGGCCCACTCGTTCAAAAAATGAAGCCCACTGAGCCCATCCGCAGGAATATGTGACATGTTGAAACAAAGACACATCCCGCCGCAACCGAACTTGGTGAGCTGGACAAGCAGCAGCGGCCACTCCTTCATCGGAAGCGCGTAGTTCACCTCGGGAACCAAGGGCTGGAACTTGGTCCCGCTGCTACGCGCCAAATCGCCAACCCCTAACCCTTCCAACGACGCCGTTTCGGCTTCCGCCACGATGAACTCGACTCCCATGGCGTTGCAGTCCAGCTCCAGCCGGCCGCCTCCTATGGGGTCGAGCCGGCCAGCCAGCGGGTAGAACGGGACCAGCGTCTGGCTCAAGGCGTGGCGGAGGCGGTCCACGAGGACGGCGTCGTTTTGTGGGACGGTGGGCTTGGCGTAGAAGTAGAGGGTGTCCACGTGGCTTATGGCTCCGGTCATGTCCAGCTCGGAGAGGGACATTCGGCCCGTCCAGGTTTGGGCCGACGGTTTCACGATTGTCGAGCTCTTGATCGTAATGGCGAACTTGGCCATTTTTTTGATTTGGTTTGGTTTTTAGTATTGATGGTTTATGAAAGATGTGAATATGAAAGGAAATGGGTTTTTGGGTATATATAGGCAGAGAGGTGGGTTTGCTTCTGTTCGATTCCCGACACAAATTTCCTTTTCATATATAAAAAGAAAGGAGATACGAAATTACGAATAATCTAAATAAGCTGATGTTCAACTGATCTTCTCCTGAGTTGACCAAGCGCAAGTACGCAACCACATAATTAATACGCCACTACTTTGTAGTGTGTATAGCTCAATTTGCGTCTTCAAAATCAATTTCTCAATCAAATTTTATAAGAGAAGGGTCGTGATATGATCATATTCATATATCTTCGAGTTTATTGGGATCTTTAGAAAAATTTAATAATTCTAAACTTGTATTTAATAAATTTTGGGTTTATTGGGGTCCTTACATGATCTAAGATCAACGAGAGTATGAGATCCTATACTTGAAAATCATACTAAACCCTGTCTATTTAAAGGATTTTATAGCCCAATTTTTTACCAAGGACCCCGCGCCCCACTCATCACTATCTCCCTCCGCCACTGGATGTGAATGCGAAGTTGGAAATGGGTTTGGACAGAATTATCGTCTCGAGATGGAGGGTTAGTACTATAGATGCGTATCCTTTTATTTGTTGATTTTCGTATAGTTTTTTTTTTTTTGGTAAGGCGAGCGAGGGATCATTTTCGATTAAAGTTATGTAAATTGTAATAACCATGGTTAAGGACGGTATAAGTGTGGATTACGGTATACAACTTGGCTATTATACTACTAGTCGTGAATTTGAAGATTTTAAATTCTAATCTTTTCAGTAGCACCTAACTATAAAATTCAACTCATATCATCCTTATAAAAAAAAAGTTATTTCTGTATAGATATAATATAATATGTCTCATTATTATGTATATTTTTCAAACATGTTTCTATATTCTATTTTACATCAATCATTAACATATACCAATATACGGTAGAAAAATAACCAAACACGCCCAAATACCAAACAACACCTTAGCTTCCCTCTCTTGGGCACATACGTTATCAAGTACACATTTTCTAAACCTGATTTACAAAAATATTTCAGTAAATAATCTATTGTAGTTAGCAAGCGAGACGATCGCCTCTAGAACAGAGCAAAAACGAAGGATCAGTATATAGTATATACTATGCTATATAATACGAAACGGCGGTTACGAAACTGCAACTGATTAGTACCTTAATTTAACTTCAACGGCTTATTAATATATCATCAACGACTTGATCTCACGGCCGATGGGAATGGTTAAGCGACTCGAGTTCATCTAGAGGGTCTGCTACCGCCCATGGTTTTAGAAAGTTTTCAAGCTACCATGAACCCTTGCATTATCATGAAATTGACAGTTTTCTAACTACGCGGACAGTGGGGTAATTAAGATTTTTTTTTTTTAATTTTATAAATCACCTGTATTATTTCATTATTGGGATATAGTACAGGAATTTGTTTGTAATTGAGAAACTGGAAATATAGGTGGTCTGGATTGCCACATCTCAGTTGCATCCACTTTATTCTAGTCAATTGAATATTGCTTCCCCTTCATCAAAAAAAAAAAAAAAAAAAAAACCCCAAGTAATTGTAGACAGATCAAGGTACTGATTCATCGAACAACCACATGGAATTTTGGATAAATTTACAAATACAGATTGGTCAAGCCTCTATGAACAAAAAAAATTGAGAAATCTCCACCAAGTAACAATTAAGTTAACCAGCAAGCAAGGGCCTGAAAAGGACAGCGTACATTAGTTAGACCAAATCTTATTAACAAAAACATTAATTAAATGTGTCATTGATATGTAATTGGCCAGCTGCTATGGATAATTGGATATTCCAACATACACTCCTTCCAATAATTAATATTCAGAGTTTTCCCAGCTACTTAATTAATAACCCAACAAGAAACTTTATCCACTATTTTGATGAAACATTTTAATAATAGTAATAATTCAGCCATTCGAAAACGTTTGGCAATGGTCTTGTTGAATGTTGACTTCATTAGAAAGCGTTTATTAGCCGCCGTTTGCGTAATTAGTTTTCCATGAGCCTTTGTTACACAGGCCATCTGCCTCAGTACTTGGTGGTGTTCGTTGTTTTTTTTTTTTTTGACAAAAGATAATCATATATTGATCGGAAAAAAAGATAGTTACACCCTGAAAATCAGCCAGGCCTGAAAATCAAAGACACGACTCATGGTCGGGTACAAAGAGAGGCCTTTACTCTTAACTGGTGTTCGTTCTTAACTGGTTTGCTCTTATGCTTTTGCCTTTAGGTTTACGCTATGTCAAAGTGATGAGAAACCAATTGTATTTTTTTACCCGTAATCGTGGGTAACCGATTTTTCACGATCCAATGAGTAAAATCTCTACATTGATTGTATGCTGTGTGAGTATCTAGACCATTGTATCAATATGTAATTTTGTAAAGTTTAGGTACTTAAATTCCATAATAAAAATATTAGCTACCAAAATATAATTTTTCAAATAATACTTTTTACAAAAAATTAAAGTTTAGGTATCAAATTGTAAACATTAAAAATATAGGTATAATCTGTAATTTGCCAACAATTCCTAAATCCACCAATCCCATAGATTTGAACCAAATATATTAAATGAATTAGAATTGGTAAATTACATTAAAAAATTATCAACTCCATTACTCCAATCATCATCCACAATTTTCATGTGGAAAATTTTCTCTCTGTACACTATAGCCACTAGGGTCCAAGTCCAACATGTTAAGTGTTAACGATGGGAAATCTAGAAATGGGCTTTCAAAAGCTGGGTTGTCATTGATGCAATCAAATGGGCTTTATCTCCCTGAGAAATGGAGGTATGCGAATAAGCCCATCGTCCACATGGAAACCCAAACTACTTCATATGAACAAAATCTTGGATTCACAACAATCACGTCGAATACTTCTATGAAATTACGGGTTGGTCAGTTTTAGTGTGCCATGGAAAAATAAATTAGATGCACGAAAAAAAGGAGCTAATTTACCTAAATAATAGTTAACCTATGTGAAAATTAAAATAAGAATGAAAAATGTTATACCAAAATTTTATGACACAAATACTTATGCCAAGCAACATCATCCTCTTTCTTACATGTAATGGTGTGCAACAATTTGATATGTATTTGATCACATTGGAGCAAATCGACAAATGAATAGAACCATAATAAACAGAACATAATGCGATCTGGTCTTTGGTTCCATGAATTTCATAAATATTGAAGAAAAATGGATAGAGTTTGACATTTGAAACTAACCAAATACAATAACGGTCCGATCCGTCATTTTGCTACTGTATCGCTATACTAATAAATTTGGTTCGCTAAGTAGCACCCCTACTTATACGTTATGAACTTATGATGCACACCTTTTTGCGAATCACTTCACTCCACTAGAGAGCGGATCTGGTGACTAAGGGGGGGTGCTTAGTCACTTGGCTAAGCCCCTCCTAGCCATTAGATCTGGACACTTCAATCCAATGGTTCAAAAGTGGAAAGGGCTATTTAATTAATGACAGGGGTAGTTTGGGTATTATGGAAAATTACGAAGTATACAAACCGGATTTACAATCAGTACAAACCATACAAACATACGAACAGTACAAACTAGAGCGACAAAACATACAAACAGATTTACAAACATTACAAACGTATGAACTGTACAAACAATACAAACTAGACTGACAAACAATACAAACCATACAAAAAGAAAAAACACCCGGGTTGACTTTGGAGGCTCCATCCCTATATAGAGAGGGGCTCCTTCCCAAAGTCAACCCGGGTGTTTTTTAGACATACAAACATTACGAACATGGTGGACAAAAATGACAAACTAGACCGACAATCCATACGAATTAGAAAAAACACCCGGGTTGACTTTGGAGGCTTCATCCCTATATAGAGGAGTTTCATCCAAAAGTCAACCAGGTTGTTTTTTAGACATAAAAAACATTACAAACATGGTTGACAAAAATAACAAAGTTTACAAACATTACAAAAAAATTAGCATTGTCGCCGGGAACTTCTGCCGAAGGCGATGAGGAAGCAGCAGGTGCACTTCACTCAAGTAAGGTATCTCCCCCAGTAAGATCTTAGATCTCCTGTTACAAGCAAGGAAAACAGTATAGGAATAATATTAGGGGGTTTACCCTGAGAGATAGACCGGTTCTTAAGAGCTCGCATATCACCTTTCATGAATGGCATTTCCCGATGCTCTCTCTCTCTCTCTCTCTCTCTCTCTCACAAAGGCGCTTGGGAAATTCCCCTAGAATTAATTCCAATGGCGCTTCATCTCTTAGGGGCGGCAGGCGACGCAAAAGGGACGGGTTCCGCGCTAGGTTAATTTTGTTTATTCCTTTTATAATTAAAATTAAATAAATATGTAATTACTACATTGCCCTTCATTAAATAGGATTAATAGGAGCCCTTGGATTTTAATGAGGTAAAGTGGCTGAGATTCACTTAGTCACCTGATCCCAGCCCACTCCACTATTGATGTACACAACAAGTTTGCTAATAAAATTGCTAAAAAAAACAAGACGACGTGATAAAAGAAAATGCAAATCATGCACAAAACAACGCTTTTAATTATTTAATCCTCAAATTGGATTCCGAATCGTCGAAGATAATATATCAAAGTCTTCCACGTTCCACATGGCTCTGCATAAAATTAACAATTATCTCCCAACTCTGGGAAAGAGCATGCTCTGGCATTGGCAATAATGGCAATGGTTTCCCACAGCTTTTGCAGACCTCCATTCCCAATTCCCTGGTAACTTACCCACTGCCCAAAAGGGTCCTTTTCGAGATTGCCAAACAAAAATTTCCTGGTAATTAACTTGGGAAATGGATTCGCTGCCGCCGCCGCCTTCCGCCACAAGATTGGTCGAGATCTGCCGGGTCACTCCGCCGCCGGAGTACTCCTCCACCGAAATCTCCCTACCCCTCACTTTCTTCGACACCATCTGGCTCAAGTTCCACCCCGTGGAGCGCATCTTCTTCTACAGGCTCTCCTCCTCCGCCACGTCATCGCCGTCCGAATTCCACGCCGCCGTCGTCCCCCGCCTCAAGCGCTCCCTCTCCCTCGCCCTCCACCGCTTCCTCCCTCTCGCCGGCAACCTCACCTGGCCGGCCGACGCCGACGTCCCCCTCATCCTCTACTCCCCTGGCGACGGCGTCTCCCTCACGATCGCCGAGTCCGCCGCCGACGAGTTTGACCCGCTCGCCGGGGACGGGCCCCGCGACGCGATTCTGTCACGCGCCTACTTGCCAAAACTCTGCGTTTCGAAGTCGAACGGCGCCGTTTTGGCGCTGCAGATAACGCTGTTCCCGAGCAAGGGATTCTGCATCGGGGTGGCGGCTCATCACGCCGTCTTGGACGGGAAGAGCACCGTGATGTTCCTCAAAGCCTGGGCGCACATCAGCAGCAAGCTGGGATCGTGCGATGACGGCGACGGAAGCTTGACGGAGGAATTGACGCCGTTTCTTGATCGGACGGTTGTAAAGGATCCGGAAGGGATAGCGTTGGAGGATGTGCAGGCGTGGATGTGTCTCTGTGGAGGTCAGAAAAGCTTGGAGCTTTGGCCGGAGGCTGTGCCTACTGATTCCGAATCCAATCAGGTAAAAAAAAAAATAATAACTAGTTTGATTCTTTCTGTTTACTTGGCCGCTTGCTTTCTAATTGCTCTAGCGGCAAGACATTAGAAATTGTTTTCCGGTCAAACAGAAAACGGTATCGTTTAAATTGTTTCGATTGTCACCATTGCATTTAACATCACGATTCTGTATAAGAGCATTTGGCGATCTAAAAGTATAATAATAATATTGTAAGGTTTTAGTTTTAAAACATAAATATTTTTTTTTTATAGAAATACCTGTATTATTTCATTTAACTAGTAGATGACTACACTTATAAGCAAAAAATATGATTTTACGTAGAAACATTTTGAATATTTGAAAGTGTAAGAACATAAATTGTTGAATTTTTTTTTTTTTGATAATGGTGAATAGCATTGAACCAAAAAGATTCTTACAATCAAACCAGAAAGGGATAACAATAAAGGTTCACAAGGGATGAACCTCCCCCTACTGAACTGACAGAGAAAGGAAAAATAAAGAGCAAAATAAAAAGGCAATCCCTATGCCCAAACCAAATTTACCAACCACAAATCTCAGTGGCTTACCAACTAACATAATGGTCTTCCACCAGAGACAATGACAGTACACAAAAACCAGCAGTGCCAGGCCACCCCCTCTCCACCACACCACTACTGCAACAGGAAGCTATAAAGCAACAACTGAACCATGGCAGCAACTATGTCCTCTCCATGACTGTTGTCCATTGAATATCACTTTGCAAGTTCAGCCCCTACACAAATTCACAACCAAGTTCTGGATTCCATCCCAATCCAGGAGATGGTTGTCTGAAAAGTTCAACCTGGCCGCCCCCTCACCAGCCCACCACTACTGCAGCTGCGTCCAAACCCTTAGCCTCCTCATGGTCGTATGCATTCAGATGATCCCATTTTCTCTAAGCCATCTCGACCCCGAAGCTGCCTGTACCTTGCCATGTGCCACTACCCACTCCATCGCGATTTTGGCAGCTTTCTTGGCCACCACTGACACCGGCAAAGCCTTCTCTTCGAACACCCTCTGATTCCTTTCCAGCCATGTACACCACCACACCGCATGTAACACACACGAGGAAAACCATTTCTCAGTGCAACCGAAAAAACAGTTACCGTCTATCCATTCCAATTGTCGGTCACAGAAGATGCTTAAAAAAATGTACAGTTCGATCCATTTAAAAACCGGAAAAATCGGATAGTAAAACTCACAAGTCCAACCCAATCCCTGCTTGTTGGATTTGGGTCATGGATTTGGTATCCAAATCCCAAACTTGATGGATTTAACATAAGTCCATTGTTTGTTGAAGGATGCTAAATCTGTGGGGTCCACGAATTTGGTCTTTATTTTGAAACCAAATCCGTGGACCCCACGGACTTGTAAATCCCACATATTGATTTGGGATTTGCAAATTCTTGATGATTAGTTATTTATTTAACAAATCCATCATCAAATCTATCATGCAAACATTAGACTCTTCAAATCCATAATCCAATAAATCCAACATAAATCCCAAGGTTTTTGTTGGCCAAAACCCTCATTTTTTCAAATCCAACAAGCAAACGACCCCTAAAAGCCCACTACAAGTCTACAACCCAGCCCTACACGTCTAGCCGCCCACACCAACGTCGTTTGAGGGAAATGGGGCTTTTCGGTTTTTAGGTCAAATCCGAACCGGACCGTTTTCAATCCGATCACAATTCAAACTATTTTCAATTCAATTCAATCTCCAATTACAAATATGGAAAAAAAAATCAAATCCGGTTAACCAAATCAATATGATCCAATTTGGCCGGACCGTATCTCAGTCCTACTACTATCCGTTATGGTCATACTAACGAGTTAATTAAGTCCAAGTTAATTGATTTCCTATGTGCAGGTACGCGCAACATTCAAGCTATCAAAACAAGACATACTGAGACTCAAGCAAAGCGTAATGCTTCAGTTGGAAAGCAACGATAGCAAGCTGGAGATCCGTCCTCGTAATTTATCGACGTTCGTCGTCACATCCACATACGCCCTTGTCTGCATGGTAAAAGCTAAAGGATTAGTGCTTGAGGAAGATAAGAAGGCATTGCTTATTTTCTCAGCGGATTGCAGATCCAGATTAGAACCGCCACTGCCTTCGAACTACTTTGGCAACTGCGTCATGCCCTTCAACGCCGATCTAACTATTGGAAATCTGATCGATCACGAGGCTGGGATCACATACGCTGCTCACAAGCTTGTTGAGGTACGTACGTAGTTGAAAAATGGTTGATGATGAGATTGATTATATGATTAATCAATATATTATTCATTAATTATATGATTAATCAATATATTATTCATGATTTTTACAAATTTGATGGATAGAGCTGCCAAACTATCTCGTCAAATTTGTAAAAATGAATTGTACGTTACCATTATTAAATCCGATCCGGACCGGTTCAAATTGTTTCAAATCGTCCATATCATGATCGGTTTGAGCGGGTAACCACCCAAATCTGTCGGCTCAAACCACCGGTTTGTGCCCGAATGTCTTTTATTTAATATTTTTTTATTGCAATTGTAAGTAACAGACTTTCTAAACTGTTTTATATTGATTTAACGTTGAATTTTAAACCTTTTACTAATTCGAGTTGACATCGGATCAGGTTTTGACAAATGACAACGTTGTTGTTTTATTCGTGAAACCAGGTGATAAGAGAGTTAGAGAAAGGTGTGCTTGTCGGGGCGAAGGGGAGGCTAGCGAGGTTCTTCGGTGAGATGGAGGAAAGGAAAGACGAAGTAGTTATTGGAGTTGGCGTGGCCGGGTCGCCCCGGTTTGGGGTTTACGGTGTGGATTTCGGGTACGGGCGACCCGAGAAGGTGGAGATCACGTCTATAGATGGATCGTCGGCTATGTCCATGGCGGAGAGTGGTGATGGAAGCGGCGGCGTTGAGGTCGGCGTTGTTATGCGGAGGCACGAAATGGAGAAGTTTACTTCTTTTTTCACTGATGGGCTTAAACATATTTGAGCTGAAAACAAAAAAATTTGTCGTGTAATATTGTTGATTTTATCCTCCTAGTGATCAATAAACTTCAACCTAGCTGAGAGATTTTCTACTTTGATCATGGAAAAAAGAAATGAAGGTTTTATTTTTTACCCTCCATGGTTGATTTTTGTATCAAACATTGGTTATGCGGTACAGGTTTGTTTGTAATCCCTAATCCCTTTCACCCTTTTCTCGTTTTCCCCCTCTACACTATTTATTAACAAAAATTCCACAGACACTGCTAATAAAGTTTTCCAATCAGAAATTAGGGAACCAAGAGTGAGAAAGTAGAGCGTCGGGCGATTAGGGTTTGTGTTGTGCGATCTAGTCGTCGCGCCGGCGCCTGAGCCGGTGCCAATCTATTCCCCCTCTTCTCTTTTCTGTGGTATTTGTTCTTCCTAATTCGTCATGGCTTCATCATCGACTTCAGCTCCTGAGTTGATTTCGACGAAGCCATGGGCGAGCTTATTCGGCATTGCTGAGGCAAATCGCCTCTGTTACATCAAACCTGAGGTCGTGAATGGTGGATTGAGGATGCCAAAGTCGGTAAGAGAGGAAGGTGCGGCGAGGTGGAAACACTGTCTGGTGGGCCAATTTTTGCAAGACATTCCTCCATTGGTGGTATTGAGGCGTTGGGCTAACAAGATTTGGGGAAGGGATGGTCAGGTAAGGGTCTCGCTTCTCTGTGACAAGCTGGTTCTCATTCAATTGCCGTCGCAAGCAACCTGTGACTGGATTCTGGAGAGCGGACCATGGTTTTACAACGATAACTTGCTGTATCTCCGTCCCTGGGCTCCGGGAATTAGTGCTGAAGATTTGGGCAGGAAGGCTCTACCGATCTGGCTGAAGCTGTCGAATGTTCCGCTCGAGTATGTGAACTATCAGGGATTGAGCAGCATTGGTAGCTGGGTGGGGATTCCCTTGGGGGTTGATCATACTACGAGGATGGGGCGTCGGATGGGGCGTCGGATGGTCCTGGTTGAGTTGAAAGCAGAAGGGCCATTTCCGGATGCAGTGACTATCTGGCCTGATGATGATGTTCCAATTCAGGTTCGGGTTGAATACTGTCATCTTCCTGCAGTTTGCCCGGTTTGCAAGTTGTTTGGAACGGGCTGTTGTGAGGTCGTGTCGGGGCAGCAGGTGTGGATGCCTAAGTCTAAGTCTGGGCAGAATGAGCAAGCTGGTGAACAGGTGGCTGTCGAGATCCCCTTGATCCCATCTATCCCACAGGTAGAGGCAGAGCATACAGTGGTACAGCAGGACTCAGGTTTGGTTGCTGGCTCTCCATCAATGGTTCATTCTGCTTCCAGAATTACTATTGGTGGGATCAATCTGGATGTCGCTTTCTCGGAGGTTTCTTCTCCTTCGCCTGCTGCAGGGTTGTCTCCACAGTTACCCTCTGAGGCGGAGTTTCAAAGGGTTATTCATGGTGCCAAACCGCGTCTCTGGTCTCCTGCACCTAGTCCTACTAGTGTGCTGCATGTTTCTCCCTCTTCTTTCAATATTCTGGCGGATCAGGGTGAGGAGGTAGTTCGTTTGCAGGATGCTCCTAAACGAGGTAGTAAGAAGTTGGGGCTTCAGCCCCAGACTTCAGCATGAATTGCTTAATCTGGAATGTTCGAGGATTTAACAACTCCTCGAAGAGACAGGACTTCTCTCAAGTCCTGAGGCGTCTCAATATTAGTTTGGTAGCTATCCTGGAAACTCGAGTGAGGCAAGCTAAGTCAGAGGAAATTGCAGAGGGTTTTCTTGTTGGTTGGGAAAGATATTTGAGTTATTGTGAATCGGATTTGGGTCGGATATGGCTGTTCTGGAAGCCGGAAGTTAAGGTGACGATATTGAAACCAGGCAGGAATTTTGTACATACTATGATTCAGGAGCTGGGAGGGGATTTGTTCTTTTTCACCGCTGTTTATGGTGCTAATGATGAAGTGGAGCGTCGAGATACATATATTGCTATAGGGCAAGTAAAAGTGACCGGTGCACCTTGGTTAGTTGGAGGCGATTTTAATGCAATTATGAAGCCAGAAGAAGCCTCAAATCAGGTTCAGGTGTCCTCTAGTATGACAGAGTTTGATGAATGGCGGAATAACATGGAATTGGAGAATGTTAACACTCTAGGGCCTTTATTTACGTGGGTTAACAATCAACAACGAAATCCTATAGCTAAAAGATTAGATAGGGCTTTGGTAAATGTTGATTGGATCTCTATTTTTCCTTACTGTGTTACTGAGGCTATTCCAGGTACCTTCTCTGATCACTGTGGTATTTTGATTAAGGCTAAAGGTTCTGAGAAAACATTGCCGAAGCCTTTCAAATATTTTGATTTTTGGGGGGATCATCCTGAGTTTCTACCATTGGTGGAGAAAGCGTGGTCAGCAAGAATTTCTGGGCATCCCTGGGTTATTGTTTAGAGGAAACTTCGTGAAGTCAAAAGGGTCCTAATTCAGCTGAATAGGGATCATTTTGCAAATCTTCCTACTCAGGTAAAGGAGATGGAAAAGAAGTTGATTTTGATAAAGGCTGAATGTTTTTCAGCTCCGACTGAGTCTAATTTACAGCTGAAGAAAGAGCTTGAAGCTCAATTAGAGGATGCAAAAAAGGCTGAGGAGGGATTGTTTTGGCAAAAATCAAGGGAGGCAGGGCTTAAAAGAGGTGACAAGAGTACTAGATATTTTCATCAATCAGTGAAAATCAGAACAGCAAAAAGAGTAATCCGACGAATTAGAACAGAAGATGGAGTGGTGGTTGAGGATGTGGAGCAGGTGGCTGATGCTGCGGTTGAGTTTTATCATAAATTGTTTGGGGTGGCTAACATAGACATCAAGCCAGATCAGCAGGTTTTGTCAGGGGTGATTCATAAGCAGCTTTCTCAACAGAGCAAAGAGTGGTTATGTCAGGATGTATCAGTTGAGGAAATCAGAGAAACTGTATTTCATATGAATATCCACAAGGCGCCAGGCCCTGATGGATTTTCATCTGGCTTCTTCAGGCGTACATGGCACATTGTTGGGGAGGACATAACAAAAGGAATACAGGCTTTCTTTGAGAATAACCGTCTTACAAGTGGTGTAAATGCCACTGCTGTGGCCCTGCTTCCAAAGGTACTTAATGCTGAGACTTTTAAAGAATTCCGTCCAATTTCATGCATTAATGTTCTGTATAAGGTGATTGCAAAAATTTTAGCCAAGAGGCTTAGTGAGGTGTTGCCTAGTGTTATCAGTCTAAATCAAACTGCCTTCATCAAGGGTAGACAGATTGTAGACAATATCATGTTAGCTCAAGATCTTGTTAGTGGATATCATAGGGAGAAGCTGTCTTCTAGGTGTGCAGTTAAAATAGACATTATGAAGGCCTTCGATTCGGTTAATTGGGATTACTTATTCATGATTATGAGGCTGATGGAGTTCCCTTCTCAATTTCTGGATTGGATTTATACTTGTTTATCAACTGCTCACTTCAGCATCTGTGTTAATGGTGGAATGAAGGGGTTTTTTTAATGCTAAGAAGGGGGTGAGGCAGGGGGATCCCCTCTACCCCTATCTGTTTGCACTAGCAATTGAGGGGCTCTCTGGTATGCTAATTAAAGCCTCAGAGCAGGGTTTAATTCCTTTTCATCCGCTGTGCAGCAAGATATCTCTAAATCATCTTTGTTTTGCGGACGATTTGTTGATTTTCACAGTGGGATCAGCTAGAGCAATTCTGGCAGTGAAGCAGGTATTAGATCAGTTTTATTGGCAATCAGGGTTAAGGTGTAATCCAGCTAAATGTTCAGTATTCTTTGGGGGGGAATCAGTCAAATACAAGAGGAATGCCCTGGAATTATCAGGGTTTGCTGAGGGCTGCTTACCTGTGAAATACCTGGGACTGCCCCTCATCTCAGGTAAGTTGACTGATAGGGATTGTGATGCATTGGCATCAGCAATCACAAAGAAAGTACGGTCGTGGAGAGCTAAAAAGCTCACATTTGCTGGAAGATTACAACTGATAAACTCGGTGGTGACAGGGCTGATTCAATACTGGCTACAGGTTTTCATCTTGCCCAAGAAGATCTTAAAGAGGGTTCAGAAGATTTGTATGGATTTTTTATGGCATGGGAGTGAGTCAGGAAGAGCAAAAATTGCTTGGGAAAGGGTGGCAAGGCCCAAGAAAGAAGGTGGGTTAGGGATTAGGGATTTTAGCTCCTGGAATACAGCTTGTTCTCTTGGCTTGTTGTGGTTATTGATGATGAAATCAGGAGCTATTTGGGTTGCTTGGATGCTTAGGTATCGCTGTAAGACTAGAGATATCTGGACCATGAAGGAGAATGCTAATAGCTGCTGGGCTTGGCGAAGAATTCTGAAGAAACGCTCACAGGTGCAGTCTTTTCTTAGCAGGCAGGGGGATTGTGCCTTGTGGGATGGGAAACCTATGGAAAAGTACTCGGTTAAGCGGGTCTGGGATACTCTACGTCCAAAAAACAGCGCTGTGGAGTGGTATAAGGTTGTCTGGGGGCCGAATCATGTGCCTCGTTTTAGTTTTATAGTCTGGCTGGTTTTGCTTGATGGAATTACTACGAAAAGTAAGCTGTTGCGTTGGGGAAAGGTGAGTGAGGATAAGTGTGTCCTTTGTGGCATGGCAAGTGAAACACGGGATCACCTGTTTGTCACTTGTGAGTATACTCGTCTGTTGTTGCAGGGGTTTTTGCAGGATGGTCTGGTTCGAGGATCTTGGGTGGAGACTGTGCAGACGCTCTGTGTAGCAGTGCAGCGAGCTCCGCAACGAGGAACTAATGTTAAATGGTGCCTCTTTATCACGTATATATGGCAAGAACGCTGCAGGAGATGTCATGATGAGGTTCCACAAGGGGTTGATGTAGTTAGGGAGATAATGCAGAGGGATTTACACATATTAGGTCTGCAGTAGTCGTGCGAGTGCTGTAAATGGGCTGCTGGGTTTTTTTAGTTGTTGTCACTGTTGTTTCTTTTTGCGTTGGGATGCCGCTTTGGTGTCCCTGCTTTCGTTGTATCTTGGATTGCTGATTTGGCAATTCGTTACTTAATACAAAGGGGTAACTGATTCAACGAAAAAAAAAGTTTTCCAATCTATGCAAGTTAGGACAAAAACATTTAGAACTTCAGCGATTCGTGTCAAGATCATTGTCGCATTCGCAAAAATCTCTATCATTTCAAGAGATTTAGCAAAATCGTTGTGGACCCCAACAGTTTTACTACAAAATTGTTGCGGATCGTTGCGGTTTCCACAAAATACATAGCAATAGACTATCCAAAACAATATGTGTTCAAAATTTGAAAAATATCTACAAATTAAACTTATCCTCAAAACATAGACAATCCAAAAAAGTAATTCCATATCGAAGACCAGGCATATAGAACTAGGGTGGGCATTCGGTCGATTCGGTTTCGACCGAATTGAAATTAGGAATACCGGGTCCCCGAATTCTCCCAAACCTCAAACTGAATTATAATTCGGTTCGGTCGGTTTACCGAATCATAATTTGGTTTGGTTCAGTTTTTCAAACAAAACCGAATTTGTGAAGCTACTTGTATCTTCTCACTTTTAAATTATTTTTCATCCCTAATATAAACAATAAATATGCAATTATATGCATCATCAATGATAAAATCAAATTTTCAACACATAAGTCATAAAATATTTCAAATATTTAAGTCTGAAAACAACTTCAAACATTAAAAAACCACCATTTCGAGCTTGCAATTATAGTATTTCGGTTTTTCAGTCGAAAATTCGGAAATTCGGTTCGGTTGAAAGAACCCTAATTTCCGAACTATCCATATTTTCCTTCCGAATTCTAAAACAAATAGCATTAATTCGATTTCGGTTCGAGTTTACAGAACCGGTTGCCCACCTCTTAGAACTGAACCCGAACCGGTTGCCCACCCATTAGAACTCTTAGACTTCAGTGAGACCAAATGTTTATCTGTAGGTTCCACTACTACTTTCAATTTCCCCAACCACTAGTCTTTATAGGCCTTTCCCCAAAATTTCCAACTTTTTATTTCAAAACTTTGTCGGCTGTGGTTGTGGTGGGACTGCAAATGGAAACTTCAGCTGAAAAGCCTGAAATGCTTTCCCCGCCGCCGCCGGCCGCCACAAGGTTGCTCGAGATCTGCCGCGTCACTCCGTCCCCGCCACCTTCCGCCCAGTACACCCTACCCCTCACTTTCTTCGACACCCTCTGGCTGAAATTCCCCCCCGTGGAGCGAATCTTCTTCTACAAGCTCTCCGCCACGTCGTCATCATCGCCGCCGCCCGAATTCCACGCCGCCGTCGTCCCCCGCCTGAAGCGCTCCCTCTCCCTCGCCCTCTCCCGCTTCCTCCCCCTCGCCGGGACCCTCACCTGGCCGGCCGACACCGACATCCCCTTCGTCCTCCACACCCCGGGCGACGGCGTCTCCCTCGCAGTCGCCGAGTCCACGTCATCCGACGGCGGCGACTTCGACCTGCTCTCCGGGGACGGGCCGCGCGACGCGGCTCTCTCGCGCGCTTACTTGCCGAAACTCGCCGTTTCGGGGTCGAACGCTGCCGTTTTGGCGCTGCAGGTGACACTGTTCCCGAGCAAGGGATTCTGCGTCGGGGCGGCGTGTCATCACGCCGTTATGGACGGGAAGAGCTCGGCGATGTTCCTCAAGGCTTGGGCTCATATTAGCATGTGTGATGACGGCGACGGGACCTTGACGGAGGAATTGACGCCGTTTCTCGATCGGACGGTGGTTAAGGACCCGGATGGGATAGCGTTGGAAGACGTGAAGACGTGGATGGATATCTGCGGTGCAGAGGATGACACGAGAAGCTTGGAGTTTATGCCGGAGACCGTGCTTAATGTTACCAAGTCCAATAAGGTAATTACTAGCTAGATTATCGATACACTCATCTTTTTACTGCTTTACACCATGCAAATGCTTGCATTTTTTTCCTCTCCATAGATAGTCATGTAAAAAGAGAGACATAACTATAAAGAACGGAGTAATTAACCAGTGAGTAACCACGGATAATCGAACTATTCTATGTTTTTATATTGTTAGATGAGCAACCCTATTTTAAGTGTATAATAGCTTAGTTTGGCCCTGCTATAACTTTTGCAGAAACCGCTTCTGGCTGGAGCTTTTAGATAAGTATTTTTCAAAAAAAAAAGTTTAGTGTTTGGCTGTAAAACTATTAGAAGTGCTTTTTAATATGAGCGGTTGTGTAAAATGACTATAAAGGACTTATAATATAAAATATTAATAAAAATTCTAAACAATAAAAAGTAGTAAAAATTGATCTTGTTAGATTTCTTTTATATTAAATAATATGATTTTATAATTTATTTTATTTTTAAAATGATATAAATGAAGAAAAATTATATTTTCTGAAATAAAATTAAAATATGGTAAGGATAATCTTGTATTTTTAAAATAGCTAGCTTCTGCTTTTATGTTATACAAAAGCGCTTTTCGACTTTTCAAAAGCCGAGCTTTTAGAGGTGTTTGGCCCCTGCTTTCGCTTTTGAAGCCGAAAAGCACTCGGGCCGGCAATAAATAGAAAGACAGCAAAATCACGGAATTGGGCTTAATTTGTCTTAACTTCTTGGCAGATCTGGAAGGCTACACCGACAATTTGGTTTTGTACTTTTGTTTTCTTCCATTACAATTTATTTTTCAGTACTAATATTCATATTTCTGGCCATCTCCTAGTGACGGGTCTATTGAGCTTCTTTTGTGGACCTTTGGATGATAGGACAATGGATCGGATCAGTAATGTAGGGTTATACAAGTTTGTACAGTAATTTCTTTATTATTAATATGGGTTAAAGACACATTTGGTCACTGAGATTACAAAATCGGGACATGTTTAGTCACTAGAAAAAATTAATATCAAATTTGGTCACTACAATTACTAAAACTGGACACATTTAGTCACTCGCCGTTAGTCTCCGTCCAACTCCGTTAATGAAGTCCGTTAAGTGATGATGTGGCAAACAGAAATGCCTAATCAGCCGGATATAACCCAACAAAAATAAAACCCGACCCGCCACGTCATTAAAACCAACCCAACCCATGACCCAACCCCACCCAACCCTTCTTCCTCCTTCCTCTCACCTCCTTCTTTCCCCAAAACCCTTCTTCCTCCTTCCTCTGCACACATCTGGATGATACTGTTGTCTATAAAATAATGCCAACTTTAATATATTTTGAAACAAAGAAATCGAGTTAGCTTTTACCATAGAATCTCTTGATATACAATAATGATGTAGTAGATTGTGCTGGACATAATTGGCAAGACTGTGGTGGACGTAATTGGCCTGAATTTTTTTTTACTAAAATCATGGATAGGTTCGAGCAACGTTCAAGCTGTCCAGACAAGACATCCAAAACCTCAAACAAAGCACGATGCGTCAGTTGGAAAGCAATAAGGATACTTGTCTGGAAATCAAGCCGAACAATTTATCAACGTTCGTCATCACGTACGCATACACACTTGTCTGCATGGCAAAAGCCAAAGGGTTGGAGGACGACAAGAAGGCATTCTTCGGTTTCACGGCGGATTGCAGATTCCGATTGGAGCCGCCACTGCCTTCCAATTACTTCGGCAACTGTGTATTTGGCTTTGCCGCTGACATTGCCATTGGAGATTTGGTGCATGAAGCTGGGATCGCATCTGCCGCTCACAAACTTGTCGAGGTACATATATATGAATTTTGTTTTCGGTGCATCGCATCATCTATCTTTCCGAGCAGGCAACTCATATCAAAACGATGCTAATCGTCATTTGTGATATGATGGATAAGCAAATGAAGGAATTTTTACAAAAATCGTTAAACATAAACTTTGATTTGAGAGGTTCAAGTATTTAAAATTAGGTTTAGGGTTAGGGATAAGAGTTTAAGGTTTAACATATGGAGTAATACATGGATTAATTGCTATTCTATGTTGTATCATTATATTAAATTGATGATGCCAATTAAAACTAAAAAATTTATGTCACTTAAAGCTAGTATTAGAATTGGGTTACAATATAAATATATATTTTTTTAGTACTGCACCATTGTGAAGTCACATATGCATAGTTGATAAATTAATAGTACTTTTGGCAGAGCGATTCAATTTTTAATTTTTTATCAATAAAATGAAAGAAAAAAAAAATAATGATACGTGTGACTTTCATTGCTAAGATCTTATACAAAAATCTGTTGGGTACGTGATTAATAACTAGATTAGAGGAATTCACAATTTTTTTTTTTATTTGTCAGTGACGTGAAATTGTACCGGCGGTCTGATCGTTAAATTTTTCTATTGGAGTTCAAACAGTCATATGGCAGTTTGAACGATATAAAACAGCCTCCACTAATTTTAAACTCAAAATACTCTATATTTAATTACTGTTTACTTATTCAACACAACCTCCGGTATAGTTTTACGGTAGCTTTGTATTAATATTCTATACATGTAAACAGGTGATAAGGGAGATAGATAAAGGTGTACCTAAGGATGCCAAGGGGAGGCTAGGGAGGATGTTCCGTATGTTGGCGACAAGCTTAGAGGGCGGACTGATCGGGGTCGGGGTAGCCGGGTCGACCCGGTTAGGGGTTTACGGAGTGGATTTCGGGTACGGGCGGCCCGAAAAGGTGGAGATCACGTCGATTGACAGAACGTTGGGTATGTCGATGGCGGAGAGTGGCGATGGAAGCGGCGGCGTTGAGGTTGGCGTTGCTATGGAGACGCAGGAGATGGCGGGCTTCACCTCTGCTTTCATCGACGGGCTTAATAAAGTTGCCTGAGCTAGGGAAAAATAAAATAAATTCTGGTGTAATATTTGTTAAAAGCATGGTCCATTAAACCGTACCGTATCGACGGTTCAACCACAAAATACCAGTATTGGAGGCAAAATCGATAGGCGGTATTTAACGGTACTAACGGTTGAACTACGGTTAAACCACGGTTTTGTCATAAAATACCCTATTGCTGACTTTTCCGGTACGGTCTCCGGTACGGTTTCATGGACCATGGTTAAAAGATTGATGAATATGTGGTGGGAGCAAGGACCAGGAAACCGGATCGTACCGGCCGGCCCAACCGGTCCAACCGGGAATTGGACCAAAAACGAAACGACATGCATTTAGTGGTAGAATTATCGTATCAGCCGGTTTTTTCGATTTAACCGGTCTGAAACGAAATACCGTCCGGTTTTGTTCCAACCGGCGGTAGACTATTCCCAATGAAACACGACTGTTTTTGCAACAAAAATGAAGAAAATAAAAAATAAACCCCACTGCCAACCCTAATCCCTAATCGAGGTCGGTTCTTTTCCAGTTTCACGCCATGCCTTGCCGTTCTTCTTCTTTTCTCTAGCTCACCCCTGGCTCTAGCGACGAGCTCGACTTCTCAAGAACGCTGTCGCATCGAGTTCCGTAACCTGGATGAGTTTCCTTCTTCCATCGAGTCTCCTCCCCTGCTCGAGATCGACCAGATCTGTGAGATCAATAAAAAATCCGGCAAAATCTCCGGCGGCAGCGAAGGAAAAAGGGAGGATTCGGTAAGATTTGTGAGATCGACCAGGAATCCGAGGCCCGAGCTATCCCCTTCCTCTCCGTCCTCCGGCGGTCTCTTTCCCCGCAGTCACTCTTGAGCCTCCATTCTTATTATTGATTTGGAGCTCCATTTGTTTGGAAGGCAGAGGATGGTGAATTGGTGATGAAGGGGGTATGAAATTGATTTTGATAGTGAGAGCATGCAGGGAGAAGAAGCAGAGAGAGGGAGATAGAATGGGGGTGTGAAATTGATTGAGGGAGAAGGAGCCGAGAGAGGGAGATAGAATGGGGGTGTGAACTGTGAAATTGATTGATGGTGAGGGGCTGAGGGCGGTGGGAAAAAGAAGGAGAGAGAGGAGGCAGAATATGGGAGGGCATGGGGATTTCTTTTCTTTTTTTTTAGGTTTAATACATCTCTATAGCCATAACTTTCACGATTTTGACAATTATAGCCACTTTTCAAAAAATACACAAACATAGCCACAATTTTCAAACTACGTTGCCAACTTTAGCCATTTCCGTTACAAACTTTAACGTCGTTAAGTACATCGTCAGTTAAGTGGATGTTAAGTTGACGTGGATGCCACCGGAACGACACATCATCTCCAACTAGACACACGTGGATGCCACATCGTATTTTAAACAATAAAAATAAAATTCAAAAATTAAATAAGTATTATTTCAATAACTTTTACTTTTCTTTAATATTTCCTTCTCTCTTTTAGATCTGAGGCACTAGGCCTTCATCTTCTCAAGCAAAGGCTCCGAACGGCGGCCACAGTGTCGTCCCCACAGCACCTCCCAAGCCACAGCCTTCCTTTTGCAATTCCTCTCCCAATTCACCCTCTCCTTCCCTTCATCTCCCATTACCTAAAGAATTCTGCCGCTTCTTTACTCATTTTCACATAAAATGTAACAAAGTAGATCTGGAATTCTGGGTTTTTCGGGATGAAGCTTGAAATTAAGATCTGGGCTTTCTTTCATCAAGGCTCGAAAAGAAGAAACGATTTATAGCGGCCGGAGTTGGATGCAAACCTTCTGAGCTCTGCCAATGGAACCGGCAGGAGCAAGCTCTTGGCCCCCTCTTCTTCGCGTCGTCGGTCGAGGTCGATGTCGAGCTCCGCCAACATCGAGCAGATCTTGCATTTCGTTATCGTTCTAATTCCCTTTAGTCATGGTGGTCGACGGGAAGGATGTTTCCTCGTCGAACCCGTAGGTGACGCTGACTAGCTGCTCGACGGCGGTGATGCCAGAGGTCACCACATCCTGGTTACTGATAGGGGAAGGGACCGACGAAAACGCGGGCGAGGTAGTGGTAATGGTCGGCGGGCAAAGTGGGCGGCGAACCTAGGTGTAGCTCGCTTCTTCGTTCCTCCTTCTCCACTGTGTTTGTCGATTGAAAGAGACAAGGGTCTGGGTCTGAAAATCAGAATTGGAATGGAGGATAGGCGGAGGATTTGGGGAATTTTTTCCCATGGTAGAGGGTTTTGCGAGAGATATGTCCTTTTTAACTTTTATTTTTATTTTTATTTATTCATTAATTATAAAAATATGGATGTTTTCCACCTGGCAAGGATGCAAAATAAAACACGCCACATCAGCCGCTGCTGTTAGTCTAGTCAGCGGGTTAAGTGAACCGTTAAAGAATTGGACGAAATTGGCTATATCTGTGTATTTTTTAAAAAGTGGCTATAATTGTCAAAATCGTGAAAGTTATGGCTATGCAGGTGAATTAAGTCTTTTTTTTAAAGGGGCATGGGAATTTCTGGTGAGTTTGGTTTTATTAGTGGGACAATTTATTTTGGGAAAATTATATAATGTTTTGTTTGGTATAATTTAGGAAAAATATTTTATTATTACAAAAACGGTATTTACCGGTACAAAACGATTGAACCACGGTCGTACCACAAAATACCATACCGGAGAGAAATCCGGTATGATGTCCGGTACGGTTTCCTTTACCATGGGTGGGAGGGAGGTAGCTGAAACGAGCGGAGATGGAGTATTTTTAGTACCCAATGATAAAGGAGAGCAAAGTGGGCCGCCGGCTGCGGGCGAGTTACTTGAGGGTTGGATGGGAAGTTACCGATTGTTTTGTTGAGATTTTTTGGTGACTTCTATGGTATCCCGAGTAAAATTTGGGGTACCGCATACCTTGAGTATGAAAATGATATTTAAACCTCGAATTAGCAGGATTTTTGGGCATGATACTATACCCCAACCCTTAATGAGTGAACCCTATGTCCTAATTATCTAAATCGTAAACTATAAACCCTAAGATGGTGCATTGATTTTTTGTCTATATTTGGACGAATCATAACCGTCGATTATTGTTTCTAATTAAATTGATCTTGGGGTATAAGATTTAGAGAATTAAGACCTAGATTTTGATCTTTAAGGGTTAGAACATAGTATCATGTCCGAAAGATTAGTCAATTCAAGTTCTAGATAGCGTTTTCTTACTCAAGGTATGCGGTACCCCGGATTTCACCCTGGGTACCGTAGAACTCCCCAGATTTTTTCTATATATGTATTGTTTAGAATATATCGTTGTTTTGATTTTTTGGCAGAAATAATATATGGATTGTTTTTCTGCTGTGATTGAAACTATTACTAAAAATGAGTGATTGTTATATCTCAATTTTTGGTTGTGGTTGTTGAGATAGTTGAGTTGAGATTGTTTTGTCGAAACTTTTAGCTATTTGTGACATACACAGTCACACATACTAAACGTTGTATTTTAGAATACACCAAATTCGATAATACAAGTATAATATTATACATACATTCACAACAAAAAAACATCTATTTAACAATCACAACTTCCAAAACACCCCTGAATGTCCAGCAAACCTGCTGCAGAATGGGGCCATCACCGGTTGATCGTAGAAATTGTCACACCAGATAAACCACCCTGTGATAACAACGAAAACGAGTGTGGATCAGCATGTGTATTTTCAATGTAGGCTAAATTACATGTTTGGTCACTCAAATTACATAAATATTTCACGTTTGCCATCCAAATCACTTTTCTTTCTTACTCGCCACTAACTTTACGAATCGTTTCACCGTTAGTCATTGGTCATCAGGATCCGTTAACACCGTCAACTTTTGATGACGTGGCAAACGAAACTGCTGACTGTGTCATTAATTAATGAAGTGTCAATTTAAAAAAAAACTTTTAAATGATATTTTTTCTTTCCATTTTCCACCTCTTCTTTAAACCTCACCATCAAGAAAATGCCCCCCGCGCCGGCAACGATGACGTCGAGGAAGGAGGAGACAGCGCCGTTGGGGTTGTTGGATTTGAGGCGGAGGGAGGACTCAAGGCGGAGGAGGGAAGCGGCGACGACTTGCAGCGAACAAGGGAAGATCTCCCTGGTGATCTCGCATGTCCATTTTCCACCTTCAAACTCTATTCTTCTTCTTCTTCGTCTTCGTCTTCTTCTTCATTTTCTATTGCCGAAAGACTCCCCACTATACAGCTTGTAATCGTTGAGGGGTTTTATAGAGGAAGTGAGGGGAATGCCTCAGCCAACCCCAAATAACATCAAATCAAATCCAAATTCACATCCTTTCATGGTCTATTGGAATGCACATAACCTGTTTGATCTATTTCCCCAAAGAAACTAAAAGGTAAAAACTAAAAACAGAGACATCACACCCCTGGATATAAACCAAAAGGACGAGATCTACAAAAGAGTCACTCTACTAGCGAGTGAAAGCGTAGAGAACTAGGGAATAGCAGATCAAGATACCAACGAGAATAAAAATAACCAGCAGGATGACTGCGACGTACTCGTAAGTGCGGGAGCTGCCGCCTCCCTAGGTCCCGACCTCGAATTGAACAACGTTGACTAGAGCCAGCATAAAAAACATCCACCCAAAATCAGGTCCGATGCCGGAGATGAGCATTCGGATCTGGAGGAGGTTCTTGTTCACCTGGCCAGGAACTCGGCGGGGAGATGAAAATGATTGTTTTGGGTGATCGAGTAACCGGGGGGTCCGAGAGATCCGAATGGGCTGCTTGAGAGTGAGCACGAACAAACTGGAGAAGAGGAAACAACTGAAGGAGTAGATGTGGGAGGAGATGAGAGCCTCACCGATGTTGTGGCTGGAGGTGGAAGCTGAGACGGTGATTGTTGTTCTCTCAGTGAGGCATTTTCAGCAATGGTGAGGTGTAAAGAAGAGGTCGAAAATGGAAAGAAAAAAGAGTTGTTTAATTTTTTTTAAATTGACACGTCATCGATTAACCGTCTAGTCAGCAGTTCCGTTTGCCTAGTCATGAAAAAGTTGACGGTGTTAATGGAGCCTGATGGCTAGTGACTAATGGTGAAACCATTCGTAAAATTAGTGGCGAATAAGAAAAAAAAGTGATTTTGGTGGCAAACATATTTTTTTTTTTTTTTTTGTAATTTGAGTGACCAAATATGTAATTTAGCCTTTCAGTGTGTATATGAATTTGGAATGCTTGCATTTGTAATATATGAAATTCCAATTCATTGATTGGATTTGTAACTTTTTGATTTTTCACCCTAATCATATTTAAATACAACCAGTAACTTGGTTAATACTACTGATATAACTTGGTTAACATGTTGATGATTGTGTAGCACCAGCACAGATATTAATTATTGAGGTTGCCTGGCAATAGGTACTCAAGATTCAAATTATATAAAACACACAAAATAACATTTTTGTAGTAATAACAACATGTCATTCAACAATCCCATTGCAAGCAGCTTTGGTTAATATGTTGATAGCATACTCTAGCTAGGCTCATCAATTAACACAATGATAATAACGGTGGAGATAAACATAGTTCGTGGATTTAATTTTATACTTTGTAAAAATTGGAGATAAGAGCTACACGTTTATAATTACATTCACGATAATACTACAACAACATATTCAATGTAGTGAAATATAAAATATATTCGTTAATAACTATCATATTATAGATTCAACTCATATATACTATAATTTATTGTTTTTTTTTCTCCATATTTTCATACTCAAACTATTATAGAATATTCATTAAAAAAGAAATCGAAGAAGATAATAATCAAATGTGAAATTTGTATGGACTTTTTCTATAGATACGGTCTTACGGAAATCAATATTCAGTTTTCTTTGGTATTCCCGGTAAAAAAAGTCATAAATAAAAACTAACTACCGTGAAGAAATTGGTTAAGAAAAGAGCCAATAGGTTAAGCCGGTTTTGGTTAAGTAGTGGTTTTAAATCTAAGGCCGTGATTTAAAGTAGAACATCTGACGGCTGCATATATGCCGGCACCCGTGCAGGTACAACTATTAACCTATCTTTCAACGTGGGAATAGGACGCGCCCATGACTTTTCGTCCTTTTATAGGCTCTCCCCCGCACACTGATTTCCAGTCCGTACTGGAATCGAAAACTGAAAAATCCAGCCGAAATGCCGTCGCCGACGCCCTCCACAAAATCGCTCGAGATCTGCCGCGTCACTCCGCCGCCGGACTCACCGGAATCCTCCGCCCAATTTCCCCTGCTCCTCACTTTCTTCGACACCTTCTGGCTGAAATTCCCTCCCGTGGAGCGCATCTTCTTCTACAGGCTCTCCTCCTCCGCCACCTCATCACCGTCCGAGTTCCAATCCACCGTCGTCCCCCGCCTGAAGCGCTCCCTCTCCGTCGCCCTCCTCCGCTTCCTCCCTCTCGCCGGCAACCTCACCTGGCCGGCCGACGCCGACGTCCCCTTCATCCTCTACACCCCAGGGGACGGCGTGTCCCTCACGGTCGCCGAGTCCACGTCAGCCGAAGGCGACGACTTTGACCGGCTCTCTGGAGATGGACCCCGCGACGCGATTCTGTCGCGCGCCTACGTGCCGAAACTCGCCGTTTCGGGGCCGAACGCTGCCGTTTTGGCGCTGCAGGTGACGCTGTTCCCGAAAAAGGGATTCTGCATCGGGGTGACGTGTCATCACGCCGTGTTGGACGGGAAGAGCACCGTGATGTTCCTCAAGGCTTGGGCGCATATTAGCTGCTACGATGACGGTGAAGGAACGTTGCCGGACGAACTAACGCCGTCTCTTGATCGGACGGCGGTTAAGGACCCGGACGGAATCGTGTTGGAAGACGTGAAGACGTGGACGGCTCTCTGCGGCGAAGAGGACGGCACGAGAAGCTTGGAGCTCTTGCCGGAGGCCATGCCTACTGCTGACAAATCTAGTCAGGTAATTACTAATTATTACTTATTAGTAGATTAATTCTTCACGTAACTATGATCTGATTTTTGAAGACATGTTATTAGAATTAGGTTTAATACTATCTATATTTTTTTTACCGTAATTTATATCTTCTCAAGTATAGCTACGTAGATATTTATTGTCCGTGAATTAACTAATACATTTCGTATTGGTAGTCCGTATTTCTACATGGATTAACATTTGGTGTAATTAATGGAATTGTCTGTGTAGTTACGAGGAACGTTCAAGCTGTCGAGGCAAGATATTCAAAAGCTCAAACAAAGCGTAATACGCTACTTGGAAAAGGACGACGACGACGAAAAGCGATTGGAAATGAAACCCAATTATAACCTGTCAACTTTCGTCATCACGTACGCATACACCCTTGTCTGCATGGCAAAAGCCAAAGGGTCGGAGGACGACAAGAAGAAGGCATTCTTCGGGTTCACGGCGGATTGCAGATCCAGATTGGACCCACCGTTGCCTTCCAACTACTTCGGCAACTGCGTCATGTCTTTCGCCGCCGGCAAAATCACTGTCCGAGATCTGGTTCACGAGGGTGGAATCGCGGCTGCTGCTCACAAGCTTGTCGAGGTAATCATTTAAAATGTTGTAATACTATTTTCTACATATAGTTTAGTTTTCTCCAATGAAGATATTCTATCCGAATTCATTTGAATATATTTAATTAGTTAAAAAAAATTCTCTCTCTTTTTTTCCTTAAAAAAAAAAAGCTAATTATTTCCCCTTCGTGACAAACTGGCAATTGACTGGGTTGTAAGGCCAAATCACATGCTACAATATATAGGTTGGGCACAGTACGTAATCCTGCACTTGCCAGCATATGCTTGTGTCGGATCCTACTGAACGATCTGTATCAGTCATATGCATGAATGAATTTCTCCCACGATATCTTATTCATTGGCGTAGTGAGAGATATAATTTAGTGGATTCCAAACATAACCAAATACGAAGTTTGTCTCGATAGTAAAATCATTGTCTCGGGAAGATGGGGTTCGTGGTTCTAAATTTATTAACCCCACCTTAAAAATCCACCATTTTTAATGTATATTCATTTTCCAAGTGGGGTCAATGGACCCCACAACCCCTCACCTAGCTCCGCCAGTGATCTTATTATTATATAGGGTAAATACAATATATTAGCCATAACTATTATGTAACAGGAAATTATAGCCACAACTATCAAAATACGAATTATTAGCCATAACTATTATTGCGGGTCAAGATTTGGCTAATAGCCCTTTACTGTTTTCAAATTTTTAAAAGAGAAGGCCATGTCAGCATCGAAAATATATGATATGATGACTGCCACGTGAGAGCTAGCTCAACATCATAAAAGTTTAGTCATCATTACTAACATAAGTGTTAACGAAGACTTAACGATTGACTAATAATTTGTATTTGGATAGTTGTGACTATAATTCTCCCCTGTTTAATAGTTATGACTAATATATTATATATTTGCCCTATAATCTATTATATTCATCAATCTTAATTCTTATTATTATTCAAATCATGAAAATACAAGTTAATTATGTCAGTGAAATGAATTGTGTACAAATCATGGCAATGATGCAAAACAGGTGATAAGGCCGTTAGAGAAAGGCGTCCTCGTAGGGGCCAAGGGGAAGCTGGCGAGGCTGTTCGGTGAGGTGGCGGCAATGAAAGAGGTCGGGCTGATCGGTGTCGGCGTGGCCGGGTCGCCCCGGTTCGGGGTTTACGGTGTGGATTTCGGGTACGGGCGGCCCGAGAAGGTGGAGATCACGTCCATAGATAGAACGTCGGCTATGTCGATGGCGGAGAGTGGAGATGGAAGCGGCGGCGTCGAGGTTGGCGTTGTTATGGAGAGGCATGAGATGGAGGAGTTCACCTCTGCCTTCTTTGATGGGCTTAAACATATTTGAGCAATGGTGTGTAATTTTCCAGCTTGTCTTTTTGCTTTTGGACGATGTTTGCTTTGTTTGGGAATTCTGTAAGGTCGCGCCATTTGGTCCAAACAAAAAATAAAAGGTCTCCTATTAGACGATAATATATAAAATATGTGCCGTAGCCCGTATGTATTCTTCTGTTACATGATTGGCGCAGCCAGCTTAGCTGCATGGAAACGTGTCGAAGTTTGCCACAACCCAAAACACCATTAGACCTAGAAGCATGCATTTTGGCAAAAATATCGACATTCTCACTTCCGTTCCCATTTCAAATTGTTCTTCCTAGCGCCGGTCCTCTTCCCCTTTTTCTCCCCTGCGACTTATCCATTCAAATGTGTCGTACGTTCAGTCAGTCGTTGCATATGTCTCAATCTTAATTCCAAACAAAACATCACTCTCTAATTTGAGAGAGGATCCGGTGATTAAGGGGGTGCTAGTCACTTGACTAAGCCCCTCCTAGCCCTTAGATTTGGATATAGCAATCTGATGGTTAAAAAGTGGGAAGGGCTATTTAATTAATGACAGGGGTTGTTTGGGTATTATGAAAAATTACGAAGTATACAAACCGGACTTACAATGAGTATAAACCATACAAACATACGAACAGTACAAACTAGAGCGACAAAACATACAAGCAGATTTACAAACATTACAAACATATGAACTGTACAAAAAATACAAACTAGACCGACAAACAATACAAAACATACAAAAAGAAAAAACAACCAGGTTGACTTTGGAGGCTCCATCCCTATATAGAGGGGCTCCTTCCCAAAGTCAACCCGGGTGTTTTTTCAGTTTGTATGAATTTTTGATCTAGTTTGTCATTTTTGTCCAGCATGTTTGTATGTCTAAAAAACACCCGGGTTGACTTTGGAGGCTTCATCTCTATATAGAGGGCTCTGTCTCAAAGTCAACTCAGTTGTTTTTTAGACATACAAACATTACGAACATGGTGGACAAAAATGACAAACTAGACCGACAATCCATACAAACTAGAAAAAACACCCGGGTTGACTTTGGAGGCTCCATCCCTATATAGAGGAGTTCCATCCAAAAGTCAACCAGGTTGTTTTTTAGACATAAAAAACATTACAAACATGGTTGACAAAAATGATAAACATGGTGCACAAAAATAACAAAGTTTACAAACATTACAAAAAAACCCGACAAACATTACAAAATAACAAAGCGTGCAAACATTACAAAATAAACCGACAAACAGTACAAAGCATACTAACCATACAAAATGTCACTAAAAATGAAAAACAATACAAACCGAATCTATACAAACATTACAAAATAGGTCAGCAAACATCACAAATCCAACACTGTCATCGGGAAGTTTCCTCCGGTCGCCGGAAAACTCTCTCTCTATAGCATGCAATGCATGTTCCCACAAATTGGATCTCTCTCTCCTGCTGGGAATTAAAGGAAGCATGCATGTTCCCAAAATTGGACGGAACTGCCGCCGGACATTTGGCTGGCCGACGCAAACGGGGGAGGACGGTGACTAGCTGGAGACGTAGAGCTTGCATTTTTTTATTTTATAATTAAAAAATAAAAAATAAACATGCAATTATCATATTGCCCTTCATTAAATTGGATTAATTGGAACCCTTGAATTTTAATGAGCATGAGTGGCTAAGATTCACTTAGCCATATGACTAAGGAAGTCCCTAGTCATCTTTTTGGCCCCTCTAATTTTCCAATTTAGGAGTATTGGGCTTATTTGGAAGGTTTGCAGACGGGCACAGCGAACAAGAGGCCCTCTACTGAGGCCCAAGTCCAGAGGCGAAAATTAAAAGAGCCCATGAGTAGTAAATGCCAAGAGGTCCCGTTCGTTTCCCGCTTGTCACGGCACGTGATACAGTGACCGAACGCAGTCGTTGTAGACTGCAGTGAAATCATCAGCCAGCCCAGACTGCCAGAGACCGCTTGATTTGGCGGGGCCCACGCCTTTCCTCCTGTCCTGGGACCGAAGAGTGAATTTTCCGTCACGGCTGTCATTCAATCAAAACCCTAATAATTTCAATTATTCACTCTTCCTTCCACCCCCACCGCCAACCACCACTACCGCCAATTCGATTAGCCAGCAACCGCCGCCTTCTTCCACTTCCCGTTCCCGATTCAGATCCCAACCAATTCCGCGGCCGGTTTCCCCAACTTTACGAAGAGCTTCCAGCACCTGCGGCAATGGCGGAGGGCAGGAATAATGGGGAGCGCAGGGAGATGAGCGACTACTCGTCGTCGGAGGATGAGGGGACGGAGGATTACAGGAGAGGTGGCTACCACGCTGTGCTTATCGGCGACACATTCAAGAACGGCCGGTACGTGGTGCAGAGCAAGCTCGGCTGGGGCCATTTCTCCACCGTTTGGCTCGCTTGGGACACTCAGGGATCTGTACGTTTCGTCTTCCTTCATATGAACTGCCTTCTGGTTCTTTTGTCTTTCAGTTATAGATTCAGGACCTTTTGTTTTTTGATTGTGCTGTGTGAATTACTCTTTCTTGGCAATCCTGTTCAAAATTATGCCTGATTAGGGTGGTAGCTGCAAATCAGCCCAGTGCCGTGTTCCAAGCTCTTTAACCGTGCTTAGATATTCATGTGTTTGTAGCGTTATGTAGCTTTGAAAGTTCAAAAGAGCGCTCAGCACTACACCGAGGCGGCCATGGACGAGGTAAAGCTCCTGAAGCAGATCGCGGAGGGGGATCCCGAAGATAAGTATTATGTCGTCAAGCTTTTGGATCACTTCAAGCATTCGGGGCCGAATGGACAGCATGTGTGTATGGTCTTCGAGTATTTGGGGGATAATTTGTTGACCCTCATTAAGTTCAGTGATTACCGTGGCGTTCCTCTGATTATGGTGAAAGAATTGTGCTATCACATTTTGGTGGGATTGGATTACTTGCATCGGAAGCTGTCCATCATTCACACTGATTTGAAGCCGGAGAATGTCCTGCTCTGTTCGACGATTGACCCGTGTAAAGATCCTAGGAAGTCGGATGCCCCTCTGGTCCTCCCGAGGAGCAAGAGTAAAATTGTGGATGAATCTGTGTCTTCGAAAGATGGTAGTAAGAGTTTGAATTCGGGTTTAACGAAGAACCAGAAGAAGAAGATACGGAAAAAGGCTAAGAAGGTGACCACTAAGGATTGTGCAGGTGGAGAGGAAGACGTGGAAGAAGAAAACGAGAAGCAAGTTGGGAGCTCCGATGAAAAGGATAAGGATGATTCTGATACAAAGAAACAGGATCATAATAGGAGAAGCCCTTCTGTCAGGAAGAAGCTGTTGGCAACTGCTGATCCAAAGTGCAAGTTGGTTGATTTTGGGAATGCATGTTGGACGCACAAGCAATTCACGAGTGACATCCAGACAAGACAGTATAGATGCCCTGAGGTCATCCTTGGAGCTAAGTACTCTACTCCGGCAGATCTATGGTCGTTCGCTTGTATTTGCTTCGAGCTGGCTACCGGAGATGTCCTTTTTGATCCTCATAGTGGCGACAACTATGACCGGGATGAGGTATGCATGCTACTTGGAGTTCCATTGTGTTTTATTATTGGCTTTTGTGCTATCAAATGTCACTTTACGATGATGTTCGCAAGTGTAGCTTCTCACTTCTTTTGAGTTCGTACATTCTGTATCTCACCCTTGTCTGGGTGATGGTGACAGGATCATCTGGCATTGATGATGGAGCTTATTGGTGTTATTCCACGAAAGGTGAGACTTTGATTCAATATACATGGTAGCAGAAGTAAATTTAGTTGTCATTTACACTGATATGATCACTTCTGAAATTGAGTTCCAGATAGCTTTGGGTGGCAAATACTCGAAGGATTTCTTCAACAGATATGGAGATCTGAGGCACATCAGAAAGTTGCGGTTCTGGCCTCTCGACAAAGTGCTTGTAGAGAAGTATGGTTTCGGGGAGCAGGATGCACAAGAATTGTCCGACTTCTTAGTGCCCTTGCTTCAGTATGCACCAGAAAAGAGGTCTACTGCAGCTCAGTGCCTTAGTCATCCATGGATTACTTCAGGCCCTCGTTTCGTCAAGCCTTCTCCTCCGCCTCTTCAGTCACCGGGAGCCAGTGGAAGTAAGTTGGAAATTGAGGAAGATAAGGGCGAGAGGGAAGCCATGGCTGATGGGGTAGAGAAGATAGCAATCAATGGGACTTCAAAAGCCTCTCCACAACCCCAGAACGAAACCGTCCAGAAAATTTAATAGTGCCAAGAATTAGAGATTATTTCCCCGTTTCCCCACAGCTCCATTTTTGCAGCTCCATTTTGGACTTATTGCGCTTGCAGTTGGGTTTGTATCATTATTCTCAATAGATGTTAGCATGGGATACGTCTGTTGAACGTTTCAACTTGTACACTCAATTTGATTTATTGTTTCACCAAGTTCTTTCATCCATGCTAAGGGATGGTTATTATGTTGATAGCCTTAATCGACAATACACTAGTAACTAGGTAAACATGACTGCATGATGGAGATTGCCGCAACATTTCTAAGGTCCTGGCTGAGAATGTAGTGTTGGAGCGAATAGCTTCACACAACTTATGACACTATATCATAGCCCGACTCCTGCAGAAGGCTGAAGCCACTGGAGGTCCTCTTAAAACTTGTTGCCGTCAAATTCGAGCAACTATTTTATCTTCTCTTTCCTTTCAAGGATCTCTGGTGCTGATCTTCTATAACAGTTGAAGATGCTGCAGCAGCAGCAGCAGCAATAGGAGTCTACGTACGAGCAGCAGAAGCAACACCAGGTTCTGCCTACAAGTCTATAGGATGCTGCAGGTATGAGAATAGAGTTAAGTCATGGAAATTAACAGCAGAAATTAAGCTGTCAGAATACATAAAGCAACGATATTTACCAAAATGCTGTGTCAGTGTTTACAGAATTTTCTTAGTCCGGAGATAGGTGTACATGAGGAAGAAAGCCACGACAGCGCCGAATACTATTCCACCTGTTGTTAGCCAAAACGCAGCCTGCATCAACAAGGTGGGAGTAGTTACGTTAAGCAAACACTATTCTGTAGCAGATCTATCAAGATGTTCAATGTTGTTAACTTACCACATTCTCTTCCAGGTAAGACTTTAAGTTCATTCCAAAAATGCCTGTAACACCACCAGAATGATTTTATCAAGGCATAGCTTAAGAAAGCAGATTTCAGTTCAGTTTAAGGCGCACTGTACTTGCACAAGATATTAAGTTACATTGATTCTAGAAGCAAGGCATTTACCTGCAACAAGAGCGCCAACTCCCACACAAAACGTTCCAACCTGGAGTAGTAACTCCACTCTGCTCACTTCAAGCCTCCGTGAGCTGACAAAGAAAAGCCACATGAAATTTTAGTACCAGCTTCAAACATCACCATGCATCAGATTCAAATAACCCCTTCCATTTACAAACCTCAAGTGAACAGCAATTGAATCTTCCATTTCTTTTGCCGAGTCGAGAAGTCGTTCTGCCTGTCCATGACAAGATTCACATCTGGAAAAGCAACTTAGACTATTAATTTCAAGATTTCGAAGATGCTAACTTTGATTGCCATGTCAAAATTGTAGGTAATCCATGAACTGAATATGAAGGGAAATACCTTTGAAGATAATTCTCCAGTAGCATCTCAATTTCTTCCTCCTCCTCTGAATAGGATAACAGTTATCCTCCAAAATTAGCTATCAGTCCACAGAGAAACCAACACCACTTCAACCAAAAACCAACTCCACCATACAATTTTCTATAATTAGCTTACCCTCGGCAATCTGCTTCTCTAAAGGGACAGGGCATTCCATATCATCATTCCCCTTCTTAAGAGTGCAATTTCTTCCCATGATACACATACGCCGAATTTCATGAGTGTCCTCCAACAGATCAAGCAACATTTGTCTAAGAGCTCCTGCTCGAGAACCTAACTCGACCTTCAAATACGAGTGCTGATGTCAGCATGAGAACAAAATTTACTTCCCTACGGCAGCAGCTACAACAATTGCAACAATTCATACGATACCAAATTTTGCTTGCTGATCCGTAGCTCCTCCAATATATTAGCTGTTAAGCGGTTTGGAAGTACTTCAAGTAGAGCTTGAACCTAAGAGCCAAAGCAACAGAGCCATTCTTAATGGTTCCAAATTGATACTCAAATATTAAAGAACATTAAAAGCAGTTAGAAGAAATTTGTTTTTAGCAGAACCTTCCACTTTACAGAAGACTGGTGCAGCAAAAACAAAATAGAAAAAATCTGACCATATATACACTCACTAGGATTCCATACTCACACGGGGTTCAACTTGCATAAGCCTCTGCTCCAACCGCTGTACTCGTGATAGCAATGCTGCTTCAACCACCTGTAATTTAACACTTCAAGCAACTTCAGCAACCCAACAAATGTAGCAGAGAAGGCTTTATAACATCAGAAATGGCATCAAGTTCCAGTAGTGAGCTATTTCCAACACATCGAAACTAAAAAAAAAAAAATTGGGTTCGAAGTGCAGAAACTGCACACACAGACCCACCTCTAGCTCAAATGGCATGCATGGCCCTCCATTCATGCCTCTAGGATTTAATCGCGGCAACAATGTATCTAAAAATGCCTTCCCACCTCGCCTGCAAACAAGTTCACACATTGGAGGAAGAGAATTATTCATTCACCATCCCCATTGGTAGCTCAATCGAGAACCAGTAAATTTTTACTAACTGGGTTGCATGATGTATTACGTATTATAGTCAAATATGAGGACGCATTCTTGCATTGCGATCGCTCGCAGAGAGCCCAAGTTCAGCAATATAGCATGCTCCCGCACCTGGCAAGTAAGATCGCATATATAGTCAACAAGACGTTAGAGGTTTCATTGCACCATTAATGAGCAGACAAAACAATTTATGCGTAGTATATATCTGTCACATTGCACCAGCAAAAAGATGGGGAAACAGGAAGTAATTATACCAGCAAAGATGGCATCGAGTTGGTCAGGAACAGGGATGGATCAACACTACGAATGTCCCGGGGACGAAGACCTGGCATTGGCAAAGGATAAAGATGTCATTACCTCCGATTACAGCATATTGAATTAATTAATTTTCCATTAACAAGTGCCAATTTTCTTTATTTAGTATTTAATCCAATGATTATTGATTAAGAAACTTTGATTGAATCAAATCGAACATGCAAAATCAGTTACGACAGATAATATAAATTATTATTATTATTCACTAACCACTGGATTTCAGCAAGTGACGCCTGCTAATCTTCCTGGTAGACACCATCCCGCCGGCCTTCACTTCCACAACCTTCACAACCCAAAAAAACGGCTCGAGCAAATTCAAAATCAAAATCAAATCGCGAAATTGAGAAGGGGAAAATAATGATCAGTTGTTATGGTTTCAAGCTCGCGAACCTCATACACCGGCTCGCGAATACCGAGCGAGAGAGCGTCGCCATACGACGGCGCCGGCGGTGGAAGTCTCTCCTGTTTCGGCTCCTCCTCTGCTGCAACCACCGGATCGTCGCCGCCGTCGGGAAACAGAGTCCCCGGCTGGGTTGACTTGGTCAAACATCTTACTCTGGAGGAGACCTTGATACCTAAAGAAACCAACAGTACCGGGGGAATCTGTTGCTGGATAAGGAGCGAAGGCGGTTGCGGCGAGAGTAGTGAGGAGCGAGAGACGAAGATGAGATGTTGAGAAGGAGCCTGCAGAGTAGGAGAAAGCGACATTGCTGCAAGCGATCATGGACCAGCTGCAAAAACAGCGAGCGAGCGAGGCGGAAAAGAATTATTGGATTAGATTGGATTTCATTGCGGATTCTTTCAGTTCAAAGTTTTCACGCAGATAGAGCAGGTTTACTCGTGTTGGAGAGATGCGAGTGATTTCTGTGGCTCGCGTTTGCTTTGGGTCATTTTCTCCAGTTGTTGGTAAGGACGGAGTGAGGAAGCAAAATTTTACTTCTAGGACCTGACACTTGGTGGGGACACGTGGCTAGGTCTTTGTGGCAGGAGGAAACAAATTAATGATGGTCCCCATTACGTCAGGATGGGATTAGATTATGGATAAACCCGCTAAACGATGGACTAGTATATACGTTGCGATCCTATTTTTCGTCCGTGGCCCATGAAAAATGTATCAGCTACCGACATAAATGGGCCGAGGCCCAAACCGCTGGGCATCGCACTGACTCCATGGCCCGAAGATACACGGCAATTTTTTTCCACCGTATAAACCCCGCGAATCTCACCTGCGATTTCGGCTGTTAGGAAAAGCTTCCCGCCTTTTCATTCGCCATTTCCAAACACGGTGAACTCTTCCGGGACACACACCAGCCCAGCCAGTGTCATTATTTTGTCTAAACAGAAGCTGGGAATGGCGCTGAGTTCGAGGTTGAATCCCGCCGAGGAAGAAGAAAATGAATTGAACGATTTCGAACGCCCAGGAGAAGAAGAAGAGGAAGAGGAAGAAGCAGCAGCAGCCGGGGAAGAACCAGGCGACCAGCCTTCGCATAATCCTTCTGCTCCGCCTGACGAGGTCATACTCTAGCGATGCCCCCGTTACAATTCGATTTTGATGCTATTTTCTTCATTCGCTCTTTTGAGATTGAAAATTTGGCGTTCTTGTAGCAATCTCTTGCAGTCCAACAACGGAACTAGGGTTTTTTTTTTTAATGGATTTTGTTCTGGTAGTCTTATCGCCGTTCCTTTTGTCGAATTTTGCTACCGGAGATGGATATTTGCTCTGTGAAAATTTGTACGGGTTCCATTATGTTATTTAGGGGGTGAGCCATTAATCCATTCTCTGATTGCAAATTGCAATGAATTTTTGAATCGTCCTGGAAGTGTTAGCCAGCTTTGTTGATTTAATCCTGGGAGATAACACCTATGTTTTCTTTGTTCTCTTCTGCAGTTGTTTGATATTTCAACGACAGTTGATCCTGCGTACATAATCTCACTGATAAGAAAGCTTTTACCGATTAGTGCAAGTGAAGTGGTTAACTCTCGCGACAATGGTTTAAGTTGCAATGATGGTGTTAGAGGAGGTTCAACAAGCGGTAGCATGGATGATAGTGGAGCTTCGTTATCTAGGGAGCTAGTTTTGAATGAGTCCGACAAGAATGAGCCTGAAAACATGGACGTTGGTGATGACGACTCATCTTCCAGATCTCAAGTGACTCGTGTTTCACAGGCAGATGATGTCTGGGAAGAGCATGGTTGCGTTTTGTGGGATCTTGCTGCTAGTAAAATGCATGCTGAATTAATGGTGATGCAAATTTATCTTTGGAGATGCTTTACAGTATTTGTGGCTATTTGATGGGTGATTTTGTTGGAAGTTCTTTTTGGCACTTCGAGTACTTTTGTGGTTTGCTTAACAAATTTATCGGTTTATGCTTTTGTAAGTGCTTATGCATAGTTTTTGGCCCATGCCATGTCCTTGCTCTGCATATCAACTACATTTGAACTACTTTGCTGCATATTTGCTGTCTGTAGCAATACTAATAACAGTCCTTTGTCCATTTGTGCGTGAGCTTATACATGTTAACTTATGTAACCAGTCCCAATTTCAGTTACATCTAAAATACAGTTGCATATTTAGTCTTGAATGAATATCGGCTGAAAGATATTAACCTATGAGTCTGCAGGTGCAAAACCTTGTCCTTGAAGTGCTTTCCGCTAACCTGATAGTATCCCAGTCAGTACGTGTCAAGGTAAGTTCGTAGCTTCATATGTTGAATACCTAGGTTGTGAGTATTTTGTGTTTGTTAAATTAATTATCCTTGTCATTGTTGCGGAAATTGTTTCCATGCCTTTTAGTTTTCAGCGAACCAATCATTAGTAAGCTGCTGCTTCGCTGTTTTGCAGGAGATCTGCCTTGGAATTATCGGAAATTTGGGATGTCACGAACTCCCAATGATGCATATTGTCTCCAAGGAGGGGTTGATGAAAAGTATTATTGATCAATTGTTTCTAGATGATACTCAGTGCCTATGTGAAGTTTTCCGGTACGTCTTTGCTTTTATTTTTGGAAAAGAAGCTATTTGGTGTTTCAGTATAATAACTATCCACTAAGGGGTTTTACTTGAATATTTGTAAGCTTTCTTCCTGCTACTGTCATATTCTACAGTTTGATACTGTATTTCTTTTGAGTTACTTCTTGACTAATGCCCGTTTTAGTTCTACCCATTGCATCAACATTCTACACTTTTACCAAATAATAAGAAGTTATGATGATCAATCATCGTAGTTACATGTGTTGCTCCACACCTCGCAAAAATAGTCTCTTCTATTCCCTTTAGTATTTGTCTTCATTAAACAGTTCACTTATTGTTCTTTTGTCTCCTTTTTTCTCTCCTTCGTGATTTGTTTTGTGACACTGCAGGATCTTTACTTCGGGTCTTAAGAGTAAAGAATGTGGTACATGGGGCGAAGCACTTGAGGCTGATCATGTATTATCTCGTATTATGTGGGTTGCAGAAAACACCTTGAACTTGCAGCTTTTAGAAAAGGTGCAACTGTTGTTTTCCTCTCTATGTTATGTAATTGTCCACACTCCACCTATCAGTTCTTTATGTTGCTATTTCCACTAATCGAAAAACTTGTTTTGTGGGCAGAGTGTGGAATTCTTGATAGCTGTTCTTGAATGTAGAGAGGAGGTGTCAAGGGCTCTTATTCCACCTTTCATGAAGTTAGGATTGCCGAGTTTATTAATCCATCTCTTCAGCACTGAAATGAGTGTTGCAACTGGTGACAAGGTACCTGAAAGGTATTACCCAACTCCTACTTGTTATTCATATTGTTGGATATATGCATACCAGAACATATCCATGTTTGAACATGTATTTGTTTAATTTAAGTATCAGTGTCAGTGATGTTCACAATGATAATTCAGAGAAAGCTATATGATGCGGTTAGATGTTCCGGCTATGTCTGCCGGTATTAATGTTGCTTAAAATCTGGAGCGAACGTTTTATGTCCTAATAATTCCTTTTCCCCAACATGCTGGATGCATATCTAATTCTCAGACCCTGTATCTGTTACAGATTGCCTATTCTAGATGTAATTCTTCGGGCAATTGAGGCTCTTTCGTCATTAGATGGTCATTCCCAAGAAATTTCTTCCAACAAGACACTATTTCTACTTGTTTGTGATGTACTTAAGATTCCAGATAAAGCAGAGGTAAATTGAAACAATACCTGCACCAGTTGTAAGAAATCATTTGCACTGCTTGTTCTCCATTACTTAGGATTGGTAATGCACAGCTGCTATTTGCTCAAGTACTGGTCCATCTTTTGTATTCTAGTGATCTAGTTAGATGAGAGTAGTAAGAGCTAGTGGTAACGATTTCTGCAGGTTGCCAGTTCTTGTGTCACTGCTGCAGTTCTATTCGCAAATATGCTGGCTGATATACCTACTCTGTCGTCAGAGATATGGCAGGGTAAACTCTGTTTGTTCATTACCTTAAACTCCCTCCATTCATAATAGTGGAACATTTTTGCTAATTTGCTTGGGATCATATACACGATCTCAAGCTGGTATTTGATAATATTTTCAAAATGCTCAGATGTATCTTTGTTAGAGGGTCTACTGGATATATTATCATTCGCTTCGGACGATTTGGAAGCACAACATGCAATCTGGAACACCATTGCAATATTACTGGTGCATGTCAAGGAAACTGAGATGACCATCTCTAGTCTTCATCAATATGTTACGGTCCTCGTAAGCAAATCTGACTTGATTGAAGACAACCTTCTTGGCCAGCAAATAGATCATGTTACAATGGAAAATATTGATAGCAGCAGACGAAATGCTAGAAGCATTGCCGTATCCTGGTTTCGAGTTAGTTTGATTGTGGCGAACTTTTACTACAAAATGTTTCATCACAAAAGTTCCACTGTGGCTTCTTTTCCTCTTAACTATTTTCACAGCTTCTGAGTATTGCCGGTATTTTAACCAAGTGGACTTCATCAAAAGATCGGCCCGAGAGAGATGGTACATCATCCGATGAACACGATGCAGAATACGAAAACATTCGTAGATTGATGAGATGCTGTCATAAACATCTTGGAGTAGGTGGGTTCTCTTTGTTAATCATGTTGGTTTTGGAACATCTCTTTCTTTCATCATTTAAAGACCAGTCTACCCACTAAGGAATGCATTTTGCAGAACTATCCCCATAGCAGCTAATCTTCTCGTCGGAGTAAGTGACTTCCAGTCATCCAATAAAAACCTTCAGCAGAGCGAGAGATTTCTCCCATGAACTCCAGTGTCAGAGAGAGGGTCACAGAAGCGACCACCAAGGAGTCACCATTTTGCGACGATGATATGGAACAGCACCCCCAAGCATGTTGGGCAGATATCCAGAAACAACTGGGGAATCTTCATGATGGCTTCTGATTTCTTGAGTGAGCACAGGCATATCAAAATCACATACAAGGCGCGTCAAGCTATAACCATCCCATTCAGCAAACTTTGTACGAATTGTTTCGAACGACTAAACACAGTTCTGGCTCGATCAACAGATCGCACAATATATTGTAACTGTTAATCCTTGATGACATTGAGAACAGTGTAGGTTAATTCTATCAGAAACTCAGAGGAAGTCCTCGATGAGCGGCTGGTAGAACAGCTTGTAGGCCTCCATGACTTCCAGATACCACATGGCTTCCCTGTCTGGAAATGGCGAGAGATCGACGATCTTATGTACCTGTATGTTCCAGAAACTACGTTACTGTAACAAAGCTCAATCAATACTGTGGTTACTGCAGCAAACCTTTAGGCAGGCTAATTACCTTGATCATGGCGGTCTCACCTGTACGGATGAAATACCCTCCCACCACCATTACATAAATCCCTGGACCGAAATCACGGGAATCAAAATGAGAACTAAAAAATTCACATAGAACAATGCAATCCCACAGAGCTAAAATGCGCCGGGGGAAACAGGTAGGGAAATGGTGGGGTGACTGGAGGGCGGAATAACGAACCGACGTCAAACTTGCGTTGGCGGAACTCGCCGGCGAGGGAGAGCTCGATGACGCCGGTTCCGTCGTCGAGAAGCAGACGGCCGTCGCCGTCGTTGGATACAATGATTCCCTGGTGGTAGGGGGAGTTAGAGCGTTGAAATGGGAATAACTAAAAGGGTTAAAGAGAAGGAGAGAGAGAGAGAGAGAGAGAGAGAGACCTGTAGCCAGGCGCGCTGGAAGAGAATGCCGCCGAGAGTCAAGGCGTTCTGAGTAGAGGTTTGGCGAGCATCTTTCAGTTGGACGCACAGAAGCTTCAGCGCCGCCAGACTGTAATCCATTCCTCTCTTTTCTTCTCCGTTCTCCCGCCGCTGCCCTTTTCAGTTTTCACCTAATACTTCTTCTATGGACGGCACAGCTATTTTGTGAGCCCGACTAACATTGCAAGTTTGTGGTATTTACTTTAGTTAATGTAATTACAGGAGTATATCAACAAATCAGAGTGGCGCAGCGGAAGCGTGGTGGGCCCATAACCCACAGGTCCCTGGATCGAAACCAGGCTCTGATAATTGGTTTCTACCGTTTTTTTTTTTTTTTTTTTTTTTGGCATGATGTAGTGTTGCTTGCTCTAGTACCCGGCCTTTCTGCAACTTCTGGATTCTGTTTACCAAATTGGTGGTTGGGGAGTTATGAAGTTCTAACCGATAACTGATACCGTCGAGTCTATTTCATTAGCTTGCAAATGCTCGTACAAGGAAGGCATTACCAGAGGAATAGGCTGGAAAGAAACAGAATGTTGACAGCATGTACAGTTTGTTGCTTCCCTTTGCTTGATTTGTGTAATGAAGATTATGTCCCCAGTTATCATCAACATAGCTTGGACAATGGTTGATCCAAAACCCTGAAACAGTATGTATCTGTTTGAGTTGCATTAAGCTGGACTCTATTGTAATATCACCTACAGGAGCATCAGAATAATGTAGCTCAAGGATTTAGGAAAGAGATGCCTCATGATAGGGATGTTAGTAGAAGTACAGAACAATTACAAAGCCTGGAAACTACGTACTCTCATTGATCAATCCTCTTTCATTGTGCTGAGTGCAATTACAAAACCATACATTCCCAAGATAAATCAAATTTACAGTACATGGTAGATACTAGATGCCATATGGTACAGGTACATAAGCACCATTATTGGGACGAACTGTTAGTGACTTTACGCACTACAAGCACAATACACTTATTACAAAAACCCTCTCTTTCTCCTCTCTGTCCTTCAGGAAACAACACTGGGAACTTACTAGTTACAACAACTGATATTGCTCACGCTACATATACACATAGATAAATAATGCCAACCATCTCCATTCCCGCCCCTTGCCAAAGCATGTTCGAGCATTTTATTTCAACTCCGTATGCCCATAAGTTTGCCTGGAACCCAAGAAAGCTCATTGTCGACAGATTTGGCTGGCTTTCTGCAGAATAACATAGTTTGCTCAGCGCAGTAGAAGGTCCAGGAGTTCATTGTCCGTCTCAAACTTGTAGTCGCATCGCAGGCTGTTGGCCAAGGACTTGAACTCATCCATCTCTGATGCTGCCACTTGGAAACCCACCAGCACATTGGCACCACTCTCCCCCTGTCCAAAAAAAACGAAAGAAAAAACCAGTGCATTTGTTAGGCAAGCTGCAGGAGTTATGAGTGGCAGGGTAACCTGCTCATGCAGTTCACTGGGAGATTAAGGATAATAATAATCACCTGATCTCGGTAGTGGAATAGTGTGATGTTCCAACGGACACTAAAAGAGTCCAGGAACTTTCCTAAAGCGCCTGGTCTCTCGGGGAAAATGAACCGGCATACAATCTCATTCTCAACATTAGACCGACCACCCACCTGAAATCATCAGATTACTAATTGTCATGATCAGAAACAGGGAGAAACGCTGCTCAACCATGATATGTGCTATTGTCAGGGAGTACCAGAAACTGGAGATGGTCTTTGACAAGGTCATTGTCAGTGAGATTAAGTGTATGGAGACTAGCAGATTTCATCCAGTCCTGCAATTTCTCGAGCTCGAAGGTTGTACCAAAGCTGACACTGCAGGTGCGAAGAACAAAGAAAAGGATAAGCAACCTATACTCACTGGTCAATTTATGATTAAGCTACATTGATCACTTGCCTGTAGAGAATGAGAGCTTGTTCTTTGTGAGCGTCGTATCTGTATCTGAACTCGGAAATATTCATGGGACCAACCTGTAATTCCCATGGTGAGCTGAATCTGTAAATAAACTATAGAGAAGTAGGAGGAAAAAAATGGTTTTGCCTTTAGCAAAAAATGGCTCACCAGTTTATAGAACTGGATGAAATTCCCCCACTTCTCAGGCACGAAAGTAGCAAGAACAGCCTCAGATCTCCTGCCTACATCTGCAAGCTGAGAAACCAAGCCAAGTCTGTCGAAATTCATGTTCGCTCCACTGGTAATCGCCACCACACTTTCGCCTTTGAGCCCGTAGTATTTACAGTAGGCTTCAGCTCCAGCCATGGCTAGAGCCCCTGCTGGCTCAAGTATGCTCCTGTTCTCTTCAAACATGTCCTGACACCAAAGAAACAAAAACGCTATTCTTTCAGGCATTTCATCGAACACTTGGAAGTCAACCAATCTTACATTTTAATTTTGTTACCTTTATTGAAGCACAAATGGCGTCGCGGCTCACTAGAACAACACCGTCGATCAGTTCTTTGCACAACCCGAAAGGTTCTTCCCCAACAGCTTTCACGGCGACCCCATCGGCGAAACCTCCCACCTGATCCAGCATTATCCTCTGTCCATGATACAGCGAGAGCGCCATCGCGTTGGCGTCAAACGGCTCCACTCCGATGACCTTGACCTCGGGGCGAACTCTCTTCACGTAGGCAGCGATTCCGGCGATGAGCCCGCCCCCACCGACGGGCACGAAGATCGCGTGCAGGGGACCGGGCATTTGCCTGACGATCTCCATCCCGACTGTTCCTTGTCCGGCGATGACATCGGGGTGATCAAACGGAGGAATGAAAATTCTCCCTTCCTCCTTGGCTCTCTGTTTCGCGTACGACTGAGTTTCGTCGTATGACTCCCCGACGAGCACCACCGTCGCGCCCATTCTCTCCACCGTCTTCCACTGTTTTTGTCCACGATTTTGAAGGAAATGAATTGAGAAATCGAGAAATCTAAAAATTGGTGTTAGGGTTACAGAAGAGATAAAGAAGGTTTACTGACTTTGATTTCTGGGGTGGTGACGGGCATGGCGATGACGGCGTTGCATCCCAGTTTCTGAGCGGATAAGGCAACGCCCTGAGCGTGGTTGCCGGCCGACGAACAAATCACTCCCTTGGCTAACTGTTCTCTGGTTAGCTTCGCCATCATGCTGTAAGCTCCCCGCAGCTTGAAGGAGAAAACCTGACCACCGCCAAGACATTTTTGGGTTTCGTTAGGTTCAGAGTAGCTCTTCTCGGCGACGAACGATTAGTCTCAGCCCGCCGGTCAATAGAGGAGAATGGAGATTACAAGATATGTCACAATGAGCTTTTCAAGTTCATCAATTCTAGTCCCCTTACTATTTTATTTAGACAAACGAGTCCACACACTATGAAGGATTGAAGGTTCCAAGGATATTATTGTCCTATAATCATGGTTGTCACGCCGGCCGGTGTGACACTGATTGAACCTGGTTCAACCTATACCAGTCATAAAATCGGCATAACAACGTCGGTATGACCGACATGATCGATATACGAATCTCCAAATAAAATGATCTCATTTTAGTGAATTTAATTGATAAAAAGTAATTTATTATTTGTTTTATGCGTTAAAAAGTTAAATGTTGATGTTATTTGTTGGATTCAAGTACAAATATTTAGGTATTTACGTTAAATGTCGTGTTTAAATATGAGTATTTGTAAATTATTTGTAATATTAACCGGTATAAACCAGCACAAACCGGTGTGTACCACCGGTCGAACCATTCCACTTGCTAAACCGGCATACTGGCATAAACCGGTTTGACAACCTTGCCTACAATCATATCCCTTCCTAGTTAGGGATGGCAACAAAACCCGAACCCACGGGTACCCACCCGACCCAACCCGGTCAATGCGGGTAAAATCCGTGTTGACGGGTTTTGGGCCGGGTTTGGGTTTAAACCCGTTCACTATTCACCGGGTTGGGTTTGGGTTTAGGTAAACCCGACCCATGGGTACCCGCCCATACTAATATAATTATTTTATTGACATATTTAATATTCTAAACATCTAATCTTATTTATGTTTGTGGAGACATGTCTAATTTTTTCTTTTTAGTTATGTAGAATGAAATTGATGTTATCAAGTGGAGAGTGAAAAATTTAATTGAAAGGAAGAAGTTTTCAATTACTCATGTTATTTATGGATAATTTGTGATTTGATTCAATTTTCTTGAGTTTTCTAGATTGGTGTTAAACAATTTGTATAGTTAATTTGTGGTTTGCTTGAATTTTCTAGAATGGTATATATGGATAATTTATAAATATGATATCGCATATTTACTGGGCATCATCCGACTATACTAGTAACTACTAACTAGTTTGCACTAAAAAAATGTTTACTTAGCAATGATTAAAAATCAAGTATTGAAATACCGTACCATAGGTTGTACCCGAAAAGTCAGCGGCAGGGTATTCTATGCTAAAACTGTGGTTTAACCTTGATTCAACCGCTTCACACCGCCTGCCAATTTAGCCTCCAATAGGAGGTTTTTTTCTGGTCGAATCACAAGTACGGTACGGTATTTCAATCCTTGCTAAAAACTTATGGCCTGTTTACTTTCATTTCTGTTTCCTGTTTTTGAGAAAACAGATGTTGAAAACAGGTGAAAACAACATTTTTTCGTTTCCAAAAACAGCAGGAAGTTGCCACTTTCTGTTTTCATAATTGGAAACGAATAGAAAACGGAATGAAAAGTAAACAAGTTTTCTCATTTCGGTTGCCAAATTTATGACATGAAAACAGAAAACAGGAAACGAAAATGAAAGTGAACAGGGCCTAAGAAGTAACAATTGTGTGCTTTAGTGGCTAGTGCTGACAGCTGAGAGGCGGGAAGTGGTAGCCACACATTTGGGCTCGGTGGAGATATGAGCCCAGTCGACTTGACGGTTGATGGACAAAAGATACCCATCCCGTGAATGGGAGGGAAGTAATGGGTCCTAATAATAATCCGCGCATTTTAGGGCCCATTGCGGTGGGCCCTATCTATGCCTACTACATTATCGCCGCATCCATACAAATGCACGAACAGGTGATTCGCGTTCCTAAAAACCTCAACTACATTTCCTTTCCTCGTAAGAAATGGAGAGAAGAAAGAAAGAAAGAAAGAAAAAAAAAGCCTCTCAACTACCTACTTTTATTGTTAAAAAAGAAACAGAACAAAACTTGTACTGGCGAGTTAGTTGTAAGGATTTGTCCAGCCTTAAAATGCAATATTATTGGACTATTATAGTTCTCGACTTCACAAGGACGGAATGAGTTTTGATATTTTCACGAGAAACGAGTTTTGATAAAAATAAAAAAAATTAATAAATTCTCATGTTTGCTTATGCAATGGATCAAGCTCATCATTTTGCGACGACGTAAGAGTATTTGTCACTCTATTAAACCTCATTTTTAGTTATTTGGTTACCATAACATTGGATCTATTGTACTAATAAAAAATTCTCAATTGAAATAATTTATATTCTAGAAAGAAAAAAAAAAGCGCATCTAGTTTCAGCTGCTGGTACACACTATTAAGATGATTGCTCTCGGGCATACATGGTGGATCTTGTACCTACTTATAATAATCTAAACCATAACTCTGTTTTTAGCATGTGTATCGGTCAAACTAAATAATCTGCTGATGCTAAATTAAGCCTAATTATTTAAATTATGGTCATTAATTAGCTGCATTTTTTTTAATGATTTGATGTCTGTCTCCTTGTTTTATTGATGAATGTAGGAATTGGTTTTGATCTAGAACTTCCAGACCATGAATGCCATGCACACCAGTGCCATTTTGCGATCTCCAAATTGGTGATTTAGTCACAGATCAACTGGTGACTCATAAAACGTTTTCATAACTCGAGTTACTGAAACATTCCGATATTACTCCATAATCGTTTGATCGATCGGGTCTTATTATTCAAATTCTCATAATTTTTAGAGATGATTTTAGTATACGACGGATCCATGTAAAATTTCCGCATTATTCGTTAATAATTCGCTTATTGTTTTAAAATCACGTGTAAGAAAGGAGAGCAAAAATTAAAGTTTGGGGAGAGAGCTCACTGGCTGGAGGTCTTCTCTCTTGAGCCAAACATGGACGCCGAGCCTCTCCGACAGCTTGGGAGCCGAATCCAACGGCGACTCTATCGCCACGTCGTACACTTTAGACGACAGTATCCTCGTCAGGTAGCTCATCGCATTGTGGACGCCGCCGTCTCCCGCCGCCTTCTGCTTCGGGACGGCGCCCAGCAGCCCGCTCTCGTACTGCAGCGACTCCGCCGCCACTCTCATCAGCGGCGGAGGAAACACCGGCGCCATCAGGGTGGACATCTCGATCCTCTCTTGTCGGATAACGGCGTCAGTGACGGCCGCAGCAGCTGCAGGGTTATTGGCGGCGGACTGGGCCGTTATCTTCAGCTGCTTACGTAAGCTTCTGGGTTTGGTGACGTCCTTGTTGGTTTGGCCGCCGAGGGGGAGTACTGGAGATACCGTGAAGCATAATGCCGCCATTGTTAATTGTTTGTGCCGACGAGTTGGGAGAAAGAGATAGATAGATAGAGAGAGAGAAAGCTGTGGAGTTTTCAGGCTTTCTCTGAGTTTCAAGTAGGAAATTAATGTTTTATTTATAGGAAGTTGAAGGGAAGTATATTGTTTTGTTGGAATATGGTTGAATGGAGTAATGTTTTTTTTTTTTCCTCAAGAATAAATTGGTAACAAGAAATGAGCTTATGTACGTCCAACCAACGTTCATGTCGGTATGGTTAAATGTGTTAATTCAAGTATAATTTTTTCTACAACATATTCCTAGATTGTTTTGGTGTTTTATGGACGTAAACGAAGTGGTAATAATGTATGTACTTGGGTTGTTTCAACTTTCAAGCATTAGCGGAACTACGTGTATAATGTGTGTATTTGGGTTGTTCCAAGAGTTAGCGTAACTACGTGTAATTCAGATCGAATTGGTTATAGTATACCTCATTGATATGAGTTTAGGTTATAAATTGTTGACCACGTAGTAAATATACATTGAAAAGTGGCAAAGGAGGAGTCGGTTATCAACTTCCATCATCCAACCCAGGTCTAATTTCAACAGATTATTCTTGTTTTTTATTTATAACTCTACTATGTTCACCGTATATGTTGAACTCGCCGTAATTTCCTTATTGAGACGATGCAGTTCTTGAAATTATGCCAAAGCATAATTTGAAAAAGAAAAATATCTTAACTTTAAATCGTCACGACCCAGATATTAACACAAAACAATAAACCCTTATATACATAGGGGTCTGGGATAGAGTCAGTAACCAATGGTTACTGACCTATCAGTAAATGCATGCACACCGTAGATCTAGGGGCGGATCAATCATGTGGCTGGGTTGAATGCGGGGTCCAGAAGGGCATTTTTGTCCATTTATGATTTATGATTTTTATTATATTCCAAGTTTAATAGCCGCTTTTTCAAAAAAGAAGACCACTTTTAATGGCTGCCTTTTCAAAGGAGGAGAGAGAATCATTACTCTGCAACTCTCCTTTCTCTTTCTCCCTTCCTTCTCTCTTCCTTTTTCTCTCTCAATCTCTTTTTCAGATAATTTCTCTTTCTCTGTTCCTTTTTTTTCTCTCCAATCTCTTTCTCCATATCTAGATCTGCTTCCTTCTCTTCTTTTTTCGTTTTTTTCTCTCCAACAATCGACGAAGAAAAATTGCAGCCACTCTCTTTCATTGCGTTTTTTTGTCTCTTCATCAACTCGTTGGCCTCAATTTCGGTCTTTCTCCCTTTTTGGCGTTTGATGTTCTTGAATGCGGAGGAAATGAGACGAAATAGAAGACGAGTTTTTTTCCTCTCCCTCCTTCAGTTTTTTTTCTTTTAGGTAATATATATTGATATTAACATGCTATACTATACGGTATTGTGTGGTAACGAAATATATATTGATATTACCACACTATACCATATGGTATTGTGTGGTAACGAAATATATATTGATATTACCGCACTATACCATATGATTTTGTGTGATATTACCACACTATACCATAAGGTATTGTGTGGTAACGAAATATATATTGATATTACCACACTATACCATATGGTATTGGGTGGTAACGAAATATATATTGATATTACCACACTATATCATATGGTAATGTATGGTATTGTGTGGTAACGAAATATATATTGATATTACCACACTATACCATATGATAATGTATGGTATTGGGTGGTAACGAAATATATATTGATATTACCACACTATACCATATGGTATTGGGTGGTAACGAGATATATATTGATATTACCACACTATACCATATGGTATTGGGTGGTATTACCAAATATATATTGATATTACCACACTATACCATATGGTATTGGGTTGTAACGTAATCTATATTGATGTGACAAATTTTTTCATACCATATGGTATGGTTAATACCAATCATTACCATATGGTATAGACTGGTAATAACTGACAAATTTTTTATGTCTAAAAAATATCAAAGTGGATATCATTTTGAAGAGCACAATTAATCTGATCTAACTGTGCAAAAAAAAAAATTCCGACTTAAAACGAGTGAGAAATCGTCCGTTAAAGATTAAGAGAAGGAAAATTAAAGGTTTTTTGAGGAGAGAGAAGGCGCTGATGTGATCTGGTCAGCGTCAGCGCGTCAGAGACATCATTAACTAGGGGGTGCAATTTTACCTTAGTGTCCCTCCGTGTTTAATTTAAATAAAAAGAAAAAGCTGACACGTGGGAACACATGATTGGATTACTGATAGTTACTAATATCAAAGATACTGACCTGATCTGGTCCCATACATAGGACCGATAAATAAACAACAAAGGATTGAGCATTGACAAATTTAGTTCCTTGGCCGACGCCATATATGTGCATGGGAAAGCATCGAACTCATTTTCAAAGAGAAAATGGGATGATCGAAGGGGGGGGAATTGTAGAATCTTTTCGGCAGAAAAGAATAGAAAGAAAAAGTAGTTTAGATTTGTTTCCCAATTAATTACTAGTATCCGATTTTAAATATGTCCTTATCGACGATTTTAATTACTCTTCCCCAATGTAGAAGATAAAAATGTCCAAGTGAGCACATAGTGGAGAATGAAACCGGGATTTTTGCCTTGTTATTATTAATAAGGATTGAAGAATGGTTAATGCATATATGGTAATTAGTCGACTAACAACTCCTAATCGTTCGTAAACATCGATATATAATTACTTGGTTAATTATTATTCCAACAATAATCAACAAACTTTTTCAGTCTTAGTATGTTAGATGATAACGTACAAGTTCGAGGTTGAACGAATTACGTACGAATATTGGTATTGAAATAGTAACTGGTGTTTTCCCGTTGTATATGAATGTGACCTTTTTTCAGGTACAAAGCAGCCAGCTATTCAATTTTCACATATGTATTAATTTCCATTCGTTCTTCCCATGATTGGGGTCTGTTAATGTTATACGGGAAATCTAAAACGCAATACATGGTTTGCGTTTAGAGAGAGGGATGGGTATACTATGGACTATGGTATAACAGTAGTTCCACAGTACTACTAGTCCATATTATCGATGATGATATGTCTGTTGGCATCTTGCTCTCAACAACTCGACCCGCAGCGGCAAAAATAATATGCTAAAAAACGTGCACCAAAATCTCACCCAACTACCTTTTCTATTTCAGGGACCAGGGTGCATGGCAAAATGATAAACCGCACTAGCAGTTAACAAAAGAAGGGAGGGAAAATCTAAAAAGCATTAACAGACCGTTTGGTACCAAATGAATCGAGAATTATCGTGTAGAATTTATTATCAAATGAAATTCTATGGTTAGTATGTTATATATTCAAATCATAGAAGTGTCGTGTAAAATTTCATTGTCAAATGAATTTATGTGTTTGGTATGTCATATGTATAAGTAATTTAGTTAATAAAAGAGGATAATCATGTCATTCTATTATAATTAGTAAATACTTGTGGAATTCATTTGGAAATTCAGTCTCAATTCCTCGGAATTGCTATAACTAGTTCCAATTCCGTAGAATTCAAAATTTAGAATTGAAAATGAATTCTTTTAAATACCAAACACAAAAATATTTCATTTCAAAATGAATTCCTCAAAACTTATGGAATTCATTTATACCAAACGGTATGTAAACGATATTTTGTTTCTGCTCATCATGGTTTTGTAAGACTTGGGTCGAGGCAGCGTATTAAACTCGGTTCGACCATAACCGAGCATCATATATCGGGTTTTATGCGCTCAGTTTAACTCTACATTACCGTATTCCGTATATGCAGTCAAGTCCCGGTAAATCGATCAAACCCGGCCGGTGTTAATTTAACGATGTGATTGAGCAGCCAAGTCGTTGTGATTGCAAAATCGTACCGTACTAACAGTCCGATCGAAAAACATTGGAACCTAGACCGGTAGGTGATTTTACGGGTATAAAATAGTCGAACCACGGTTTAATCATAAAATACTCCACCAGTGAATTTTCCGATACGACCGTTTTACGATGCCCCCATCAAGAGCTCCACGAGATTATCATACTGAAAATGGGGAAAATATTAGGAGCTCCACTAACAACGATCAAAGATAACATTTGTTTTAGCATGGTTATACTTAGGGCTGTCAATTCGGTTTCCGGTTAGCGGTTAACCAGCCGGTTTAACCGCTAACCGCCGGTTATCGGCTAACCGGAAACCGAAATTTATTAGGGGCGGTCGGTTGTCGGCAGTGAGGAATGGTTAGGCGGTTAGCCGAGTAACCGAAGCCGGTTAACCGGCTAACCGTCTCTAACCGACCGACGAACGACGTCGTTTTGTCGAAGAGTAAAAACGACCCCCAACCCTAGCCTAGGCCATTCCTCTTCGTCTTCTGCCTTCGCAGATCGCAGCCGCCAGCCAGCCTCCCTCTTCGTCATTCCCAGTCTCAGCCTCCCTCTTCGTCTTCTCCCTCACGACCGGCGACCCCGACCCCCTCCTTCTCCCTCACCCTCACGACCGGCGCGGCGGCGGCAGTCCCAGCTCTCCGACCCCGCCGTCCTACTTCTCGTCGCCCCGCCGCCCTCCTTCTCGTCGCAACAGCTCGTCCGTCGCCCTCACCCTCACGACCGGCGCGGCAGTCCCAGCTCTCCGACCCCGCCGTCCTACTTCTCGTCGCCCCGCCGCCCTCCTCGTCGCAACAGCTCGTCCGTCGCCCATTTTGAAGCCGCACTGCAGCAGGCCAGCAGGCAGCAGCTCGTCGAGATCTCTCATCGGCGAGACCCTCCAGCTCTACTCCCAAGATCCCACCCGTTTCTTCTCCAACAAACAGAAACGGCACGGCGAGATCTTCAAAACGCACATCTTGGGCTGCCCTTGCGTCATGCTCGCCAGCCCGGACGCGGCCCGCTTCGTCCTCGTAACCCAAGCTCACCTCTTCAAGCCCACTTACCCCAAGTCCAAAGAACGCCTGATTGGGCCCTCGGTTAGACCACTAGACCGAACCGACCTTCCCTTTTTCGGTGTAGGCGGTTTAACCGTGCCTTAACCGAAACAGCCCGGTCGGTTTTCGGATAACCGAGGTGGCTGGGTCGGTCGGTGGCCGGTGGTGAGGGGTCAGGTCTCGGTTTAACCGAAAACCGAGATTTCGGTTTTCGGTTAAACCGAAACCGACCGGGTGACAGCCCTAGTTATACTCACTCTTCTTACCATTCGAATTTGAGTTTAAAATTTGACGAGTATAAACCTAAGTTCTAATAATTAATTAACCTCCTTCAGCTACCCAGTAATGGTGGGAATTTGATCAGTAAGTAAAGATCTTGTTGTTTATCACGTTATCTGTTATGTATCAGTGTGGAGATGTGTGACGTACAAATTACAATGGTGGGTTCCGCATACATGCATGTAGGGCTGGGCATGCGGGCGGATCATCCACGGGTTTGGGCCGATCCACCCGCATTTGACCCGAATTTCGTTAAGTGGGTGGATCTGTGGGTGGGTGACGGGTTGCGCTGGGAGCCATCCGCCGGGTGGTGGGTGGGTTGTGGGTGAGTTTGCGAGTGATCCGCTCAACCCAACAGCAAAAAGATCAAAGTCGTTGGCGCTAGAGAGAGGAGAGTGGAGACGTTAGATATAAACTCGGACTGCTCCTGGAGTTTGAACCTCAAAGTCAACCTTCCAAATAGAGATTCCCTCTTCTTCCCTTTACTTTTCCCTCTAATTCTTGTGCCTAGATCACCGCTCTTTCCTTTGTGGAATTATTTTCCTTAGTTCTTTGCACCTAATAATCGTCTCAATCTGTAGAAAACTCTTTCATAATTGAATTTCTTTCCAATTTAAGAACTAATTCGACATTTTTCGCCCTATTTCAACTTCTTGTTTCCCTAGATGATTCTCTTCACCTATTATCATGTCTAGTTTACTCCTTTATATTATATACATTGTGATGTGGGTGAACCCACAAACCCACCCGCATCATCCACCATCCGCCCGACCCAACCCGAGACTAAATGTGGGTGGGTGGTGGGTTAAAAATTATCAATCCGTTTAAGCGCGGGTGGGTGCATTTTATGGTCAAAATCCACCCGACCCACCCAATGCCCACCCCTACATGCATGCATGCCTGCCCCATGTGCATGTGTGCCTGCTTCCTCTACAGTTCTGCTTTTGATTTCAGCCTCCCATCGTATCTTTTACGTTGCGCCTCTAGAATAACGCAATAATGGAGTATTTTTTATATACAAAATAAAATTATGTATAGGAACGATTTCAGACGTATATTACTGCCTTTTGTTTTGATACCAACTATATATATAGTTGTATGATTGTCCTATCTTCACCATTTCATTGGCAGGGATCAAACTTATAATTTCATTGGTATGGGTGTTTCACTGCTTGCAGTTACAAAATCAATTGCATATCAATTTCATATTTGCGATCTTGTAAAAAATGCAATTGCACATCTAAGTAAAAAAAAAAAGTTTAAAAATGGAGATATTTTATTTTACATTATTTTCATCTCTTTTACTTTATTTGCTATAATTTTGAATATAATATTTAATTATATATACAATTACAAGTGGATTGATTGATGTAGGTGCAATGAAAAATATTGAGATGAAGAAAAAAAATGCAATTGCATTAATTTACTTTTTCAAGCCCATTGCCAAACAATAATGAACCAGACCAGAGAAATACCATGGTCCGACTAGCTTTCTTCTAATCATCTAGCCCATTGCACATTCTCGAGGCTTTGGCCCCATTTCAGATTTATCACTGTTTTTCTCTGGAACTTGGGCCGTTGGATTTGGATTCGGATTCAATTCTAGTGGGCAGACTTTTTCATTTACGTAGTAAAACACCGTATTGGGCCTTACAACTTCTTCCACACATGCACACACGTTTATGCTGGCCCATTATGAGTTGGGTACGCAATTGTAACTTAGGTCTTAAAAGTGATTTGACCCCTAAAAGTGATTTGAGTCATTGTACCTCACTCAATTGGGATTTGGGAACAATTAGATCTTCATGTTTTAGATCTGCTACCGCCGTTTTGTGACGATGGTACATTTTTTACTTAGACTTAAGGATGTGATTGTATTTAGTAGGATTGTTTTGGTTGCATAATCTTCATTTGCATAACAATACGACTTAATTAGTGATCGAGTGTTCCACAAGGCACAAACATTCATTTCCCCTAATTATTAGTAGATGATTACAAGATGGAACGGGGGAATTTATTCCTAACCCCAACTTTTTATTTGATTACAGGGCACTCCAGAGAACTTGGCAGCAATTAACAAAAACCCAAAATTGACACTCTTTTCCTACCTCCTGTCCTTGCTCCACAAATCTAATAAGTCAAAGTCATAACTTCTTCTAGCTTGGCAGAAAGTCCACTTCAGTCTTATGCACAAAAAGCCCTCCCTCTCTCTCTTTTCTCTAAAATCAAATGCTGCAGTTCAGTTCTCCTCTTCCCCTTGTTAGTTTCTTCTCTACACCTCAACCTCAGCCCTCAGCATGTTGTTTCTCTTCCGATGACTCACCTTCCCTCACAGTCTGATGTTAATCCGGTCCGACATTCCAACGATGTCGGAATGAATCCTGTCACCACCGATCTCCAAACCGGTGGCGCCAGCAGCAACCCTCATCACATCTTCTATCAAGCCAACATTCCCCATGATGTCGACATGAGCCCCGCTCTCGACTCCCCGCCCTTCGAGCAGGCTAGCCGGGGGCTTGTGCCGGTACTCCCTCACGTAAGTCGATGCCCCGGACGGGTTGAACCTCGTCCTGCCTCTCCAACCTTTGGCACACATGAACCCTGCGCTCAACACGGGCACACTCTCGTCGCCATCCACGAAGTTCACCCCGCCTCTCAGGCAGCTCTCTCCGTCTCCATTCACCGAGCTGTCGATCCGAAATGGGATGCTCTTGCACCTGCTGGTGGGCGATTGTTTGTACACGTACGATCTCTCCGTCGGAATTCCTACTCCGTACAAGCAGTAGATCTCCATGTCAGGAGCATCCGGCAGCCTGTGAACAAAGAGGACACAGGAAATTTTAGAATGTTTCTTAGTGTAGTCAATTGTTCTAGTCTAATCTTTAGCAATGTAGTGGTTTAGGAGGATGGTGCCTACTTTGTCTCCAGTGGGTTGGACCAGTACTTGTAATGTTGTGTGTACTTCGGATCATCGAGATTGTCAGCTATGCCGTGGGAGAAATGAGCTTCAGCTCGTTTCATCATCTTGGGAGCTACCGCCCTTAGTAAATCGAGAACCGTTCGAGCTGTGTACGCTTTGTTCTCCGCGATCTTTCCAATGATTTCTCTGTTCATCTCGTCGTATTCTGTCCGGACCTCACTGCACGACGAAGTGGAATTCTTCTTCGTGGTAGTTTGTGCAAGTAGCAGATCCTGTGAAGATCGAATTTTTCTCATCATAATCAGCCAAATAAGTATATTGATGTTAAACGCAAGACATTGCCAGGATCGAAACCATTCCTCGTAGTACCTTTGGATCAAGTGATGGAAGGAGCAAAGATGGCAACTCTGCTGCTGTTTTGCCAAATGAGATCATCCTTCCATACTTAACTGGCTCTTTAAGTGCAAATCTCTTTGCATTACGGTCAGTCGAGTTTTGATCACCAATTGCCTTCTTCTTAGACAAATCACAAGCATGGTTTTCCTCAGGAGACCAATCTAGGTTACCCCAGATAGTTTCTCCTCCCTTGGGAAGCAAGGAAACAATCGAATCCCAAGTTCGACCCACCCTCAAGAGATGCTCCATTGTTTGCAATCCAAGCATCTCGGAGTCCAGTAGACCAGGATCCATAGCCCTACAAAAACAAGCACACATAAAAGGTAAGCAATGCCTAATTGCCTATGGTAACTCCAATTAGCAATGCCATTTCCTAAAACTAAAAGGATTGTCACCAACCTTAGGAATGCGACATCTTTCGCCTCCCCAGAGAACAAGTTGCTAACAGTCTTCGGCACTCCGAGGAACGTGGGGCCGATGTTCATCACCGCCTTGATGTGCTTCGAGCACCAGCCCGGACCGCCCCCTCCTCCCGTGGGAGGCGGGGTTTCGACCCATTTAAGGAAGTGAAGGAAATAGATTACTCCCATGGAATGTGGAACCACCACTACTTTCTTGTAGCCGTTCGTCACATACATTAGCTCTATTTTGCTCTTCAATCTACTCAATGCCTGATCCCTAATCTGCTCAACAAAACAGCACCAATACTTTTGTTCATCATCTCTACACCCAGGAACTGCATCAGATCACTGTTAAGACTTGAGAATGTCACTTTCTTTACCTCTGTATTCTGGAAAGACAGCCGCCAATCATAAGCTGCCATGTACAAGTTCTTCCCTTCGTACCCAATTTTGGCCAAATTCTCAATGAGAACCGCCCAGACGAAGTATCCCGGCCCAAAGTAGTCGGCGGCGACAAGACCGGGAACTGCTCGGACTCGGATCCCCGGCGGGTCGAGCCCGGTTTCATTGTCCAACGACAGATGTTCCAACCAACACAATGGTCTGGGACAAGAAAATTAAAAAATTGATTCTTTCAGTCCCAATCTTGACCAAAATGTAGAGCAATTAAGAACCCAGCAAGGCAAAGGTAAAAGAAATTGATTCTTTGACCCTATTTAGCAATTATTTAAGTTTCTGATTAAAGAAAGGCAATAAATTTGCACCTTCTAATGATTTCAGTGAAGCCACCGCCCCAGAGGCGCTTCCGAAAGAGATCCTCAGCACAAGGCTTTCCTTCCCAGAGCTCGAGACCGCCGGTGACGATTCCGGGGATCATGACGACGGGATGGAGTGCGGTTATGCCTTCGCGCTTGAGCCGGACTCCGGGGGATTCGGGTACTTGGAACCCGGGCAGAGTCGCCGGCAAACAGTTGAACAGGAAAAGACAGAGCCACCAAGTGGTACAGAGAAACCCAATCGTCCAACAGCAATTGTCCATGCACCTCCATTCCTTCCCGCGGGACCTTCTCGCCGGAGGCGGCGGAGCGCTCTTTGTGGGTTCCGGGAAGAAGCAAGGTTTGGGGACAACATCAGTTTCTTTATCCGGCTCAACCTTCTTCTGGGTGTCATCGTAAGACTTCAATTTCACCGGCTCCAAGTAGCAGAGCTTCCGAAACCGGAGAATCGAAGCCATGAAAACGAGGATGCGACAGAAAATTCCAAATCGAATGAAGGTGAAAACCCAATAGAACTACAGGATCAAGAACAAGACCGCCATTGTTGGACGGAATCGGAAGAGGAGCTGAGCTGAGCTGAAAACAGAGCAGAAACAGGGGAGAGGGAAATGGAGTCGAAGAGTGATGAGGGGTTAGGTGGTGGTGTACATATACCCGTTGAATTAGAAGAAGCACGTGATGAAGAGGAGAAACAATGGTGGTGGTGGTGTGAAGGAATCGGGGTAAAAAAGAAAAGAAAACAAACAATTTGGGCGTGGAAGCACCCGGGGAAAATGAAGGAAAAGAATGGAACAGAGTGTGCCAGAGGTCTGTTTGTGTTCAGGCAGCAAAAGGCGATGGAAAGAGAGATGGAGGGAAGGAAGGGATGAGGTGTTAAGAGGCGGCGTGGGCGGAGCAACACTTGGAAGTGAATTTGGCAACTTCTCCCAACACTTGTCTTTGGAACCTCCGCAGCTTCTCTACCACCACCACCAGGGCATCAAAGCCAAGGGTTTGTTTCTTTGGATCCTCTGTTTATATGGAAGGAAGGAAGGAAGGAAGGAAGAATTTTGCATATCTTTTTCCGTTACTTTTTTTTGTGTGGTTTCCACGTGGCTGTCCCTCTCCTTCCCCACCAAGAAATTCTCCACTCCCTTCCGCCATAAACACTGTTCTATTCGGGAGTAGAGAGTAGAAAGTCTCGCCTGCATCCGAAACAGACAGTCTGATGGAGCAGAGAGCGAGAGAGGGAAGGTGTCAGCCTCCTGAAAGGAGATGGGGGGATGGAGGAGAGAAAGAGAGAGGTGAGTGAGACAAACCAGGAAGCAGGATTTGGTAAGGAGGGATTTTGGTCATTAATCATCATCGTGCTAATTGGATTTCAATTGCTGAATTGATGCATGTTGTATCAATTCGAAGTTTGAGATCATGTGGACATATAATTTGATTGAATAGGTATATTTTAACGAGATTGTGGTCATAATAGTTAAATACTTAAATTCCGTACGAGACAAATAATACTTAATTCTCTGAGTTTGATCTCTCGTCAATTGAGAAAAATTATAAAGCCTTCTCACTAGGTATACACACAACTCAAGGCCTACACGTAATTGTTCATTGTCCGAGCTACCAAAGCCGTCATAAGTTTGATCAAGTGTATGCTTTTGGTCAATTGAAATTTCGTCTCAATTTTCAAAATGTTCTTATCGTTTTGAAGGAAACAAAATAACATCATTTTCCAACACTTTAGAAAAGTTTATTTCCTGCATCCGACAAATATATAGTGATGCATGATGCATTTCGAAGAAAAGTCCCTCAACAACATCAGCAAATTGAGTCATTTGTGGAAATTTTTTGGTCAAAATATTGAGTCATTTGTGTTGCACGTTACTAATTGACTATCATTTATCAATGAGTAAAATCCTGATAAATAATGGGGAAAATCCATCACATGTGAGTAGGGGACATCCAATTCTTAGATTGACGAAATCAAAATAATCCAATGGATGATTCCAACAATGAATATTGAGTATTTTAGTGATATAAAAACTGCACAACTACAAACTACTGAGTACCAAAGCCGTCTTAAGTTGTGCGTCTTCAAACTATGTAGAAAAGCATGCTCTATGGACATTTACATGCATGCTCACCAACCCATATGTAAAATTGTTTGAGATTCAAATTAGTACGATATTGTTCCTTTTGAAACAAATGTGTACAAATTTGGTTTTGAACGCCTTCCCGACAAAATTTGGTTTTGAAACAAATGTGTAGAAAAGCATGCTCTATGGACAAATGTGTACAAACTAAACTAGGTCATTGAATTGCTTATTTTGCAATTCATAATCAATTACTGCATGCATTAAGTTTAGTACCGCAACACATCTAACCGTGCTGAAACATGTTCCAACGACTACGAACCACGTGAGAATCATGGTCAGATTGGCCTGCAGCAGGACGTCCCAGTTGTTGGGCTCCTTTTTATCTGCAGAATGGCTGAGCCTGGAGAGGAAATCAGGATAATCAAATCGATATAAGGGAAAGAATCCGAAGGCCCTCCTCAGTCCAAATACACCAAAGACCAAACAACCAAGAATATATCATCATCAGAAGAAGAGAGCACACACTACGAAAAACACAGAAACCCAAACTACTGTCCTATACACTGATCCACCCCAGTAGGCAACGGAATAATACTATAACGAAGCTGCTGGGTGGTGCCGCAAGTTTGCAGTTGCAGCACAAGGCGACATTTTGGCTTCTGCGAGCTGGTCCAGTAAGTTATTATATATAGGCACAGAACTGCAAGGGGAAGGTGTAGCTAGGCACGGTGTTTAAGGAGGCATGGGCTTTGCTTATGATTGATCGTAAAAAGAATACGGAGGGGAATGGTCTCTCTGAATTGCATCGAGTTGTCATTCTCTCCATTTTTGGCTGCAGGTTGGTACTCGGAGGCTAGGGCTATTAATGATCCGAGCCGAGCCCGAATTATGCCATAGTTCGGGCTCGGCTCGTTAAAATATTTCCAAACTCGAGCTCGGCTTGTGTTCGTCACGAGATTAAATATACAAAATCGAGCTCTGCTCGTTTATGAAAACGAAAGCTCGAGCTCGGCTCGTCAAATAAATTTGACGAGCCCAAAATCGAGTTCAACTCATAAAATGCTCATGATAGCTCGAGATTGAGATAGAACTGAGCACAAAATTACATTCAAACCTGTAGCGTGTTCTCTAACAAAATAAAACACAATATTTATACCAATTTCAATACATAAAATCCATGAATTACATTCCTTTCTCATGTCAAACCATTAAATGAGCTTGTTCGCGAGCTTTCGAGCTGAACATGGTATGGCTCGAGTTTGGCTCTTTTAGTTAACGAGCTTGTTCGCGAACTAGCTCGATTAAGACGAATCAAATGTCAAACGAGTTTTTCTCGAGGTGGATATCTAGCCGTTAATGAGCGGTTTGGTTCATTAAAATCCTTATCGGAGGCATACACCGCACTAGCTAGCGGCATGAAAACAAGCTAGGGCTACCCGATTGATTTGCCTGGAATTCGCTTCCTATAACTTGACAATGAACAACCTTCACAAGTACCTAATATGAGATCAACTAGTCATTGCGATTATGATATATTTTAATAAAAAAATAATGATTAGGAAAATCAATCTTTCCACTACAAAATTGCCATAGTTGAATTTTTTTTTATCTTCTTATGTTGCTTAATTAATTATTAATCAATTGTAATTTCTTTTAATTTATGACACTTGTTACGCATAGTATTGACACTATTATTTTCTTTGTCTCTATCCAAATTTTAGATGTCCTCCATGGGTTAGTCCAACATTCACAAGAACCAGCTTTCAGTTTTGTATTTATGTACATATATTTCGTTTACGTGTTACGCTTGGGGTTTGTATTTGTTGAGGACTTGAGGGGCTCGATATATACACTCTGCCATTGCTAAAACGTCACATTGGCAGTAAAAAGAGACCACTCACGAAACCACATTATTAGACGTTATATGCTTCATACTATGAAAAAGACTATATATGTGAGGTTTGAAAATTGGAACACTATGCTTTATTTATAGCGTGGAGCTAGCACCTTCTGCCTTCTCGACAGTTCCCGTCGAGAACAGAATGTTAATAAAGCTAGCTTCCTCCCACATTGATTAAAGTTCACGACAGCAATCATCTTAAAGCCATCCTTTTTATGTACACATCTAGGGTGAAATGATGACAACTTGTAAGATCCCACTCAAACTGTCAGAACAGAAGCGTAGCAATCGATAATCTAAACCAACACGAACGAACACAAATTTAACGTGGTTCACTAACACAATGTGTGCTAGCTAATCCACGGGCAGAGGAGAACAAATTTCACTAATTTGAGGAGAGTACAGGTTACAAACCAAATTCCAAACGGACAAACCAAACAAACTAATCCGACTGACCTTACTAAAGACTAGGGTGATAAAGAGTATTTATAGAACTCTTCTCCTAATCCCAACAGAAAACCAAACACCTTTTCCCAAACATACAAGGAAAAGGCCAAAACAAAACCCAATCTCAAACCCAAACAGAATAGGCCTAAAACACAAAACAAACCCAAATAAAATTCAAGTCATATTCTAACAATCTCCACCTTGACTTGAATTCTCTCTCAAATACCAGATGTACCAGACGTAACCAAAGTTTCCAAATGTACCAGACGCAACCAAAGTTGCCAGATGTACCAGATGTGATCGAAATCACCAAACTCAAACGCGATGCAAATCGCCAAACTCATATGCAATCAGAATTGTCAGACGTACCAAACTCCTCCAAATCAGTTGTACTAGAATCTCCCCTGCCTCCAAATGCCCCTAAGGGCGATCAACAAATCAAAACATGCAGCAAGTCCAACCCATGTTGGGACTTGCCATGCATAACCAACTTGGTGTTATTTCCATCGATAACACCAACATCAGATTTACTTCCAAATCCAAACCTGCAACTCCAAATTGACTTCTCAATCTTCATACTGATAGCAGCCATTCTTACTATCAAACAAATTCCAAACTTCTCACCAAAAAAGCGAGACCAAAACACAACTACCCAAAGTCAACTTCAAAGCGATTCCTCCACCGAACCAAGCTGAAGAATTGAAAGCTACCTCCACAAAGCAAAACTTCAGTCCAGCGCCAAATTCCCAAAACCGCAACCAGACTCTGATACCACTTGTCAGAACAGAAGCGTGGCAATCGATAATCTAAACCAACACGAACGAACACAAATTTAACGTGGTTCACTAACACAATGTGTGCTAGCTAATCCACGGGCAGAGGAGAACAAATTTCACTAATTTGAGGAGAGTACAGGTTACAAACCAAATTCCAAACGGACAAACCAAACAAACTAATCCGACTGACCTTACTAAAGACTAGGGTGATAAAGAGTATTTATAGAACTCTTCTCCTAATCCCAACAGAAAACCAAACACCTTTTCCCAAACATACAAGGAAAAGGCCAAAACAAAACCCAATCTCAAACCCAAACAGAATAGGCCTAAAACACAAAACAAATCCAAATAAAATTCAAGTCATATTCTAACACAAACTATGACGACGTACTCGTCTAATAAGTTTGATGAACCCCACATATAAAATTTAACCTTCTGGCGGATCCAGAAGAAATTTTACGTTGAGTTGTCGTTTTCTAAAAAAATTATATAA